ATCGTCGATATACAGATCTGCGGTGCCGAAAACGCTAAGGCCAAAGTCCCATGTGCCGGTTGCGGTTGGAATAAAGTCTCCGAGTAATGTGCCCCAGAACATGCCCCGGTTTAGTGTTGGGATGGCGTTGTAGTCCATGAGCTGGAAAGAGGTTGAAGAAACTTTCTCTGTACCGAGAAGCTGTCTATCGACGAGAGTGATAGGGTCGTTGTAGAACTTGATTATTGCGTTGTGTATCATTGCTTCGATGACGGGAAGCATTTGGTGTGCGTAGGCACCCACTTCGTGAGTGATGGAGGCGTTTGGCAGGGCTTCTACGACGGCATCATATAGAGAAACCGAGTAATAGGGCAATAATGAGGCACTGCCCCCTCCAGAGATGGCGGGTAGCCGCACATGGGAACCAATGAGGGCTATTTTGCCCGCTGTTTTAGGCAGAGGCAACAGAGAGTCATCGTTTTTGAGAAGAACAATACTGCTACTGCAAACTTGGCGATTCAAAGCGCGGTCTTCTGCAAAGTCGCGTCCTCTCTCCACCTCGGAGACTTTGAGCTCGCCGGCCTTTTGGGCGAACTTTAACACCCTTCGAGCCCTCTCATCAATGGTGGACATCTTGAGTCGACGTGCCTGTAGAGCAGATTCGACGTATTTGCCACGATATCTGGAGACACCGGGCATCTCGAGGTCAAGACCGGCCTGTATGGCATCAATGGTCGTATAAGTTCCGTACCAATCGCTTACGATGAGCGGATCCCACTTCCACTCCGATCGGATGATTCCTTGAAGCATTTCTTCGCTATCGGCGACATGGCCGCCGTTAACCTTGTTGTAGGAGGTCATCATGGCGCCTGGCTTGGCATCCCGGGCCACGATTTGGAACGGCCGCAGATATACTTCTCGTAGAGCCCGTGGAGTAATGAGACAGTCTACCGCTCGTCTCTCATGTTCTTGGTCGTTGCCTACAAAGTGCTTCACACAAGAGGTGACACCTGTACTCTCGCAACCAAGAATCATAGAAGCAGCAAGAATACCAGAAAGATAAGGGTCTTCCGAAAACGACTCAAAGCCGCGTCCACCCAGCGGTGATCTGGGCGTGTTGATGGTAGGCCCAAGCCAGCAGTGAGCGCCTTTGGCGATGCATTCATCTCCCAAGAGCTTTCCGGCTCTCTTCAACAGTGGCTTGTCCCAAGTGGCTGCCAGAGCTGTTCCACACGGTAAGCAAGCAGCAGGCACTCCGGCAAAGAATTTTGTGCCGCGGATGCCATTCGGGCCATCAGTAAAGCGTATGGATGGCACATTGTGCTTGGGGATGGGATATGTGTGCCAGAAGTCAATGCCTATTCCCAAATTAGCAACAGGATTCGCTAGGTCGGTACTCAAGAAATTTACCGGACAGAAGCGCGATTTTCTCATTTTGTGTTAGTTGAGAGAGGACAGTCTCTACGTCAAACTTCATTTTGGCCTCTGGTTGCCACTCGCCCATCGTAAGATAAATGCTGTTCCTTGTCTATGAACCACGGAAGATAAAAGTACCCAAGCCGAAGAGGAAAAAGACAACTAGAGAAGAGAGAAAATTACAGTTTTATAAATGCTTATTACGTTCGGGACATTTTGGGTATCCAGTTTAATACACCACGTTTAAACTGGGAACCGCGGACGCTCCCCATGGAGGGGCGGCCCAGTATCGCCCCAATGCAAACTAACCAGATGGAAATTACCACATGGAGAAACCCAATTAACGGTCATGTACGGAGAAATGCAACCCAAAAGCTTACCGACTTTAAGCTGATTGTGGGGTTACGAGCTTAAAGTCTCGCCATCAGCCTTCAAATAGTCGCGGGGAGTCTCCCCGACGAGTACCCCAGACTTACTCCGCGATTTTGAGGGGAAGAAAACAACTAGCGAGCGACCAAACCCTTGGCGCAACTGGCACTAAGCTAGCTCGTCTTGGCAAAGTCATGACTGGTGGATTGTTCGATATTTTGCCAGAAATTGGTCATGGGCTCACTTTCGTGGCGGTTGTCCAGAACCAGACTTTAGATAAAAGGGAGCATGAATTCTCTTGAAAATCTTCCAGGTCATCAGTTCGGTCAATCAACCCGTTCATTATAGCACAAACAGGCACCATGGGTTTCCTCAAGCCTGATACCAAGGAGACGGGGGCTTCAGAGCCCGTCGTGACCATCATTGCGAATGAGGACAAGGTTGGGTGGTACAGGAAGCCAAACCTGAGATATCTCTACCTCATCCTCTTCCCGGCATGTATGGGAATTGAACTTACGTCTGGCTTTGATTCCCAGATGATCAACGCTCTTCAAATTGTCCCTTCGTGGGTAACTTGTATGAGCCCCTTCCCCCTTCATCCGGTAGGATACGCCTGCTGACCGATGTGAAGACTTTGATAACCCGCAAGGATCCCTCAAGGGTATCATTGCAGCAGCGTACTCTCTTGGAGCGATTCTATCTCTTCCTTTTATCCCAATGGTCAACGACAAATTCGGTAGACGGTGGTCCATCGTGGGCGGCTCAGTCATCATGATCATAGGAGCACTAATCCAAGGATTTTCTCAGCACGGTACGTTGACTTTGATATCACTTGGCATATGCGTCTTATCTAATAATACTTGTGATTAGTTGCCATGTATATCGTCGCTCGAATCATCCTCGGCTTTGGAATTCCGACCTGCATCGTCTCCGGCTCGTCCTTGATTGGTGAACTCAGCTACCCGAAAGAGCGAGCAATCCTTACCTCCTTGTTCAACGTTTCATATTTCATCGGTCAGATTGTTGCAGCTGGCATCACGTTCGGTACGAACAGCATTCCCAGCAATTGGGGATGGCGTATACCTTCTTTGCTACAGATGGTCCCGTCCATTCTGCAGATCACATTCGTCTTCCTCTTGCCCGAAAGCCCCCGATGGCTTGTTACAAAAGGCCGCAACGAAGAGGCCAATGAAATTCTGATCAAGTATCACGCCGAGGGCGACCGCGACTCTGAGTTTGTCCATGCAGAGATGGCACAGATTGAGGCCACCATTGAGCTTGAGGTTGAGTCATCCAAGAAGAGCTGGCTCTCTCTCTTCGAGACAGCAGGTATGAGGCGACGAACGCTGATTTCGTCGTTTCTTGGCTTGTTCACTCAGTGGTCCGGCAACACTCTCATCTCATATTATCTGGGTGATCTCCTAGCAATGATTGGGCAGACAGACTCTGTCTTTAAGCAGAAGATCAACGTGGCCATAGCCTGCTGGTCATTGGTCGCCGGTGTCACCGTCTCTCTGCTCGTCAACCGTTTCAACCGCCGAACAATGTACCTTACGTGCACAATTAGCTTGCTCATTGTCTACATCTGCTGGACTGTGACAATGCAGCAGAGCATCAAGGCCAGTGATCTTGGCCTCACCAACAAAGCTGCAGGTGCAGCCACCATCTTCTTCATCTTTGCGTACCAGCCTTGTTATAACATCGGATACAACGCGCTCACGTATACGTACATGGTTGAGTTGTGGCCATACATCGAGCGATCTAAGGGAATTTCAGTGTTCCAGCTGTTTGGACGACTGGCTGGATTCTTCGCCACTTTTGTGAACCCGATTGGCCTGCAAAATATCAGCTGGAGGTGGCTGATTGTCTATTGCTGCTGGTTGGCTTTTGAGATTGCCTTTGTCTGGTTCCTCTTCCCTGAGACAGCTGGTCGAACTTTAGAAGAACTCACCTTTTGTAAGTCACGCCTCTCTCCCACACAAGCTGCTTTGCTATTCCATAACATACTTGAGTTTTTTTAAAGACTTTCCGTTTACTAATATTCCTTGTTTAGTGTTCGAGGATAAAAACCTGGCCGACCAGGCAGTCATGGCGGTTGAGAAAGCCGTACATCATGAGAATATGGGCGCAAAAGCCGTCGAGGTTGGCGAGGTGCAGCAAGTTGAAAAGGCTTCAAGCGATGTGGCTACACACAGTGTCAAAGTATGAGGAGAGAATTGAGTATCTTGCAGTAGAAGATTACTAAGATGCTGAGCGGTTCCAACGATTTGCGTTCAAAGTTTGTAATGATTAATTTAATAAAATGACGTTTCATGAAATGATGGTCGACTTATTAATAAGCAATTGATAAGTTGACATTGCTCAAAGTGTCAGTCTGTAACTTTGTTTCTTGAGAGACAGTTGCGGTTTCGCAACGCTTTGAATCACCACTGTTCTCGCAAAAAGTAACCCAACAGCAGCAAACTCCAAGGCCGACCTTGTAATAATAGCCGCCCCGCTATAACCTGCCGATCGCAAAAACTTGCAACAACCTATTCGGGCAATAATTCTAGAACGCTATAGCTTCCGCTGCTGAATACAGAACAGCTCTTTCTGTGTACATGGTGCCCAGTGGCATGTCCTCAGCCTTATAATTGTAAATCCGAGCCACAAGCCTATCTCGGCAGATCCTTTCTAGAGTCGCGAAAAGTTTCCATGAGCCTGCTTCTCTTACAAAATGCTTCTTGAGAAATCCCTCTTTTAGTCTCTTTACGGGGCATAAAGAGGAGTTACAAGATGCCAAGGAGATTGAAATTATGAGAATCGTGTGTAAATGTAGATTTAGGACAGCTTATCAAGTCTGGCTGTAATTCCGACACTGCTTATATAACCGTGTTAAGTAATAGCGTGCGGAAATGGTAGTGCATTACATGATCATTTTCTCTTGAGCTTTATTCCACGATAGGGACCAGGGAGTTGGAGGAATACTTTGCTGAATAGATAAATTTCTCTAGCTTTAGAAGTAGTCAATGACTCTCTCTCGACAAGGGCGACGTCGGAATTGTAGGCCAGGTAAAGCGCTTGATAAGCGTCCCTAGGACCGAGATTGCCCAAGAGGCAGCAGTTTCGATGAACGTATATATATATAGTCTCGTAATCAACGAATAACACATGTAATAGATCACCATTGGATCATAAAATACCTTTGTACCAACAATTTCAACCATATCCCAACAACCTCAAGCATTCGCAACAAAATGGAACTTCACTTTACCCCCTACGCTGCTCTGACAGCCGCCCTCGAGCGACTCAACTATAGCGGCAAGACCATCTTAATCACCGGAGGCGGCCATGGCATGGGTATCAACATGTGTCGATCGTTTGCTGCCCGAAAGTCTTCTCATATCATCATCGTGGGCCGTAACGAGACTCGAATCAAGGCCAGCGCTGAGAAGCTCACTGCAGAGTTTCCTCTTACACGCTTCACGGCCATCGCCGCCGACATCTCATCCAAAGATGATGTCAAAAGGCTGTTTGAGAGCCTCGAGGTCTCTCCTGACGTTCTCGTCAATAACGCTGGATACATGCCCGTTCCAGAAAAGTTCCAAGATGCCGATCTCGACGAGTGGTGGTCTGGCTATACAATCAATGTCTTTGGCACTATCCTTGTAACTCAGACTTACCTCAAACATCGACAACTCAAGGCTCCCAAGACTGGTCCTGGAGTCGTCATTACTCTCAACACAATCGCCGCTTACTCGTTCGACATGCCTTCCCTCAGCGCTTACGCCTCCAGCAAAGCTGCTCTTGCTCGCTGGCTTGAAGTTGCTTCCCAGGACGTTCCGCAGGACGTTGCTCGCTTCATTTCCGTCCATCCCGGCGCCGTAGAAACCGATATGGGCCATAAAGCTGGTATAATCGAGACATTGGCTATTACTGACGCTGCACTGACTGGCGACTTCACTGCGTGGCTGGCTTCTGATGAGGCTAGCTTCTTGGCTGGGCGTTTTGCCTGGGTCAACTGGGATTGTGAGCAACTTATCGGTCGCAAGCAAGAGATTCTGGAGAAGAATCTATTTCGAACTGCACTTACTGGCGTCGATTCCAGTCCTTTTGTGTAGCAGTTTGGGCACTTGACCAGATTCTCATATGCTATGTATAAGCTATATCGGCTTATATTCATCCTTGGCTTTAATTAGAATTCTTCTTTTCTTCTTTAGTTAGTTGTAAATTTTGATTAGACGTCAGCACCATATAAACACACTAGCCTTTCCATTTGCGTTATTGTCCAACTGCCAGCTGAAATGGCGCTTGTTACTTTGGGCGCATATTCGTAGAAAACTGTCTCTACTATATAATTCTACTTCAGTATGTTGTTGCGCCATGCGCAAAACTTCTGCAGACAAATTGATTGTCACCATGTGCGTGCCAACCGGACTTTATTCATGACCTAACACCGGGATTTTATCGGCGTTAGGAGCCATTGCACAGTGGCTGTTTCTTGGCATAGCTCACACTATCTCCGTAAACAGTGATGCGATGTTGCATCAACTATGAAGGTCAACAAAAAAAGGCCTTGATATAAAATACAAGAAGTTTAATTCCTTGCTGTCTAATTAACTCTACAAACTTACTGTTATACTGTGAATCTTTGCTATTAAAATGCGTGCATACAATACCGACACTACAGGCGACGGTCTCTTGAAGGATCTTTCTGGAGAGATCAAGGGAAAGGCCATTCTTACCACCGGCGTCTCTCCCGGTACCTTGGGAGGTTTCTTTGTTGAGACAATCGCCAAAGCTCAACCTGCAACACTAATTCTCGCCGGTCGCAATGAAGAAAGAACACAAAGAACCGCCAGCGCAATTCAAGCAGCATATCCCGAGATAAAAGTCTATACTCTTCAGCTTAATCTCAGTTCCTTAGCCGCTGTTCGAGAGGCAGCCGCCACTGTCAACTCGTGGCAACACACTCCTGCCATTGACGTCGTTGTAAATAATGCCGGACTAATGGCGACCGATTTCTCCCTAACAGTCGATGGATACGAGACCCAGTTTGCAAGCAATCATTTGGGACACTTTTTATTCACAAATCTTATTATGGGAAAGCTCTTGGCTTCGAAATCTCCCCGTGTCGTCAATGTTTCCAGCGATGGCCACCGTCTCAGTCCTATCCGATGGGCCGATTATAATTTTCGTGTTCGTATATGCTTAAGCTATCATAGAATAATAGCTGACCTGTGCTTTCTAGAATGGCGAAACATACAACAGATGGCGCGCATATGGCCAATCAAAAACAGCAAACATCCTGATGGCGATATCTTTAGCGGAGAAGCTGGGATCTAAACACGGATTAACAGCTTTCAGCCTTCATCCAGGCGTGATAAGCACGAGTTTAGGCGCACATCTCGACTTTTCAGTCGAATTGGGCGAGCTGGGTAAGTTTCTGTCTAGTGACTAATTGCGTCTACCGCATCTAATGATTTATGTAGCTGCGGTCGATAAGTCGCTTGGAAATGCTGAGGGATGGGCCGATCTCAAATGGAAGTCGCCGGAAAGAGGCGTGGCCACTCACATTTATGCGGCTTTCGAACCGAGTCTAAAAGGTATTTGTATTCTTTATGTTGCTCCGTGTATTCCTGAGTAGCTACTAACGATGGTTATCAGAGCAAAACGGCGCATACTTGGAAGATTCACATGTCGCGGATCCGTATACAAACACCGTTAAGCCATGGGCTACAAGCAGTATAGAAGCTGATCGTCTCTGGAAACTAAGCGAAAAGCTCGTTGGTCAGGAGTTTCAATACTAATTGTGAAGCGAAAATAGCTTATTGGCCATGCACGTCTTGAATCAAAGGAATAGCGATGACTTTGGTCAAGATAGCTCCGAGGAAAAAGTGGCAAAAGTTTTATAGCTTCAAAAATACAAATTCAGACTATAGAGGTCTGGACTCCACACTAATCAATCATGAATTGAAAGATATGATTGGACCAGTTCTGTTTGTTTATCTAGTTTCTGGTCTAGATGTCCGTAGTCGGTAAAGGCGTTGAAATAACGTAAATTGAACGGTGCGACACATGGCTGGGTCAATCGTATCACTCTCAAGGCAAGGCAAAAACGGTGGTAAATAGCTTCAATTAGAAGACTCTTTGGTCAAACCCTGCCGTGTTCATGGTTTGAGTTCCCTTATCCAACGAGACTCTGCTCTATTTTGCCCTGCTGGGATGAAATTAGAATGATTTTCAATCGCGGTATTCCCCGCGATTCCTGGTGCTGGGTTGTTGCCCAGGACCTCAGCAGCAATTTGGCACTGTCGTAGTATTCTCGAAGAGAAGAGTTATGCTTTTTAAGGGAAGCTCTCTTTGCTGGATTTAATTGGATCCACCAGGCCATCGCAGAACTTGAATGACTCTATCTCTCTCATCCTTTGTTAAGGCCCTCCTGTAGCCATTCACACACTTTCTCTACCCAAGTCACCAATTTTGCGTCACGTGTTGAAAGTTGCATTCAATTACTGATCAAAGCTACAAAGTAAATTTGTGGAGGTATTAGCTTTTTTTTTTTTTTTACTGTATTATAGAGTTATTCTAGCTATTTCACAACGCTCCACCAAAGCTCTGTGCTGCCTTTTAACATTGTTCTTTGGTTCAAGTAGCCTGTTTCGATATAATGCTGTAATGGATATTCGTACACTTGGTAGAAGAGAAAGCCTTAATTTGTAGCTACAAAGTAATATAGATTTACTCATAGAAAGTGGCTACTTACCGCGGGAAAAGAAAACGCGAGGACATCAAGAGGTAATTTGCCTGCCTGCCTGCTTACCTACCTTATGTTTCTACGTTCAAACTACCGATCTAGAAGCAAATTCAAACAAATTTGTTCACTTTGTTAGAACAGGCCAGCTGCAATCAGAATAGCTGGCTGTTCCAAAGGGGTGGCTTTGTTCAAAATATCCTGCTGACCATGCTCAATCTGCTGATGACCCATACTGGGCTGCTTTGTTCAACTGGGTTGTTCATGATTGGTGTAGCAGCTTCGTTCACTACGTTGAACGCTTTTGAGCGGATATCATGGATTTTAGGCCACGCCAGAAGAGCGGAACCCAAGCCGAGTAAAGCTACAGTGGCTTATTGGCCATGGATGTCCCTGATCACGAAAAAATGTATCTTCAAGAAAAAGAATTCCCAAGTACCTATAAGAAAATAGGTTGGAAGAGTGACTAGTCCGCTTTTGAAGACATTGTACCACGCTATATTGAGAGCCCAAATGCACATTAGGTAGGCATCTAAAAGATACCGCTACCAACTTCCAAAACTCAGTGCTAGGAGTGTACTAGGGCTTTTGACTCCAGCCCTTAGGACTTACCTTCAATAATAGGCACAAAATGTAGCCAACGATGAAAGAGCAATGCTTCAAATGAAGAGCAAGTTTATTTCTTTCTTAACACATTGCGCTTTGCGATTTTGTTTGTAGACTTGAACACCTGTAATAGCTCTTTGACAATTCAGGCGATGAGCCAAGGTCACGATGCGCATCTAGCTCGACGGTGAAAATACTGCTCCTATCCCATGCAAATGACTTTTGATCTAAAATAGTATGCACCATGTAGATACCTGTAGATCAAGCTTATAAATAAGATTAAAAAGTTGAAGCACTTTCAAGATGAGAATACAGCGATTTCGCATCGAATAACTACAAACGCAATTAGCCTCATAACGCTCACAGAGAATCGCATAAAAGCATCGCGCACGCAAAATGCCTCATTTCTGTTTCGTTGACAGTATTTCACACTTTACTATAACGCTCTAGCTCTACAATACAGCTACCCTTCGAGATGCTCCTTTGGGCGACTGTTCCGGACGTTATCAGGTACTTTTTAATCAACTGCAGCCACCTCCGGCCAATGAGCCACGTGCGTTGAATGGTTTGCTTAAAATAGTAAGCGCTTAAGGCGAAAGAATCCCGAATCAAAGACCTACACCAGCAGATAGGGAAAACAGAGCGGCTTAAAATTCCGTCTGCATTGTTCTGGCTAGCCTGTATGCGGAAGCTCGATTGCCAACGTGTGGAGAAGGCTGCTGAACTCTTGGCAGGTCGTCGGTGTGTGAATGCAGCTATCGGCTTTGAATAGTAGGTGCTGTCTTAGAAAGCGTTTCAGCTCTTCGAGATATAAGAGGGGTATGTTTATGCTGATGTTGATAAATATCTCTCGTTGAGCACAACTGCTTCTTTGGCAAACTCACATCTATTCTGAGTCAAAAATGGCGTTGCGGCATCTCGTCTTTGGAGCGGCCTGGGCCGGATCTGCGGTGGCAGCCTCAGTAACATGCGCATCTAATTTGCCGCTGAGTTGCCAAAACACCACCGCCGTCAGCAATACTTGCTGCTTCAACTATCCGGGTGGCCAGCTTCTTCAGACGCAATTCTGGGACACCAATCCATCCACGGGTCCCAGCAACTCATGGACTGTCCACGGCCTTTGGTAAGATGCCCTGTTTAGCAACAATTGATGCGCCCCGTTTGCTTCCTCACTAACCGTCTAGATAGGCCAGATAATTGCGATGGAACCTTTCAGCAGAATTGCGACGCATCAAGAGCGTATACCAACATTTCGGCAATTCTGGCAAAATCAGCGCCTTCTACGCTCTCGTTTATGCAGACATACTGGAAGGATATTTCGGGCAACGACGAGAGCTTTTGGGAGCACGAGTTTGGCAAGCACGCCACATGTATCAGCACCCTTGATCCGGATTGCTACACCAACTATCAGCCAACGCAAGAAGTTGGCGACTTCTTCACGCGAACCGTGAGCTTGTTCCAAAGTCTTCCCTCGTACGACTGGCTTTCTGCGGCTGGAATCGTGCCTTCGAAAACCGCCACATATACTTTGGCGGCCATCCAGGCTGCTCTCACTGCGCACCACGGCCACAACGTCGTCATCAACTGCGACAATGGCGAGCTGAATGAGCTCTGGTATCAGTTCAACGTCCGCGGGTCTGTTCAAAGTGGCACATTTACTCCCGTTGACCCCGTTGGCTCTGCTTCCACTTGTCCCAAGACGGGCATCAAATATCTGCCGAAATCTGGTAGCAGTGCGCCTACGACGACTTTGAAGACAACTTCCAAGACAGCGTCAAGCACTAAGAGCTCCGGCGCGGGATCCACCCCTCCACCGGGAGGAGTTCTGTCGGGTAAAGGAGTCCTGTCTGTCGATACCTCCAGCACGACTGGCGATGGTTTCTTGATCAGCAGTGGAGCATGGTATCGCGCTGGCGGTACTCCGGCTACTTACACTGCCACGCCAAATTCCGACGGCTCTACCTTTTCACTCAGCTCCAGCAAAGGAAAGTGTGCTATCCTGAGTGACTCTTCTTTGAGTTGCGGCAGCTCAGTCTCTACTGCCAGCGGCTTTGCCTACGATGGCACGCACCTGACTTACCAGGGATCGGCCAAGTTTTATGCTGCCGCATCTCCAAGTGGACAAGCTCAGGGCACAGTTTTCACGAGCACTAAGGCTGTTTCTCTGGCAATTGCGTGGAATCCTCAATAGAGGTCCAGATGGGCTTGTTAAATAATCCGTGTACATAAAATTTGGCAGCAAAAAGAATTGACCGCGTGGCCGGATGATGGGCAGTCACATAGAACGCAGTGCTGAGCTAAAGGCACACATGTGTTGGAACAGTGAATTGTTCAAATAGAACATATGACATAGGGTACACAGAGCATTGTATTGGTGAAAAGCAAAATGCCGCATAGGCCCTGACAAATAACAATAATTGCTAATAAATGAAATACATAGCTTGAGCCTTAGAGCATTGCGGCCCACATTGTAGCAGGCAGGAAAAAGACTGCATTCCAACAACAAGTAAGCTTGAATATTCGCAAATTGTTGATAGAGTAAATGAAAGTTCATTCGTTCATAACATGATTCGACAGTACAGGCATGCCAAACCGGCGGAACGCCTTCTTCCAAAACTTCTTCTCAGCATTAGTCCGGTATCTCTCTGGCTCATACTTCACAAGTGCAGGAAAGAATTCTTGCATCAGGGCAACTCCGGCCTTGGGAAAAGCCTTTTCCAACTCTCGAATAGCGCCACGGACTCCAGAGGTTTCTTCATAGTCCAGCGGCTGTCGCCAATGTCCAGTCGTATCGCCTAAATCTTCATCAGAATTCTCATCATCGCATGGCTGTTCGAACCCCAGACCGACAATGGTTGGCAGCGGTGCGTATGGTTTGATGCCCATATTAAAGGCGCTGGCTGGTCTCCTCGCGACGCTGGCGTAGATGTTCTGCACCATGCCAATGCCGCCTATGAGCACAAGGAACCATGCATTCTGCTGTAGCCCAGAGACGGTAATAAGCAGGCAGCCCCAGAGCACAGCGAGGACACCCAGCAACCAGGGTGTCTCGGCCAGTGACGCGGACGAGGCCGTCGCCAACGACTCCAGATCCCAGGCGGTGCCGTTGCTGCAACGACCATGGCGTGCCGGTGGCCGTTACCGCGCGTCAAGCAAACTGTCTTGACCTTGTCCACCGTGCTACCGGGCTTTTTCAGCCGACGGCCGGCCCACTTCTCGAGATTCCACTGCCGCAGGCTCCCCGTCATGAGCGCAAACATCGTACCACTGGCAGTGACAAGGAAGACGCCCCAGTCGCCGTGTCGGACCCATGGTGCAGCGGATATCACGAGCTGGGCGACGATGGTCAGCCATCCGAGGATCCAGACTCGGTCAATCTGAGGCGTCTCACTCTCCTGAATCTGAAATATGTCTATGCGAAGAGACACCCTCTTCCCGGCAGCACTCAAGTTTGCAAATTCTGGGCTAGAATTCTCCTCCACCGCCAGCTCATGGTCTCGGAGAATCCGCCCCAGTACCCAGGAGCGGTTGGTCCGGCCATATCCAGAGGAGCAGTTGATGACTCTGGAAGGGCAGTCAGGCTCTGGTGGCATAAGCGGTTTATCGCCCAGCACCGACGCCAATGACATGAAGGCGTAACTGACCCAGCCAAATGAGAATGCAACGGGCGTTAGGTACAGTCGGGGCGAGTTTCGAAAGGGCTGAATGTAGACTCCAAAAAGTTGAGCGATGGCATGCTGGACAATGTCGCCGCCAATTATGAACAGCAGCGCGAGGATGTTACTGGGGTTCTGCCATTCAATGGCGAGTTGCGTTGTGATGTTCATGACTGATGCTCTATCAGTCGTTTCGGATTTTGGGAACAAAGAATTGGTGAAGATCCTAATCAAAACGTTGGTCATTGACGCCCCTATTTATGGTTTTTATGGCTGGGAAGAGCGTGATCCTTCCGGTGCTACTTATGTATCACGACTTGGATTTCTGCTCGTCTTGCATGACTAAATTCGTGATGCACACTCAAAGCGTTCATAGTGGTGAATGAAGCTGGGCCAATTGAGGCAACTCAATTTGAACAAAACAGCATAGTTTACGTCATCAGTGAATTGAGAATTGCTTCACAGGATAGTCTGAAACCGCGCATGTTGAACAAGCCGCCTACATGTAGTGTGAACATTATCAACAGATCAGATTGGTTTGAACTAAGCCGCCCAGTTTGAACAGAGCCGCTGGTCTTGAACAGCCAGCTAGTTTAAATCGCAGTCAGAATATTGCATTACGAACATGGGCAGGAGCGCTTAAATTTGCTCTTCACTCAGTAGCCTGAACACAGACACCGAGGCAGGCAGGCAGCTTATGTCTTGCTTCTTGCTTCCAACGCGATTCCTTTTCCCGCTGTTAGCGGCCATTTTCCTCCCTATAAAAATCCATGTCATTCTGCATACAAAGAAGTAGTAAGAACACCGGCTAAAAAGAAGTTCTATCTAACATTATAAAAGTACCTAGGCTGTTAGAGGCTTGCCTGTAACTACAGGTAGTTGCCATTCGTTGTTAGCATTTTGTCCCATTGGTAAAAGATAAGCTGCAACGCGATTTTCTTTGGTTAGCATCTTCACGCATATGCTTCGCGTGGCTTGAGGCCGAATTCTGTCACAAGAGCCTGGCCGTCCAAAGTTCGTCGGGCAAACGCAACTTGCTTCAAACTTGGTTCAAGAGACTCGTCTTAGATCTTCGCCATCGCTACTCTGGTGCTAAATCTCAGCTTCTCATCCACCCATGGACGCCTTGCCCGCCATGGACGCCATGGACGCCATAGACCTGATGATCCTGAATAAGAGCGTTGCTGCTGCGGCTGCTGGCGCTGCGCCGAGCAGCAAGCAGCTGTACAGCCTTGTTGGCGCCCTGGGAGACAGACGTGAGCCCCTCAACCAACTATACGCAGAACTTGGTGCGCTCAGGGAAATTCTAGAAGCGCTGCGTACGAACCTTGATGGCTCATTGAGTCGCGTCACCAAGAACCAACAGCAGATGCTGCAAGAATGCCGCCAGATACTTCAAGACTACAAAATAGTCTGCGATGAACTCTTTGTCGAACTCAGTGACAACATTCAGCCTTCGGCTTGGGAGAATGATGATATCCAGGACGACCTCGTCGCAATTTCTGACGCCACGGCCAAACTGCATATATGGAAGATGCGCCTCGACCCTATGGCTAAAGTCATGCAGTTGTAAGTTGATCCCATACCCCATACGGAGCCTTGCTACAATAGGTAAACTAAAGTGCTTCTAGTAACCCAGACAACACCGACATGGCTAAAGCTCACGAAGTGGAAAAGACGATTGCAAATACCCGACGAGCCATCTTTTTAGAGCTACGTCAAGTCGAGTCCAAGCTCATATCATTCGGCCATGGGCTGGACGTTCGGGAGGAAACAGACCCTGCCGTATGGGACATACTCCAAAAGATTATACTGCCATGGAAAATACGGCAAGCCGCTTTGTCAAAAAGCATCAGCGTGTGCGAAAATATTGCTGAGGTCCTGAAGGAAAAGCAAACACCTGAAATCGCTGAGTATATCGACATTGAGCATCGTTGTGATTTTACTCCAGCACGGCAGACTGCAGTAAAGCATCCTTGGGTGCGGCATTCCGGAAGCATATGCACGGCAGAGTACGACTAAAGAAAGTAACTCTGCTTGGGACGTTTATTCCCCTTTTTCCTCCTTTTTCTTTGTGTGTGTGTGCCTTGCTTGGGGAGTGGTACGATTGGACCAGCCATGCATCTCATTCATCAATTTACCAACGTGACCCTAAGTAGTAGGTATTTTAGCGATTAGAGATAGATATACCCATCTGGACTAGAAAGTCAGATACGCACGGATTAATCCACTCATCCATTTTCCTTTATATACAAACCCGAAAATCAGCTATTGCATCCATCTTCCCAAACATTCTCAAAGTGGCGCCGGACGAGGAAGCTCTTTAGAAGCAAATGGCCAAATTCCCTACAGAATAGTATCTGTACAGGTGATATCGCCATCTATGATATGGCTTCAAGCCCTAGTAATCAAGGAAATCGAGAAAAGACTTTAGCTCAATATTGAACCGAGCAGGCTTGTCTCTAAAGGACCAGTGCCCGGCGCCTGGAATCGTGACTAATCTGATTCCAAAGTCAAACCAAGCCTCGAGGCCATTGAGCATCGCTGGACTAAAATAAGGGTCGAGTTCGCCCCAGATAATAGCGCTGGGGACTGTTTGAGCCAAACCCTCAGTACTGAGGTTTTGTCCATACGGAGGCGCAGGAAAGTTTTCGTTGTAAAAGTCAAGCATTCCGTAGAGAGGGGACTCCTGCACGTATCCTGCAATCTCGCCGCGGTATGTCTCGTTCAAGATGTGCTGGACTATTGTGGAAACATTCTTCGGCTGACCTGGCTGGTATGCGTAATATGGTATTGTGTATTCCGATAGCTGTTGCTGGTAGCTGTCAAACTCAATCAACGGGAGGAAAACTGGGATGATTGGCGTGTTAACCATGACTAGGCCCTTGAGCATATCCGAATGCGCCAAAGCAAACTTTTGCACGACGACGCCTCCAACATCGTGTCCCACAATGACAGCCGAGCCTTTGCCAGTTGCTTTAATCACCGCCAACATGTCGGAAACATAGGCGGCAGCAGCATAATCTTCTTTTTCCGGTGGGACATCGCTGGGCGGATATCCGCGCAAGGTGGGAGTCACAACGGTGTATTTCTTTGCGAATTCTTGGATCTGAAAGGTGTTCCAGGTGGTCTCTCTGTCCGGGAAGCCGTGCTGCAGAATCAGGAGAGGTCCAGAGCCGTAAGACCTGTAGTGAATCCTCACGCCATCGTTGTCGACGAAGCTTTCGTGGCCGTGGATGCGCTCGTTTGCAATTGAAGCAGTATTCGTGCTGCGGGCATATGCTCCTCCCAATGCCAGACCTAATACAACATGAATCGTTAGCTAGAGCTACACACATTGAAGAAAACATGAACATACACGCTAGCAAATATGTTTTAACGTTTATCCTCATGTCGGAATTTGCCTTTTACAAATAACTCGATGAAGCTGGAAAGGGCGGGTTGTCTTGATGTGATTCGTTCGAGGTGCCTTGGGTAATGTGGAAGCTCAAAAATTGTATAGAACTGTAAAGCAAAGAAATCAGTTGGATATGAGACAAGATCAGGAACACATGGAGTATAAATAGCTACGACTGTTAGTTTTGAGCAGTTTCCGTTACTTTGAATGTATGCTGTATTTGGAATCATCGTCGTGTGTAGCCTGGTCGTGATTTGACGATTTACAGTTGACTCAAATTTTTGCCAAGCAGCTTGATTGAGCCAGCGATTCTTAGGGTCACCGCCTATTAGCGGAGTCTAGAAAGTTGACAAGCTGCACTCGCGTCTACTACAGAAAAGCTTCTATAAGCTGAAGCGTCAGTAAATGCTTCTGTAGCCCGACTAGGTCCCTAGACGTCATTGTGGTGCTTTAGTAATAGTATTTACTCATTCTTATGCTACAATCTACTGCATGCAGTTTGCGACTGTATATCCTGCAACGCTTAAGAACATGTTTCCTAATCATATTACAGGGGCACATGCAACTCAGTACATGTATCCAAGCGTTATTTGCTAGCCGCCTTTATGAGTGAGTACACTTAGGTGACAAAAGTCTGCGCTACTAGAGACCCCACTAGTACACAATAATAAACTACTAAAAATAACACCCAATCTTTAAACAGCAATTGCATAATAATAAGATATTAGAAACGTGTGCTTTTAGTATTAAAATAAGCGCTAATTGTTAAAGAAATAGGGAATTTAATTTAGAGCAGAGAGGAGCTATGTGCGAGGCGGTATTACGCGGTGACTTGTACCTACGCGTTGCGGCTGATTTTTACATAACGCGCTTAACTGTATGGGTAATTTATTAGCGCTGGCTGGAAGATAGCACTGTGTAAAGGAAGCCTTATTTAGGGCGGCTGAGGAAGCTTATAGAGGCAGAGATTTAATATATTACTATTTTATTAAAAAGAGATTATAAAATAATATGGCTAGTGCTCTGCGGCGCGGTAAACAGTTGTGTAAACCCTAGGATAATCCGTCGCGCTTTATAGCGTAAATATAAGCGTAAATAAAAGTCTGCCCAGCGGATTAAGATAATAAAAGAAATAGTAAAAGCTAGGCTATAATTTTATTGCAATTAGGAAGGAAAAGAGTAAGAATTAGTTAAGGTATAAGCATTTAAAGTTAGACTAGTAGTTAAGGCTAATATACGCAATAAGTACTTTTCTTAAATAAAGCTATAGTGTAAAATAAACCTAATAATAGATAAGGATAGGTATTCCGGGCGCCTAGCGAGAGGTTTAATAGGGAAATAGTTAATGTTATAATTTATGGGAAGGTATAGATTTCCCTTATAGTCTGGGGAGGCATTTAAAGAGGTAGTCGCACCCCCTTAGTTATTATAGAATGCAATCTTAACGCCCTAAGGCAAGGATACTCTTTATAAAGCTATTAAAATATATTATTAAAGGGCCTTCTTCTTATATATAATAGCATATATTTATTTTAGTAGGATAATATAAGAATTTATAATTTTAATAGCATACTGGAATAGCTTTAATTATATAGTATTAAGTATATTAATTAGCTGCTTTACAGCCTAAATTTTAATTCTATTAAGTATATTTAAAGTGCCTTAAAGAAAAAGCTATTATAGATCTGCCTAAAGCTCTAAGATTTAAGGCATAACTATATAGACATTGCGTTATTAAAGTAAAAGATAAAGGAGGCTTAGGACCTAATAGACTAGGAATTAATAGATATACTTATAGAGTTAATGCCCTGCCGCCTTACGGCAGTGCGCGCAGCCTAGGGATATTATATATAATATTAATCTTTAAAAGCAGGGCTTTTTAATAATATAAAGAGATTACATTTTTCTATTAAATTTATTATGTTATTTGCGTTTAAAGTTATTATGTAGGTTAGGTGGTGTGGGATATCTTGTAGCGCGGGGTTACTAGTGGCGCAGACTTTTGTCACATAAGTGTAATTTACATGAGAATTTTGTTTCGTAGTTTAAAAGAGCTAAAATGTATCAGCTTCTATCAATGAATTGCTTTGTTAATCAAAGCTCTTGTCCTACAAGCATAGTTTGTTCAAAGAACTCAATTGATTGTGTCCACTATGACCGTTCCGCTGGAAGCGTAAAAGGAAGTTGTGAGAGCGCTCCACTCAACAACTGGGCAGAGTTTTAGCGCTGGAGAGACACTAAGGGCTCTCGTTGCTCCAGATCAATATGACCATCTATTGATCTTTCTCCATGAGCTCACATTGTTATTACCAATTTAAGCTTTTGAAGAGGAGACAGTCAAGCTCATGATTCAGTGATATAATTTGTATATTCTAATTTCCTTGAACAGTCTTCATGTTGTTAACGACTAATTAACAAAGGCACTTCTAAACATAAGAGACCAAATACATGCAAATTTCCAACGCTGTAATCAACTTTATCCAATGTGAATACGCCACAGCTCACGGTCACAATCTCCTTTGAATGCAGTACGCGTGTGCAGCGTCGAATAGTTGTCAGATACCACAATGTCGCCCTTTTCCCAAGTGAAGTAAAGGCAAACGCGACGATCAAACAGAATGGAGTCAATCAGAGAAACAAGATTCTGCGACCCGTTATCAATGCTAACGTCATGGGAGTTGTAAGCCGTCTTCCACCGAGGCCACGGCTGGAGCCAGCGTACGCATGGCGTTCCCAGCGAGGGGTGCGGCTCAATCAGACGCGTGTTTGTCAAGTCAATCTGGAAGTAACCGTGGCTGTGACTGCTCCAGCGAATCTTGGATAGTTTCTTGATGTTGTAAGACTGTGGCAAGTAGTTCACGAACCGATTAGAAGAGGCAAAGAGCGTGTAGCCATCACCTGCAGGCGCAGCTTCCTGGCAAACAAAGTACTGAAACAGCGGAGCGTCAGAAACCTGCTTCTCCTCGCCTGTCTCCTCATCTATGATAGTCTTCAGCTTGAAAACGCCATCGAAATGCATAGGCATGGCCTCTCTGGATTGGACGCTGTTAGTGGTGCGATCTGGCTTTCCCCCCTTATCTTTGACTTCCTGGATCACGCCAAACTCCCAAGGCAAAACCTCGCCGAGATCATACGCTTTGGCAGTGAAAGCCCGACGGTCTGTGGTATCGGTGAAGCCGCGAAGGCAAACCGGGGAGCATAATTCAGACAATTTGCGGACCTTTTGCATGTCGACCGTGCAGAGCGCGTTCTTGGCAGATCCGATGTCTCGCGGTCGGACGATTAGGCCCGTTGGATAGAGATACTCAAAGTCCACATCCTTTCCATTCCATGAGAACAGATCAGATCGCTCTCTGAAGTACATGGGGCGGCCATTCTGGTACACAAGCTCATGGGACACAGCCTGGACTTTATGGGCATGCATCATAGTAATAGTGCCGTCAACCTTGCGTACCACGGCACCGTGCCAGGGAGTCATGGGCACCTCATTATCCTGAGGAAGCAGCGCAATGGAGATTTTATTAACATCGGTAGATGGATGAATCGATAAACGGACAGAGACTGGAAATCTCTTTTTGATAGCTTCAGCAAAAGCCTGGAAAAGGTTAGCTTTGAACTCCATGGCTCATCCAGTCGAACTGTGACTTACTTTACCGCGATTCAACATCCGTTTGGCAAGATCAGCATTCTCTTTATCAGCCCTTGAGCGGCCAAGCTTGATGTCTCGTTCGGTTTCCAAAAATTTCTTGTACCCGCAATATGTAGCGTTCACATCTGCGTTCTTTGAGATTTCTTCGGAGACATTGTATCCGTCAGGGAGGTTGCTTTCGAGACCTTTTCGAAATTCAGGAACCATTTCAAGATATTGCTCCTCTGTCAATGTGCTAAGATGGCTGTATTCTGACCCCAATAGCTGATACATGCGTGAGAATCGTATGTTGCTGCATCCCAATTCGTGGGCCATTGAGCGTAAAGTCTGGCCATATGTCCACACTTCGCTGTCAGATACATCCAAGAGATCTATGACATGGTTAGCCAGTGTCTGTTTGATTGATGAATATAGTGATGCATCATACCATTGTACGCTATGCCGTCAGATATAATTGTAAGATGACAGTCGTTTTCGGTTGCTTCCTTGACGGACTCGCAAAGGCCATTTAGGTGCAGCAATGAGACACGTTCTGCTTCATCTGGAAGAGAACCGAGGACCTTTGTCGACTTGTTGGAAGACTTGAAAGGGAATGCTGGTAGAATAAGCTCAATCGACTCATTGCGGTCAATGAATCCCTTGATGAGTTCTTTAGAAGTTATAATTGACTGAGGTATATCCCAGTCGTTCTTGTATTCAATACGATAGCGATTCAGCACAACAGCCGCTGCAGCAACCTTGTCCTCTATAGTCTTGGGTGGCGGTGGTTCGTCAGACAACTCGCGCGGTCGGTTCTTCGGATCCGACTGTTTGAGCAACATGTTCATTTTCTCTCGAGCCTCAGGTTTCTTCGAATCTAGATCAACAACAACTCTCTTCACAGACTCAGGCTGCAACTCAGCCTCGGCAGGCTCTTGAGGAATAAACGGCATTGTGGCGGCTGTTGATGGAAAACTTGGCAGAAGACAATGTAGTTGAAGCTTCTGTCTTGATGAAGACGAAAAGAAAGGCGGAAGAATTGGGCGGTGGCTGCAGCTTAAATAACCATTGTGCGATGAGAAATCATGGGACACGCGGCACACGGAAGAATGGCCTGATTTGTATCCGATTTCATTTAATATATGATAATATATAGTATTTACGTGTACGAATAAAACATTTGTATTTGTTTTCAATTACACAACCTGCCTGATAAGGTAAATGGTTCAACATTTAATTCCTTCCATGTAAGCGGTTAGATGGATGACTTTTCACTCACACAGCCTGGCGACTCCCATTTACTACAAACGGAAATATACATCTATAACTACCTGGTACCTTGGCGTATGGCCTAGTTGCGTATTACAGTAATACTCACCTACCAATGGTCTCGAACGCTGGCTAAAGCTTGCGAGATCCCCACATTATAAGGATGACGGCAGGGGAATTCCCACTACATGGGCTTATAGCAATATACCAGGGGTGGCCAAACTGCTCTATGCCAGGAACGGCCCACGTCGCTGACCCCTCGGCCTATACCGATGGCGATCCTACTCATCCCGCACATGAATGGAACGACAGCAATCATGCACTGTTAAGTTTGTTGCTTGGTAGTTGTCCAAATAAATTGTCCAAATGGCTAAACAATTTACAGTTCAGTTGCTGCAGAAGACTGTTGTGCCTGCTCACATGGCCTTGCGTACAACCGATCCCTTATAATAGCAACGTTGAGTCCTTCATAAGCAGCTGATTATGTTTAGTATAGCGATTAGCGTTGGGCTCAACGTTTGCCTTTTACGGCATTTCGGGTTATTACACATGGCTAAAAATATGCCTATACCCACCAGCCAGGATGCAAGGCTCCCTGAAAGACTTGGCTAGCTGGACTAGATCGATCCTGATCTGCACCATTTTGCAACAATTATTCAGCCTCTTGCATGTTGGCATAATAATAAGCATTTTCTACATTAGGAAATTACAAACGGCGTGGCGACAGTTACCGAGAAACTGCTTAAAGTTGGCTCGTCAAGCAATTAGTATTTTCTAAACTCTGCGAGAGCATGGGTGATCCGAGCAATACGAGTGAAGGATTGTGGACTCAGGTAGTACTATTACCACATTGCTGTATTATACTTGTCATCTTGCTGTTTGAAGTTCTGCTTGAAGATGTAGTAAGCAGCACAGCCATTCACACTTATTCTTGACAGTTTCAGGATATATGCCCCTATTCCCATCTACGCCTCAAGTGTTGCAGTAGTTTTCGGAGCAATGGAAGCTAGATGGTATTGGTATACCGCCGGCGAATTTCTCTCCCGATATTGCCGGGACCCGATAAACTAACGGAAGAACTCTCAGTCTTTCCGGAGAACTTCGGCGTTCAAAGCATACGACGTGGTGAAACTCGAGCTCGCAGGATTATAGACGGAATCCACGGGAGTGATGATGCAATGAGTTACCGTCGTCAATCTCGACCTTGGCTTGGACAATCAGTAGTGCTGCTCAATGACGCTCTTCTAACTTTAGAGAGCGAAGAGATGAGGTAAAAGCACATGTAACCTCCATGTTTGTGAGCTCAACTATCATTGTCTAACATTGTCACACACCAGCAGTGCCTTCAAATTGAAGCCGGAAGCTTCTTCATGATCAAGCTTGCGGGGCTCATAACCGTTGCAATAAAAAAGGGGCCCCGTCCTCACTAAAAGAGGTATTAATCCTTATAAGGGATATCTATTGCAACATGTAGAAATCTTCTTTTTAAATAAACTACTTATTCTGCTTAGGATGTCCAAACCGGCAGAAAAGAGAACACACTCTCCCATATTCGACAGCCTCTCATCTCGAGGCCCAACCATGACATTGAGCCATCCTGAATGCTTTCTATTGAAGGTTGCTGACGAGATGCCACCATTTCTAGTGGCGATAACACTCCAAATTTACCACTAAACCCGTTACGACCCGCGCGGTACGGCATTTGATGACGAGCAGCGGTTCGGTTCCCTCCCATTCGACAATGGCCTTCTGCGCCACTCCTCGCCAAGCTGAATAGCATCATTATTTCCCAAGCCGCAGAGTCAAGTCCTGTTTGTCTCGAAGAACATGACGTTATCGATCAGATCGTTGATAGCGCGACTGATATGTGGGCTTTTCTCGCTTTGCGGTCCACCGCTCCATCGTCTGTCTATTGTTCGAAGCTCGAGACTTGAGTACAACGTCGGTTGCATATTTCTGGCGTTATTCAGTGTTACTTGGCGGCGCGTCCAATAACGACTGCGATTCGGCCTTGGGGTCCAGATAGTCAAAGAGCAACCGGATAATAGATGCATCGCCCCTAGAGATAGCCTCTGATAGCGGTGTTCTGCCCTCGTTATCCTTCGACTCGATTGCGAATTTCCCCGAATCCAGTAGCAGCTCGACAATTGAATAAGATCCCGACATTACGGCATACGATAGCGGTGTTCGTCCATAATTATCCTTGGAGTCAACTTCAACCTCACCCGCGTCAAGTAGCAGCTTGACAATTGACGCGTCATTCCATAATGCGGCGTAGCATAGCGCCGTTTGGCCATCACTCTCCCTCCAACCAGGCTCAATCTTCCCCGAGTCTAACAGAAGCTTGACAATAGATGCAAAACCCATGGTTATGGCCAAGAACAGGGCTTGGTGCACGTGTTCAGTTTCTGCATCTTCATCAGGCTTGTAAGAAGAGAGCAAAAGCCTTGTTACTCCATCGAGTCCGCCTTCAGCTGCTACCAACGCCCCGCTAATTCCCAAAGCACCGTACATGTAGTCAAGCGCTTTTTTGACTGTTCGTTCTCGGCCGCAGAGAGCAGACCACGTCAGTGCTGAGTTGTTAAACTGCTGGATATTCCGGCGATACAAGAATGGGTCAAGGGTAGAAAGAAATCGCCGGTTCGTTTGAGCCAGCGCGTTGATGTCTCTCTCCGACTCCAGCTGCGAAGCAATAGCTAGGAGAAGTTCGTTTGGCAAACGCAGCATTACTAGTAATGGGCTCGATTCATTGTTGACGGCGTAGGATCTCAGTGTAGCTCAGTTGGTCTCATATGATTTTAAAATGTTTGACATGGGAGATGTCAGGTGACCCTTGACCGTCAATTTACAGAACTCAATATTAGTCGTTTGGCATTCTTTGCCTCTATTGGCCTTTCATACTGAGACCAGCTCTGTGGTGTTTGCTCACTACTTGAAAAAAAATGCCCACGAAGAGCGGAAGTGAGATTTTGAAGACACCACAAAAAGTACAACAGTTTTACGCCTTTTAAAGATCTGTCAGAAGGTATTGTTACTATTGTTTGAATCTGTGTTGCCCTCTCAAGGCGTTCCTGGCGCTAAGCAGAATTGATGTGCCGACTGAGATCACCTAGCTGGAACTATGCCGTGCGGTTGAACGCGGCCAGCCAATCTCGCCGACATGAATAGGATCCCTTAAAGCCGCGTAGTTTAGACTGAGATACCGGTATATGGTTAATGTCTACTAGTTTGCTTAAGATCAATGGGATTATTCCAGTTACCCTGTTTAATTTGAGTCACCAGGTGAGGTGCTCAGACACTTGCACAGGCAAGCAGCTGAAGTACTCAACTTCCAGCGCTTTATTTATTTTCCATTTGAAGCAGCACTTTCTCTATACCACAGAATATATATATAACGATAGCTCAAGAATACTATAAAGCTTTAACCCTACCACTCTGAGGATCTTCGTGGCGGACTTTACATAAGCCATACACTAAGCCGGGAACTGCGGCCGCAATTTGCGGCCGCAAATCCGCAACTCCACTCCGCAACAAGATACCTTGAGTTGACATGCCCCAACAGCACAAATCACTCAGAAACAATGTATTCTGTTGTGGCCATTCGCGAATTTCGCTGTATTCCACTTGGGTATTTCTAATTTTTCGCACCTGCTTATTAATCTAGTGCTATTACGAATGCTCCAACGCGCGTTGTGTCGTCTTCTAATAAGCTGTTCACGTAGCGGCACACACGTTGGAGCTATGATGATCTTCGTCTACTTTTCAAGAGCTGCGAAGAATATATGGAGCAAGCACGGCCGTGTAGTCTCATAGTGTTAATGGAAATAAGGATATATATTTGTTGCTTTGCATCCCCGAAAACAGAGTTATAGTTGGATTTATTTCAAGGGCAGACTCTTTCATCCCAACAAACTGGTTCACCATGGCCGACAAAAAACTGATTGTAGTTCTTGGTGCCACTGGAAACCAAGGCAGTTCCGTTGTCAACACTTTTCTGAAAGATGCAAGATGGCGAGTTAGAGGGCTTACTCGGAATCCATCCAGCGCAAAAGCCAAGGCACTCTCTGCTCGCGGTGTAGAAGTCGTTCAAGCTGATATGGATGACCTTTCCAGCCTCGCGGCCGCTTTTCAGAATGCTAATGCCATTTTCGTCGTGAGCGACTTTTGGGGGATATACGGCGCCCTTGCTCAACAAAAGAAAGACGCCAGCGAGAAGCCGCTGAATCTACTGGCGGGAGAAACCGAATTGCAGCAGTTGAAGAACGCAATCGACGCCGCTTCTCAAGTGCCTGAATTGGAAAGATTCATTTTGTCTACTCTCTCCAATGTGACAAAGTGGTCTAGAGAGAAGTATACCCATGTGTATCATTTTGATCTCAAAGCGCGTGCATCCGCCTATGTTGAAGAGACGCATCCAGAGTTGTGGGCGAAAACTAGCCTCTTTCAAGCTGGTCTATTCTTGAACACATATGTGGAAAGTCCAAACTTTATCCCTCGAAAAGCAAGTCATCCCCGACAACAGAGATTCGCTATTTAAGCAAAATGTACTGACATATCTCAGAACGCGGATGGAATCGCCCAATTCATTACTACGATGGCCGCCGACTTCAAGCTGCCGTGGATTGCTGCAGAAGAAGACACCGGACCATTCGTCAAAGCTTTGGTTGAAGAAGATGCAGGCAAAAATCTGATTGCTTACCGAGATTGGGCGACTCTTCGAGAAATGGTACAAGCTTTCCAAAACGCCTCTGAGATCAAGTCCGAAGTGGTAGTGGTACCTCGTGAGGAGCCAAATGAATTCTTGCCGCCCGATTTAAAGCTCGAGATTGACGAGGGTTTTCTTTATTTTGAAGAGTTTGGATATGAAGGTAGAGATGACCCAACCATCCTTCACCCAAGCCAGGTAAGCGTGTTCCCATGGCAGTCGATGCGATTGAAGCATAAGCTAAGCAGAATGTAGCTGGAAAACCCCCCCAGATTGGATACAATGGAGCAATATTACAGAAAAGTAGACTTTTCCAGAGTATTCTCCGCATGAGAAACTGTCTACTGTAGTATTGCTAAAGGCTGAAGTTGCATGCACGGAGCAAAACTCAATATTCTACTTGTAGTGAGATGTCAGTTGACTCAATGATTTATCCAAGTTGTGTATCTTGTATCAATCAACTAGCATCCCTTGTAGCGAATAAAAAGGGGTTTACTGGGAGAAACAAGAGCGCTCACCATATTCTCATATTCTCGTGTAGACGGTAGCATGGCATACGGTAGTGGTACTGCAGCTATTGCTGTCGTTTTACCGCTCGACATTGATAGATGTAGAATGAGGGACCACTGCATGAGCCTCCAACCTTGCTTCTTTAGGCAGTCCAGACTTTGTCTCGCAAAACAAGTCAGGAGTGTGGACATTGGCGTGGCGGTGACTGTCGGCGGTGGAAGAGCACAAACGACGGTGGTCCGTTACACCTTCGTCGACTGCTGTGGCGAAGGACTTGATTGGTCATGCGGGTCGTGAGAAGCGTTTGAATCGTCATCTCGTCGGCTTCACCATCTCCAAATGGCCTCGTCGGAAGCACGAAGGATGCTTATTCAGCGGAGATGCGGGGAGATCAAGGCGCACTCGGCATGTACTGAATCCTCCTCGAGGCTGTCTGCACAGAGTAAGCGACCTCAGGTCCAAGACAATGGCATCTTCTTCCCCAATAGGGCAAATGATATCAGCTAGAGCCTCTCGAGTGCTCGGCGCCGGCGCTTTTCGTGCTCTTCTGAGATAGTATCAAAGTCAATCGCTTGGCCTAGGGCGGCGTTGGACTTCTAAATACGGAAGGCTGTTGCCTGGAGCAAAACCTATAGGTAAGATGAAAGGATTGATATTTGTAGGCCCAGCTACCCCTGCTTTTGCATGCAAGAGCAGGTAGCGCCGGACCCCCTCCGAGATATGACCCCCTCCGAGTTGTGACCCCCAAGGCACTAAAATGTCACTTACACGATCAGCAATAGGCATCGCTTCCTTATGGAAGATGTTTATAAAAGGAGGACAGGCGGGATCTTGCAAAATTGATTGTGGTCTCTAGCCTTGATCACATTGATCAAAACGCCCAAGTCTAGTTTATTTGCTTCGATCCATCCATCTGACATGGCGATTTTGTCTGTACGGTCCCTGCTCTGGGCTTTCGCCTTGTTTAATGCCCAACCCACCACAGCTATCCAATCCGGGGATGCTGATACATTGTTCAATTCCTGGAACAACGCGCTTCTGGTTCGATCTGGGGGCAGTGCGTTCTATAAGGCGGCGCTGAATAATGGCAATTTTGATGATACATGGACAGGAAGCTTGGATATCCTTGTCGCAGAAGATGCTTATGAGCGCACTGGCGACCCCAATCTGAGAGGTCTGGTCTACGACCTCGTCAACACCTGGCTGGCAAAGGTCCCGCCGCCATGGACCTGGGACTGGTGGAACGATGACATTGGATGGTTTACTTTGGCGCTCATTCGCGGCCATCTCATCACCGGCAACGCCAACTTCCTGACCAATGCAAAGTATGGCTTCGACCTTGCCTACTCGCGCGGCTGGAATACTCAATATAACGGAGGCGGTATCTGGGAGCAGAATCCCGAGGGCAAGCCCAGCGAGCTCATGAAAGAGGCTCTAGCCAACGACAGTCTAGGAAAAGTCGCCTGTCTCATCTACCAAGCGACCCACGATACGGCGTATCTTTCCAAATGCCTCCAGATATTTGACTGGGTTCAAAGCCACATCTACGACGCCGGGACCGGGCAAATATACAGGGGCATCCGTCCAGACAACACATTGGACAAGGCGTCAGCGGCTTACAACCAGGGCACGTTTCTTGACTTTGTTGGGATCGTCTATGAGTGCACGGGAAATGCCAGCGCCAAAGCCATCGCGCAGAAAGCCATCGACTACGCAAAGGACCATCTGACCTCGAATGGAATATTCAGCAACTCCGACCCGAACCTTAACACCTGGGCCGACGAAGTTGCACGCGGGGCGGGACGCTTTGTTCACAACCATCAGTTGTGGGACAAATACTACCCCTGGTTTGTGCAGAACGCCGATGCCATCATGAAGAACCGGCGGTCTGACATTGGCCTCACAGCCAACGTCTGGGACCAGGCCACTATAGTGGACAACTCGTATGTTGCCAACAAATTTGCCAGTGCGGTTGCCTGGCTCCAATACACACCAGCCACCATGCCGTCGGAGATTGGAGGCCTGCATTACATAGTCAATCAACAGACGGGCCTGCTCATCGATAACGGCAACACCGGGGCCACTGAGGGCGCTACGGTCAAGCAATGGGGCTACAACGGCAACCAGAACCAGCGGTGGCAATTCTCGCAGAACTCGGATGGCACCTGGAACATCCTCAGCATGACAAGCTTCAAGGCCATTGACTGTCCTAATGGACAGACGGATGACAACCTTGCCATGGTTCAATGGTCGCGTAACCGGGACACGAACCAGCGCTGGATCTTGGAGAAGCAGACGGATGGCAGTTACTTGATCCAGAATGCGGCCAGTGGAAAATATTTGGATGGAGCCTCCAACTCGACTAATGGTGCTTCCTTGATTCAGTGGAGCAGGAACGGACAACCTCAGCAACGCTGGGTTTTGAAAACCGTTTAAGCTCACCGAAATACTACCTCGGGCACTCTAAACTTTTATCATTCGTGTGAATACCAAAGCCTCGGAGCTCTGTACATAGTAATTGGGGCTGATAATACAAAGCCTATCCTAAAGATGGGATGCATATTGGAGACATTCTGCTTCATGACTAGACAGTTGGCTTGGTAATATATCCAATTTAATACTTTCAGCAATCGTGCCAAGCTCTAAAAGCTTGCTGTAGTAAAATGCAACCATGGTGTAAACACAAAAGTACGTGTTCAATATTGAGTTAGTTTTCGTAAACCTTGATCACGTCCTGCGGGACATGAAGCTCAAACTCGACATCTGTAAAATTCTTGCTGATTGTCACAAACTTGCCCACCAATTCCATTTCTAGTTTTTGGCCCACCAGCCTGTCCCACTCAGCTCCCTCAATAGCGATTTGTGCTGACTTCGGCTGGATTGTATCTGTGACCGACTTTTTAATGCTGGATATACCCGCTAGAGGGAATAGGGCAATTCGTTGTGCCAGCCTCTCAACATACTTGTTCATTTCTTCCGGCGTGTCGAATGCCTTGTTGACATAGCCATATTTCTCAGCCGTTTCTGGGTCAAGATCGTTCCCTGAAAGCACGAATTCCATGGCACGGGCCCGTCCAATATGCAATGGCATCCACGCAACACCACCTGTCCCGGGATGAAGACCGAGCGTTACTTCAAAGTTGCTGAAACGAGCATTCTTTGAAGCAAATCGCATATCGCACGCTGCAAGGAACTCGTTTGCTATACCTCGGGCAGGACCACTGACCATGGCAATCACAGGCTGAGGCAGGTTGCTCATATTCAAGAATGTTGCGCCCTGAATGGCTGCAAGTCCAGGTGCGTCTGGGTTGGGCTCGCCTGCACAGTTATATCGAGTTAGCATGTCCAATTTACGCTGCTTTCACGTGGAGAGACTAGCCTGGCTCAGGAAAGAGATCATAGTGCGCGCTGAAGAACTCTGCATTGCCGCTTTTGAAGATGACGACTTTTGTGGTGGTATCGTTTTGAAGAAGAGTTACAAGCTCACTTATCTCGACAACTGTTTCGTGGCGGAATAAGTTGATCGCACTATTGGTATTATTAATAGTGACTGTCAAAACAGCACCATCTTTATCCAAAGCCAAAGTTCCGAAGCTGGTCGATATGGCGACAGCGAAATACAGGAAAAAGGGTAAGAAAAGTTTCATGTTGGGTAGTAATCGAGATATTGTATGTTGTGGGGCGCAGGTTGCAGAAACAATGGACATCGCCAATTGGAAGTATTTATATTTCTTTTCGACTTTCAGTCACGTATGCTGTTGTAGCATGCTATCGTAGTACCACAATAGTAATCAACATAAGCTCCGTAGTAGCTCATGGTTATCCACAACCGATTACTGATTTCACTTGGCCGCCAGAGATAGTTCAAGTTATTTCTATTCATATTTGTCAGAAACTCAGCATATCTATCCGAACCCGAGTATGTTTATAAATACAAAATTTATTATGGAAACCGCTGAGAGAAATGCCAAATTGTTCAGCCGTGGCCAAGCGATGAAGTAGTCTGCGAACTATTAACATCATGGCGAAATTCGTGCTTGCGCCCGTTTACACCAAGTATTGCTAGTACATATAATGGCGATGCTTGGAAGCAATGTTGCCAGCATCGAGGCGTTGAAGAAACTTGCTAATAGGCAGTATGGGATTTTGTTGCCAGAGAAGAGACAAGCTTTGACTTAGTAACTAACAATCCCCTTGAGCTTAGGCCAGATTTCTTCAGTCGCACTGATGTGCGAGATGTTGCGGCAGCTCACATTGCAGCTTGCGAGAAACCTAATGCCGCAAAGAGGCGGTTCCTCATTGGTGTAAAGGTCATTTACCAGGATGCCGTTGATCTAGTGTGAGCCAAGAATCCACAACTGCTGAATCGACTGCAGTTGGTGTGCCTGGATCTGGTAAGCAGCTGGAAACGTATGCGCTTGATACGACGGCGGTGGAGCCTTTACTGGGCTGCAAGCTTACCCCGGTGGAGGATACTGCTATTACTATTGCGAACACTATCAGTCAGCTTCTAGCAAGAGAAAGATGAGTTGCGGTTTCTGAGAAGCTACGGCGTACTGTCAAGAGAGAATACAGCTAGTGAGCTACGAATTGGCAATATAACGCGCATAACAAAATGTTGGATCAACGCTAGTTATTCCCAGTATCAAACTGTATCGTTGGTCAACTAATAGTATACGCAATAACTATGTACACCAATGCCAATGATGCAATAATCACTCATGTCATTTTATGTAATCCATGAGAACTTCAACGCAATCGCATGCCATCACGGGACAATGATTCCAATAGGTGATGGCAATCTGGACATAACGGCTTTAATGTTGCGATGAGTTAGTTGTATTCTCGTTAAATCCGGCACAGAATAGAGAATGCTTTGAGATTGATCTTGCATCGCGTAAAACACACGGGAATGCGGTAATAGTACGCGGGAATATGCGGTGGTATGCGGTAATATACAGTGGTCTGCGGTGATTTACAGCCCCCGAGCATGAGCACGTCTCACGGGTTTACCATCTGACCTGTCTATGCTTATAAATAATATTTAACTATTCAGCTATAAGTGTGGCATTCAAGATATAAATACAACGAGGCCCGAGTAATTTTTTTTCACAATGGAGTTTTATGCAAAACCTGGGCCATGCAAGCTTGATTGGTGCTCCTACCAGCAACGGAGTGTTCCGGTGAGAGGGTTGCTGGGGCAGAGGGGCATCGATCTACTCCAGGATAGTCTAGGCTCATCTTACGCCACGTGCTGGAGCAATGGATCCTGAATCCCCCTGAATCCTTTCGGATTTCGAACTAGCCTCATTGCAGCCTCAACTGTAACCAAAAGCTTACCCTACGTTTTATTTCCATGATTGGATATTGTCACATTTCAAGAAGATCAACAGCTTTTACATGCTTCTAGAGTACCGTGAACAGCTGAAAGTTATCAGAATACACCACTAAGTACTTCTGCTTCTATTTTTTATTGGTGATGGATACTTACTTATGTACATAATTCGGAATTGTATACGTGAATAGTATACTCAAACGTCTTCGCTTAAACATCAATCAAGGCTTACTTATACCGCGACACCGTTCAACACGCTGTTAGAAAAACTTCAATGCTGCTTGAAATCAATAAAACTCCATCGATTGAAAAGTTACTGCTATTGACTCTGAATCATCGTCAGTAATAGACGGATGGTTCAGCACTACGATGTTACAAATATATATTTCGCGAACCAGACAGCGTATCGCTTTCAAGATTATTGCCATGGTAATATAAAGTTTCGGCACGTCATGATCAGACCACTGCTTACGTCAAGATACGAGTTACTAATAGGCAATAGAGTATCTCCATAGTAATTTGTACAATTCTTGCTATCTGTATTTACATATATGTACGTATATTTATACATGTACTCTTTAAATTATGAACAGACTTCATGTCAAAACACTGCCACCCTTATGCTCGGCCGGCGGGCCAAGTGGTGCCGAAACGGCCGTTGGTGGCTGCAATGACGGGGCTGCCGTGCGAGTCGTCGACGTAAACGTACTGAGAGCCAACCTGCTGGAGCTCCCAGTCGCGAGGGGGCGTGTTGATGGCACCGCCAATGAACTCGGTGGCCGCGAGCACCCTCTGTCCGTCATCCTTGGTGTCAAGAGCGTTGCTAGGGGCATTGCTCAAGATGTCCTGAGTGAATCCCTTCCACGCACCAGAGCCGTCCTGAGAGTTGACCAAAACAGGACCGTCACATCCACGGATGAGAGAGACATCGCTCCAGCCCCAGCCATTGGCGTCCCAGCTGAACTCGAACCATGTGCCGAGCCAGTGAGCCTGGCCGTTGAGCATCGTTGCGTCAACTCCGCGCTGGATGCGGCCCTCCCAGCCATCGGGGAAGGACACAAACTGAGTTGCGCCGGCTGCGACCCAGATGTACTTGTAAGGAATCGTGTCGCAGTTGTTGTGGAAGGCGTAGAAGCCTCGCCAGTCATTGTCGGTGTTGGTGATGAAGATACCCTTGCCGCCATTATCGCTGTCGCCCCAGGTCAGGGTTGGCGAAGTGCTGCAAGTCCAGGCGCGCTTGGACTTTGATCCCTCAGCCTTGAGAGACTGGCGCACCAAGCCACCAGTCTGATAGCTCTTGAAGTGATCTTGCGGTACAGACTTGATGGTATTGACATCAGGCGCAGTGATGTTGTTGGCGGGAGCTGCTCCAGGGGCTTCAGTTGGGAGCGCGATGGCAGCGCCAACAAACGGGAGAAGAGAGATGACACGCATGATGATATCAGATGAATGGATGGCTGATCTTGGTTGAAACAATGCTTGTTGGATGGCTGGATTGAAGACGAGATGAAGCAATGCCTTCACTTATATACTTTTTTTTTCTCTCTATTCGCATGTTCATGCGAGACTGGGATAGTCGACCTTGAAGCAAGGCTATCTTGTCGCCTTCACCACGCTTTGCTCACAACTGCCGCCTCCTCGGTAGTTGCCGTAAGATTTGAGTTGCCAAATAAGCTCCTGGGCAGTGACAGAATCCGCAGGTTCCGCAGCTTCAATGGCGTGCTGTAGTAGAACCGAGCCAATTGACGAGAGTTGTAGCCAAATCCGGCCCTTGAGTAGCAGCAGCAGCCATGTCGAGTTAATGGCTATAGGTAGCCTATGATGAATACAGAAGGAGATGAGTTGCAGAAGATGAGTCTATCATTATACCTAGCAATGGAAGGATTCAGCATCTTATGAGATGGTCTGCTGCGGCATTATATCGGCAGGATCCATTCGAGCGTATTACAGGCAAGTATGCTTATTGGAAATGAAAACATCTTTGCCTTCCTTTTGTAGAAACAATAAATATGTATCCACATATGAAGGATTCAAGGCAGCAGTGTCCGGCGATGTTATGCTAGGCAATATAAGCCTTCTGATGCCGGATATCGCATAGCGTGGGCCAGGGTTGCATCCTGGCTGCAGTTAGTTCCACTTTTAGCACTCAACTAGGACTTTTAGCAACCAACTACGAAAGCGTGCCTGACTATCATCCCACGAGGCACACCCTTCATATTGCAATGAAGGCGTATTAACAACCAGGCTGGTTATGCTTACCGGTTAGTTCGAAAACAGAAAGTGAAAACAGAAGAGGAAGAGCAAGAAATCCTTCAACAGATTGCAATCATCCTTCAGCAGATTGCAATTAATCAAAAGAACAAGATAATTGAGAGCTTGGAAACTGTATATATAGTAGATAGATTGCCGTTGTATTACAAGAGAAGTCACCACCGCTCTCAAGTTTGTGGCACGTCCAATCTCTTTGCTCACAGGTCAAGAAGGCTTTGCTTCTCTCTTCTTTCGCTACTCAAAACTTGTGAATCTGTTCTCGCAATCTCACATACACTCCGCCAATATGGTTTTCTCCAGCAAGAAGTTAAGCGTTGCCGCTTCCCTTTTCACATTGGCCCTTGCCGATCCATGGCCAAAGCGTGGCCTGGCTGCGAACGATGATGTTCCCATCTCGCAGTTTAGCGGGTCGTGGAATGGCCACGGTTCGCAGGTCAACTGGCAGTACAACTGGGATAGCACAACCAACCAGAAGCAAAGCTGGGCGGAGTTTATACCTATGTTGTGGGGCACGCAGAGCTACCATACCACCCAGTGGTTCGACAATGCATGGTATTGGATCAACAATGGAGGCTCAGGGCACTTGCTGGCCTTCAATGAGCCAGAACAGGGTGGCCAGGCCAATCTGAGCCCTGGCGATGCTGCCAATGCGTGGAGGCAATACATGGAGCCTTTCTATGGCCACGCGCAACTCGGTGCTCCTGCTGTCTCCAACGACGGTTACAACTGGATCAGCCAGTTCTTGCAGGCCTGCAGTGGCTGCCACATTGATTTCATTCCCATTCACTGGTACAATGATTGGACCCTGGAGAACGACTTTGAAAACTGGGTCAACAGTATCTGCTCGCTTGGCGGTGGCCGTCAGGTCTGGATTACAGAGGTATGTTGCTTACAAAAACTTGTATCAGAAAACAATAATGATTACCCGGAATTAACCACTCGAACAGTTCCAAGCAGGCGGAACCATTGACCAGCAGAGTACATTTTTGCGATCGGCGATCCCGTTCCTCGACAACAACCCTTGCGTCTACCGCTACTCTTACTTTGGTACCGCGGACAATTCCAAGGTGTTGCTACAGAACGGCGGACCTGCCCTTTCTCCCCTGGGAGTTCAATATACCTTTAGCCCTTATGGCTCGGGCAATGGACCTAACTAAGATCACGACGTTGAAAAGATACTGGTGTACATACGACATTTTCAAGTTCATGGTCAGGTAAAAAGGATGAATACTACTGTACATACAATACCTTCAAATACATAGTCAGATCAAAACAAAAGATACTGCTTGAAATGAAGATTTTTAAATACTGTGATCAAGCTTTGTGCATCAGTATTGCCAGTTTGTCAATTTATGACTCAACATTCTTAGGGTAGAATTAGATGCTGAAAGCTCTTATGAATATGCGAATTATGTAGTCGTTTGGTCCCTGTAAATAGTAGCCTCAATCTTCTAAACTGTTTTAATACCTCTTTTTCCCGCAACAGATTTTTTTTTTAAAAAAAAAAACCCCCCATTGCTGTAATTATGAGAAGCATACTTCTATCCGCAGACACTGACAGACATTCATAATGGCAAAGGTTGCGATTATGAAGATGCATTGATCTATCTAACTAGTATACAATCCTATGTAAATATGTATATGCGTGACTATATACGTAACACGACTGTGAAGAAGAATAAGTACTTCGGATGATTTATGAACAAAGGCAGGGATAAAATTCCCGATACTACTTTATAGTAGCCACAGCAATTCTCCTTGTTTCAAGTCTAAGCCGCAATCGCCAAGACTTTATGGCTGTCTAGGGTTAGGAGGGCAAGCAGCTCCAACGCAGCAGGTGATTTGGCCAGATTGGCACTGTCCGAAAGAGTTGGCAGCGCCATCGTTGACATACGTCCAGGCGGCGTGCTGGCAGGGGGCGAAGAAGGGCGCAGCAGACGTGGCTCCTTCATCGCTTCGGAGCGGGTTAACACAAGCGTTTTGTCCGTCGTTGTTCTTTGTATCATGTTAGCCTCAGCTTACTGCAGAGATATACTTCAGATTCAACTTACGCCGCAAGAGTTGAGGCTGAATAGGTTCTTGTTGCAACCAGTTACAACTTGTCCGTTGCAAGAGCAAACAATGGCAACAGAGAATCCGTTACTAGTGAAGAATTAGTTGATAGGAACAGGCAATGCGACTGGTGGACTATGACTTACACATAAGAGATATCAACATCGGCGACGGCTTCAGTAGACCCCTGAGGAACAACAAAGTTACCCTCAATCAGGGAATCATCGCCAGTAATGGCCCAGCCGGCATCGTTGATGGCGACGTTACCAATCCATCCAGTTGGCACGGCAAAGGCAGCAGTAGCACCATTGGCCATGGTGCCGGGACCTACATTGCCCGACACAGCGGAAGGTCCGTTGGGGTCGTGAGCGTGCGAGGTCGAGATGGCATCACCGTGGCTGTTAATGACAGTGATGGTCAAGAACTGAGGAGCGGCAGCAATTTCAAGACCGTGAATGTTGGGAGCAGCTGTAGGGCCGGCTATTCGAACGGTTGAAGCAATCGTGCCTTCAGTTCCAGTCAATGCCGGCTGAGGAGCAGCGAGGACAGAGCTGGCAAGGCCAAGTAGGGAGATGTAAGTCAAGCGAGCCATTTTAGATACAAATGAACAGCGTCGAAAAGGAGGTGAAAGTCTCTGATACAAGGCAATTGAAATTCTTGAGATTGATGGCGATATCATGACAAAAGCTCTGGAGCGAGGTCTCTCTTTATAGTATGGTTCTACTGCTTAGTACTGACTGTACTGGTATCTCCCAAATCGACTGGTGAGTTTGTTCGACCGATACCAGAATCCAATTCCAGTCTCAACCCTTGTCCTCTTCCCGTTTGATCCTGTGGATACTGACAATAGAGTCTTTCCTGGAATTCGAAGAACAAAAGCTGCTGAGATTGTCCATTTTCGGTCACTCCTAGATAGTAAGAGTAGCCCTTTGAATCCTATAGCTACGTTAGTTGAGCATGATTGGCTCGGATGCAAAGATGTACCGTGATTTGAGCATGGTACAATATCACAACCTTCTCTTTTGGTACAATCAATATGCGGCTTAAAACATCCGTCTATCCAGGTCCAGGGTATTTAGGCCCGAAGCGTGGCTTAAATACAACTCTGATGAAGGACAAGGGTGGCGTGAGGAGGATAGTTACTAAGCCGTGTGCCTTTTTGTACAAATGTATTCATATGAATTATAGGTATGTAGTAACTCATGATTTATGGACATTCATTCAGATACCTCAATACAGGTGTTCGTTGCTTCTTTTCTAACCTCTTACAATGAAAGCGTTCATAGTTCGGCCAAGTTCAAAATGGAAAATTCCTTAGTCTTTGTTACTGCTTTGTTCTTAGTATTGCCGTAGCTTACAAGGATCGCGCGTTCTCTTTTCATAGTCCAGGAACTGCTTATATTTGAGTAGCTATGTATTATGTTTGTGGCTAGCGCCGGTTATTATTACTTATTAGTGCTGTGATAAGCGGCATTCCTTCCAGGCAGCACTGTTTACGCCGAACGAAACTGCGCTTTAACCACGAATAGTATGTCAACAGGCTATTGAACGCAGTAATTGAGTCAGTGGTGCTCTTGACAGCTCTATTGAGTAGAATTTACTTCATTTCGTTCAAATGCTTCCCTTCAGCCGGTTTCAAACTACATGCCATCAGTGGGAGCAAGGGAGCAATAGTTTGCGAAACAAAGGCCAAATTATAACCCCTGGTAGTAATACTAGTATTGCCGGCTCAATCCTTCGTACAGGGGTCGGGCTGTCGGCACCTACCGGATTCCCTCGCGAATTTCAGCAGTGGGTACTACTTCTTTTTTAACTACCTAGTATATCATGCTAACTGGCGTTGGTAACAATTTTGCGACGCAGAACGGAAGTTGGTAGTAGAAGATGGCTTGGCAGTTGAACCAAGAAACATGAGCCCCACGTGTCTGAGGTTACATAGACACGTCGTATATGTATGCATGACACCCTCTTAGCAGGCTTTCTAACTTCTGTGATGAAGCAGATGCCGAATTGAAATAGGGCTTACTTGATTATACGGTACTTTGCGAAACTTGACAGATGTTTTATACCCAGCTGCCTCTTTGATGCGGCAAAAGGAGACAAGTGAGAGCGGTATAGACGGATAAATAAAACTAGAAGCCATGTGAAGTAGGGCTAGCATCTCGTAATCTTGCAAAGCTAACATAGTATTTCCTATAACAATGTTTATGATCCAATACAGATGATCTTGTATGTAATATTCTCTTGAAAGTTGTTACAATTTATGAGAGCTCAGCGTCAGCTTCGGCCGTATCGAACTGATAGAATCCAATGACTAAAATAAAGCGTGCCTTCGCCCGGAAGTGAAACCACCCATATCTAAATCAGCTAGTATATTCTCTATGCTCAGCTTGACTAGGATAATTAAAGAACATCCTGACTCGTACGTAGTTTAGACCAGGTGGACTATTCTCGAGTGATCCTACGGGCACCATTGCCGCGAAGGATTGCTACAAGGTGAATATGCCAAGGTGCCGGTTTGCCGGCTCTTAAGACGACGACATGGCCAGTAGCTTCCTTTGGACATGTAGAGGCAAGGATCCCAAAGCTGTGTAAAATTGGTAAGGTCGGCGGCATCAAATATGTACTCCGATAATTCTGCTTAGGATCTCAACCTAAACCGCTTGGCAGTCTAGACCATAGTCGGATTTTCTTGACATATTCGAGGCTAGTGGTATCTGAGATGGCTGGATCCCACAATCTTGACACCACTCATCTTCCTGGCTGTGGTGTATATATAAGGTAATTGGACTTCTTAAAAGAGTAATAATGGTCTTCAAAGTCAGTGTTTAATTGATAGTTGCAGTTCAACTAGCAATTTTCTCCTAAGTAATTTTTGGACAGGGAGTCTTGATACCAACCACTGAGAGGACATAGAGAGCCATGATGGGACCTCTCAAAAGAAATTGGAGTAAGTTTGGCTTCGATTTGATGTGCCATACTGCTTCTAGATGGTATTGACATCACATTGAGGAATCCCGTCTCAGATGGTTCCGAAACTCGAGATGTAGTCGCAGTTAATCGCATTCAGTTGCGTATCGTGGTTTGGTGTCAAGATCTTATTTGGATGATTTCGGCTAATACCCATGTCAAAGTGGTAGGGGTCCGCTCAGCATCTTTTGGGTATTAGATACTTGTACGAACAGGGGTAATTCAAGCACAAACAGAGGACCACTCGCTTTACACAAATGGAAACCAATTTGTATGCTTTTTTGATCTCGAATGTTTCTTTCATTCTAACCAATATCTGATCAAAGAGGGCTATTTGGCACCCTCATTCACCGTAACAGGAAGCCAGGGTAGGTTTCATCGTCTGGGTCGATGAAAAACTTCATCCGCCCAACCAGACTCGCCCGACCCCTAACACGTGGAATACAGGCTGGGAATCCATCCACCGGACTTTGTGCCGCAGACAAAATATCTGCCTCGAACTTTGAGCCGATTATGGAGCTGTGTAAAAGCTTTGAAGATCCGGGTTTCAGTTTGCCTTGTGCCAACAAAATGGCTAACCTCGCGCAGGTTCCGGAGCCACATGGTGAACGGTCAATCTGTCCATCTGCGAAGACGGTGACGCTTCTTTGCTGGACAACATCTCTGTCGTCCTGACTGTCCCCTTCACTGAAGAAGATGACTCCATAGCAGTCGTACGGGCCGTAGTGAGCTCTGGTGCCGAGCAAAGCCTTGATCTCTCGACCGAGCTGAATGAAGCGATCAGCATTCTTGGGCTCAACCTCTATCCCAAGCTGTGCTACATCCAGTGTGACATAAACCGCGCCACCAAAAGACAAATCCACGTTTATGTCAAGGCCACACGAAGGGACGGTTAGAGGTAGCGACTTTGCCAATTGATAGCTGGTCACATTGATAAAGTCGGCATGTACTGGTTTCCCATTCTTTATGCCCATACGTGCCACTACACGACCCGAAGGCACGTCGATTACTACATCGAGTGTTCCGTCGGGCTTAATAACGTTGACGAAACCGTGAGCGACAGCCCAGTAGCCAAGGGCAATAGTACCGTGACCACATGCAGTAGAGAACCCGTCTTTATGCCAGAATAGAACCCCAAAATGGGCACCAGCGTCGTCTGGGGGTGAAATAAAGCCGCCATACATGTCGGCATGGCCGCGAGGCTCATGGCATAGCAGCCGACGAAGCTCATTCAGAGGGTGGTCTGCAGCCGTCGTGATCTCGAGTCGTCTTTGAGCGACTGTGGGCGAGTTTGGAAGATATCCAGCCGGTGATTTGTCGACTATACGAAAGGGCTCACCGGCCGTGTGCCAGTCTTCAGTCTCAATCCAGTATGAGTCTGTTTTTGCTGTGCTATCCATGGCTGAGTAATTAATGTGTGTTTCATCAAATGTCGGAATCCTAGCAATTAAAGGTTATGCATTCTTTATGAGCAAGAAACCCCATTTATTACCGCAACCTTGACGATAATCCGCCTTTATTCTTCCGATATAAATGTGGGCGGATCAATTGGCCAACCGCCCCCAGTGGATGATCCGCAGCTGGGTCCTCGTAGCGACCATCTCCGTCCCCGTGGGGTAATCTCGGCCCTGCATGGGGTATCGATGCTCTCTGCATGAGACTTTGGCGATCCTTATATGTGTAATTTTCGCTTTACACAGATTCACAACGTTGGTATTCTATCATCTTGACTTAGGCATACCAGCACGGCATGGCGGCTGGTATCGTGTCTTGCCAGCATGCAAATTGCCAGTGTTGCTTTTACACGAATCTGGGATGCAGTGGAGGATCACTTCGTGCCGATTGGTCTAATAACCATGGAACTTGCGTCACTGGCGTTGGCCCGTTCAAGTCCTTTGCATGCTATTACAGCTAAAGCGTTTGGCTTGCCGATGCGAACTGAGAGAAGCCTATTACATATGTATGTATGTGAAGAAGTATAATTTGAATGCTTCATAAATCATAAGCCTTTGGCTATTCAACATTAGCTGTTTACTAGTGTACACATGAGGACCGAGTTAAACATGAACAATCTTAATTCATTGTAGGGGAATATGCACGCTAAAATATACTCGCAAGTTCATGTGACACATCCAATCATCAAATCTTTACGACAGTGCAAGCTGCCAGCCCCGTTCCCTGACAACATCCCTCCAACTTAGTGTCTCTGTCTCTCTTAATTCACTCCTCCGCTCCCAAAGTTCCTCCAAAATCTCCCTACAGGCATTCACATTCCGAAACCTCCTCCACTTATTCATCGTGTAGAGTCTGTTCTTGATCCGCTCAATGTGTGTTGCACTCCTCGCCTCCCCACCAGCAACAAAAAGCGGGAATAATAACGAACACTCGGCCAGTGATCCCTCGGGCACTTTTTGCGCAGCATCACAAACAGACTCAACATACACATCAAGTCCTTCTGTTAGTATATCGGCTGAATGCTGCGGAAAGTATTTTTGCAGGACGTAGTGGAGGTATATGAGTCCTGCGCTTTGGTATGTTTGGCTGAGGAACCCGAGCGGTGTGTCGGCGGAAACAGCTGGGCATTTCCATTCTCGAAGTTCATCGGCGATGTTGCGGGCTCTTTCGAGAAACGTATCGTAGTTTGATTGTGTAGGCAATCCTCCAAGGAAGTTGTTGTAGTCGTCTTCTTCTGGGCTGCTGCCTTCATCGTGAAGCAATAGCTCGTAGTCTGCGCAATCCGCGTTCAAGACACTGATCTCAGATGTCAAAAGCATGATTTTCGACGCAAATGCAAAGTATGGATCTGCCATCTCGTCATCCGCAGACATCCAATAGTCGCCCGTTATGAGCGGTCTTCTGTCCAGTGACACGCTCATGAGAATATCATGATACGCAAAATTTCTGACCAGCCATTTCCTCTCAACTGACTCTAACCAGTAGCTGTTAATGATAGTTCGTGACTTTTGCAGGGCCCTTTCTGGAGCATCGGAGCTTCCAGATTGAAGGACGGCGGCAGCACCAAGCAGATGGTGTGCCCAGCCGCTGGTAGTTGCATCTGATATAGTCTCCATAGAGCACATGGCCATGGTTATAGCCAGGCACATTTCCCCAGAAAGGTTATTGCCGTTAAGAGCGGCGCTAAGGTTGCTAAGAACCCTGCCGCGATGCTGGAGAGAGACGTTGTGGAAACTGGGGTCTCGTAGGGCCAGATGGGCCGATGACCATGCAGCCATTGCATCAAGGAGGGTACCGCAGTCAAAGGCCATTGGCAGCAGGACTGATCCACTATTAACAACAGATTATAGACGCAAATAGAGTCGCTGTAGTCAACTAACCTGATAAGAAGCAGTTGTTTTCAGCGGTTGCTGATAGCATAATGGCCAGAGTGGAAGTGTAGTATCGCATCATGGTCCTTCGGCTAGAGCTCAGATGATCAACAGAGTCTTTAGGCCGCACAAAGTCTAGCGGCTCAAAGATCTTGGAGACCCTCAACACTTCGGAAACATTGTCGGCCTGTGGAGAAGCAGAGTTGTCATAGTCCCAGCGTTGACGCGGCTCAAACCCCGAGTCTTTGGCAGCATCTTCCCCGCCACCAACTGATCCAACCTCTCGGGGCTTTTCGTGCTTGCAAACAAGGTTGAGTCGAGAGCAGTGTCCACAAATTGGCAGCCCCTGGTCGCATTTCTTCTTGCGCTGTCGGCAGGTCAAGCATCCGCGGCGTTGTCGCGTGTAGCCGCCCTTCTTGATCAGTTTGCGTTGTGGAATCGGCGGCTGCGGCCTTGAGGCCGGTAACAGCGAGACCGGCAGCGTCGACATTGCGACTATGGGAGCGAGATGGGCGTCAATGGCGGGCGGCAGACAGTCCCAGTGGGGTGACGTTTGATGACGAGATTTACGCAGCAGGCAGTACCTACAACAGGTTATATGAGATGGATCTTCCCAAGTGATAGAGAATAAGGTGACAGAGAAACCGAGAGTCGGAAAGCGTCCATGCGCGGCGTCAAGGGCGGCGAGCCTGTTATCTTATTAGCGTTCCTGGTTGGAGATAACGGCCGTGTCTATCAGGTGTGTGGAGAATGCGGAGAAGGTGGACATTGCGATTGATAGCAGCTGGACACACAAAGCGCGGGGAACTTCTTTATCTAATGGCGCGTGGCAAAGTGGTTGTATCGGGTTAAAGGTGAATCCACAAAGTTAATACACGAGAGCACTAGTTGCTTTGGGATAACTCGTACATAATGGGGATGGCCCTAGAACGAGTTATGGCCCCTTTCGAATCATCATTTGCTGAACCAGCTTTCTTTGTTTCGCCGTGTTGTCGGTGTAGCGTGTGGGGAGTTTGGAGACGGTGGAGCAGTTTGACAATCGGAGAAATGAGAGTTATTATGATACTGGTAATTATTATCGTAGTGCTACCTAATACTTTTTCTTATACTCCATCGAGATAGGAGATTTTCGCTCGTATACACATTTCAGTGATGGAATTCACCTCCGTAACTGTCCAATTGAGGACCGGTAAAGGTTTTGCGCAGCTTGACAGCCCATACAAGTGCCGTTACAACTAGGCCGACGGCCATGACAACAATTAAATAGTTCATGGTGCTTGCAGTAACGGGAAATCCAACAGGGAAGCAGAAACAAACAGAAAAGAAAATTACAAAGAGCGTAGCGGTGGCGTTTGTAACGTAGCCAAACTTTCCGAGAGAAAAGGCTCGCTCGGGAAGAATGCTGCGGCCCCGGAACAAGAGGGCAGCCTGAGGCAGCGCAACAGTGATGTTGAGCGCAAAGAGGGTGAGGTTGATGAAGCTGCTGTACGCTGTGGCTGATGCCACGTAGAGAACGCCGATGACAATCTGCAAGACAAGCATTATTGCAGAGGCGCGGACGGGACTGGCCCAGTCGAGATGAGAAATGTACTTGGAGTAGGGGACGCCACCATCACGAGAAAGCGACCAGATTGTTCGGCCGGCGAAGATGAAGAGATTGAGGACAATGTCGTAGAACATGATGATGTAGTAGACAGCCCAGATGGTTGTAGCCACCTTTGAGTTTAGCGCTTGGTTGTAGACCTCTAGAATGGGAACACCAGACTCGATAAGGGCCTGAAGATCGGTGACAACAAACATGAGCGCAATGTTCCAGGCCAGGACTGTGACGATGCCCAGAGCCATGGTGGTGATGATGGCAATGGGGACGTTTCGACTCGGATTCGGCACTTCTTCAGAAACGTGCGTCGGGGCATCAACGCCACTGTATGCCCAGAGACATCCAGTAACACCGATGAAGAAGGCCCATCCATCACCCCATCCACTGACATTTGTATATTGCCTAAACACGAAATCGGAAGACTGTTTGGTATCCTGAACAGTGAGTAGCGTAACCAGCGAGGCCACGAAACCAACAATGGACAGCACAAGAATTGAAACGCCCAACTTTCCAATGGCAGTAGGAAACCGAGACGTCACCCCAAATGCGATGATGCTTAGCAGGATATGCAGCAGGTATGTATGCCAAGCTTGTATTTCGTAGCCGTCGTTCCACAGGTTGACAAGGTCGAGAATCGAGCCGGCGACAAAGAAGTTGCACGACGCCGTTGCCGCCATGATATAAATCACGGATATCCAGCCCGTGAAGAAGGCAGCGACTCGCCGTGTCGATTGTGGAAAGGTCATGTACACGATGTGATATTGGCCGCCGGCAGATGGAAACGCAGATGCAAGTTCCGCAAAGCCAATGTTGATTGTAGCCATGACGATGCCGGCGACGATGAGACCGTAGATGAGGGCTGGGCCGCCGCCGCAGGAAAGCGGGACAGCAACGCCAGAGGCAAAGGCGACCCATGAGTTCATTGTGGTGAAGCCGAATGCAATGACAGATAGAAGGGAGAATCGCTTCTTGAGCTGTTCTTCGGGCTGTGCAAACTTTGTCTCTTCCATATGGGTTTGGGATATGGACACAGAGTCCGGGGCGTTGAACTTGTCAGCCATGGCGAAGAACGGTTCATAGACTGTATTATTTGTGTGATGGAGTAGGTTGGAGAGAAAATGACAAAAGGGAGGAATCCAAGAGCTTTTAATAGTAGCTGGCTTCACTCCAAGATGACAACCGTAGAGACAGTATGCGCCATTCTTATGAATGACATGCGATAGAAGAAACTCCCAGGTCGTCAAAGATCAAGGTGATATCTATTCACCACGCCAAGAGTTGGCGGATTCGGAACTTGAGCGAGCTAGGAAATGCGCTTTCCCGGAGGCGTAGACTATTTCTAGCGCTGGCTGGTTCTTATCGGTACTTCAACACGCGTAATCTGTAAGGGTGTCTAACAGCCGAACGAGGTTGCAGCCAAGAACCGAGACTCCAGTTTTATCAAGCCACGTGCCAGAGACTTGGATCGGGAAACTATAACTAATGCTTGGAGAACAAACAATAAATACTTGAGATCGTCTTGTAAAACTCCCAGGAAGCTGAGTAGATCTTGACAAAATCACACGTCGACTTTAGTGCTGGTGCCGAGCATATGTCTGGTGGCTTATCGCCTTTGGCACCATTTTAGCAAGCCAGAATGCGCCTATTCGCGGCCGATCTCGGGCTTCATACAAGAAGCAGCTTCCCCAGACAAAATCCCCCGCCGTTGACGCCGTATGTGGAGAATGTGGAGAAGGCGAAACTCCAACTATTACGCAGAGCGGTCATATAAAAGGTAGCAATGGAAGGAAACTGGGCTGATTAAGTGACTTCGTTTGTATCGTTTTTTTTTTTTCGGTTTTTTTTTATCGGTGGTTATCAAGCGTTTCTTATCTCGAAATGAAGTTCATTACATGGCTCAGCATCCTTGCCTTGGCTGGCTCAGGCTACAGCTGTGGCGGCCACGGCGATGAGAAGGAATGGAGTAAAGAGGAATTGGCCGAGTTGGAGGCGAAATGGGGACACGAGGTGCGTGATGAACGATTCGCTCTATTTGCTGGCTCTTGCTAACATGGTGCAGTGGTCTTTCAACGGCATCGGGTCCTTTGCCCATCTAGACTACGTCAAGTGCCTCACAAACCCTCAAGAGAAATACGACATTGCCATTATCGGCGCGCCTTTCGATACTGCTGTTTCCTTTAGACCAGGTAACCAATTATTGCATTGCTCAGCTAATGGCTATTTGCTCACCTTTTACAGGCGCCCGATTCGGTCCCAGAGCCATAAGACAAGCCTCTTCTCGTCAGACATCGCTACGTGCATTCAACCCACGCGCAAACATCAATCCCTATCAGAATTGGGCGAAAATCATTGACTGCGGAGACATTCCCATCACGCCGTTTGACAACAATATCGCGACGGAGCAAATGACACAGGCTTTCAAAAATCTTGGCAGGGCTCACCCAATAAGCTCTCTCAGCAAAGGTCGACCGAAGCTCATTACTCTCGGCGGCGATCACAGTCTGGCGCTGCCTGCGCTGAGGGCGTTGAAGGAGATTTATGGAAAGCCAGTTCGAGTACTGCACTTTGACGGTATGTGTTCTCGATATACGTAGCTGAGAGTGGAAGACGGAAATTAATTGACAACAGCTCACCTTGACACCTGGAACCCCGCCGCATATCCCTCAGCCTGGGGATCAACGCATTTCACCCACGGCTCCATGTTCTGGATGGCCAACCAGGAGGGCCTTTTGTCAAACGCCTCGACAGGCCAGTCTGTTCACGCTGGTCTGCGCACCCGTCTCAGCGGCTCCGACTGGGCCGATCACGAATCGGATACCGCCCAGAACTGGGTTCGCTATGCCGCCGACGAGATTGACGATATTGGCACGCAGGGCATCATTGACGGTATCATGTCGGTTTTGGGGACTGAGGACCCGGTCTATCTGTCTGTCGATATCGACGTGCTGGATCCCGCTTTCGCGCCTGGCACTGGAACTCCTGAACCTGGCGGCTGGACTACCAGAGAGTTTATCCGAATCCTGAGAGGAATCGAAGGGTTGAATATTGTCGGCGCCGATGTGGTGGAGGTCAGTCCGGCCTATCAGGGAAGAGGTGAAGAGACGGCCTTGGCAGCAGCGCAGGTTGTGTATGAGATTCTGAGCTCCATCGTCAAGAGAGGTTTGGAAGACGGGGCACGGGAGAAGACAGCTGATACAAAGGATGAGTTATGATATGTGTAAACCAGAAGCATGTACTATTAGATGGTGTCTCTCATTGCAGAGTGTATAATAAACGTGTACGAACAAGGGCGCAAATCAATTACATGCCTAGGGAATACGGAATGACTAAACCTGATGACAATTGATACATATCTACACCTTTTAAGAAGTTTTCCGCGATTATTACCATTCTGACAAACCAATAAGCGATATATTATTGGATCTCGTGTCCTTGGTAAGCATTACGAAATGTGTAGCTCTGTCACTCTTGATTCGCATTTGCTTGATGATGCGGCCATGGCGGAGCTCTACCCCTCTTCTAATGTTTTCAAAGGCAAGACATGAGGCTATAGCATGGAATCAAGCCCGATCAAGCATCGGTGGAGAAGAAGGCGCCTTCTAGTGTATGCAAGGGCAATATACAAAATGGGACAAGCGCATGTAGCGTCAGCTTCTGGCTACCACGCGATGCTATTCTCTCGATAGAGTAGGCAAGTATTGTATGCCCAGAATACATACATGACGTAGATTCGCTAATGCGGCCACTGGCCGCTTTACACGTCGCGATAATGTGTGCAGTAGCTCCCTTATTCTATTGGATAGGCAGTTTCTTACTTATGATACATGTCTTGATTCACGTAAGCCGTTCAATTATTAGTCAGACCATCGCAACTCCTCAGCAGCTCGCCCACCATATAAGTAACTTGCTTGCCCATTTCCGAAGCAGCCAAAATATTCCTCTTCCATTCTCATCACATATATAGTGGCCTACAAGTAATTCATTAAATTGGCATATTCGTTCTTCTAGTCCTTGTTTTAAAGGCCAGCTACAGACACAAGCATTGAGCAATGGCGACTCCCACTCTCAAACACGTCTTCACAGTGTCAATCACACCAAAAGCGCCAATCAATGTAGGCGAAACTCCAAGAGGAAAGGCAAATTGGTTCGAGATCACGGGTGGTACGATTACTGGAGTAGACGGCAGCCACATTGCAGATGTAAACTCAGGCGGAGGAGACTATCTCACGCGATTCGTCGAAGACAATGTCGCTGAGGTGGATTTGCGGCTCATCGCCAAAGACTCGAATGGGGAATTGTTGCGCCTCACCGTATCGGGATTCGACTATCTCGATCGAGCAACTATGCTGGCTTTGGATGGCCGAGCTGGCGAGGATCCGGGCAGCAGTGCGACAGACATCAAGGAGCCGTACGGATTTGAGATACTCAAGTGCAGCACGGCGAGTCAAGAGTACAGGTGGTTGAACTTTGCCGTCTTGATTGCTCGTGTAAGTTTTATCATGGGGGCTGCGGGTATTGAAAGTGTTGAGTACAAGGTATTCCACGTTACAAAGTAGACGCGCCCATCAGATGAAAAGATGAATCTAGTTACTGTTCTTACCTATATGCTATTTCCAAATTTGTCGTGAGAATCACAATGCGCAAAGTCTGATTAATGCTGTATACACTGAGCGAGGTATTATAGATGCTATCGCATGTATTTGGACATTCTCCAGCGCATTTATTGACCCCTTGTCAGCAAGTTTACCCGCCATTAGTGCTTCGGAGCCGCTAGGATGGCAGCTTTTTGTTTTAACCATAAATTCTTACCCTGGCTAGAAAGAGACCCAGGCCTTGGCAGCGGAGCTGAACAACCGCAGTCTGCCGATTAGATCAGGCTTGAATCCCTGACTCACACAAAGCAACAAGTCTTGAGCGGCCTCCTGTCCTGTCTACGCCGCATCTCTTTTGTCTGCCTGGCCCAACAGATGCGCAGCTTGTCTTCGTTTTCCTCTTCTTAACAGACTCAAATGTCCTTTGCCAGCCTTCCCTTTGAGCTGCGCTCCCTCATCTGGAGCCTCGCCGTGGCGCCTCGCCGCATCACCATCACCAAAAAGAAGAGCAATCGTAGCTTCAGCAAGGAACAGTACCAGCAGGGCAAAAACATCCTCTACCAGACCTCGTCAACGCCGCCCCCGGCACTGATGCATGTGTGCCGCGAGTCTCGTCAGCAAGCGCCTTACACGCGCGCATTCACTGCAGGCTCTGAGCCGCGCTGGACGTGGATTAACTTTGAAGTCGACATTTTGTGCGTCACGAGCCTCTATGCCATTCCAGACTTGCTCTCCCATCGATCTGAGATCCAGCGGCTCCAGATCCGGACTGACGATGACCTTGACTGGTACGAATCAGCGACCAATTATAACGGGCTGTCCATTCTCTCTGAATTGGAACGCCTCAGGGAAATTCGGGTTGTGCTGGAGCCTGGCGATTTGATGTGGGGAGACGTGTTTACGGACTGGGGCTTTGGACACTGTCCTGAAGACAACATCACGTTCCTCGACAAGGGATCCGGGCTCGTGCTCACCGGCCCTCAGCTAAAGATGGTGCTTGACTGGCGGATGGTGTTTGCGTTTGGCAGCGAGGGAAACCCGCCCGACCCTGACAGCCTCTCGGATGAGATTGCTTTTGCCCTCGACGATTCTTGGCATATGACTTTGACACAAATGCAAGAGCTAGATTGAAAACTAGTGTATAATTGACAAGGCAAGGGGCCTTTGAGTGGCCACAATGCTCTTTATATATGCTAGCAGCTTACAGCTCGTTTTCGCTGTATACCGTCTGTATAATCTCGACCACCTTATCAGGCATGTTCAAAAATGGTGAGTGGCCAGACTGCAGACTGAACGTCCGAATGTTAATGCCAGCATCCTCCTGGGCCTCTAGAATAAATTTCTTTTGAATGTCCACAGGAATGACTTCATCTAGCTCGGTGTATATCCAGCTACATGGCACATCTTTCCAAGTAGCATGAGTGACTGGCATCGTAAAGAATTCGACAGCTTGGTAGCTCATATACTGTTTCCAATAGTCGCGCTCATCCTTGCTCATGTCTGAATAAAAGTGGTCGTGATAAGGTCGGAGGTCACCGACATCAACTCCATTCAACTAAATGGTTATTAGCAAATTATACTATCGCTTCCATGTCGAAAGACAAATCTTCTTCTCCTAATCTAGGTCCCTACCTTTGAGAACGCTGCCATTGTAGGGCAAGTTGCCCGCGACCCATCATAAAAAGAAAAGGCCTTGTCGCCCTCGTTGGGCAAGTAGCCAGCCAGGAATACAAGGTGAGCGACGCCTCCCTTTTTGCCAGCCTTTGCTCGGTCTGCTTTTGTAAGTCCTTTTGCAGCTTCAATTCCTAGAAGAGTTGCAACTGAGTGCATAAATACCACCACATCTTGCCCTTTGTCAATGGATGACAGCATCTTCTCTCTCCAATACGCAGCATCATCGTAAAAAGACTGGCCCGGCGTGAAATTAACGGCACCGTTCGATGGATTAGCACCAGCGATAGTATTGAATCCTTTGGCTTGTAATTTGTTCTGTAAGGCCTCAAAGTATTTTGGGTGACCGTGGCCACCGCCGTGCATCATCATCAGGACTGGGCGTTGTGCCATGGCGACTATATCCAGGCGAGTGGAATCCAAGGTAGAGATTGCTTGATGGATTCATTTGATGCGCCTTCATCTAAATAGTATGAGCAATACAAAAGATAGGAGGGGCCATCAACCTATATCATAAGCAACAGCCCAGTGATATAAGACAATTGCTGTGTGGCTGGTAAGCACTATTGTAAAGCTAGCACACACTGAGCAACAGGCTTTGAACACCTATTCCCTCAATCAGTAAGGACAACTTATCAATTGCTTATACATGGGAAGTCTATCTGTCACAAAGGAAAAACTATAGCTATTGATTGCATAAGCTTTTTTCCTGTTTGTTACAACCTGATTCTTCGTGATGTCGATCCCTTAGAACACCTGGAGAAGTAGTCAGCGCCCAGAGCTATAGTCCGAATGTGCTATTGAAGCTCCAACAACAGTGCTCGTGCGTCTCCAGCCTTGCTGCTTCTAGCATCTCAGTGCGCATCCAGTTATGCAAAGTCGCTCGCGTGATGAAATTAAACGGCTGAATTATAATAATGTAAATACATCGAGCCTCCTTATTATATATGGGCAGTTGCGATAGGAGATGATGGCATTTGTGCTTAATCACGGAGGGTCTATTGTTGCAGCTTTATACTGGCGGCTGTGGATCTATCGCGTCGAAAAAAAAATGCTGCTGAAGACACCAGCCGTAGGGTAGGCCTAAGCTGCATCACATATCGGAACCAAGGCAAGAACAAGCGGTATATATGCCGCAGGTATCGAAAATACTGAATCCAAAATAATAATTAAAGATTGTTCTTGCAAGCTTTTGAAATTCTATTCATACGTTTGCAGCTCACAAATTAGGTCAGAGAGGAATGTCCAGAGTTTTGTCTATTCAACCATGATATACCTATAGTTTCATTCGGTCTCTTCTGTTTCAGCTGGAAAGAGACATCATGGTGCCTATGCACGGATAATACTTTGGCTTTTCTATCTATGATCAAATCATCTATCCTTTTTGGCTGACCCTTTGAAGATATGTAACTTGTTCATCTGATTTTTTTCCCTGTATTCTTCGCCTCGTTTACCTCAAGCCCGAAATCGGTTTCTAGAGTTTGTCGTAGATCAATCTCCCTCTCAACAAAGCATAAGAGAAATCCAAGCACGGCAAACCCGAGAGAGACGTACCATGTCAATCTGAGACTGCGAGTGTATACATCAATGACTTGGGCTTGAATTCCATCATCTGGGAAGCTGTTGATGAGATCCGCGTTTGCATACGAGTACGCTTTGCCGTGAGAGAGCTGCTCACGAATGCCGACATCGTCAATGAGATACAGGAGCGAGTCGAATTGGGCATTGAAGATGGCGGCGGGAATCGAAACCCCCCAGATCGAACCATATGCTCTCATAAACGCAAAGGCTCCCGTAGCCAGAGCTGTATCCGACTCTGGAAGGTCCGCCTGAACTGCGGGCAGGTTGGCCGTCATCATGGTTCCCAAGCCAATAGCGGGAATACACTGCACAATAATCCACTCTGCCCTTGACGTAGAGGCATTGAAGCGCGTAAAAAGACCAAAGCCTAAAGTAATCAAGGCAAACGAGGCTATATGCAGCGGGCGGTATCGACCAGTCTTTGTCAAGATGACACCGGCAACAATACCCGTCACAACAGAAAGCAAAACAGTCGGAAGCAATGCAACACCGGAGATGATGGGCGACATGCGCTGCACTGCTTGGAAATAAATTGGAAGGAAATAAATGACCCAAAAGAGCAGCATGAAGTTGATGAAAGCAATAATCAGAGCAGCAGCTGGCGTCCGTCGAGTGAAGATTCGTGGAGGAAGCGTCGGATTCTTGACCCACGGCATGGTCTCGTACCAGTGGAAGATGGCCATGCCGACAGTTCCAAGCAACAGTGGAACAAGGATATGATATGACGACCAAGCATACTTTGAGCCGCCCCAAGATAAAGCAACGAGGACGGCCACAATGCTGACGATTAGTATTCCATTGCCGACATAGTCGACTTTCTTGAGCTTTATGGCAATGGCTGTTTGGCGATCGTAGTTGACTCGCAGAAACAGGACATGAAGAACCAGGGCTACTCCAGCAATAGGTAAGTTGATGAAGAAAACCCATCGCCACGAGGTGCGTTGGACAATGGCGCCGCCAATAAAGGGTCCGAGGGCAGTACCGAGCGAAAATATGGCAAAGACAACTCCCATGTATGCACCTCGCTGGCGAAGAGGCACCAAATCGCTAATAATGAGCTCAATCATGAGATTGATGCCTCCGCCACCGATTCCTTGAACTGCGCGACCGGCAATCAGCATAGCCGCATTCGAAGCTCCACCACTTATACCACTTCCAAGGGCAAACATGGAGACTACACCAATCATCATCCATCGACGGCCGAAGAGATCACACATCTGACCGAAGAGCGGTAAAAACGCGGTGCTAGAGTTGAATAGATGTCAGAGATTTGAGATGACGAGAGTTGGTCAATCCATGGAGTAACGTACCTGGTGAGAAGAAACACATTGACAAACCAGACATAGACGCTACCAGCGTTGAGCTGATGGACGATGAATGGAAGCGCTGTTGAAGTTACAGTTGATTCAACAGCTGCCAGGAGAGACGTTACACAGATGGCAGGGAACACAGCCCAGAATCGCCAGCCGCGAAGGGCGTTTTTGGGCTTTGTATCAGCATCGTCTGTGGTAGAATTGGATGCGGCTGGCGAAGCTTCTTCAGAAATGGGCGTCTTCATGTTGTATCACTGTTCACTCCTCTCTTTCGACGGCTGTAAAAGGAAGAAGACAAAAAAAGACCTATTGGGGGGAACACAAAACAGCGTTGTTTGGGAGACATTGTGTCAATTGGGTCTTGTAGCAGTGGCATTTATCGAAACCCAGAGCCGAACACCGAATCGGCCGGCATTGTGTACTGTCTTTTGAAGTATGGACCAGTATTAATGATCACCCGAAAGATCGGACGGCATCGCCAGTTCTCCACAGTCGGTGAGGCTAACCAGCAATGGCCCATGACCTTACTCGAAGCCATTATCGGCGTGCAGGGGCCAGTGCCGAATCTAAGCCGAGACTGGTCATGCCTACCGAAATCGATGTCCCAGTCTGGCGAGGAACACCGAATTTGTAACTACTGTAGATATGGATGAGTTTGGATCGAATCAACCCACTTTGGTTTGGAAGGTCCCTGAGCTGCCACCCCAGGTGCTCGATAGCGATGACCCCATGATTTTCGAGGATCGGCGAACAAGGAGCGTGAAGAGGCTGCTCAGACTTTGGACAATTTAGTGCAGCTCCTTAGGCAACGCGATATCATTAAACAATCGTCTACTTTGTATTAATACGTAAAGGCCCGCGACAGTTTCCATTCTTTCTATTATGTATTGAATGAAAAGCTTGCTTCTGAACGCTTTGCATACGTCGACTCCTCCAACCAGTCTTCGAATTACACCCAACTATCATGTTCTTGAGAGATTGCTAGTATCGAACTTGAGACTTGGACGTGTGATTCTTCAGAGAATTCTGCACTGTGCTGCAAGGTCTCTTACACTGCTGATGAGTTCCACAATGGCTTTTTCTTTGGCACGGATCCCCTGCATCGATACTCGTGTTATACTGGCTAGATTGTTGTTATTGCTAGTCTTGGCTGCTAAGCCGCCACTCATTGTCCCATCTTCAGCATCTGACGGCTTGGTCATCTCGCTCACCAGGCGCCGGACTTGAGCCATCATAGCCTCCATAATGTGCAAGAGAACTATAACTTTGAAGGTAGATGACGGTGCTATCTCAAATGTACCAACGTTGAGACCCGGCAGTGCAATGGGGGTATAAGCCTCGGCAACACTGGCATCCATTTCAAGCCGTATTTTAGCACATGCCTCGATGTGCTGCAGGATCTTGTCATACGTCTCAATGAGACAAGAATAACAGGACAAGACAAGTAGCTGAGGGGGGTCACCTAATGGTGATAGGCTGGTTGAGGCATTTTCATTGATTTTCTCCGTGGTGCGAAAATATGAGAAGACGTGGTTCATGACTTCGATATATTGGTGGGATAGCTGCAAAGTCCGATCAATGGCCACGTCCTTTTCATCGTTCAGTCGAGCTGTGTTGGGGCCCGCTGGGCTTGTCCAACACTCCTGCCAAACACCAATCGGAGGAATAGAATGAAGGTTCTGATGCAGTTCAATGTTGAGCTGGGAGATTTTGGCAATCCAGGCCATGAGGTTGCCTTCTTTTGGTGGTGCAATGCTATCGCTTACGCCTCGATTTGGCGCATTCACAAGGCTTGCAGGCCACGACTCCCGCGATGAATCCTGCGACATATTACCATGACTTTCTAGACGAGTAGTAGTAGAGTCAACGGTATCATCTGTCTGGCGAGAATCCGTGTGTGGTAGAATTGAGCTGTCGCTGTGCTGCGTTCCCTGTACCTCGGGTGAAAACTCTTGCTGCCGCTCAGCATCATGGCCATCGTGCAGACCAAGAATAGTACTGAGGCCGGGACTAGTTAGGCCTTCGATAGAGGCTAAATCTTGACAGAGAGTCTGTTCTGGATCAAGGTCCAAGTTGTGGTCTGTCTCCGGATGATTGTGCAGCAAGTTGGTCGACCAGCAACTGAACTGTTCATCTGCATTATCTTGTGTCGAAGGTGACGGTTCAACTGGTTGCTGCACCGTCATGTAAGATGGAGTGGCGCGGTAAGGTGAGCGCAACGGGCCAGATACGCAGGCAACATCTGCTCGCACGCAACGCAGACAGCTTTCGTTGTTGTTGCTGCGACGACAAGCCAGCTTTTGCCGATGGCAGCGTTCACAGGCTCGACGACGGATGCCACGATCGTGAACCAGCATCACCGACATGGTGGATGATTGATGGGAACAGAGAGCTGGCATTACGGTGCTTTTAGCTTGGTTAAACCGCTACAACGGGGAATTGGACAGGGCATGATGCATTAGTCAGATCGGACCGTTGGAACAACTGGGGGGTAACCATGACCATATTGCGCAGTTGAAGGTAGTAAACCCAAGGATAGCTTGCTCCAGTTCTGAATAAGTAACACATATTTTACATGAAAATAGAATTATATATACTTTATCCTTTTAAATACTCATATCTACATGTCCTTATCACCTCCACGGCAGGCTTACAGTGGCTGGGTTCCATTAGCCTGGCCGAAGCTGTAAATGTCCAATCTGTTGGATCCTCCGCACGTTTCAGCAGCGTTGCCGGCGCAGGCCATGTTGCACCCGGTATTTCCATCTGGAGCAATGGTGTTTCCATTGGCAAGGCTGTTACCGCAGTCTAGAATTTGTTAGAACCAAGTTAACGAAGAGTAGAGCTGGAACAAGACTTACAGCACTCATCGGCAAACTCAAGACCTGCAAGGGTGAAGCCCAGGCCTTTGCACACGCTTTGACACGCCTCAACAGTCATGGACGTGGGACCGTTGGGAACACCCTCGGCAGTCAACGCGCGAGCATTGACGCTGTCGGTATAACATCCCCTAAAGTTCCATCCGGTAGATGCTGGAGGTGAAGCACTTCCAGTTGCGGTAGCCAGGCTGTAGACATCGAGGCGGTTCGGGCCTCCGCAAGTCTCCGATGGCGCACCGCTGCAAGTCATGGTGCATTGCGCACTTCCGTCAGAGGCAGGGCCGCCTCCATTCTGGAACTTGGTGTCACACCCTAAGCCCGTTAGTTATCTATACTGGAGTTATTACTGGTGAAATGACTTACAGCATTCTCCCGAGTACTCAAGGCCCGCAATGGTGTATCCGGCAGCTTTGCAGGCTGTCTCACAACCCTCAATCGACATGGCAGATGCACCTCCTGAGACCTGGACCTGGTTGCCCAAAGTTCGGCCGGCGGTATTATCAGAGTAGCATCCCAAAAAGTTCCATCCAGTTACCTTTGGCGGCGAGCTGGTGGTGATGGTAGAAAACGTCGTAGATCTCGCAGAGGTTGTGCTAGAAGGAGGAGGAGTCACGCCTCCACTTCCAGAAGCAAGTCGGAAAAGAGCAATAACATCGGCAAAAGCGTTGACGTTGGACTGAGAAGTCGCAAGCGTGTTTCCGTTTTGCGTGATTTGGTTGAGGACGCCAACGGTTCCCAAGTTGTAGACGTTGATGTTGGACAACGTGCCCTCGAGGTCGAAGATATTGTTCTGGCAGTTTTCTGGGCCAAGAGCCGCGTCACAAGCTTTCACTAGTCAGCTTACCGGTATGAAAGTGAAAAAGGGAGAGATCAGCTTACGAGTGGTGCCGTTGTTGTTGATGAAGAACGAGTACAGGCCGGCAGCGTAGATGAAGATATTTTTAGAGCTAACGATTCGCAGGCCCCAAGCCTCAGCGCAACGCCCGGGGCTGGGACAAGTGGTGGGAAAGACGGGGTCGTTGAGAGCAGAGTTGACGGCAAAGGGCGTTGGAGCATTGGGATTTGGCTGGTAGTATCTGGGTAGGTTATTAGCAGTGCGTATATGAAAGCGATTGGTATACGTACGGTGTCTCTGTCTGAATGACGCCGGCATAGATGTTCTGCGTGCTGGCAAACTGATACTGGTAGAGAGTGTGGTGCTCAACAGCAGTTCCGACGCTGTAAAAATCTGTCAGCGATCAAACTCAACAAGGATATCTCAGGCAAGGGTAAACATACAACCAGAATGTTCCTGCTGTGCTTTCAACGTACAGACCCCTGCCGCTGAAAATTGTGATTTGCGTGTTGCTTGAGTCGTCAATATCGTGATCCGCAGTCCAGAACCAGTTCTGTTCACGTTAGCTAAGAAACATCCAATTCTCAACATCTGTCCACTCACATTCTCCAAGTACAAGTTGCTGGCACTGGCGGTAATGTGCATGGACATGTACGCTCCAATGCAAGCCGTGTTCACAGCCGAGCTGCTCGCAGTAACGGGGCATTGCGCAACCTGGAGGTTCGATCCCTTGAAGCCACCGATTCTCGTGTGCACATCCCACATGCCGCTGGGAGTTCCAGAGGTGGCCAAGTTCCACTCGATGAGGACAGCGCCAGCCTGAGTTCCCTGTGTAGACACAATCATGTCTGACCACTCCACTTGTCCAGTCTGGCCGGGTGTGCCAACTTGGACCACGGGCTTCGGGTTGCTTTGGTCGTTGAAGAAGCTGCCAGAAGACATGATGATGGGGTACTCTTCTCCGACAATCTTGGCGCCGGGAGGGATCTTGAGCGTGCTGGTGATGCGGTAGATACCGGCGTCAAAGTAGACGACTTGGCCTGCAGCGGTGGCGCTGTTGATGATGCTTTGCAGAGCAGCGGTGTCATCCGTGACGGCATTACCTAGAGTCACGAGTCAGTACTCAGAATCGTACGAATGATGAGTATATATAGCAGTGCTTACCGGTAGCACCAGCAGATCGGACGCTCTTGAATGAGGAAACTGGCAGAGTCTCATATTGCGGCTTTGAGCGCGTGTAATACTTGGATCCGCTCAGCAGCGACGAGGGACGAGAGTTTGGCGTGATGCTGCCCTGGAAGGTATTCGGGCCATTGGGCGTATATTCATGTCCCTGACCCCAGCCAGCAATTGTCGTAGTTCCTCCAGCCAGGATAGTGGCGCCGCTGGACGATTGAACAGCCACGGGGACGTTGCTGAGAGCCAGATTCTCAATGATGAGACTGTTGGACGTGGCGGGCGACTGGTTTGCGGTGAAGCTGGTCTTGATTCCAACGGGCGTGCCGGTGATGGAGCTGTCGAGGAGCGTGATGGACTCGGCGGCTGTCATGTCGAGGCCCACGCCGCAGTTGTTGATGGTGATGCCCTGGTAAACCCACTCCCAGTCGAAACCGCTGACGATGGCGGTGCCGCAGTTGTTGAAGACCAGGTTGCGCATCGTGTACTGCTGGTTGCCGATAGCAGCACCGATTGAGCCACCGTTGATGGTCAGGTCAGTGAGGAATCCAGCAGATCCTAGAAACCATTAGTTAGAAATATCTAATAAAGTGGTTAAAGCGGACTTACCGTTCTCGACGAAAAGACCAACTTGGTTGTTGCCAGATGCCGTGGTCATCGTAATCTGGATATTCTGCAAGCTTGTCGCCTGCGCTGTCGGCCAGTGAATACCGTACATCTTGGGTGCCGAAGCCGGAATGGCCGTCATGTCAAGCTTGAAGTTGCGCACTTGTCGGTAGAAGACGTTGGTAGAGATCCAGTTGGGGTCGTTGGGGTTGTTGTCGCCATAGTAAGTATCGCCGTCAATCAGGGCAATGCCGCTGAAGCCCGAGGTTGCCTTGATGGTTGGGAGATTGGTTGCGTCTCCGATGATGTTGGTGTAGTACTGATCAATAATCGGACTTGAGATCACGTACGTTCCTGCAGGAAAGTACACAATTGCGGGAGTCAGAGTGCTGGAGGTGCAGAGTCTGCCACATCGACCTCCCGACAGAATGGCGTTGTTGATTGCTGCCGTATCATCGGTAACACCATCACCTGGAGTAATCAACGTCAGTAGCTGTGATTGAGAGTCATGGGAACAAGTTGTAGTTACCCTTTGCGCCGTAGTCCTTGACATTGCGGTAAACCGAGTAGCCGCTGGGGGCAAATGGTGCAATTCCCTGATGGGCAATGTTCTCATACCAATAGCTGGACGCTCGCTTTTCCACAGCGGGCTCAGCCTCGATTCCAGTGGCCAGGCCGCGACAGGCCGCAGCCAATGTGAGAGCCGAAAGCACGGCGGAGCGTAGGAACCCCATGGTGATGCAAGAAGCTATCTACAGCTCTTGGCAGCAGTGGAGGGAGAAGTTGTCGGGGCGATGATGGAGACTTTTCAGGAACTACCCATGCTCTTAAATCATTTTCCAAGTGGGCGATGTGAATGCAGCAAACGGAGATAAGAAATTTTCGCGTAAAGGTGTTCAAGTATGGCAAACACAAAAGGGCCTTTTCGTTGCAGCGAGGCACCTGTCAACGCTCCAAAGATGGAGAACGCCCGAGCAACGCATCGCGATCTCCCCGCGAAAGGCAAGCTATTCAAGTAACAGCTTGCCATGTTCCCCAGCATCTTTGCACATAAAGCAAACAGGCAGATAAGCCCTAATTAAAAATAGGCCCGACACGGTCCAAGCTGGCCTTGCTAGTGAGGCGTTCTTTGCTGGCATCGTTCATGGCCCAAAGTCCGGGGTAAGTTGGGCCTTTCCGCGATGCTTCAAGGTTACACCGACATGAAGCCTAGTCACCTGGCTGGACGATGGAAAAAGACTGAGCATGTGCTGAGCGCCATGGGAAATTGGACGGACAAGGACGCCCAAACAAGTCTGGACTCGAAGAAGCAGGACGCGCTTTCGAGGCCAGGCTCAGGGCCTGAGGGTGGAGCCAGGGCTGTCACGGCTAAATGGGATTCGGCACATACATCGTGAGATGCGCTTTGGCAGGAGTGAAAGCGCATAAGCTCATGCTGTCGCGGAATCTCGGACCTGGAATCAGCCCCATGTCATTGCGAGAGCTCCGAATAGCGACATCTCACCAGAGGTTGCTAAGGGGCTTTTGCGAGTCATCCCCCACACAATCCTTGTCGTGATGCGCACATTATGGTGCCTTGACGATGGCAAATTCCTGAAGTTACTGCTTGATAGAAAGCGCACTCTGCTCGGCAGATTTGGTAGGTCGGTTGAAAGATCCTGCAGTTTTGACAGCTGTTAGTTTCGAGTTTGCCATATGGCTCTTGAGGAACGTGTTATTCCCACATGGAACAATTGTTTTTGTAAGTGCTACGAAGAGTCATCGGTACTAGAACTAGGCACGTTATGGGTTACTACCTAAGCATGATTTATTTTCCGTCTCCTCTCTTCTTATCAACACATCAACCTCCTTGTAAACCATACCAGAGAAAAAGCACTACCTTAGCAGCTCAATAACTCAACAAGATAGGACCGATTCTGCTGCAGAGTCGTAGCCCATAGCTGCATATTTGCGGGGTGGCAGCGAGTCTGGCCCTAAACCCCAGACTTCCCCGAGGCCTTAGCGGAGCAAAAGCGCGGAGGTGGCAGCCAGAGACGTAATTGGCGCGGGACCTCGGCAGATCGGCAGGGCCAGAACGGCTTTGGGGAACCTGGAAGCTGGGCGTGATGTGCATTGGCAGCCTGTTGCGAGTGCTGCGAGTCAACTATGCACTTGGCAACTTGGCAGATGTTCCCAGAATGTTCCCAGACTTTGGTTTATCTTGGTTACGACTGGCTACTGAACAAGTCCACAGAGCGTATCCATGACGAGCTGATTGGCTCGGCCTTTTATTGTTTTAGTTGCAAAAGGAGCTCTGTGTGGTGCGAATAGGGTAGCTGCTAGGTATGCATGCTGTGAATGCGCTATTTATCAGCCAAGCCATTATTAATCTCCCCATGAGTTGCTGACTGCCTCTTTCAGATGAACCCATTAAGAGTTTTGATTTGTATCTGGGTACCTATAAAGCATCAAACCCAGCCACTACTCGGATCACACACAAATTCAACATGCGTTTTAACCTTTTAGTCAAACACTGTTTTCCAGCCTCGAAGAAAACCTCTCATCACCTCATAATCTCTTCATAAAGCAATTGCGCTTTTGAGATGTTTCACCTCTCATGCACATGGTGTCTGCGGTAAGTAGTTGAATCGTGGTTCAATGTCCATCCAGTCATACAAATTTTGACGAAACGTTTCCATACTAATAGCATATAGTAATCTATGCCGAATTTTATAACAACAAGTATTTACATATACATGTAAATGCATCGAAATGAACTTTTTTCATCCTCCTTCACATATATGAGTATACGTGCTCAAGGCATGTCGCCGTCACTGGGACTTGGCTTCATCCTGAAGTCGTATCTCCGATAAAACGACTCGCAACACAGATACCGTGCCAACTCGTTATAGCTCTACGACTGCCACGAATTGTTCACCGTCACAGCCGTCGCACCTGTTGCCGGCACAGTGTACGTGTGATTGGGGTCAGCTTCCCACGTCACATCGCCGTTCGAGGCCACATTGATGTACTTGTACTGAATCACCGTCCCTGGAGCAAACGAGATGCCTACATTCCACAGATGGTTTGAAGACGTATACTCGTCGGCAGACAGAGCAACAGCGTTACCGGTGTTCCAGTTCCCAAGAGCCGGGACGTTTCCAGCAATCTTGATAGTTTGGCCGAAATTGGTCGTGACAATCTCGTCAAAAGTCACAGTAACGGGATTCGTTGCGACTGCCGTAGAGCTTGCAGATTTGGATGTACTTGACGCGGAAACTGAAGTAGATTTGCTAGTGGTAGTTGAGCCTGAGCCACCGGTAGGCGTCTGGTTGGGCGGCCAGGATCCTGTCGAGGCTGAAGAATAGGTGCCCACGGCTGATGTGTAGGAGCAAACCGACGGAACGCTTGATGCTGATGTTTCTCCCCAAGAATAAGGGACGACGCCAGATCGTCGAGCTGCAGCAGTCAGCAGTGCTGCGTATGACCACGTCAAGTCGTATGCCGAGAGCGGCTGTCCATTGTTCCGGTTGTATTGCTCTGCCAGCGATCCATTGGACGGTGCGTAAGTAGCAACATTGTTCACGAATCCGTCGGCATAGTTTGAGACGGCATTGTACAAAGTAGTGTAAGTTGAAGACGAGGAGCTGTATGTTCCCACGGTGATTGAAGAGTCCAAATCTTTGAAGAAGGCGAGGGAGGTCGAGGTAACAGTGATGGCCCCAATCCGCTTCCACTGATAGAGGGCGTCGTAAAGAAGCTCGGCAGCGGCAAGTGTGTTGAGATACCACGGGTTACCGCCTTGGTAAGAGTCTTCTGGGTAACGCCCAACGGCAGCAGCAGTGCCCGCGGGAATGCCATTGTTGATGCTGTAGATGCTGCGGAAAGAGTCTACAACAACCTTGTGATTTGCCAAAGCCCGATCAGAGCATCTAAACATGTTAGCGAACGTCATAGAGCCAATGCAACTGAGAGAGGGATAGCATACGGCTGGAATGTGCTTGCATCGCAATTTCCTTCAGGGTCAAAGGTGTGAATAGAACCCAAAAGAGTGTTGGCATCCTTGCCAGACCTGCCGTTGTTTTGGTTGATGTTGGCTATAATATAGCCTTGCGACGGGCTCCAGAAGCTTTGCAGAAAACAAAGAGCCTGAGCAGCTTGAGTTTGGGCATTCGGAAGGGACTTGCCCAGAGTAGTGGCCAATGCACTGGCTTCGACAAGAGCGCGGTGTTGGTTGGCAATGGTGAAGAAGCTGGAGCCGTTGACCTCCTCCCAGAGGTCGAAGCCGGTCTGGTTCCTGTGGAACGTAAGTCAAAATAAGCTTCAGCCTGTGTAACAAAGTCTTACCAGTATTGTGCCACATAGCTAATGTCATTCTGAATGATGGGCCACACAATCGAATTGGCAGTGGACTGATACCCATTGTTGATCAGCCACTTTGAGTACGTGATTAAAGCTATGGCTCGAAGCGCAGGTCCGTCTCTCTGTGGACGTCCCCAAGCTCCAGTGAAGGCGGTTTCGTCAACATTAAACTTTGGTTCACCAAGGCCTGTGCCGCTGTTGGACAGACTGCCCGAGGGATTGGATATGCCTTGCACTATTGCTTGCGCATTGATGTAATTCTCAATCTCAGTCTGCAGCGAGGATGAATAGGAGTTGATGAAAGTGTCAACGATGCATTTGAAGACTAGTGCCGAGTCTCGAGTCCAAGTATAAAAATCTGGAAACACGTTAACTTTATGCCTTTTGGTAGAGACGAGGTATTTCTTACAGTCTGGGTTCGTTTTCGATGGACTCGCTATAACGACGCCTGATTTGGCTCCTGCAGCACAGCTACCCGCCGATCCGATGTTGCACAACAAATCAGCAAGTGCAATAGGAACCTCCGTCTGGAGGAACGAGCTCGCAGATCTTTTCACGATATTGAATTCATTGCGACTTTCGCGGGGCCACTTAGGTACAGCGTGGACAACTTGCAGCGCACAGCATCCAACGGCTAAAAATTTGAGAGACAACATGGTGAAACGAGTCGAGGATGTCTCAAGAAGTTGATGCAGCGATGAGTTTCCCAAGACTCTTTGTCAACGCCATGGACACCTGTTTTATACTAAAAGTCGTGATTCTGGTGCCTGCCTCGGAACGTGTCCTTCCGCTGAGTTGAAGCTGTTTCGGCCATCTCGACATCACAATCGCGCCAAGACTGAGGTTTGCCGTCCTATCAAACTCGCCGAGTCAGGCCGACCTCCTGAACTCTGCATTGACGACGGATTTAGAGTCATTGATGTGAGTGGAAGTGGTGTCTCGAAACGGCCCGAACACGGTAGAGCTTCAGTCAGGACGGGAACGACGAACACGACGAAAACGACGAGATTGGCGGGAAGCGTCAACTTTTGTCATCCGCATTTTTCGATGACTATGTCTATTTTGGATATGAGTAGAGAGGTTCTTTGTAATCGATCCGCAGCATTGTGGTTGATCCGGCATGGGTCTCTGCTGTTTCTATAGTTGTGGAGGATGAATGAGGCCATCAACACCAACAACACCAAGAAAAGGCGGGGTTTAGTCCGACTACTGGCGACTATCAAATCGGACAAGGGCCGAATGCGACGCTGTCTGCCGAAATCATGCCATGAAAACCTGGAGACGGAAGAAAAACCTGGAGACGGGAGATATTTATTGGCCGAGGGGAATGCGGGGAAGCGGTTTGGCACTCGGCGAGATCGATGTCAGCATCAATGCGAAATTGCGCAATCAAGGGGAAGAGCAGATGCCGCACTGCAAAAGACCGAGCCGGGCCGATCCGTGAGTTTAATAATTACGATAAGGTGCCTTGTGCCTTGCGCATAAATATCTCATGACGGGTTGTGGGCAAGATATTTACAAGATTTTGATAGCATTAGCAAGATGATTACCCCGAAATCGATAGTTGATGTTGAATAAGCAGAGTAGATAAGAGAGAACAACATGGGGCAGAATACAACAAAGTCACGCAACAAGTAATAGGGCAAGACATGGTCCAGGAATGAGGGACGGCGAAATATTAAGATGCAGTGTTCATGATTCTTTAACATCGTTTACAAATTCGACAACGCTCATTGGCCTATAGGATCCATCTAGCGTTGTCACCACTATTTACCTTCAAACCGATCCCGTGCTTCATACTGATCAAGCGTCCTGACATAAGTAACCGGGCCGTCATAACGGCGATTTCCACGGAAAAAGTAGTATGCCAAAGAGAAAATGGTAACGCCGCCGTAAATGACAATGTTCCAGTTCATCTGAGCCGCTGTCGGATTGGGATTGCCAGGCATAAATGACAAGACAAAAATGAGCACGAGGAAGGCTTCGGAAGCAATGTTGATTGCAAGGCCCCATCGGCCGAGGCTGAACTTGGACGGCAGAAGCGGACTATTTGTCCATCGTCGCCAGATCATGCAGCCGGTCGAAACGATGTAGCTGGACAAGAGCGATACAGTTGCCAAAGAGGTGATGGAGTTCAAGGCTACAGCCGAGCCGATGTTGATAAGGGAGAGTAGAGCGGAAACAAGGAACGTCGTGATAATGGCATTGAGGGGCACATCCCATCCTTCTCTAATTTTGGAGAACCATGGGCTAAAGGGAACTGCCTGGTCTCGTGCAAATGCATAGAGCTGACGTGACGAAGTAGCCACCATGGTCAAGTTGGAAAAGACCGTCATGGCCACAATAAAGACTGACATTGCAGTTGCACTGCTCGTCGATTGTGTCGAGTTGTAGAATACCTGCATGAACGGATAGCCGGTCGGAGACGTAATCACTTCTCCAAGATCCCCCAAGCAGAAGCAAAAGGTGATCACCATGATCCATCCAAAGGCGCCGTTGAAGACAGTGGTCAAAATCATGGACTGCGGCAGTGAACGACCAGCATCACGCAGTTCCTCAGACATGTGCACAGCAGCATCTGCGCCCAGAAGAGGCAGAATACCGGCGAGTATTCCCACGAGAGCTGAACCTCCAAGACTGCCCCAGCCTCCGCCATCGCTAAACTCAGTAAAGACGGCCTTGGCATCTGCCCTCGGTGAAAGAACCCAGAGAGTGACGAGAATGCCAAAGAAGGCAAAGACGTGAATAACAAGGATGAGAGACTCGATAATGGGCAGCTTTCTTGCCAGGAAGGTATTAAATAGCACGGAGAATGCAGCAACAGCGATGGTGATGAGGGTGCCGTGCCAGGGCTTAGGCACGTAGTCGGGGTAGTTGAGCACAACGAGGCCTTGGATCTGCGTGCCGGCAATAAAGGCCGACGAGGCACACGAAGTCTGCCAGCCGAGCACACACATCCATCCCATGAGGTAGCTGATGAACTTTTGGTATTGCGGCGGGGCGAATTCGGATACCCAGTGGTATTGGCCGCCAGTTGTGGGAGCCCTGTAAATTGGTGTTGGTGATATGTCATACGTATGCCTATAAAGACAGACAGAGCCATTAAGAATCAAGACTTACATTGAAGCCATTTCAGCCATTGTAGTGTTAACCAGGAGGAAGCCGATCCAGCAGACAAAGAACATCCAGATGAGGCCGGCAGTGCCGCCGTTCACAAGTCCGATGGTAGAGACACTTTGCAGCATTTATTTAGTCATTGCTAATAACTTATGACATCCCGATCTTGTAATTACCTTAGAGAGAACTCCCACGAGGCCATAAGAATCATGGAAAAGCCAAATATGGACAGGAAGCGAAAGTTTCTCTATCAAGCAACGAACATGAGCCAAGTGTATCATCGTCACTAAACTTGCGTATACGAACCCTCATTTCCTGAGTCTTGCCCATGCGGTACATGTCGGCGCGGTCGGCCGCGGTTCCTTTCTTGTCGACATCATCGTTGTTTCCGAGCGCGGCGTCAACGACTTCCGGATTCTCTTTGTCGTCAATTGACATTGTTGTGATGCTCTGCAATCACCGCTTCAAAAGAAAAATCATAAAAAGATAAAGAGACGACAATGTGAGGGGCATTCAGCTGCAGCTAGCTTTTAAATGATGCAAGGAGAAAGAAAAGATGCATCCAACAAAACACACATTGCCGGAGAGTTACTACCAAGAGGCGTGTCAGGTCCGTAACAGGATGATTTAACGGTAGCAGTGAGGTAGCATTGGGCATAGCGCAAACTTCATGCAGATATATTCTGCAGCCATTTCTTCGGCCGGCGTCCCCAATACGGCCTGGTTTATGCACGTTGGTCAGCTCTGGATCCAATCCCTACAATGTGACGGTGCAGGGATGGCTACAGGGTGTTTTGATGCCGTCTCTCCGGCCAAGAGGGACGAGTCACATTTTGATAGTTACAGTTGCACGGCCTCTCCGCCACGTTTTCCGGTGCGATTTCCGGTGCCGGGAATGGGTTGCTCAGGATATAGCCGGGTAACAGAACACAACCGCTAGCAAGGGCCCATGCCATCATTTGATGAACCAATTCGTTTGACAGTTCGGGGACAGCTTGCGAAGCCCCACAGGCTGGTGGCTCGAGATGCACTGTAAGAGTTGCAGGCAGGCAAGGGTGCCCAGAAAATTTGATAATGTATCAACTGCGTACTGTATGCCTGGCTGCATGGCTTGGTGAAGCCTGACCAGGACATGGCAGGTTTTGCATCCTAGTCACAGTGTCACAGTCCGAGAGGCTGGTTTGATACGGGCATGCTGAATGGACGATAACCCCAAAACTAGGAGGTGAAAGAAATATCATCTTGCATCAAGCATGTTAGAACCAATGCTACGCGACAGACAATCCATCAGCGTCGTTGCTTTTGCTGTAATCCTCCTGTAAGCACGGATTCAGCTGTTAATATGCCACTATCTTCCTCTTGGGAGTCTTGTCCCATTTTCAGTTCAACTATCGTCAAAGTGTTGAATTTAGATTACACAAACTGAGCCTTCAAGTCTATCATCATGAACTCAGCATCAGTGAGCGGTGGCTCGGCTCCGTTCTCGCCCATCACGTTCAACGACCACGCCGGGAAGCTGTGGATTGTCACGATTCTGGCGCTGATTTACAGCTCGCTCGCAGTCATGGCACGCGCGTATATCAAGTATAAGATGCTTGGCCTAGATGATTTGTTCCTTGCCTTGGCAACGGTAAGAAAGCCGATCCGACACCCCGTTGACATGTCCATATCAAATATTGACATATATTGGCCTTTTAGATTTTGCATTTGGCTCAGGCAATTGCAATATTCGTTGGCTTGAACAATGGCCTTGGCAAGTTCAACTCTATCACACCGCCGGAACAATGGGCGATATCTTCGAAAGTGAGGTTCTACAAATCATTTCACACCTTTGCTTAGCTGCTAACACAACTGCTGTAGTGCGCTCTCGCAGCCGTCATCCTCAGCTTACTGGCCCTGAGTCTCGCCAAATGCTCAGTGCTCGCCCTCATTCTACGCATCATTGGCACCAAGGATGGAAAGACCAAAATAATCTGCATTACACTCATGGCCATCAGTGCGGCTTGGGGCGTAGGCTCCAGCTTGGCGTTTCTCATCAACTGCCGCGCCAATACATTATTGACGGTTGATAATATCAAGCAATGTCCCAATCAGGTGTGAAAGAAAGAATCTTGTCATTCCCCCTAACAAATTTTTTCATCAGACTGCTTACCAGAGAGTTACTTGCAGGAAATACGATGGGCTGTGATTACGGCTCTCGACATCTCCACCGAGATTCTCACCTGGATGCTGATTGTGCGGCTGTCCTGGACAGTCAACATGTCCTTCATCCGCAAGTGTCAAGTGGCCATGGTCTTCTCGTTCCGTCTGCTGCTCATTGCCCTCTCGGTTTGTCACTTGATTTATTTCGACAAATACCCGACTTCTGCCCAGCCGCAGTTTGCCGTTGCCAGCTCTCTGCTCTTCCAGCAGGTCATGATTGTGTGGTCCCTCATTTCTGCCACCGTGCCCAACATGAAGAACTTTTTGAAATCATTCTCCATCGGTATGGGGTTTCCGCTGCCCCCTGACCTCAGCTGGTATGAATCCAACCAATCGTACCAGCTCCAGTCGCTCGAGAGCAGACAGCCAAGGGGCGCTTCATCTACGGCAGCTGCAGCCGCAGGAACAGTTTCTACTGCTGGGGCTTATGACCCCAGTGACAGCGGGCTCCGCAGTCGCCCGTACAACTGGAGACTGGGCCAGGGGTTGAATGAGGCCACTGCCAAGGGACGCAGCAGCAACAATAGCAGAGAGGAACTATTAGAACTAGAAGAAGAATAGCAGCTAGACTAGAGACTGGGTATTACTATTATTAATTTGACATCTCGCAAGGTATTGCTTGTAACTGCTGCCTGCTGGACCCTTTGCAAACTACTCACGGGCCGCCCGTTCTTCAACAAGTGATGGTATTCCTAGCTCCGGCAGTCTATTAGCCCGAGTGCTTAGCTTCTTGAACTCAATACCACTTCAGTTAACAATTATGAATAAAAACAAGGACACGTTAGTCTTTCGTAGAGGAGGCCTATAGCTGAAGAAAAAGGACCGCTATCACATGAGGGATTTTCATGCGTTGAACACAAAACAAAAAGAAAATAAATCGCAACACCACAAGCCTCAACTAGTGGTCGTACAACAATGTACGGGGCGGTCGTGCATGCATGCAACCTTGTTTGCTGCAGAACCGCTGTTGGTCTGTAGGTTGTCACTTTAGCCACTGTGGATGACAAGGATTCAGCTTCCCCGGGCCAGTCGGATTAGTCGAACTCCAGGTGGCACCGCTTTCGACCCGTTGCTTTTTAGATCGAGACCCAATCCTCGGCCAAGAGCGGGATGGCGCAACGCCGTCGTGCTAGAATCAAGCCATGGGAACACCTTTTGACCGGACATGGAGACAGCTGCTACCTAATACTGATACTGTAGCATGGGTGCTCTTGGCCCCGCTAGGCTTGAAAGAAGTAGTTGCATAGATATTGATTTTTTTTGTTTGTTGTAAACTCCGTTCCCTTCTCGCATCTGTATGGATAACGGCCGGGACTGTGCTGGTCCTGATACATACACCCAAAGATGCAGGTACTGCAGGGGCTATATGAAAGCAGCCTATTTACCCCTTTTATAGACCCAAAACGGGCTTTCGTCTTGAACAATTAATTTGACTACTGGAGTTCCCTGTCAAGCTGCGCTCACATCATCTCCATCTTTCCGCATACGTGTATCTGGCGATATTAGGGCGGTTCTTCTTACTTACTTTTCTGAATCGTATCTCCCCTTATCAATAGTGATTACAGCAGATCCACGGTCACCGCAGGCTCCATTGGTCCGCAGTGTTTGCATCGTACCTATTTTTCCCCTTCTTGTTTTTCTTTTTCCGTCAAATGAATACATATCTCCCTGTTACTTGATAATCACTGGAATCATGTCTGATATTCAGATCCGCGAAGCGAGTTACGCGGAACTGCCTAGGATTGCTCACATCTTGGCAAAGGCATTTTGGGAAGACAACTTGTTTGGTCAGCTCATACATCCTCATCGAAATGAGTATCCTGACGATGTAGACTTGTACTGGCTGAGGCGAGCACGCGTCAACTTCTGGGATCCCCGTCGACGATGGCTCGTTGCTATAGAAAAGGACAAGAGCGGTCAAGAGACTATTGTCGGCATTGCGCAATGGGAACGGTTGGGAGACGGGGGCAAGAAACTCGAGCGCTGGACTTTGGATCCTCGTAAGTACATTTAGTGTCCCAGTTGTCTCAAAGGGTTGATCTCCATCGAAGCTAAGCAACCCGTGCAGGAAATATTTCCAAGCCGTTATCCTCAGCTGCCATGAAGATTCATGCTCTAGTCTGGCCCAACCGTGCAAGTGACCCAGGGGTAGAAGATATTATAGAAAGGTCCTACCCTCACTTTGACAGTATTTGGAGCGGCAAGCGTGCTGAATCGTGGTATCTCGAAGCACTGGCTGTAGATCCAGATTACCAAGGCAAAAATATAGGTCGGAGACTCGTACAATGGGGGCTTGAGCTGGCTGAAGCAGACGGAGTCTGCGCGTCGGTGGTCAGTGCCTTTGGAAAAGATGAGTTTTATAGGAAATGCGGGTTTGATGAGCAATATGGCAACGCCGGACAAGGCGACGGGAATCCTTTGGCGGGTATCGATGGAGCTAATATATTTTGGAAATGGCCCAAGTCTAGCTCTTAAGCGTTTAATGGCGACAATATGTGTATTTATAGAGCTTCTAGACTCATTATTGTATCTCATGGCATAGGGGTCGATCATGTTTTTTGCAGGCCCAAAGGTCAGCAGCTGTATCTTGATGCAATGTTCGTGCTTCTTGCCCGAGTGCCTCTGAACTTCATGCATCCTATTCTAGTTCCAAAGGAACATGATTGCAGTTCTCTTTCTTCTAAGAGTCGGTGAAAGAAGAGTCGCTCCGCTACTTAAATCAGTTACTATAAACCCGTGTGGGATTGCTGACAAGAGTGATGGCTATTCGTTTCTGATGTTCTTTCGAATTTACAATGTCTTGCTTAATACTTGATTGTAATTTTTTAAGTGCGATATTCCCGACACCAATGTAAAGAAGACAGCGCCTATCTCTAACCTGGAAATGATTCCTGCCCGCAAGTTGGATTTTTGGAGGAGATCTACCGGCCGATTGAAAGCCACAAATGTTTACACACATGGACACCAGATACAATCTCAAAGTTCAATAAAATTTGTTATAGTAAACTACCCATACTATTTAGTCCTGGTATTAAACTGTAGCAGACGGAAGTTTGGCGGCGTCAAGTATCGTAAGGATAAGGAGCGTCTGCCTCAACGCCATTCTTTATCTTCTCATCCAGCAGCTTATACCATGATATAACAAACGTCGCCCGGCAGATTATATCAAGAACAGCTTTCTTCTCCATTGGCTCTTCTGGGGCGTATTCTCCCATGGAGTGAGCAAAAAGCGGCGCTATATCGTACCGACAATACTTGCATAGCGCTTCGATGTGCAGTGGATGGAGCGGTTTCATATCTTGACGCACAACGAGAACACTCCCGACACTATTCTGCCATTGCGTAGTAGCGAGTCCCCAGCCAAGCGTTCCAGCCTCAAGGTTAAAGGTGGCATTCGGGTCGCAGCATTGATGGAGAAAGGTCGCATCCTGGTTGTTGAATGGAGAATGGTGATTGAAGATATTGTTTTCTTCATCATCAGCCCAAGTGGTTTGGAGGAAGGCCATGTGTGAATATGGGGAGTCCAATGCGGTGTGCAATGCCTGACATGTCATGGTTGTCAAAAATGGGATCAGTGGAAAGAATCTCGACTGATTCAAAGGCTGGTTTGTTGCACATCTTTTGGTCGCCAAGGCAATTGATTCTGACAGCCTTAATCGTTTGGGCGGCAGTTGCCGGTGTGTAACTGTAACTCAGGAAGTAGTCGAATATATGTCGAAAGTCATCCATATCAAGATCTCTGCATTTTTGCTGATCTATTCCAAGGCCAGTCATTCCATAGGCAAAAATAGGTCCTCTCCAGTCGTGGTATTGTCCGGGCTGTGTGGAAGTGGCTCGCGCAACACTCCGGTTGGGTTTTGACCCATCAATGAGGAAAGTGTCGCGATGGCCAATATATATCGTATTGAGGAGGTTTCGTTTCAACCTGGGATTACGCTGAATTGGAGCCATCTTCGTAAGAGCGTCCGAACCCAGAATTGACCTCGTCTCGAAAGATTGATATCTGTAATCCCATTCATCCTCTTGGTCGTCAATGTGCCACTCGGAGGCATGCCAGATAACCTCTGGCTTTCCATCAACTGGGAAAAGAAGGACGCGAAAATGATCGTCAGTTGGCCGGTTTGATGCGACGTGAGTCGTGAAGCTTGTACAAACTATCTTGTGAGTAGGCCAGTCTTCCTTTTGGCATGATGTCGAACAATAGCGGGCACTTTTGCATTTTGCACAACGCCGAGCACCTTGATTGTCGCAGACGAAGCACCAGCTTGATGCATCCGAGCTTGCCATGTTGTGTTCAGCTAGACAATTGATGCTGAAAATGCGAATATGCGAAGATCAATTGTAGGCGTTGTTATAAGGTCGTCTATTGATCCTGTGGGTGACGCACTGGCATTCACCCATATATACCTGCGTAGGTATCATACGTGCTCTGAAAAAGCCATCGTTGTTTTGTCCAATCACTTTCTGACACATGGGCAGCGGCTACCTACTATCGCATTCATTAACATTAATTAGTTGTACATGGTGAATATCCGCCTGTTTTTTAATCCTTTGACCAATGACTTTCCAACACATCGGTAGTACCAAATCCTGTGTAGCACTTTGGAAGCGGGAGGCCCTCAATCTCATCATCGTAGCCAAGAAGCGGGACAAAGACATCCGACTCGCTCAAGTGGCTTTGGCTGCGATACCCAATGCGTTTCGTCGGCCACAGGGCGGTGGTCCTTCTCAATTTGCACGTACTCGTTGTACATGCCGATGAATTCATAGACATTGTTCTGCAGATGTTTAACATCAGGCTCCTCATCAGGCTTCAGGTCCCTGGCGTTGCTAACCCGAATTGGATCGTCCCAGGCGTTGGCATAGCAGACTGGATCAAGCCAGAAATAAAGGTGCTTCAACGATGTAAAAAATAGAAGCAGTACCGTCATGTCGCCGCTGTTGAAGAGATCAATGCCAGGAACTTTATTCGTATAGCGCTCTCGCCCATCTTCCGAGTCTTGCGAGTCCTCCGAGCCCTGTGAGACAACCGGAAACATTTCGCCGCCGCCTAAAAGGCGTGAGAAAATGGCTACGTTCTGGAAGCAAGAAACCAGCTCTTTGAACGCGGCGAACTGTTTGTCGCTGTAGGGAAATTTTTTCATCATAGATTCGTTTGTGTGCCGCCAATACTCTTCGCTAGTCAGTGATGGAAAATACGTGTGGTTCAGGCTCATATCTGGCACCGCATAAATAACCAGCATATCCGTCTCTGGAGAGCAGCGCACCAGGCGACTTTTGGCGGCCGAATGCCACGGGCCTCGATACACTCTAAGAACTTGCGGGTACATCTCAATAACTACTGTGCGAGATTCCCGGCAAGCGAGGCTGAGACCGGCCATTGCCAGCGAGGATTCTGATTCTTCGGGACCGGAGACCAGGTCCGTGGACGCAAAATAGCCATCGGACATGCAGTAGGTTGACCAGTGCGGAACTCCCTCTATGAATCTAGGACAGCTGCCGTGTTGGCCACAAAAGTCGCCCGTGCTGGTGAAACAGGCGTGAGCCGTTGCTTGGAATTGGGGATGCACCTCAACGTGAATAGTTCGATCGACGGTGGCTTGGAGAAGAGCAGCGCGCCAGATTAGGAGTCTTGTTTGCGTGGGGAGTTGTCCGAAACGAGAGAATTGCCAGTCTCGCATCGGCTTGGGATTGGGATCGACAACTGGAGGCGGTTTTTTGCTCACCCGCTTGGGCTGATTTATTGCTCGTTTGGGCATGTTGATCGAATGGGTGTGGAGTTTAGACAGAGTTGCAGAGAATTTGATACAGAAACTGCTGCTATTAGCGAGTGAATGAGGGAACATGAATAGATACCATCTTCAGTGTTAATGTTTGCTGCGCACGTGATTTAGGCGGTAGCAGGCAGATTGACTCCACCAGAATTGCGTCCAAGCTTCGAAGACATTGGGATGCGATTGGCAATATGAGTGCATGTATCTGTGCGCAGTTACAAAGAGGTAACTGAGCCAAGAGAGGCTAAGAAAGACATGAAAACAATGAATAACGCAAAAATAGAAGAAAAGAAGAAGAAAAAGGCCAGTCTCATAGTTACAAGAATAACCTTGGCTTTGCATGCTTTGACCAAAAGCTTTTCAACTCATCGGTAGTAGCTGCATCGGATGGCATGTTTTGGAAGCCAAAGGCCTTCAATCTCATCGTCATAAACCAAGACTCAGGAAAACAATATCCAATGTGTTCAAGTAGTTTTGGCCGTGGCACCCAATGCGCGTCGTCGGCCACAGAATGAGTGTTTTGGGCTTTGACTGCATCATTATAGTCTTTGAGGAATCCCAAACTGTCTCTGCGCAGCATTTCAGCGCCCTGCATTGTAGGCTCGATATCCTCGACATTGTTGGACCGAGCCCCATCTCTCCAACTCTCATAGGGCCAGCAGAGCGGATCAACCCAGATATAAAGGTGCCTCAACGATTTGAAAAAAAGGAGCCGCGCTATAATATCGTTGTCAGGCCAGATTCTATCATGAGGCCAGAAGTCACCAGATATCCACTCTTGCCGAATTTCGCCGTTAAACTCGGGGAACTCCTCGCTCACGCAAATTGCTACGTGCTGGAAGGAAGAAACTATTTCTTTGAATGCGCTGAACTGTCGCTCATTGTTAGGAAATTCGATCATCTTGACCTCGTTTAGGTCCCGCCAGCCACCTTCTCTGGGGTGACGGAGTCTCAGGCTCTCGGGCACCGGATAGATGACAAGGACATCTGTTTCTGGCCGGTAGCGCACAAGACGACTTTCAGTGAATGGATCCAATTCGCTCCATCGGCGCTTCAAGATTCTAAGGACCTTGGGGTACAGCTCAAGGACCGCTGTGCGAGATTCGCGACAGGCAAGGCTAAGGCTTGCCAGCGCAGCAGGAGATATTGCGTCCTCAGGACTAGGCATCATCTTGGGACATGAGAAATAGCCCTCGACCATGCAAATGGATTGCTTGTGGTCGACGTTGTCGACGTTGAGAACTGTCGAACAGCTACCGTGCTGGCCACAAAATGCCCCATTTCTACCGATACAGGAGTGATCAGTTACATATAAAAAGGGATGCATCTCGACGTGAATCGATCGGTTCACGGTCGCTTGGTGGACAGCGGTGAGCCAGATTTGAAGCCGTATTTCGGTGGGAAGTTCCTCGAACCGGGGGAATAGCGCATTTTGAATCCGCAGTCTTTTGCTTACTCGCCTGTGCTGAGGGTTCTCAGGTGTTGGTCGTTTGGGCATAGTTGCTGGTGGCTTAGTCGAGGCAGAGAGAGTAGAGACGGGAGTTTGACCAAGGAGTTGCTACTACCAGGTGTTAACGAGTGTACCTATGCATGCGTCTGTCTTCAATGTTCTTACTACACACGTGATTTTAGGTGGTAGCAGAAAGACGGACTCCACTGTGATTGCGTGAAAGCGTACATGTCGGTGGGTGATTGTGTCGTTTTACTGAAGCTCAGCACTAATTGCGCAGGAAGAGCATGCCTGTACACATAAGATCCAGCTACTTGTACAAACAAATCAACTACAAAACGATCGGAAATTAGCTCCGTTGCGCACGGCGCTGCAGTGAAAAAATGCACAATAACATGAGAAATAGCAATTAACATTGAGATTACAATATACAACTAGGTAGAAGCCGTCTCGGACGGCTGCGATAACAAATATATTTTCAAGCTACTCTAATCACATCTTCTACCTACGAAAAACCTCGACTTTTGGATCCGCTCTTAATAAAGCTTTCGCGATACCTTGACGATCACCGCCCCCGAATCAGACAAGTATCCCTGAAACTTCTTGTCATTCCAAACCTTGTTATTTGGATCAAAAGTAAAGATGACGGGCTTGTCAAAGTTTATGGTCTGCTCACGCCTGTATTTACCTTTAGCCTTCTCCAATTTTTGACCACTGGCCAGTTCTCGCTTATAGCGAAACTTGCTATGGATATCATCCAACACCAAATGGGTATAATCTTTCTTGAACATTTCGTCGAGATTCCACCTGCCCATCATTTGAATAGGACGTCCAAAAGACATCGCCCACTCTGTCTTACCACAGCGCGGAGGCCCAACAATAACTAAAACTTTCGGGCGCTTACTCCCCAAATTGTCAATATTGTCTCTCTTCCACTTCAACATCTTGAAAGTAGCTTTCCAAGGTTTTACATCAAAATCGTGATAATGGGCGAGAGCAGAGAGAGCAATACGACGCATTCTAGCGCGAAGAGGAGCACAAGGAAGATATCTCGACTCTTTACCATTAGACATATTGCCACGCTCTATACTAAAATCTATGCTTGGAAAATAAAAAGAGAAGAGTGTTCTAAAATCTCTGGAGGGGTTCACGCTCACGCTTATAAACTGCAGAAAGTGTCCTGTCTGCGGGGGCTTACACCTTATTGGTTCAGCTGCGGCCCATAAAAACGCTTTCCAATTAACGCCTGGGGCAGAAGCTTCTATACCCTGGAACGTGTAAATTGCTTGAAATGGAATAATTAAACCTTTCCATTCATGGGATTTCCTTGCAGATGTCAAATCAGTTAGAACAATATAAAGGTAAAAGCAGTGTGAAAAGCAGTTAAGCATCTTTGGTCAAGTTCTTGCCCCTGTCCACATAGGCATCCACTTTGTAACTTGCAAATTCTCTAGCTTTCACCCCAGACACAAAGAGAATATCCAACTCTTCAAAAGTCTTGTTCTTGGTCTCGGGCAGCCTAAACCAGGTCCAAACGAAAAAGACAAAGGCCCAAAACCCCCAGAAAAATCCAGTCTTGCCGCGCCAGTCTCCCGCAGTGGGGTTTAGCATATAAGGGTTAACAACATTGCAAATAATCTGAGCGATGTAATAGACGATCCGGCTGAGACAGACGCTTTTGTTTCGCAGACGGGTTGATGATACCTCACTGATAATGGCGTAACATATGGGGCCGACAGTAATGTAATAAACAAACTGCCATAGCAAGACCATACTCGCCTGAGCATAATTGCCCCCGGCCGAGTCAGCAGCTCCAACACTGATAAATCCGACGGCGAGCAGTATCGTAGTCAGGATGCCCAAGCCCCACAGATACATGGTGCGTCTTCCGAGGCGATGCATCAGAAACCAAGAGATGATGGTTCCCACAGATGCGAGTCCCAATCCACCGACGGACATTTGGAATGAGATTGAGGTAGGCAATCCAGCCTGGACAAAGAAGTAGGTAGGCGTTCCTCCCATGGCCGATCCGCAAAACGGCTGAGCAGCAAAAGCCATGCATGCAATCTCTGTACGATAGCGATCAATGCCACGGAAACAGTCCCAGTAAGATGTTCCCTTATCGATGGACTCTTCCAGCTCGTTCGTGTGGACCATCATGGCCAAAGTCTGCTTGGCCGTGTCTCTATCTGCACCCAGGCGAATGATGGTCTTTTCCGCATCGCTTAACAAGTCCTGGCGAACGTAGAACCATGGCGACTCTGGTGCAAACCAAAGAATGAAGAATAGAGGGATAGGCCAGGCCCATTGAATGGCAAAGGGAATTCTGTAAGACCATTGCGTGGTGTTGTTCTCGAATCCAGATTGGACCCCAGCCGAAATGAGCTGACCGAAAGCCCAGCATAGATTAACGTAGACGGCTAAATATCCGCGGAGAGCCATTGGGCAGATTTCTGAGGCATACGCAGGGGCCTATTTGGACGGATGTGTTAGTGAATCAACCCCCAAATACACAGTACGATACTTTGGGGCAGTTGAAGAGTACAGAATGAGTCTGTTCTCTTCAACGATCAAAGTGGTGAGGCAAAGGAACGGGAACTTGGGAATAATTGGGGATCAAATCCTATGAGAGCGCAGTGGAGCTTGGAAAATACTGTGTTCACGTACCATGGATGCAAAAACTCCCCAAGGAATACCGCAGAGCAGCTCTCCAGCCAACAAAACGCCAAGATTGGGAGCGAAGAAGGGGATAAAGACAAAGCCGACAACGAGAAGTAGAGACGCCAAGAGCACTTTCCGATAGCCGAACTTGTGTGTAAAATATCCGTTTGCAAAGGCGCCGATAATTGTGCCAATGCTAACCGCATTACTCAGACCATTCTGCCACGATGCAGATATCTGGTAGGCGTTAGATCCGGAGTCGAACTCGCCGTATCGTTTCAGGAAGGATGGCTGTGCAAAGAAGGAATTGATGAGGACGATGTCGTAGCCTTCCATGATGATGGAGGTTGACAGCAGAACCGACCACATGACGGCCTTGGGATACTTGCGGATGGCTTGCAGGAGGCCAAGATTGTGATCGGCCTCGGCTGCTTGCCTCGCCAGTTCCGTGTCATTGACAGCATCGAAGCTTTGGTGCTCCAAAGCGACCGCTTCAACCTTTTCATCGTCGTTCACCATGGCTGATTGTCACAGTATCGTTGAAATGAAGTGGAGCGAGGATGAAGGCGGATGATGGTAGCCGAATAGGGATGTTCAGGACAGGCGGGTCTCAGATATACGTTTCTGCAAGCAACCCTGAATGTCCATTTAAACACTGGCAGCCAGTATTGAATCTAGATCCTGCCAAGCCTCCCCGCATTACATAACGTTGAGAGTGAAATAACAAGAGCTGAACACGAGCCATCAACAGTAATGGGAGGAGAATGTCTTGCGATGGGGCAATTGCCATAAGTAACAGCCCATAGTCTGGGGTCCCCGCGATTCATTGAACCTTGTTGCAGATAATCACCAGATGGGCAAACTCTCTTCCACCCAGACCGGCATCCTTTGATGGCTTAGGGGGTTTCGCTTCGACGAGGATTGGCTAAAGCGGTGACATCGCGGTGGGGAACCCTGAAAATCCGGGGATGGCGGGCCAAATTGCGATGGGGGCGGGTCTGGGGACCGGTGAGCACAGACGCATTATTCGCTCGACTATTTTTGGCATGTCGTTAATGAGTGTAAAGTTGAGTAGATTGCAGTGTTTGTTGGATATCAATGTATGCGTGCAAATAAGGGCTAGCATACCCGTCGTCGCTTTACAAGAAGATTCATCAGTTTCTTTGCCTTTCCTATGAGATGCGTTGATGCATATCGTGTCTTTGTTACGGCAATACTTGCTATTCATTTGGTATACTATTGAAGCAGTTGTTATGTCGACCTCTGCTCCATTGCTTGGACCAGGGAGGTCAGCACCTCCATATAAACCCCGTCTACTTCCCATGCCCCATTTTCAAGAAGTCGGATACCTTCTCGGAGAATCCTGCTTGAGGCAGAGGCCTCTGTAATAACGCCAACCCTTGCCATATGTGCAGACATCTTATCACCGTGACGAAGGTACAGCTGCACCATCTCATCGTCGCACGGTCGGTCTATGTAGATAATATTGAGTTCCGAATATAGTTCCTCATCCTCTGCAGATGTCGTGGGGTGCTCGGTTTCAGGCGAGGGCGCAGCTTGAAGCTCTTCTTGCTGCTTTGCAAACTGTACCGAGACACTATACGCCCAGATGACGAGTGTGGCCGTGTATATTGCAAAGGGCTCTAAAAAGCCTCTCCTTGAGTACCGCCGTATATGCCAAAATAGTGAACCAGCGTGAATGATGGCTAGCCTGGCCTTGAAGGAGTCATTCATGGCCCATTTAAGCACACAGTTGCTTGCGTCTGTGTATCTCCGATTGAGGGCGATATTTGAAGCGTTTCCGTTGCTGGAGTTAGTTGCCAAAGTTTGGATTTGTGCTACAGGCGTAAGTAAGACAAGCCGAGATAAATGCAGATACATGATGGTAGGGTGTTCTAATCCCCCGGCACCGGCAGCTTTGCTATTAGCTCTCCAGTGTAATATATCGAGACAGTCACACGCGCTATTGCGCCACTTTGACAGTGTTGGATTTGACGGGGGCCAGGTTTCTGCCAACGAGCTTGGCTGGACTTCGCGTAGTTGAAGTGTAGCGCTGGGAGTCCAGTTCGCCAGCCGAGTCTGGTGCTGGATAATGACTTCCTTGGTCCTTCGCCAGATTCCATGAATGATTAGAATGTTACTGAAATCGCTTAGGCTTTCTGGGAGTTTCTTCTCGATATACAACATCTCAATCGCATCCAGCAGGGTGACTATAAGAAGTGATTTTAGTTACCAATCTTGAAGAGATTCAGCATAGATGCATGGGGAATATACCAGATGATTTCTGCTCTGCAGCAACCTGTTCCATTGATGGAAGCTCCCAGATGTGATCTTGGCAAGGCAAAGAGACCTTTGCATCTGCCAATTGCATCAGTGGAGCTGTATTGAACTCGTACGAGACCATAGCGTCGAGCAACTAGAGGCGCGTCAACTGGCGAAAGAGGATAAAACTCTGGCATTTCAGGCCTTACCCATATCATCAAGACAACCCTGATGCGGGACTGGTTCGTTAACCAGCTCTGGGCGACATTATCACCATCGTGATGGTTATGTCCTTCCTCAGAGTCTCTAGATAGCAGCCTTAGTTCTTTACATTCTCCAATGAGGTAGTTCCGTTCCAGTAGAGCGCGCCTTGTCATATCCGGCTTGCCTCTATGCAGCGAGTAGATCAAAAAGAGCGTCGCCGCCTGCAGGGCGCCAAGGCCAATTTCGCTATTTCCTAACTCCCCAAAGGATGATGTTGAAGAGACTGTAGCTTCTGTTAGTCGGTCGTAGCACAGGCGGCTGATAGACATGCTGTCTAGCACGGCTATAAACTCTGAGCCAAGTACATGTAATCGCTCATCATCATCATACGTTGTGTATTTAGACCCAACGACCGCAACAGCAAGGAGAAGTATCCAGTCATTGCTTGAATGTTCCAAGAATGCCGCTTTGCGGATGAAAGAAAATGTGGGATGGAAATTCGCAAAATAAGATTGGACACAATGAGCAATGCACTCTAGAGAGGGGAGCGTGCTGGCATCCATCATCACATTCTGTTTGCCTAGTTCGAGGTGTAGGTGTCGTATCATGTTCTCATAGCTTTCCACACTCACCAAGTTGTCCTCCCATCGGCCATTAGCTTCGCCATCTGTGTAGTTCGTTGCGTTGCTCCCTGGCGTTGATGCATTGTTAACACCAGTCATAGGTCGTCTCCTCCATTTTCGGGCAACTTGGCCGCCAAAGGGCGCTCGGGAACCATCTCCGTCTACATAGTAGCTTCCAGCCGTCGATTTGACGGTTTCCAAGCCAGATCTGTTACAGGAGTTTGTTGAATGGCCAATGCTGTTGAGACTGGTATCAGGTTGACTAATACTAGGCGCCTGTGCATTGGTCCGTGGAATGCATTGTTGGCTAGGATTGGGCACAGCTCCCGAGTTGGAGAAGAAAAAGGGCAGATAGAGATCGTTCTTGTCATTCTCAGCATATGGAGGTACAGAAACAAGCCCATCCCACCCGAGCGAAGCAGATTGTTCCGGAGACATCCAATTCATAGAGAGAAGGTCTAGGGTTTGCTCATTAAAGCCTGAGATGGAACCGAACTCGTAGATACGCTGGGCGCTGTGGTATCTAGACCCCGCAGCCTGACAAAGCTCAAACATGGCTGGCTGCTGGTTCCAAACGTTGGAACTGGATGATAAATGATTGCCATTTGTTCCCTCGGCATTGTAATTGTTCATGTCCACCGAAACCGCAGGTGCAGTTGGAAGTAGTGGTGTCTCTTCTTCAGCCTGTCCCTCAGCTGTTCGGTGAGCTGCGTCCAAACTCGAATATTGTGGCTCGTTATCAATCTCCGCTCTCGTGTCGATGATTGCTGTGGCCTTGGACTTCCGAGTTGTGGGAAAGACGCAAGTCAAATTGCGTTGAAGGCATCGTCTACACGGGTCACTCCGAGAGCAGCGAGCCCGGCTTGTGGCACATTGTCTGCATGCTCTGGAACGTGTTACAACACTTGGTTCTTCGCAATCCTGTTCATGAGACGTGTGGTGGCGATTCAAGACATCCCTATAAAACTTCATAAACAATGAATCCAGGCTTTAGGCGTAGGGGCAGAGCAAGCGGAGCGCAAACAACTTACTGGCGAGCGAATCCTTTTCCGCAAACAAGGCACTGAAAGGGCCTCTCGCGAGTATGGCTCCTGGTATGTCTCACAAGGTGCTCTTGTCTGCTAAAAGTCGCGTCACAAATGTCACATTTCTTATCCGTGCCCTGCTTTGATCCAGTCGGACTTGCAGCTGCCATGCCCGACGCTTGTTCACAGAGGGTCAAAGAGGAATGGCGTTTGGGTCTCGCAGAGATGACGTTAGAGGCATCTGCTTTGCATAAGTAGGTAAATCGGCTTGCGAGAACGATCGAGAGAGTCAGTAGATTGTGAGATTGAAACTAAAAAGTTGCTAAGAGAAGACATAGAAATGGCCCGGAGAAGCAGAAGCAGCCACACAGCCGGGATTCATCGCATCACATCGACAACCACGCTCCATCATTGGTGCTGATTCATCCAGTGACCAAACCCCGCAGAAAATCGCTGATTGAGGGCCATCCGTGCGGAGTATTTCTGCGCTGCGACGCTATAACTACCTAGTCTAAACCGAGCCTTGCCTAACAAAACTTGATTACAGTGAGGTCGTGATATTGCCTGTAAAAGTGAAGTGTCACTCTTTAGGTTTTAGGTGACAAGTGTGTTCAAATTTTTGGATAAGCCGACGGTAAATTTGCATCATCAGTAAAAAGTAACAATCACGTTACAAAGTTGGTGTATATGAAATCGTAATGATCTTGATTCTGTATTGTGAGTAGCGAGGCGCACCAAGATCAATGTGCCCTCAAAGATCGAGGCTCAAGGTCCGAACAATTTGGGCTGCCCTGTAAAGACAACTAGACTTTCTTGAAATATATAAAACTTCCATAAATTCAGCGATTTCCGAAGGCATTTTCAACCTACTGGGTTTACCTATGCTTGGTATTGTGGATTTTCACGACTGAAGTTGTGTGATTTACACGACACATGCAAGCCGTGAAAATTCCCGGCGGGGTTATTATAGTTATCATAAGCAATTTTGCCGCTACGTGGTGGCTTAACTGTAGTGGTTACAGAAAAAGAACCATGTCTTGATAACCTTCATCTTCACACAGAGGCGAGGAGGAGAAGCAGCCTGGCTTGTGAGAACTCAATCCCTGTTTTCAGATGCGCTATGCTCCGCAGCACTACTGCTCAATACCACGGCGCATCAGTGAACATCGTACAAGACTTACAGGATGAGAAACAAGAACAATGCCTGCACTTTGTTCCGGTGGGGTGGCTGATCTCCAAGGCGATTTGATGTCGCAAGAAAGCCGGATAAAAGGGATGAGTCTTCCGTCAAGTCGAACTGCCTTTGAGGCATCGTGAGTTTTCAAGATCGCTTTGCAGCAATGACTCGTCCTATCACTTCGTTGATCGCGTTGTTGATCGCCACTTCTAGTTCGGCGGCTCGACAGATTCGAGCATCATCTCAGGGGACTGCAACCGTAGACATCGGCCAAACTCATGGCTCGGCAACATTCCTCGCATCTGGATTCATCTACGGCTGGCCAGACAATGGCACATCTGCCTCAACCCAGATCCCTGAGAATCTGGTAACGGGATTCAACTTCAATGCGAATCGTGCCGGCGGAGCTCAGCTCCCCGTTGGGGGATGGGCAACAGGTGGTTTAAGTGGTTATACAGAAAGGTTCCAGTCGGCCTTGTCAAACTACCGGACCACGCGCAAATATGGCGGAGAATTTATCCTCTTGCCTCACGATTTGTGGGGTGCAGATGGCGGCGAGGGCTCAACGTCTCCATTCCCCGGTGACAATGGGAATTGGACCGAGATGGAGGCCTTTTGGTCCCAAGTCATATCAGATCTAAAGACGAACAAAATGCTGGAAAGCCTTATCATTGACCTCTGGAACGAACCAGATGGCACGGGTTTCTGGCCTCGCACATGGGATCAATTTCTGGAGTATTGGAACCGCGCTTTTGTGCTTGTTAGGTACGTCTTGCTTTTGTCATTCATTATGCCATCTGTAATACTAGAGTGATACTAATGATTCTCTCACAGAGCTGGACTGCCTGGAACTCTTATCAGCGGACCAGCAATGGCAAATGCACCAGGCCTCCAGAACAGCAACTGGCTCACTTGGCTTCCATCCATCGTCGGCAACAAGACTGTGCCAGACCACTACTCTTGGCACCAAATCGGGTCCTGGGAGCGTTCCCCCGACCAGAATGTGCCAGACTTCAATACGCTGCTCAAACAGTTTGGCGCACCGACGAAACCAATCGACAACAACGAATATGCCTGGCCGTCAGAACAGAATCCGGCAAATGCAGCGTGGTACTTGTCTCAGTTCGAGCGTCACGATATCCGTGCCTTGCGTGCCAACTGGGGTAGCGGCTCTGACCTGCACAACTGGATGGCTAATCTTGTATACAGCAAAAACGGCACTTACTATCCCAATGGTGAGTGGCAAGTCTATCATTATTATGCAGGCATGACCGGCGAGAGGCTTGTAACCGCCGCCTCTTCCGACATTCAGTTTGATGCCTTTGCTACTCGCCACGGCAATGCGATAAAGATCCTGGCTGGTACCAGAACAATCCAGGCGCCTTACGATATTAGTGTAACCAATCTCAGCCAGATTGGCCTTGGGTCAAGTGGAAGTATCAACGTCCATGTCTATCGGTTTGATTGGAATGGGACAGAAGGCGAGGTCGACGGCCCTGTTGATCTAGGCTTGGTAAAGTACTCCTATACTTCAGACACGGTAAGTTATCCAGACACTGCGATAAATGAATTGCGCATACTAAGCAATCATGATAAACAGCTCATCATCACTCTGAATCCGCCGACAAACTCGACAGCCTACGCTTACGAGTTCTCTGGATCCTAGCCAAGTCTCTCTACTTCTTAACGACTTCATTAAGGCTCAGTAGATATATTAGTATTAATATACTACAAGAACAAAAAATCTGAAACCACTATGCTGCCACCCGTTCAAATTCATAGGTAGTTTTCGTAGTGTCTCATTTATTGAAATCGTGAACAAATCTCCGTACCTACCTACCTTATGTATATATGCAGTCCACCGGCCAGCACATCTTTTCCAAGATATAGGTATATAGAGATCCGGTTGTTCTTTTGAGTGAAATGACGCTTGTCTCATCCCACTTTTCCGATTGAATGAGCGCCCAGCATGAGCAAAGACGTGATTTCCATCTAAAGCCTTACTCTGACTTTACGTGTTCTTAGCTAAACTATTACAACATTGCTTTTTTGTTTGTTCCTATTTCCCACTTCTGAAGCCATCTTCCCCCGCCGGAAAATAATATGCAGACCCTCTACTGCAGTGTGGAGCCAAAGCAGGTCCGTTGGGGAGCGTTACTTGTCGCTCTTATGACCTGGTTATCCCCGCATCGTGTAACGCAATAGCTCTGGCGGTTAATTACTTTAGCCTTGAGTGGTGCTTTTTACCTTTCTATCAGCTATAGGCGCGCGTATCACAGAGCTAAAACATGATGCATTGGTATAACTCCACTGGAAGAGCTATCATGTTGGGCTACAGCTTGTCACTTTGCATCTATCAAGGTGCTCGTAAACTCGCGATTTAATCGGGGAATTTTTTTCTTCTAACCGCGCTGTAAATTAGAGCTCGAACGACCCTGGCACTGGAGCGGACTCGGCCAAAACTCCGGTGGGGGTGGAGCTAGATCAGCGAGATGGAGGGTGTGGTGAAGAGCTATGGGAAGCTGTTGAGGGGAGCATTACGCAGTCTGGTCAGAGTAACGATGGATCTTCTGGTGTACTTGCAACGCTCTTCTCGGGAACTCGGGAGGTTTCTCTCATGTCACATCAGATCGAAAGAATTCTTCCGGTGGTGGCGGCCGCACAGATAGACGCTGTCGTCATAGTCGCCTTACACTCACATTTGCTCCAAATTTACTGCTCATGTCAGTTTAAAAGCTCAGCAGCTATAGAGAAATCTTTCAATTCCTACTCTTGCGGCTATCGCTCAGCGTGATTGCGCTTTCTAGTCTTATATCCTTGTTCTATATGCGATAGAATCTCCAATCCTACAAAGAAATAGAAGAAGGGAAAGAATTGGCTTACCAGTTGCGATGCTACACTCTGAAGAAAATCGCCTCGTCTTCACTTACGATGGTGAAACGCTATGGATCGAGCCATGGGGCGCAAATGCTCTGAGAATTCGCGCAACCAAGCTGCCATCGATACCGCAGCAAGATTGGGCGCTCCAGCCGCCTTCTTCATCAAAACCCAGCATTAAAATCACCCAAAATAGCGGCATCATTATCAATGGCAAGATCAAAGCCGATGTCAGCAAGTCGGGCAAGATTAGAGTCTGGAATTCCAAAGGAGAGCTGCTTCTCGAGGAGTATACACGGAACCGCAGAGACGTGCTCGACCCAAAATGCAGCGCCATCGAGGTCTCGGCTCGTGAATTCAAAGGCATTCTCGGCACAGACAACTACCACCTCACAATGCGCTTTGAGAGTGTCGATCCGAATGAGAAGATTTATGGCATGGGACAGTACCAACAACCATTTTTTGACTTGAAGGGCACCGACCTTGAACTGGCTCACCGCAATTCCCAAGCAAGCGTGCCATTTGCGCTCTCATCGCTTGGTTACGGCTTTCTGTGGAACAATCCAGGTGTTGGGCGCGCTGTTCTAGGTCGCAATATCATGAGCTTCGAGGCATATTCCACCACAACTCTGGACTACTGGGTGGTGGCAGGCGACAGCCCAGCAGAAATTGAGGAAGCCTACGCGAATGTGACTGGCAAGGTCCCCATGATGCCGGAGTACGGCCTCGGCTTCTGGCAATGCAAGCTGCGTTATCAGACTCAAGAAGAGCTGCTCAATGTTGCCCGAGAGTACAAGAAAAGAGACTTGCCTCTGGATCTTATTGTCATTGACTTCTTTCATTGGCCGACGCAGGGCGAATGGAAGTTTGATCCCACATACTGGCCGGATCCAGATGCAATGGTTAAAGAGCTTCAGGAAATGAAGGTTGAGTTGATGGTTTCAATTTGGCCCACGGTCGACAGGCGTTCTGAGAATTACGAGGAAATGGTCGAGCGCGGCTATCTTATCCGCGTCGATCGTGGGATACGCACCGCCATGGAGTTTCAGGGCAACACGGTTCACTTTGATGCTACCAATCCGAAAGCAAGAGAATATGTTTGGCAGAAAGCGAAAAAGAACTATTACGACAAAGGAATCAAGGTGTTCTGGCTGGATGAAGCCGAGCCCGAGTATACCGCTTACGACTTTGAAAACTTCAGATATCACCTCGGCTCCAACCTCAGCATTGGTAACCTCTATCCTGTTTCGTACTCAAAAGGCTTTTATGACGGTCTGAAGAAAGAAGGGCATGAACAGATTGTAAACTTGGTTCGCTGCGCGTGGGCCGGCAGCCAGAAATACGGCGCCCTCGTCTGGAGCGGCGATATCGCCTCATCATGGTCCAGCTTCAACAATCAACTCGCAGCAGGACTCCACATGGGCATCGCAGGAATTCCTTGGTGGACTACCGATATCGGCGGATTTCACGGAGGTGACCCCAATGATCCAGCCTTTCGCGAGCTGTTTGCTCGCTGGTTCCAGTGGGGTGCTTTCTGCCCTGTCTTCCGACTCCATGGCGATCGAGAACCACACAAGCCTCAACAGGGCACCACTGGCGGCGCAACGTGTGTAAGCGGCGCGGATAATGAAGTGTGGTCGTATGGCCCAGAGATATACAGCATCTGTAAGAAATACATGGCTCTCCGTGAAAGCATGAGGCCATACACCAGGAAACTTATGGAGGCTGCGCACGAGAAAGGAACTCCTGTTATGAGAACGCTATTTTACGAGTTCCCTGAGGACGAAAAGTGCTGGGAAATCGGCAAGCAGTACATGTTTGGTGAGAAATACTTATGCTGCCCAGTTCTGAAGCCTGGCGTTACTGAAATAGAGGTATATCTGCCAAAGGGGGCGAGCTGGAAGGGTGCTGATGGCGATATCTTACCGGGAGGGCAGACAGTTCAAGTCAAATGCCCGTTGGACTATATGCCTGTGTTTGAAAGAGTTTGAGACCAGATTCTACTGTATACACTTTCTTGATTATCACAAATAGACTATATCGTTGCCAGAATCCCGAACGCTTACCTGAAATCCCTGTTCAGCGGGCTGCTTAGCCCTTCATGCTTCCATTTTACGTCATAACTGTAGCATGGAGCTGCATAATATTCGCGATCGGTAATCACCGAGATCTAATAAGCTAAGCCGACTTGCAATTTAAATGCAACACTCCATGAGCTTACTTATGCCCTGATGTCTTGGAAGCAAAGCCAGTAATACTTAACTTAAAAAGATATATGGTAGGCGAAAGGTCAAAAAATTTCCAGAATTATAGGGTAGTAAGGATGCTTAGATAAAATGCAAATTCTCAGTGTCGAAAGTATTCGAACACCAAATGAAACCCGTCGAGTGATTCATTTTTATAGATTCAGTATTCAGTGATTCTAGTATGTTCAATTATGTTGGGTTCGAAAGCTAACACTATCAGTAGCGGCTTTGGATCTGTGACTTCTATAAAATGTGTTGAGCATGCGCTGCTCTAGCGAGGATATATCCCAGTCAAGACATCCATCTACCTTTGGGTAAGATGGAGCACATTGTCTCTCGCTCGACCACTGTAAATAGTCGGAATAGAGCCAGTCAGATAGAGAGTTTTTTCTAAGCACAGTACCTATACAATCTCACGTAGGTGACTACTGTAGCCCGGTGTCAGGCAACCAGCTTGATTTCCATAACGTAAAATTGAAGGCTTCTGAACGCTTGTGAATTGGGTATATGTCGCAGGCCCATCAGAGCGGCAGAGAAGGAAGACAAGCAATTCTTCTGACTTTCTTCTGTGTCATTCTCCGCAACTTGGTTGGGCCCGTCGGGTAGGTGATTAGGTGATATTAACTAGTGGGCGGAGGAATGATGCCAGCCTCCTTGACGAACTCCATCCGTTATTGCTCATACATTTTCTTCCGTAATGAGAAAGCTTCTGACTTTTGATCCCTCCATCCGTAGCTCCTCCTCGCTCTCGTTGTCTGCCTTGTGTCTGTTTGACGACTTCCACACGGACTTTGGATCAGCCGTGATGGTGGTGATTGTTGTCTGGAAGTTTCCTGGATAGTTGTCCACCAGTTTGATGTTCCCGTTTGACTCCTCGTCCTCTTCGCGGTTGAAAGTCGCCAGACTGAATGGGTCTCTTGACTTGTTCTTTCTCGATCGGCCGGTAGTCTGGCGGCCACCCATGGATTCTCCGGTGGGTGGCAAGTTCGATCCCATTGTCGACCAGCCAAGTTTAGCTGCAATCTTGCGGAAGAGCGGTCGGATGGTTGCAAGGCTGCCGGCTGTGATGGCCAGGCCTTGTTCGACGGTTGACCAAATAGCGATGTCGATTGTGGCCCCTGCAAATGCCCCCTTGTTAGTTGACTTGAACCTTGAGTAGTCTGGCAGGGGGTCCGTGGTAGCAGTAACTTACACAAGAAGTCAAGAGTCTTGAAGTCCTTGACATAGGGGAATCGAACAACGACGGCAACACTGGCACTGTTTGTAGAGTATACTTAGCAAAAGGTATAGCAAAAAGATAGGAAGGAATCATAAAAAACGTACACGCAAGCCATCAGCATGACAGGGATCAGTGCAAGCTTGGTCTTGTTGTTCATCTGGAGCTGCATGATGAGTACAATCGGGAGCAGCGCAAACGTAAAGTCGCAGATGACACTAAAGGCGCTGTATAGGTAGGTGAAGGCGATGATGACGTCGATGTTGATGCAGGTTCCGTCTTGGTTCTTGTTCCAGAAAAAGGAAATGGGGTGGCATTGAAACGTGGTGATGAACAAGAAGCAGATGCCCGTGATGACACTGAGCGACATGACGATGAGGATGATCCAGTTGTGAATCTTCTCGACGGTGATGCGGAGAAGGAAGTATCCGATGGAGATTTTGGTGAGAACCATCGTAACGCAGTACCAGATGTAGCAGAAGTACCAGTACTGTATGACATGTTAGATTCTTGGCTCAGACTTGCGGGCCCTGTGATTGTAGTCAACACCTACCATCAACGCTTCTGAAATATCGTGCTCTTGAAGATCCCAGTAATGGCGGCCGGTGCCATAGTGCACGCCCGTGAGACATACAGCGCAAAAAGCTATAAAGGTCATCTGCGATCCCAAAGTGAGCAACTCATCATCGCGGATAATGCGTGGTCGTCTGTCCGTCACTTACCATGGCAAAGACCATGAGATAGTCATCCACACCAAATGCCTTTACAAGGCTTATCCTGACATAGCATCTGAGAATAATAGCCGTGAGTGAAAAGGCCAGCAGCACAGATACCACAGCAATAAGCTGTGGACCACGATTTGGAACGCCCATCGTGGCTGTGGGTTGATGAACAAGTTGTCAAAGGCGGAGGGAGAAGCAAGAGAGAAACGCCTTTCGGAAACGAGCGGAAAGTGAAAAGTCGGAATCTATATCTATACACGAAGCATCACATCTCTTATAGCATCAACAGGAAGGCAGTGTCAAAACTCGGTTCGAGCATAAGTAGTAATTAAATTTCGCTCTTTGCCCCTGCCCACACTCTCAGATGCGGCAGCGCGGAGTCCAGGAAGCGGCAGGCTAGTATCTACGTAGCGTCTTGATCGGCGGCAGCTTGCCCTTTATAACACACCTGTGTTCTCGCCATCTCCCGGGCTCAATCTCAACAGTTACAGAATTTTCTCCGTCAGTGGCGCAGTGGGAGCGCGTGGGAAAAAAAACGAAGTTGCGTATAAAACTGGGGAGCCGGCAGGGGGCTACGAGTCATGTCAGGGGTTAGCAACGCTTGCGGGGGCAAAGACAAGCCCTCGCCGACGCGGATATTAGCCCAATGCGGCAGCAGCACTGCTTTGACGAACTAAAGAGGCCCAAGCATCTTGCGATCTATCTGCGAGGCCCCCCAGGAACGCATCGACTTTGCATTGACTTGCTCGCTCACTCCGTGCAAGACAGCCACGTTCTCGATTCGTCTGTGGGTAGAATGCTACCAAATCTACGAACCCCCAGCTCGCTGGATTTTGCAGTGACTATCTGTGGGGGAGCTGAAAGAGATCAACCCCCCTGCCACGGCATGTGTGCGTATTAGTGTCTTCAGCGCCCGCCCACAAGTGCCTGCGTTAGTTGAAGTGCTGCCCCTTTCACGACAGGAACCGCGCAGATGGCAGGGAGACTCTGTTCCGCGAGCGAGGCTATCCATCCAACTGACACTCGTATCCCCGATGACTTTGCGCCCCTGTTGACAGCCAGCTAGCCGGATAGGCTTTCAACTCCACTCCCTGTTTTGGCGATGGCGGAGTTGAGTTACTGTAAGTGACTTAGTTACTGCAAGTAACCAGGTTGACGACGTGCTGGGTAATATAGGTAGAGAGCAAGCCAGTCTCTCTGTTGCTACCGGTACAGTATGACCAGCCCGAAGCTCAGTTCCGGCACATGTAGAACCGACCGAGATAGAGTTGAGACAGGCCTCGGCTACGGGCTCATGTCCATCCCAATTAGCTGGGAGCTGCTAGCTGTTACCCCTCAGCGCCCTTCCTTTAACGCAACCCTCTAAGTTTTCTTCGGACCTGCTAGGGCTGCAGACGAACCCAAACAGGGTGAAGGATTACCCGCGGTTCCACTCTTTAGCGACCAACTGTTTCGGCTTTGGCTTTGCTCGGTATAAGATCGCTGAAAAGGCTGAATACTAATAATGTTAGTTTGAACTAAAACTTCAACAAAGAAAGAGATATCACAATAAGGGTCCATGTACTGCGTCTAGATGATAGCACAGTTGAGGGGAAAAGTGCCTTGAAGCATTGTATTTGTCTGAAAGGGGTACTTTACTTTTTCTAGACAAGAGAAGTCAATGATTACCAACAAAAGCCTGTTTTATCTTCAGGGCGTCTTAGCGATCTTGAGCCGCCCCAACGTACGGAGCTGGCGGAGCCAAACATTTAAGGTGAAACTTAACGGGTAAATTGGCCGTCGGGAAAGACGGCAGCCAACTTAACCCTTATTGACATCAGAACGTTATACGCCACGTTTTTGGATTGGGGTAATACTACTTGCGGACCAGACCATTGTCCCTATAGAGATGCTACAAGTACCAACTTGCAGAGAGTTGGAGTTGGATGGAGTTGTCTCGGTTCGGTCCTTGCGGAGTTCTTCTACCGCCCTTTGCAAAAGCGAGCTCAAGCGAGGCTCGTAGTTTAACACTCTTCTATCGATATCCATTGAGGCAATAACATGGCTTCTGTAACAGATCAACACAGTACAGGCTGCTGCTATTAACGTTGATATGGCTGGTATGCGAGTCGTTGGCGTTGATCCTGACATTGAAAAAATGATGTATCAGTGTATCCGACTCTCTTTACCATAGCTTCATGATCGTATCTAGGCTTCTATTAAAAGGCTTCGATAATCGGACTGGGAGCCCATGTTTACCAAAGCGACAGGACAGCAGGCTTAGATAAGATTAGATTGCATGCAGCAAGCAATGTCCAACTGCTTTAGGCGAATTGCACCATCTGGCGGTCAAACAGATCGGTAGTAGATCAAGGCGCAGAGGGGCGGCCTTGCCAAGCAGTCCAATTACCTAGTGCTCTATACGACAAGGCGGCATATCCGGTATTGAGCCTAGTGCTATCAAGAGGCTTTCTAGAAGATGAAGACGAAAGGGCCGATACAGGCAGAGGTCCGGCTAATGAGCTAAGCGGCTCGGCCGTCTTGATAATGTCCGATAAACTTTTGCTCGCGGCGGACGTATTGCCAAGTCTGTAAATGCTGCACTAAAGGAGGAAATGCAGCTGTGGCGTTGGAGCTACAGGGGCCCAGGGTGAACGTTGGCAGCCGGTTTGGATCAATGGATTTACAGTGGCAAATGTGATGCTGTAGCGCCCTGAATCGTGCTCGATGTATCAACTCTCATGAATCTCTGCACTGCTTGACGTGGTCGTTATCGGTGCGGGCCATTTATCCTGCAGGGGCAGTTTTTGCTAGTCAGGAGGCTATACGCGCTTTCAAACGGCAATTGATAGCCGGCAACTGAATCGAGCATAAAGCCCAATCACTACAACCCGAACGCCGCAGACACACTGCCTGGGACGCTGTTCTAGTCTTAATGCTTTTGGGCTAAATATAACATAGTCTTGAGATTAAGTACAGGCATAGTCGACTACTACTAACAGAGTTGACTCGTACATAATGGCACTCTACGACTCGGCATTTGTTGTCTTTGATGACTCAGTCGAGAAGATCTTTGGTACCTCTCCAAGCCTAGAGCTGTTACATGAAAACGCAGAGTATCCATTCGCACACGAGGCGGGCGTATTCGTCCAAGAAGACAATTCGTTATTTATAACCAGCAACCAGTTTACAGATCCACGTACCGAACTACGTCGTATCCAAATCACTCGTGTGTTGCTCGCTAATGACGGAAAAAATGTTGAATGCGAAGAAATTAACCCAGATCATGTGCCCATGGCAAACGGGGGCGTGAATTACAAGGACGGCGTGCTATTCTGCGCCCAGGGAACACAAGATCGTCCAGGAGGTCTCGCATTCATGGCATCCAGACCACCATATACGTCTCACCTAATGCTTAGCTCCTTTCATGGAAGAGATTTCAACTCGGTAAACGACGTAGTCATTCACTCAGACGGCTCCATCTGGTTTACTGATCCCATCTATGGGTTTGAGCAAGGATTTCGGCCAAAACCAAGGCTACCGTGTCAAGTCTATCGATTCGACCCTGCGCGAAACTCGGTTCGTGTTATAGCTGATGGGTTCGGAGACCAAATGGTATATGCTTTAGCCCAGATGAGAGAATAGTCTACATTACAGACACGGACTGGATTCACGGAGATGGGACCACTGACGACACTCGAGCTTCTCACATGTAGGACATCGTCAACCTCCTGTTACACCGTAATCTCAAGTCTGTAGCTGACTATACGAGTAGTTATGCGTTCGACATTGTCAATTATTCTGGCCAGCCATTCTTGACCAATAGGCGCGTATTTGCCATGGCGGACACTGGCATCCCGGACGGAATAAAATGCGATGTTCACGGGAACGTATATAGCGGCTGCGGCGACGGAATCAACATCTGGTCAGCGGGTGGTGTGTTGATCGGAAAGATTGTTATAGATGGCGGTGTTGCCAACTTTTGTTTCGGGCGTGAGGGCACAATATATATTTTGAATGAGCATCGCTTGTGGCGGGCACAACTAGCATCTTCTACGAAAGGCGCACTGCTCGGTATATAGGAGATGCGTTTCTTTAAGTCTATATCAGTCAACCCTTTTTTCTTTGACTGGCTCACCCAGATGATGCTGCCAATGTTGCTTGTTTTCTGAAATTATCATGCATCCATCTACAAGTTCCGGGTATGCTACAAGACGCTGGAGCAGTACTTCAACCTGGTGGCAGCTGAGACAGAAGAAAAATTTTCACAGGGATCAAGTCTTGATCAATATTGCTTTTGAATCGAGTAAATCAAGTATCCTGTTGCTAAAATATCCAAGAATATCTTGACTATCACTCAATACAAGACTAAATATTGCCAAATTATATCCACTGGGTCTTATTAGGGACAACTTTTTTTGGGCGGCATTCGAAGCTAGTCCCGCACCTGAAACCATTCTGGTCTAACCAATAAGGGTTCAAGACAAAGAGCACGTTCCCCCTTCATGGAGCTGTCTAAACTATGTTCTAGATTGATCAACTCACAACATCTTAATCAGTCAAAGAACTACCGCAAACCTATTATATTATATCGAAGCTTGGTTAAAGTTAGTGCAGCATTTGGGTCTGCTTTTTGGCTCTTACTTCATTACTTGTTATCTAATCTTTTCTCCTCTCAGTGCTTTGTCCAAGTTTGCGGCTAGAAAGGAGAACCGATGCAGGCCTGTGATCTGTTGGGCAGCGATAGGAATGCTGTTGATTTCTGGTTAGCTTGACTAACAAACCGGGCGTAACATGTCGATTATTTTGACAATAGTTGTCAACTAAGAGTGAATGGCACCTGGTTGACTCAACCTACCCATTGTGACAAATCGCCATATTCCGCCCTTGGCTGCGATGTATACTTCGAACTCACATAGGGAATGATGATATTCTGAGCAAAGGTAATGGAACGGCTCTTGGTGATACTACTGTTGGCGATACTTTTAAGAGGTTGATTCTGTTTATATTGTCCTAGGGATGGTGTATCGAGATTCTACTTGATTACAGTTCTGATTATGTTACACATTAAGTTGCCATGGCTCACGGAGAACCACCTGATACAACGTGTCGTTAAAGGAGGATACAGAGAACCACGAAGAGTCATAATCAAGTGATATCACTTCAATCTATATTCTCCGATTTAATGTCCGGCGTGGCATGTTGCCCGGTTGTTGTGTGATTATCCTTCATCTCCATATTTATTCTAATCGATACGCATCCAACTTGCTGTCGTTCCGGCAAGTTTTCGTCTGAAGGATTAAGAATGTAACGAAGAACTAGACCGGGCGTAAGGTGCAGCAGTGTGACGTTGACGGGTAAGAACTAAATCAGTGAGCCCGAGGCGCCGCAAATACCGACCACATCTCAAGTATAGTTTTTCCGATTTCGTTCTTGGGTTGAAGGCCAGCATTCTTGTTAGAAAGAATATTTCTGCGTCCAGCTGCTGCGGTACATCGCTTGGCATTTGTCAAAATCCTGATTAAATCAAGCGTTCAAAATCCTACACACGCCTCCCCTTATTTTACAATGGAGATATTGAGGTAAATGTCAACTGTGATATTCGTCATCCCCATCTAAAAAGGCTTCATCCTTGTAGCTTTCAAGGGGAGGTGTCGAACCACTAAATGGCGCAGAAGCTAACCTCATCATCAGCTATCGATGTTGACAGGTTTGATCATTGTGAATGATACAATGTAGTTGTTATTTACCTGAGCTTACTCTTCAGTCTTTAAAGAAGCCAAAGCCGCCTCATTTCAAATTCTCTAGCTGGTCTAATCATACTTCAGACCACGCATTCTCTTTTCTTTGTTTTTCTTACGCAGATCAGTTTTGCATGAAATCAGCTTGGCGTTTATCCGTAACGTTGCCCTAGTCATACCTACATGATGCGGAGCCCCGCAAGCCTATCGGGTACCGCTCCGAGGTTGCCGAATCCAGCGGAAGCTGGTGTTGATGCTTCCCAGCTGCCATGTCATAGATAGGTGCCGTAGTCATGCTGTACATAGGGTGGCCCAGTAATGGCCTCATAATGTGTCTCTGGTATCACGCTAACCATGGGCTGCTGTAGATATAAATTAGGACCGCCTGCCCGCTGTCAAAGTAAAAATCGTGTTTTAATCATACATTGTCTATAGATTGTTTGGATTACACTCATTCATACTTTGAAAGCTAGAATATCTCGGAACCTGGACAAGATGGCCGCATACTTTAACCAACGTCTTCCTCATCCTCACATTGCTCATCCGCATCACGGCATAACCGTATCACGAGCTGGAACGCCGGCTCTTGAAAAAAGCGCCAAGTGTGCTGCGCCTATTGCAAATATCGCGGCCAAGAATGTCCCGTTCTTTACCCCTGAGCAGGATCCCGTGGCTGGTAGTGCAACTGCTACCCAGCTATCCGGCAATCCTGTCCCCAAGCTCTTCACGCCACTCAAGATCCGCGGTGTAGAACTGCCGAATCGTATCTGGGTGAGCCCCATGTGCCAGTATAGCGCCCACGAGGGCTTCCACACTCCTTGGCACATCACCCACATTGGTGGCATGGCTCAGCGCGGTGTAAGTCGTGCCCTTGTATTTGAGACTTGTTATGGTTTCAGGAACTAACATGTTAGAGCAGCCTGGCCTGATTATGCTTGAAGTTACCGCTGTGCAAGCCAACGGCCGAATTACTCCAGAGGACTCTGGCATTTGGCTGGACGCTCATATCGACACTTTGAAAAAGCACGTCGATTTTGCACACAGCCAAAACGCCCTTATTGGGATCCAACTTGGCCACGCAGGACGAAAAGCTTCTACAGTTGCGCCTTGGCTCAGCTCTGGTGCCACAGCTACCGAGGAAGTCGGCGGCTGGCCATCCAACGTGGTAGGGCCAACTGAAGAGCCATTCAACGAGCACTATCCTACTCCACGGGCTATTAGCTTAGCGGAAATTTCGCAGTTCAAGAGTGATTTCCTCACTGGGGTACGCCGAGCAATTCGCGCTGGGTTTGATGTAATCGATTTGCATTTTGCCCATGGCTACTTGGTTTCGAGCTTCCTATCGCCAGCAGTCAACAAACGTACAGACCAGTATGGAGGGAGTTTCGAGAATCGCACCCGGTTAGCGCTCGAAATCGTAGACGCAATAAGAGAAATCATCCCTGCCGATATGCCCTTGTTTGTACGAATCAGCGCGACCGACTGGCTGGACACGAACCCGAATTGGAACGGCGGCCCCAGCTGGACTGTAGACGACAGCGTCAAGTTTGCCAAGCTTCTGGCCCAGCGGGGAGTTGATGTGCTGGATGTGTCCAGTGGTGGAAACCATGCACTGCAGAAAGTTGTTGGTGGACCAGGATATCAGGCGCCATTTGCAAAGGTAATCAAAGCAGCCGTGAAAGATACCATGCTGGTAAGCGCAGTGGGAAGCATCAAGACAGGACTGGAGGCGCAGATGATTATTGAAGGCAGCCAGAGCGGCGGCAAAGACGAAGACGCCAGCGATACGCCTCTGGATTTGATTGCTGCAGGCCGACCGTTTTTGAAGAATCCGGGACTGGTATGGGCATGGGCTGAGGAGCTGGGCGTTACGATCAATGTTGCGCATCAGATCGGATGGGGCTTTGGCGGGAGGGGGTCCAAGAAGACGGCGAAGCTGACAGTTTCTTGATCTAGCCTCGTGGTAGTCAGATGCGGGTTTCATTATTATCAAGTAAATGCATACATTTATTGTTGGAATTGTGCTGTTAGATTGTCTGTTTGGGGAAGCCAGTATTCTGTTGATGAGTAGAAGAAACTACTTCGTTGAAATTGCGACAGTATAGCCATTCTGCTATAACCACTTAAAAGGTAAATAATGCTCTAGTAAGATCCAGTAAGATGATGAAATGGATTTGTAAAGCCGGTGGTGCTACTGGGTTACATGACTTATTGCCTTCATATCATCATTTCCAGAGCTTGACGAGCCAGGCGAACATCTTCAGCCTCTGCCTCCCAATAGCGCAAGTGTGCGATGCATATCTTGAGTGATTCTTGCGCGTACTGCTCCAGCTCCATGCTCCTTAGAAGCCCAATTCGCTCTGCACAGATGATGATCAGTGCACGACAGGTTGTCTCTCGGCATCTCAGCCATGCCCCAGCATGTCTATGTCTCAGCCCAATGTTGAACAGCGGGTCAAGAGACAACAGAACCGCCCTTTCAGCCAGCTGTCTCAGCGAACCATTCATCGACCAGTCTTGATCCTGCGCATGTGCAAGGAGGTACAAGAATGGGCGATAGACACGCAGTTTGATATTCGCAGAGCGCAACCAAGCCGCCAGCTGAAATTCACTGATTGCCGACAGATTTGGTGGTTGGCTGAAGCAGGAAATGGCACGAGGAAGAGCCTCTTGCCATTGCTCTATTTGCCTCTCGAAATCATGAGCCGTATTTATCATGCCTGGTACATTCATGCTCATCCATGCAGACGCGGGTGCCGAGTAAAATGCCTGGTCAACGCTGACCGAGAGCTTGGAGAGCGATATTTCAGAGAGGTAGTTGAACCATGAGTTCTCGTGAGTTTCTTTGAAATCTTGTATATCGACAGTATTACTGGACACCGATGAAGCAGTAGCAGATGAAGATGTCGATGCGTCAAAGTACTGGCGGTCATCTAGCCCACCCACGTCTTTCGGTGTCGGAGGGGAAGGGAATTGGTAGGGAAAATCAACGGCGTGTAGCGCAGATCTGGGCAATTCGACCTCGGAGAACATATCACTGCACGGTAGTTGTTAGCATAATGCTTCTTGTTTTGATAGGCATGGCTTGGACTAACTTTTCAGACTTGATGCAGCTCCAATACAGTCGTTGCTCGAGGCATTGCTTCAGATTCTCATGACACTCATGTTCGTCAGGGACCATCTCGCCATCAGTAGTATCTCTAATGTGAGTAAGACGCCTTGCAGCCAGGATTTTCAAATATAGAGTGTATAGGGAGGTAGCTTGAGAGAATGCCTGCCAGGCTTCAATCGGTCGAAGGGTCCATAAGAGATACACGCCTGATAAAAAGTAGCAATGGCATGACGTGAGGTCTATACCTAGAAGACCAAATCGCCTTCGGGCATATTCGTAATATGATTCTGCCTTTTGACGAAGTGCATTGCCGTCTTGTCGCGACGACGAGCTCGAGAGACTCTCAACTGTATCGGCAAACGGACTGAATGGGCTGGCTATTGCGCCAAGCGCTGCGGCAACAAGCTGTTTATTGTAATAACTCCCATCAGTCAGCTCTCTGGACATGCATTGAATTACAGTGTAACACACAAAAAAATGAATGCTTACCACAAGGCACGTACGAGAGTCCCATTGCGGGCCAAGTTCAACAACAGCCCTCCCATACTTCATCAGGGTAGGGCAATCCAGAATAGGATTCATTATGTGGGCCATTCTGAGGAATTTAGTCAACAACGAGGGAATTTCGTCCCAGTCCAGCTGCAGTAGTCCAGTGGCCGGGGCCGCTTTGTGATTGAAATTCTGCCCCTGGGCAGTAGCCAACAAGCAAAAGGGTGCCCAATGACCTGATCTGTTGGTCCCGAATATCGGCCATTCGATAACATGGTCTACCGCTGTGAAGGCGAGTGAGCTGGCAGGAGTAGAGTGACTAGTCTCTTCTTCATGCTTTTGCGCAGGCGGTAACCTCGTAAGTATATCGTGTAGAAGATCGATGACTCCAGAGTTGCTCTCGGAAGAACTAGAGAGATACCATTCAGCTTCCAAACTGCGTCTTGCATAGACGATGCTAGACATAATACGTACGGCTGTAGCCCATTTATCAGAGGCTTAGGATAGACGCATTCACAACCAAGTCTAATGCATCCGGCACAGGAAGGCCTCTCGTTGGAACACCTGACTTTGCGAGCTCGGCATACTCGGCAAGCCACGACGGCACGTCGCCGATGACTTGAGCCAGCGCTGTTATTCCTACCGCCTAGCATCTGGGTACTGCTCAATACAACACGGGAAGCCGTATGTGGAAGGATGAAATGAATGGAACAAGGTCGCGTCCCTCACGGAGCAAAGCCGATATCTCCAATATCCAATCCGCAGCTAACGGCAACCAGGCCGAAGATACCGAGAGCCCCCACAGAAAAGAGTGGTGACGTTGTGGAGGCAATGTGTTAGCCTCGCCGCCCGACTGTGAGTGTTGGTTAGGGCGATTTCTCTGGCTACATGCACCCATGCACTTCCTCCTCATAGAAATTAGCATATCAAATTCTGGCAATTGGCTTGCTTAATGCCACGTTGACATCTTTGGTATTGAAGTAGGAGCTGGTCCGTCGGCAATTATTGAAGCATACTGGATAGCAGTGCTTGGTTGCCAAGGAGATAAAGAGGATTTACGTGTGTCTGACGAACAATGTTTCCACGTTTATTCTATCACGGATGGCGGTTATTTCTGCTATAAAGGCCTACGATTCGCCTCGCTCTTATAATTCATGAGGCAATCAACTTTCATATTGAAATTCTTTGGTTTAACCTGCTATCTAAAGCAATTTCAATAACCACTCTTGTAGAACTTGCCCCGTGTGGAGACTTGGGCTTCCCTCCAACGTCCCTGCGCTTGCCTGTAAAATAAGGGAAAGGTATCGGCTAGGCGATCAGAAAGCACCACGCGGAATTCGTGTATCCGAGAGAGCCGCGGTAATGCTGGTACTGACATGTCCCGTGATCCTGGCGGGCTGGAGAGCAGAAACTTCTCTGCGGCACGATGATGATGCCCGTAAAAGCCATCCTCTTCGATCTCCATTACTTTCCGTGCCACACAGGAAACTATGTTCGAGTCCCAGAGTCCCTCTCGATGCGAAGTCGTTTCTATTAGCCTAATAGCTTGGAGTCTAACCCGACGGATGCGACATTTAAGAGCAGTGTAGTAGAGCGGAGCAATCCAACCAATGTCGACGATGGACCTTGACATATGGATAAAAGGCCACCGAAGGTACCTATGAAGAAGCTCGGGTTGGCCGGTCTTCCACATGGCTATTGACTCTGTCAGGACGGAGACGAACTGCTGCGTGTGAGAATCGAAAACAGATTCATCGTCAAGACGCAGGCAGGTATCCGCCATGATACTTGCCATAGTGTGGTACACGGACAGCAGCCCGTAGACGAGTCCCTGAGGGTCTTGATCAGGCATGGAGGTTTTAGAAGCTCTGAGGATGACAAGACACGCAGAAAGTTCCGCTCGGATCTGGTGCTGGCAGGTGAGTAACTTGGGTGGGAGCTCAACAGGAGGATGAGGAAGGGTCTGCTGCTGGCGGCGCCACAAGTCGGTCAAGTGGAATATTTTATTAAATAGCCGCTCAATTTGTTTCCAGGCCTCGTTGACGGAGCGAAAAACCGAAGTTGATGTTTCGGGCTCGGCGATTTGCAAGGCTAGACAAGGGTGTTGATAGCTATGGCTAAAGAGCTCCAACTGGAGGTTTAGTCTGCAAAATGCTCTGACGATGGCGTCGTCTATAGAGCCTGGAACAATGTCGAAGAGCAGGACTCGGCCATCATCCTCGACTGGTGTTCCAAACTCTCTCAGGATGCTCAATCCATTCTGAATGTGGATTTGAGCGGTTGTGAAGTGACCAGACAGAAGCTCTAGAGAGACGAAGAGGAAGCAGGCAATGAGAGCGACGCGCACTGATGCCTTATCCATGGCGGAGAAATGGGGCCGCAGATGCTGAATTGCCTTGGAATAATGCTGCAAGGTAAATCGTTCCTGCTGATCAAGGTTATTTGTATCCCGTCCGCCATAGCTGGTCTGGTAAATGTCTCTTCTGTGGACCGAGCTCAAAGAGAGGACAGCGTGCCATACAGCCGGTTCAGCCAGGCTGATGGGGTGGAGCAACAGATCCCATAGGGCCAACGTGGAGGCGCCGGCGACTTTCTTGCATGTTCGGTATTTGAACCACTCCAGATATTCCAGCTCTTGGGTGGTGCCAGAAATCAGTGGCACGTGTGTGAAACGTGAAATCAGATTCGGAGGTTGCTGTCGACTCCTGTAAATCGCTCCTCCTCCGCCGCCGCCCAGAATCCCATAGCCGTCACATACTCGGCCAGTCGAAACGCATCGGCGACAGGATGGGCGTTGTTCATCACATTTGAGCTTTCGAATCCTACCTCTTATGTAAGCCCTCCCTTATTCCCAGCCAACAGTAGACGCAGCATGAAGAACTTACTTACAGGTGCGGCAGCCAGTCTTTACCTGAATCCTCTTTTCGCAACGGCTCCCGTATGGTTTATTCGGGGTTGTGCCTCCCATCACGGTAAGTAAAAAAATCGAAAAAAAAAAAAAAAAAAAAAGGCTGCAATATGACTATATGGTTGTATTTCGAGGGTTAAGCTGACGTTCTATTCCGAGGCTTTGGGGAGGCATCAACTCTTGTCCTGATCGAGAGCTCCCCACCCCACTTATCTCGGGCTTGCCAGCTCCAAAGACCCGCTTTCTCTGCCGATGCTTATTGGCTTGGTCGGGGTTTCTGCACAATGATTGGCCGGGCATGTGAGACCCAAAGTCTCTCGACGAAGTAGTGGACGGGCCCCGAGCCGCAACAATAACCAACTTCACCATAAACTTCATCTTTGGCGTAGAGGTAGGCCACGGAGTTAACGGCAAGTTTTCTCACCGGTCAACCGAATCGTTTGGCTGTGCCCTGGACATACAATGGCTATAAATAAGGATATAAATTCCACAATTTGTTGCCATCTCTCATACTTGAAGGTTGTGACACAAGACAAGCGCAGGACCTAGTGCTTCATTGTCGGTATTCGTTGAATTCAAAGCTTCTTCTCAACTCTCCATAAAATGGCAGCAAATTCTATCCAGCAGCGTAAGCTAGGCAAGGATGGTCCCAGCGTTTCGGCGATGGGATTTGGATTAATGACCATTGCCGGGGCTCACGGTGATAGACCCAGCGAGGAGGAGCAATTCCAAATCTTGGATCGCGCAGCTGAGTTGGGCACTACGTTCTGGGATACTTCCGAGTACGGCCCAGGCTCAATACCTTTGTAGAACAATGCTGATCCAGCGCAGTATTTACTTTGACAATCTAGAGGTGCTGGCCAAATGGTTTCGGCGCACCGGAAAGCGCAACGATATTTTCCTTGCCTCCAAATTCGGACTTATCATGGGTGAAAACCTACAGCTGAAGGGTATCGACAGCTCTGGAGAGTACTGCAAAAAGGCTTGCGAGGATAGCCTTCAAAGACTCGGCATCGAGTGCATTGACCTCTGTGAGTCCACCCATCGCCCCTCTCGAGGACGACTGACAGTTGATGCTAATGTGGACCAGACTACGTCCACCATATCAACCCCCAAACGCCCATCGAGGAAACAATGCGAGCAATGGTACAACTACAAGCGTGAGTAAATGACCCGTGGATGTAAAGAGTAAAGAGTGGCAGCTCCTGATGCATACCAGAGAAGGCAAGATCAAGCATATTGGGCTGTGCGGGCTGAGCTCTCGCACGCTTCGACGTGCTTACAAAATTGCGCCCGTAGCAGCGGTGCAGGTCGAGTACTCGGCGTTTTTGCTGGATATCGAAGGAGAACGGGGTTCCAACCTTCTTCAGACTTGCCGAGAGCTCGGGGTCGCCATCGTCTGCTTCGGGCCCATCGGTCGAGGCCTTCTCACGGGCACAGTGACCGGCAGCGAGTCGATTGCCAGCACAGGGGATATTCGGACGCAGTGGGTGCCTCGCTTCCAGCCAGAGAATCTAAACAAGAATCTCAAAGTCGTCAGCCAGTTCAAGGCCCTGGCGGACAAGAAGGGCTGCACTTCGTCGCAGATGGCCCTTGCGTGGCTTCTCAAGCAGGGCAATGATGTGATACCAATCCCCGGCACGAAAAGGATCAAGTATCTGGAGGCCAACTGGGCATCGCTCAATGTACATCTCAGCGACGAGGAAGAGATGGAAATCCGCAAGATTGTGCGCGACGCGGAGCTTGCCGGCTTTGAAACTAAGCCCTCTTCGTATGCAGATACAGTGGAAGAAGCATAGAAGGGAGAGGGCATATTCCTATCCAACATCTCTTCGCTGCAGGCGGCAAAAGGTCACAGCGGAGCAGGAAGTTGTTCTGTCCACTTATATAAGCATGAAAGAGTGGTGATGTTAGTGGATATTAGTGGAGGCAGTGCATTATCCCACACAGCCCGAATCTGATCGTCGGATTAGGGCAATTTTTCTGACTGCGTATCCCAATGCGCTTCTTTCTTGTACCAAGTGAGCATTTCACATAGCTGGTAATTGGCTAGCCTATTCCTCCTCCAGTAACTAGATAGTGCATCATCATGCCCTGCATTAACGTGATATATTCATTTGGTTTACTTGTGAATCCCAAATTGATTGGTTGAGCAAATAGGTGACCAAAAGTCTAATGAGGCCTTGCTGATATCAAAATTGATCGTAACGAGATTAACTTGGTAACGCAAGGGAGCTCAGAAAACAAGATTGCGCAGCTACCACTTACTTGCCCTTGCGAAAATATAAGATAAACATCAGATGTTATATACCGGTTGGAGAGTTTGTTGAGTGAAATCATGGCATTTAACAAGCTCGGACTGTCAAGAGCTAAACGAGTTACTCAAAATTGCCTGCCTTTTGACTATATATTGCAAACACGTTGCACTGAAAGACTTTCTTGCTACTTGCGCTCACTACACCAGCTGCCGAAGAAGATTATATACATACACTCTACAAAACCAGTTTTCAAGATCTACTGCCTATATGCTTTACGAGCTGCAGGGTTGGCCGGGCAAAAACCTAGAGTCCGCTGTGGGGAAGAGCAAACGGGGTGCAATTGAGCCTAAGAAGTGGACAGAAGGCGGCAGCAATACCTACATCATACTCTGTTGTATGTGCGACTTAAATCTACACCTATTGAAGTCAGGATGAGGACCAGCCACGTATCGTAAGTCTGCATTGCATAATCGACTGCTCAGTCCCCTGGAGCCACTACACACTTTTCTTGTAGTATCATACCTGTGGCTCTGGCAAGATTCTGGCAAATGTTAGCATCAGTCGTCTCGGCCACTTTGGTGATTTGCTTGTCATGGTACTCAGCGCTGACAAAATTGTCGCTACCGCTCCTTGCAGGACCTCTAGGAGGTGGAAAGTTTTGAGTCTTGGAACTGATGGTGGCTAGTTACTCACAAATAAAGCGGTTTTGCTCGTTTGTAAAAATAATGGTTGGCGGTAACAGCATACGAGAATGAAATAGTAAACAGGGGTCTAATGTGCCTAAAAAGCTTGTCAGGCGATTGGACCTGAAAAAGTGGCTTGTTGGCACACAAAACGCGTAAAGGTGGGACGGTATATCCAATGAGCAACTTGCAAGACAGACTCACCGCGCTGACAACTCGAATTAGAAAGCTTGAGAGTCGCTTATTCCCAGCTAGTACTGTACCATCATCCCCATGCCCGCTTTCTCTTGGTGAGCGCCATGCATCAGAAGGGCGGCAAAGGCTTCAAATCGTGTATCCCTCTGCATCCAAGCTGCGGAGAAGTTGGTGTCATAATTTATCGCCCTGCAATGCTTATGCACTGGTCGATTCCATCCTGTCGACTGATTGAAGTAATTTGGGGAAACTGAGGGCTCAGCGCAGTAACTATCCATGGGCTCAAGTCTCTTTCGCTGACTACCGAGAGACCATCCATACGTCATATTATGAGAAAGTCTTGACTTGCTGTATATGCTGACGGTAGCTTGATAAGGTTAGATGCGCTTTACCTAGGTAAGGTATTCAGGAAAACGACCATCTAGACCTGCAGGGAGGCCTCCTCCTAAGCCCAGCCCAATAGACAAGTCTGGGTATATCTGATAGAAAATAAATAGCTCATAGACTACAGTCAGATGCTCATTTGCGCAACAATCGGGCCTAGATGCATGTTTGCAAGTATTGCCTCCATAGGAAAGAAAGAGGGGAAATGGCTAGCCAAAAAAAAAAAAAAGAAAATCAAGGATGTGGAGAGCATATCCATCACAAAAGCGCAATAGCCGCTACAGAAGCAAATACCCTCACAAATTTCCAATTAAATATCAAAAGCACTTCTGGAAGTGGTAGCATATTTGGGGGTTTCTATTAATTTTGGTAGCTTAAATCAAAAGAATTAATCAAATTTTTTTCTTATCAAAACATATTTCCAACATTCTCCATCGCTTATTTTTTTCTGGCTAAAAAAGGGCAAAAGTGAAGTATCATGGCTTGTTGCTTATACTATGGCAGCAGATCCCGTCTGTATATCGTTGAGCTGCGCCACCACGCCCAATTCCTGTATTTGAAAATCGCTCATAACATTTTTCTTATGCAAGTGTATTATGGCTTAATCGAATAGAGTTTGGGCAAAGCGCGAGAGCACAAAAGGTCTGTCCCCGTTGTACCCCTAGCTTAAATCACTGGGTTATTGTCCTCGTTTCGATTTTTGTATTTAAAGGTTCATTCCATTGTTGTGATTTTTTTCTTTCAACAATCTTAGGTTTTCTACATATCATCTTTTACAAGTCTAATACTTCCTGATTGGCATTGCTTTTCCTCTCTCCAGAGACACAATGGCAGATCCCGATGACCGAGACCCTGAAAAGGGTGGCTCTGCAGTAGTTGTCCAAACTAAGGGCAATACTGGTAGACTTGGTGCTACGAAGCGTCAAGTCCGCTACTTTGACGAAAGTGACGAGATTCAACAGATTGGCCCTTCTACAAACAGTAATGCCAAACTCAAGAGAAAAGGCTCGGCCTACTCTATCCACTCCCTATCAAGCATAAGGAGTGGTCAACGAGAGGTTGATCCTGCCACTGCGCTGCCTGTTTTATACCGCACTTTGAGTATAGACATGGAGCGCATGAAGAGTGAAAAGGACGCAGTTACTAGGAGAAGATATAGTGATGCGACTATGGCGGGTAAGTCTCGAGTTTCTGGATAGCTTCAAGCCATGCAATAGCTGACTGAGTTGTGACCATAGATTTGGAGGATCTCGAGTGGCATACACTTTCTATCCAAGACATTTCGCAAAAACTGCACACTTCTCCAGAGAGTGGTCTCTCCATGCAAGGTGTCAAAGAAAAAACCGAAGAGTTTGGACCCAATACTCCAACCCCACCAAAGTCTCGACTGTTGCAAAAGATATTCTTTTATCTCTTTGGAGGCTTTGGTTCCATCCTTTTTGGTGGAAGCATTCTCGTCTTTGTTTCATGGAAGCCACTTGGTGAACCTGACCCTGCAGTGGCCAACTTGGCTCTGGGAATCGTTTTGGCCATTGTGTGGCTAGCACAAGCCGCATTCAATGCCTGGCAAGACTTTTCCTCTTCCAGAGTCATGAAAAGCATTACAGGCATGCTTCCGGAAGATTGCAGTGTTCTACGCGAGGGCAGCAGGAGATTGGTTCCGGCAGCTGAAGTCGTCCCTGGAGATGTTCTCTTTTTCAGTGCCGGCAACAAGCTACCAGCGGATATTCGCTTCATTGACGTGTCAACTGATGCGAAATTCGACAGAAGTATCCTGACTGGAGAATCAAATCCGCTGCCAGCAGTCACTGAGTCTTTAGAGAAGAACTATCTCGAAACAAAATGCATTGGAATGCAAGGGACTCATTGTACCTCTGGAAGTGGTTTGGGGATAGTTGTCGCGACAGGAGACAACACAGTCTTTGGCCGTATCGCGAAGCTAACAAACAAACCAAAGACTGGCCAAACTGCACTTCAAAAGGAGATTTTCAGATTTGTTCTGATTATCGCAACGTTAATGATCTTCATGGTTGTTGTGATTGTTGCTCTGTGGGCGGGCTTCATTCGTCACAAATACCCCGATTACATCTCAGTCTCAACATTGATTGTGGACTGTGTAAGCGTGGCTATTGCCTTTATCCCAGAAGGCCTACCAATCGCCTTGACTGCGTCGCTTACAATTACTGCGGGCATTATGAAGAAGAATAATATCCTCTGCAAATCTCTCAAGACGGTGGAGACTCTGGGAACTGTTTCGGTGCTGTTATCGGATAAAACAGGGACTCTGACCAAGAATCAAATGACCGTGACAGATTGCCTCATCGGATCCAAGGTCTTGACTGTCGCAGAGGCTTTGCAAGAGGTCGAAGACAAATTCGATTCACCCAAAAGGGCCACCCTCAAGCAACTTTGTGTTTATTCTGCAGTCTGTAACGCTGGAGAGTTTGACCCCATGACTATTCATCTTCCAATCCCAGAGCGAAAGATACTTGGTGATGCGACCGACCAAGCCATTCTTCGCCTGTCAGAGTTACTGGGCTCAGTAAAGCAGTCTCGCGAACTATGGATCAAAAGATTTGACCTCGCATTCAATTCAAAGAACAAATTCGCTTTACGTGTCAGCTCTGCTCGCGACCAATCTTCATTGGAAACTACGCTCTCTACTTCCGAGTTCGATGTATTTGACTCTCAAAAAGATTACGTCCTAATGATCAAGGGTGCACCAGATGTTTTGCTCTCTCGATGCTCAAAATATGTTGGCGAGGATGGTGAAGTGCATGAGTTTGACCAGGCGATTCGCTGGTCTATTGAAGAAGCGAAGAATTCATGGTCAAGCGAAGGAAAACGTGTTTTGGCTCTTGCCCGCAAGGTTCTTCCAGGCAGCATAATTCAGACAAACCCAGAAGATAATTCATTCGAAAGAGAAGCCCTGGAACTGGCACGGACGGGTCTTACGCTTATCGGGCTTGTTGCGATTGAAGACGCCCCAAGAGAAGAAGTCCCCAGTGTTATTGAGACTCTGCATCGCGCCGGAATCCGTACCGCCATGGTTACGGGAGATTTCCAGCTCACAGCCCAATCCATTGCTCGCTCGTGTGGTATTATTAGCCTTCCAGACTCTGAAGTTCACAGCATCGAGCATCTCCCTCGCACGCCGCCCAACCCCAACTTCGGGCCCAAGAAAAATAATAAATCCAACCACCTTCCAACAGAAATCAAGGCAATCGTCTTGACAGGCCAGGATCTAATGACTATGCTCCCTCATCAATGGTACACTTTAGTCACAGAATACTCGGAGATCGTATTTGCCCGTACTACGCCAGAGCATAAGCTTCAAATTGTGCGGGAATTCCAGTCGCAGTCATATGTCGTCGCCATGATCGGAGACGGAGTAAATGACGCCCCGAGTTTGAAGCAAGCCGATATTGGCATTTCACCAGCATCTGGCTCTGATATCGCTGTCGAGGCCGCAGATATGGTCCTGCTAAATACATTCTCTGCTATCCCAGAGGCTGTTCTCTACGGTCGCGTAGTATTTGACAATTTGAAGAAGACAATTGCATACTTACTACCGGCTGGCTCTTGGTCAGAGTTCTGGCCGGTATTTACTAATGTGGCTTTCGGTCTGCCTCAGATATTGTCTTCATTCCTCATGATTATTATATGCTGCTTCACAGATTGCGCAACCGCAATTTCCTTGGCTTACGAGAAGCCAGAGGCCAACATCATGCTCCAGCCACCTCGTGATATTATAAATGACCGTCTCGTCGACTGGAAGCTACTTTTTCAAGCTTATGGTTTTGTTGGTACATTTGAGACAGCGCTCTCTTTCACAATGTCGTATTGGTACCTGCAGCGAAAGGGTTTAACTTTCGGGTCGCTATGGTTCTCGTTTGGGTCAATTCCGACGCCCGAGGGACAGACCGTGGACGAAGTTACTTCGCATTTGACAGTGGCATCATCAGTCTACTTCATAACGCTGGTCGTGATGCAATGGTTCAATGCAATGGCTCTGCGCACGCGGCACCTCTCAATATTCACGCATCCACCACTGTTCAACCCCAAGACTCAAAACTGGCTCCTTTTCCCGGCCATCTTATTTGCTCTTGCTATTGGTTTAATATTCACGATGATTCCTGGCATTGATTACCTTGGTTGCGCCCCAGTCCCAGTGGAGCATTGGTTCATTCCTATGGCATTAGGTCTTGGCTTGCTATGCATTGATGAGCTGAGGAAGATGATGAAGAGAAGATATCCTAGTGGGTTAGTCGCAAAAATTGCTTGGTAATTAACGAATCATCAGTTAAAAAAAGACGGCAAATAAAAAACAGGAGATTGTAAAAATATGAGAGACACAAAAATGTATCTAGAGTTAGGATAATTGACAGTTTATAAACAACCTGCAATAATATCAGGAGCGTCTAGCAGGGATTATTCAGTAGGGGTTCATACCTTTTAGCCGCCTGGCTGGTAAATCTTTATCCCTCAGGGGTCTCTTAAGCGTGGGCCTGTTTCGCATTGAAATTCGCTCCTAAACTACTTGATGTTGCTTAGACAAGCTTAATTGTTAGTAAACCCGTCTACCGGATCACATTACATTCCTGTGCCAAGCCTCGGCTCTCATGGTCATATTCCGAGTGTCGTTTACTGACGATATGTTGGCAAACATTAATAATATCTCCTGACATTCTTGGAGAAACCTCGTATGTCCGCTCCGCAGGCTGGGGATTCTGGTTTCAGTCCCAGGCTGGGCACCCTCTCATTGTTTTCTCAGTCACCTATTGCGCTTGTTTCCGTGTCTTGGCAGGGGAATGAATTGGCCCATGTCCATTTGACACTCCCGATTTGTTCTGTTTTATCGCACAGGCGGCTTGCCTACCGCCTGCGCGAAAACCATGGATGAAACGTGTTGCACGTTAGAAACAAGGGGACGGGAACAAGGATAATACACGCCATTTCCTACGCGGCGCCAAGAACAGGTCTGTGTAAGTGAATACTTATACTTCGTCTCCCGCGAACTTGTGTTGATTGCCACAAGCTTGTAGATCATAGCCTTCTCTTTTCGCCAACACCTGATCTTGTCTTTCTGGAAAAGACAAGTGATTTATCATTATCAATTTGTTTTAATATCCTTTTTCGTGCACACGCTCAACATTTTAGCCCTTCCGCCATTTCGTATCTGCCCTTCTCGACTTCTGTCAAAATGCATTCCACACTTCTGGTCACCTCTTTTCTTTCCATCTTCAATGTTGCAGTAGCAAGTAAGTCTTTATTTTACCACTGCTGTTCATTGCAAGTTACAAAATTGACTAATTGTTTCTCTCTCTCAGTTCCTATTCCAGCTGAAGGGTTCCAGCCTCGGCAGGCACAGCCATGCTTTATTGTCGGCAATGTGGCTCTGCCTCAGGAAACTCAAGATGCAGCCAATTCTCTCGCGTCGAGTGTTACTTGTGATGCCAAGGAAACTACCATTTCAGGAGTACCGGATGTCTCTTCCGGCGGAATATCGTTTTCTTCCATCGACTTTGCCACCTCTGGCCAGTCTCCCCTGGCATTCGCCCTGGAGAAATTTGCAACCACCAGCCCGCTCGCTGACAATGATCTTACGAAATTCCAAAACGAAGCGAATGTTTACACGGCTACAGAAGCTGCGCTACGTTCTATTGGAGGCAATCTGGCCATCAAGGCGCCAAAGTTCTTCATAAACTTTCAGATCGCGCGAATCCAAACGGCTCAGGGAAATCCACCGACGGACCCAGCCCAAACAGTCGAACATCTTCTGGGTAAAGTAACAAAGAATGCTTCAAAGGCAGACCAGCAGTTCTTGGAGCAGATTACGAGCCTGTCAAATATTTTGTCTTAGAGCTGTTGGAGCAGATGGGCTAAATTTGCGGCAAATTGTAGCTTCCAGACAATGCCAGAGATGTTACTAGGACTACAAATATCCAGCTAGATCTAGGATAGAAAAGTGGAATATTAATGTGTTAAGCGGTGACCTTTCACAAAGGCCATACAACAAAATCGCAATGAAAAAGTGAAAAAGGTACCGCATTAGTCGTCCTAACTTCTAGCTGAGTTCATATCTGGTCTCGGTGTGATTGGCCGGAGCCCCAGATAGTTCATATCTGGGGCTCGCCACATCGCCAGGAGCCTCGAGGACTGTTCCGTCTTGCGGGATCGTGTGAGGGCCGTTAAAGTGCTTCAATAATACTTCTTGAGTCGATTTCTGTTCTGATGTGTTTTCGTCGAGTGATTTTTGTGCCCTTCGAGATTTCCTGGCGAAAAAGAAGAAACCCAACCCTATCAACGCAAGACCAACCACGCCGCCGACTACTCCACCGGCAATCGCTCCGACGCGCACAGATTCCTTTTCTACTGAAGTCAGAGAGGTGCCAGACGAGTCAGTGGATGACGCTGTGGTGGATTGCGCAGTTGTGGAAATTGCCGTGCCACTCGTTTGCGAGAGACTCGAAGTTGAGACAGTCGATGAACTTGCTGTACCAACAGAGGAAGCTTCGTTGCAAACATCACTTTTACCAGGTCCGCCATCGATGCATCTATTTGTGCAGAACTTGACAACCGATATGTCGCCATTGTATCCGCCATCACAATGGAAGAGTGTGTTAGTTGATACACCTTTATTACTTGCGTCCAAAGATGCCTTCTGAAGCGCATCGATGATTTGGGGCTGATAGTTTCCTAGATTTGGCGACTGTTAGACAAAGGGAAGAGGCAAAATGAAGCGAATCACTTACCAATGCCCAACAGATTAAAGCCACAGTAGTTTAGTCCAGACTTGCAGTTACCCGCAAAGGCCAAGCTTATAAAAGCAGATAAGAGAAACAGTGTCCTCATCAATGCCATGTTACTGGTGCGATTGCAAAGACTACTGGGAGTCGCTTGTTTTTCTTCCCGTTTGGTCTTGAAAATAAAGAGATGCAGAAAGACAAACAACAAAAGTGCTCACAGTGTCTTTCACCTAAACCGTCTATTTTAAGCGCTCATCTACTTCCAAGTCGACGCATGAAACAAGGGCGAATCCTTCCCAAGCCAAGAGACGGCTCAGCCAACAATTTGATTAAGCTTCCACTTATTTGACGAATTGCGGATTAAGACCCCTGGCAGAATCGTTCCACAGCCAATACTATCGGCTAAACTTGCAGCAATGGAAATCCACATAGTCTTGACTTGCAGGCACGCGATATCACCTCCCTGCCTCACAAATGCTCCTCACTTCGGGCACCATCCGGCTTTCAGGATAGTGAGCGGATGCTTGAAGAGGTGTGTTAGAGGCTGTGCGTCACTCAGCTGGCATGGGGGTGGCTGATCGTCCCGTACGATAGCAAATACAACCCACTTGCCTTGGGGGTAGAAAAATGAGAATACAATGTCTTAAGAAGAAGGCTATGTTCTAGCCAAGCCGGTCTGGTCAGTCATTCACAGCCAATTGAAATCTGTAATGTCGAATAATAATTTACACAGTCAAGTACATAGCTGTTCAAGATTTCAGGTATAGAGTTTGGCGAGCGTGCGAACAATCGCAGTTAGTGTGAAAAAAGATTGGATGCTTATCCACCTGTCGATCAATGATCAACATGAGCCGACAACCAATCAACGCCGCAATGCAGTGGGTCGGACTCGGAGATGCATCGCAGGCCATGCATCTTGTAAACGATTTATGTCTCGGTTTCTCTCTCCCTATAGGTACCGCTTTACTACATGTACCTTGTCTCATCAACACCATTACTCAAGGTGCATATACGGAATTATACACAAAAATGCTGCTTGGATGTTGGGACCCTATTGTAGATGAACAACTTGTTCTACTATTCTGTTAGTCAACAAATTAGAATTGATCCATTCTATGCTCTTTTGCATGTGGAATTGGCAGGAAACGCTGTTCGGGCTGCTTTTCACTGCTATGGACAGGTCTGATAGACTAAACTGCCATATGCTTGCTTCAATGAGAATGATGGTCTGAATACACTCGTGTTACGTTCTGCGCAGGGGTTTACAACCTTCACTGCCGTTCTACCAACAGAAGTTACTTACACACCGCTTCAATGATGGTACGTCTATCATAGCGGAGAGGATATCCACAAATCAGCTGCATGGTCACTGCAATCTCTCTTACCAAAGTTACCCTAACTGGACGGAGATTTCTTTGGGGCTGAAAAGACGTACCTATTTGATAGACTGCAACTTGATTGTGCAAATAGTGGAAGGGTATGTTATGTATGCAGCTAGCTATAGGACGGTTTTGTTGTGCCAACTTGGCCCGAACAGCTGATAGTGCCAAAAATGCTTTCAGCACTTGGTCATCTTTAATGAGCATGTCCCCTCTAATCTCTTGTCATCGCTGCCGGCTGGCAGGGCATTCTCGGATCTGCCCATGGATCCATATACCATCATCGTATTCACTGAATAGAGTCTCGCATTGCTCAAAAGAATTTCAGATGATAACGGCAATTCACTAATAAATCTGATGGAGGATGATCGTCGACGAGTACCCAGAACGAGGCGACGGTACCCAAGGTGACGGGAGCACAGTGAACCACACTTGCAGAATCTTGACGTTTTCGTCTTGTCCAGTTCACTCTCTGGCGTAGGTCGGTCAGCCTGAACAGGGGAAATACACCATCGTAAACACTTTCCTTTGCGCATTCATTCGTGACATTCACAGCCAATACAAGGGTAGTACTTTGAGTGAAGATCCGCGGCGTTTCCTGAGTGCATCATCTTAGAAACGCTCAGCAAGTCAGAGCCCGTATCCTATTAGTGGAAAATATTCGCAAACTGCTGTGGCCCGTGGAGGAGAGCAAACAATGTCTCCCATCGCTTGTACAGTTGAGACTGGGCTCAATGTTGACCGTTGAAAGTTTAGTAAATGTTTGGACTATTTATCAAGGTATTGGCGATGCTAGGCATGGGAGCGCTTCAGGCGCTGGGCAAATAAGCTGATGTGAGCTTGCTGGCGGTGTGGGTATTTGATGCCGTGATATATAATCGCGGATGCTTAGTTCATACCTAGTAGTAATAAAAATATGATTATATTACACTTAAGATATTTAGATAATTCCGTAGTTCCCTATAATGGCTGACACAGAAACAAAAGTCATGATACAATGCTTGGCTATAATGAGTCATTTTACATTAATGTATCTATCACTCACACACATGTTGGCTTATTCTGAAATCCTATTCGCTTTGCTATTGTTTAATAGACAGTTGATATACGGATAGTTAGTTGATGATTGGCTCAACTCGAATGCTTAGATACGCGTATAGTACTGCAACACCCATGAAAAAGCGGCAAGCAAATGCACCCCGTCTTTTTTGGCGTTGCAAAGTATGCACGGTGTAATTTCTCTGAGAATTGCCTTTTAGCGATCAATGATAGCAGCTAAAGTAAAAAGTCAACAAATTATTCCTTTGAATCTAGTTGAAAGTGCTAACCTAGAGTATTTCCAAGCCCTCCAACTTAACTATCCTCGCTGGTCTTGATTCCCTATCATAGCGTGCTATAGAAGCGGTTAGTGCGGTAAGCAGCCGCTCCCGTTCTTAAATTGCACGAATACTAATCACACAAGCATTATCTGCGGAGAGAGATTGATCAAGTGACAACTTTCCTATCAGATTCTAATTTCCAATTGAATTGTGCTGACGGTTGAGGAGGGGTAATTGAGTCCAATGGACCACTTTTCCTGGCTGTGCTGTGCCTGCGACATTGCCTGGTGAGGCTGTTGGTTGTAGATAGGCACTGCTGTTCGTCCAGCTTGAGTCTCGTGACCTCCCGAAATGGCAACCGTGAATTTGTAGACGTGAAAGACAAGAAGCTCAACTGCACTCTTCGCAATTCACGTTTCTGCAATTCACGTTCTTATTCTGCCATTTTCCAGTAAACTGTTGGTCTACAATAATCATGCTACGTTTCCCTGCGGCTCGCCTGGGTGCCAGGCTTATGCCCCGTAGCCACGGCATCTCGACTCAGCAACTCTCTCGACGCTGGCTCTCAGATTCCCAGGCGCCAAGATCTGCATCTTCACCGCCCAGCATCTTGATTTGGGGAATTGGTGCGGCTGTCGCTGCTGGGGGCGGGTACTTTCTGCTCAGTGGCGGCACAGCGAACAAGACAAAGAGTGTCCCTCTTCTTAGCCCAGTTTCCTCAGAAGATGACATCTCGGTCGTCTCGCCTGTGCCTGTCCTGGACCTGAAGGCAGCGAATCAAAAGCTGCGTGAACAGGCTCAGTCGTTCGTCTTTGACGGCAAGGATGGACAAAAAGGTCGCGTTGATGTTGTCCGTGTCGCCAGCAATGACCCTGTTGAAGACGAGTGGTCTGTTGCTGTTGGGAAAGGCACTCACGGCGGAACAGCGCTGTACGCGGGTGTTTACGATGGGCACTCGTATGTGGAACCCTACTTTTAGGGGAGATTGAGACTGATCTTGACTGTAGTGGCTGGCAAACTTCAAAGGTGCTGAAGCAGGCCCTCATCCCGTATGTTTCGACGGCACTCTCCAAGATTTCGGCGCTGGACTCGGGCGACGTTGTCGACGCCGCTATCAAACGAGCCTTCACAAGCCTGGACGACCGGATTCTGGGCACTGCACGCAAAGCCGCCGAAGCTGGTTATGAGCCTGGATCCACCGAAGTCCTGTCGGCTCTCGCGCCGGCTCTCGCTGGTTCTTGCGCGCTGCTCTGTGTCTATGATCCCAAAACATCACTGCTGCGAACCGCTGTGACGGGCGACTCACGCGCAGTTCTCGGCTCCTGGTCTTCAGAGTCAAGTGGCTTTGTGGCCAGCGCTCTGAGTAAGGACCAGACCGGATTCAATCAAGATGAAGTGAAAAGATTAGACGCCGAGCATCCTGGAGAAGGAGAAGATATGATCAACCCCAAAACGGGCAGGCTCATGGGGATTGCCATCACTCGGGGCTTCGGCGACCATCGGTGGAAATGGTCCAACGAATTCTTGAACTTTTTGAAGTCAAACTATCACGGCACCGAGCCTCGTCCCAAGTCTAAGACGCCGCCTTACATGATTGCTACACCGGAGGTCACCACTCGCCAGGTCCAAACTTCAGACTTTGTCATTCTCGCATCGGACGGGCTCTGGGACGTCATGTCTAACGAGGATGCCGTGACATGCGTCTCTCGCTGGCTCTCAGCGCGACGTCAAGGCAAACCAGAGGCTGTGAAAGACGTCAAGACCACAGGCTACACGATAGACGATGACGGATGGCCATCTTACAAGGCGACACCTGAACATTTCGCTATAGAGGATCTCGACAATGCCGCCGTGTGCTTAGTCAAGAATGCGCTTGGGGGGACGAGACGGGCCATGCTTTGTGGCTCGTTGACGGCAACTACACCCATCAGCCGATATGTGAGAGACGACATTACAGTGCAAGTTATTTTCTTCAAGGACCCTTAGACCAAGTAAAAGCCTTGGTGGTGGGTAGTCACATTTGATGCAAGTTATCTTCTTCAGGGATCCTTAGACCAAGTATAAGCCTTGGTACTGAGCGGCCACATTTGATGCTATTATTTTTATTTGCGTACAGAAAACTAGGCAGCCCTATGACTTTTCTACATTGTCATAGATTGATCTAAGTACAACATCATTGATCCAAGCGCCCTTAGACCAGTCATCCCACACACTGAAAGTAATCGTGCGGCTCTCGCCCTTGTTCAGCCAGAAGCCGTTCTGGTCAAAGTATCCTCTTACCGTTGTGGGATAGTCCAGCCAAACCCATGCAGCCACTCCCTTCGTGGCAGTAATCTTGAATTGAGCCGTATTGCCACGAAGAGATTTGGTCATCACCAAGCCCGGATCGGCAATGCTGCTCAGGCGAAGGCTTTGGGGGTGGAAAAATGTTGAGTGGGTGTATCCTCCAGCCTCGACAGAGATGGAAAGTAGAGCGTTTGACGTCGGATTCTTGCAGGCGAAAAAAGTGGAAAGAGCAGGATATGTAACCAAGCGAGTTGCGTTGATTGGCTGCACATCAAACTTGACGTTGAAAGATCCATCGTGAGCTGGATTTACATGAACAGGGGGATCAACGTCTAGAGCATTGCCCTGCCAGTCAACCCACTTGAACGAGGCAGTCCCAGAGGCCTTTTGCCACAGATCAGAAACGACCCAAACTTCCAAGACATCGGTGGCCTCGTCGTAAAAGGGCCAGACAATGACAGGGTTGAAGATGTCCTTGGCAGCGTAATAGGCCACCTTTTGCCGCAAACTGTGCTCAGTGCTGGACCAAGTCGGGCCAACCCAGATGTCGTTGAACTGCCAGTATAGAGCGCCCATCTGGCGGTTAGAAAGCCCGGATCCTCGTCTGTAAAAAGCAATCTGAGCTTGGTAGTAATCGGCCTGGAACACCTGAGAGGTCCACGTCCAGGCAGTGAAGTTGGCTACGGGGTCCTGCAGTTGTGGCAGCGGATACCAGAGCTTGATGCTATCTGTGAATTGGTTGATGCCCCCCGCCGAAGAAGAGAAAAAGTCGCTGCCGCCACTGAGATGGCGGTTGTGGTGCCGAACATATGATGAGTCAAAGTAGAATTCGCTCTCGGGGATGGCTTCTTGCCAGGAGTAGACCGACGGCATGGACGGGAATCCAAACTCGTCAGCGAAACGACCCACAGGATAGCCGCTGTACTGAAAAGCAATAGTTCCGTCGTAGTTGTAAAAGTCGGTGTCGGCGTAAAGCGCGTCAGGGCTCTCCATATAATCGTATCGAGACGTCTGAGGACTGACAGAGTTGAAGTCGAGCGATGTGTAGCCGTGATATGTTGACGAAGGAATGTAGCTGATGGAGTGAGTGTTGGCATAGACACACTTGGCAATGTGCTGCTGGAAAATGGTCTCGTAGTTTTCGAGCTGGGTGTTATTCCGGGGATTGAGCCACCAGCCGTAGATGAGGTATTCCAACTCGTTGCCACCAGCCCAAAGTGCCAAACTAGGGTGGTGGTTGACTCGCCGAGCGTTGTAGTAGACCTCTGCCTCGTATTCCTCAAGGAAGTCGTCAGTTGCGGGAAAGTAGGCCACCGAGAACTGGAATTCAGACCACAGCAGCAGTCCCATTTCATCAGCCAAGTCGTACGCCCAGTCTGGGAGGTAAGCCCCCGAAGACCAGATTCGCATCATATTGAAATGCGAGTTTACGGCTAGTTCAAATGTTTCTTTAATTTTGGTCTGGTTGACGCGAGGCCACAGGATGTCTGGAGGCACAAAGTTGGAGCCCTTGGCATATAGCTCGTGGCCGTTGATCTCAAACTTCCAGCTGGCTCCGGGAGCAACGCCCTTGGCCTTGTCTTCAGCAGTAATGGCGTTGAGATTCAAGACAATAGTTCGGAAACCAACTCGCTTGGTAACAATGGCAGGCTTGGAAAATGCAGAGTTGATCAGGGAGAGCGTTGCCGTGTACAAGGGCTGTTCGCCATAGCCAGAAGGCCACCAAAGATTCACATTGTTGCCAATGATAGTACTACCGGTAATAGTGCCGTCGGACTGGCTTATTCCAGCTAAATTAGCCTCTTTGAGTGTATGGCCCTTGCTGTCGACAATCTTGAGGTGGAACTGCGTGTTCTTGGGAAGCGTGCCGATGTAATCGATACTGGCGTTGAACACGAACGGCTTGGACTGATCGGGCGACAGGTTAGGCATTTGGCCTTGGCGAAAGATGTCAATAGCCGTGTTAGTGATGTAGACAGGATCGGCCTTGGCCTTTTGCACAATGTACGCCGGTCTCCAAGGCCCGGCTGGAGCAAACTGCGGGCCCCAATCCCATCCAAAATCGCTTTCCTCTTTTCGCATGTAGACGCGGCCTTGGAACTCTTGGTTATTGTAACCATTTGCCGAATTTACCTGGGCTTAAGTATATGATTGTTAGCGAAAAAGTATCGCGAAGAGTGTTCTGCATCTTATGACGTACCGAGATCACTTCTCTGCGCAATATCGAGAACAATCTTGCTTGCCGAGCCAAAGTTAAGGCTTAGAACCGGATCTCCAGAGCACTTGGGTAAAATGTCGCTGACATCAAATGTGTATTTGCGGAACTGGTTCTTGGTGTTGCCGACTGTCTGATTGCAGAGTTTAATTTCACAAAAGGTGTCGAGGCCTTCAAAGACAAGCCATGATGTGAGTCCTTTTTGAGATTTTCTATATAATTGCTCAGATTAGCTTCAACCTTTTTTTTGTTCATGACCAAAGATTACTCACAGTCCTTTGATGGGCCCTGATGTATAAGTCCAGTTCATTCGCTGAACCCAAAACTGATTCCACTCATTGAAGCCATAAATGGGATCTTCAATGACGCCGGCAGCCAGTAAGTCAATGTGAGCATGCGAAGGCAGCTTGCCAGGCACAGTGGCATTGACTCCGTTGCTCACCGTCCACGAGACATCACTCAGATTAAAAATGTGCTGCGCGCTAACGCAACTCGCCAAGAGAGAAAGCGGTGCCAACAAAAACTGGCGCATTGTGCCGAGTTTCTGGCAACTAGTCTCTATACAAGAGTGATGTCAACATCCAATTGCAACTATTACTTTGATATTCTTTCAGTGCAGCACGAAGCTCGCCTATATACAATTATTAAATGTTTAGAGAAGACAGAGAGGAGCAGAGAGTGTGTCACAGTTTCCGTCACGTAAGAGAAACGACATAACGCAGACATGGCCCAGGGAGAGTGAGTTGGTTCCCTAGCTGCAGGAACAATGGATATGTGATGCCTTTCTCCAACATCTTGCATTTAATTTACATGTTAATTTTTGTTTACTCAAAGTGCTTCTGGTTGCCGATTTTCTCCCCGCAAGGGCATTATGATAGGTAATCTCAATCCTTGCCCAGGTTGCAGGGGCCATTGGGTGATGAATGGAGCCCAGAGCCATACACAAGCACATGTGTAGACTAGATTCTCCACCTCCACACTTTTGTCATTATGGTTATATCTAGGGAGACGGAAAACTTGGCGTCATCACTTGCTTGTAAAGCTGCGTCTTGTGCTGGCATCGGCTACTGTACTGGGCTGTCGCTGTGCTTTTCCGGTCCAATTAGCCGTTGTGATTTGCTTTCGCCTCTGCTAGGAGCAGCTTTTCCGTAATTGTCGATCCACTTTGCCAATTCAACCAGGTCTCTATTGACATAGGCTTTCGTGGGGGAGCAACTAGTGATAGATCTAGAGACTTGAGTGACAGCCAACTAGATGAAGTTTGGTTAGCAATCTGTGCTGCCAGCGAATGGCAAAAAAGTCTCCGTCGGAGCCGAGCATGAGATGCAGAGCAAGAAATTGCCCCTTGCTTCCGTCATATCCCATTGCCACTTCTCCAAGCAAATATCACAAGATAGCTTGCTCTTCTACCATGGTGTTTTGCGGGGTAGATTCGAAGATTACCCCTTTGAGAAGGTTGTTAAATGCGGGGGAAGACAATACAGGAAAAGGCGAGAGACTATGATGATACGAGGGGGCAGCTTTCGGCATTCGCATTGTGGATGCTACGTCCACTTAGCTCCATATGGGAGCATTAATCCGGCGGAAATGGTTCGTATGGTCTCATTCGGATGTGCGCGAAGGAGAGAGCTTTGGGCACTTGTGCATTCGTATGAGCATTTGCCATAAACGCCTAGCGAGGAGAAGCTTTATCCGTCAATAGTGTGGAGAGCAGTTGTCATTTAGTAATACACGTAGAGCAGCAGGGTTCAAAAGAGAGATGGCAACTGCATCAATTGGCCTAAAGAAGCAGTGGAGAGCTGACGGCCTCATGAGCTTCGAGGAAGGGCGCATTAAATTTTACAATACTATTTACTCTGTCCCCTCCATCACACCTGAAGCTGTGCTTGTCTTTTACCGCAAGTGGTCACCGCTTCTCAGAACTGAGAGTTAGTTGCGTCAAACAGACTCCAGAGACGGAGCGCACAGGCGCAGACTTACACCGCAATGGCATCGACCCTTGTCTTCTCGATTGCGGCCTCAATTCTGCTTCAGCCAGTTGTCGGCACAAACACAGGCACAGTCCACTGCGCCGACGCCACTTACCAACCCGGCAGTGTCTATTTCTCAGATCAATGTTACAATGACATTCAGAAATGTATCACCAAACTGGCAGCCAATGCCTCAGTGGTTGATTGCGATGGCGCCAACATCAGCATGCAGCAACAGGCAAATACTGGAGCCGTGGGTTCAGCCCAGAATAGCGACATCAGCGTTTCGTTCAAAAGCATGGTAGACCTTTGTCTCTTGAGCGGCTCAACAAGCGGAACTTGGGGCTGGAGCGACAACCAGTGGTACTGGCTTTGGACGGGCGGAGCTTGCTATTCATCCAGCGGAGGATCAGACACACTACCTACAAGGCCTGCGCCATACTGTTTGCAAGATCGCGACTCTTCGCTTCCAGACTGCTACCCCCAGCCCAGTCCTGGCGGTGGTCCGCTGAAAGTCTTGAAAACAGCGAAAACCACGAATGGCTTCACTTCATCGGCCCGAGGCTGGAACACGTATGGAGCCCAAGCCCTGACCAACGGTTCTACGCTCATTCCATCTTTTGCTGGACAATCTGGTCTTTATTATACACAAAAGTTTGTTGAAACGCAGTGTGGCGTCCTTGCCAACTCCAAATTCAAGGCCGCAGGCTTCGATATGTGTAGTCTCGATTCTGGCTGGCAGTCATTTGATGAGGTTGACAACAATGGCCGAATAATTTACAACGACACTCGATTTGACATGCCCAAGCTCGGCCCGTGGCTTCACAACCAGGATTTGAAGCTCGGCCTATACATCACTCCCGGTGTGCCTTGCCAAGCAGCCAACAAGACCATCTTGGGCACGGATATTACCGTTGGATCAGTATTTAATGGCAACTTTGACCAGATTTTATGCCAATTTGACTATAGTAAAGATGGCGTTCAGCAGTGGCACGATTCTGTGGTTGATCTGTGGGCTTCTTGGGGCGTTGACATGATCAAGGTGAGTGACAGACTACTAATTATCACTCTGACGAGAACAATAATGATTCCTGACACAACGAATAGCTCGACTACATTACTCCTGGCTCTCCGCAAAACGGCGCCATGCTGGGATGCCAAAACTCAGACGCCGTAGTAGCTTACCAAAAGGCCATTGCCAAGACAGGCAAGGATATCCGTTTGAATATTTCATGGAAGCTATGCCGCAACGAAACTTGGCTGCCTGTTTGGAACGGCTTAGCAGAGTCTATGCGCACTGATCAAGATATCAACAACTATGGCCACGAGACCTTTCTCGCTTGGTCGGTTGCTCAGCGCGCCATTGACAACTACCGCCAGTATATCGGCCTCCAAGCTCAGCAAAACAAACCCATCACAATTTACCCCGACATGGATAACTTGTTCGCTGCCAACGCCGAGAGATTAACCGGCGTTAATGATAGCATGCGAACCACGGTCATGAACCACTGGCTGGGCGCCGGTGCAAACTTGATTCTCGGCAACGATCTCACCCAGACAGACGACCTTGGCTACAAGCTGCTGACAAGCTCTCAGTCGACTGCTGCCGCCAACTTCTTTGCCAAGTATCCTATGCAGCCGCGCAACCCTCGTACTGGAAATAACCTTGCCCAGCAGCTTCAGGCCTGGATCGGCGGCCCGACTGATGATGGCAAGGAGGCATATGTGCTGATTGCAAATTATGGGCCAGATCAAGGATCTGGAGGCTTTGGAACAACTCTTTATGGGCGACAGGCAGTGACTGTGTCTTTGGCTGGTCTTGGTTTGAGCTGCTCTGGGTGGAAGTTTACTGATGTTTGGTCAGGCAACTCTACGCATGTTAGTAACTACTATACTGCGTATCTGACTGAGGGTGAATCTCAGTTGCTACACTTGACGAAAAGCTGAGAGGAGGTAGAGAAGCCAGAGAAAGTCGAATAATTAATGCCACGAATCTATTGATCTGTATCACGCATGCGTCTATAGTAGACTTTAAGTACGAAGCGTTGCTTGTGTTTGCGAATTGGCTCAATTCTGTTGTATCTTTAAAGTGCAAATACAAGACTACCCCTGCCATGTGTTTGTGACAGTAGGCTGTGCTGTACAAGCCGATGGAACCGTATACGTGTGATTAGGATCCGCCTCCCAAGTCACAGCCCCATTTTGAGCCACGTTGATATATTTGTACTCCACCACTTGCCCAGGGGCCAAGTTCAATGTTACAAACCACAGAGGATTGGAGCTGGTGTAATTGGCTGCAGAAAGCGTAACAGCATTGGCTGTGTTCCAATTACCCAGAGCGCTTATATCACCGGCTATCTTTATAGTTTGGCCAAAAGTTGTCGTCACTTTTTCGTCGAATGTCACGGGAATAGCGGTGCAAGAAGTTGGAGGAGTTGAAGTCGGTGTACCACCGCCGGATCCTAAGATACGCGTTAGCATGAAGAAGTGATTTGGTATAAACAGAGAGCGGCGAGTCGGAACCAAGATGAGCAAGAACCGCATCCTGATGAAGTAAAGTAGGCGTGAGAAGAAGTAGACCAGAACGTAAAACAACACATGTGACTGAGATCTTACCCAAGTTAGGACAAATTCCGCTTCCATTCAGGCTCGACCTTGAATAAAATACCCTAGGGAGACCATCTGACATGGCCACAGCGAGGTTGCCGCTCGAATCCGTGGTATAAGCTGTACATGACAGGACTTCAACGACTTGTTCATTGCTCGTGAAACTAGTATCAGATGATGGCAGTGTCAAAGTGTAGCTGTTACCATTGGCGCCTTTGTTGGAGAAAACGCCGACAATTTGGGATCCCGTGCTGCCTTTTCGTGTAACAATGGTGGAGCTATCAGAGTATGTGACAGCTGCCTGGGTGGTCACATAAGCGCTATTTTGTTTGATGGCCTGGCTTCGGATTTGATTCAGAGCTTTGATGTGGGTGTACAGCACAGCAGAAGTGCTGTAGCCAGACAACCAGATTGCTTCGCGATTGTTGGGAACGCCACCTCCATTCAAGTGTTGCTCTTGTCCTTCATATATAATGGGAATTCCGTCCGCAAGCATGGTGAATGCAATTGCATTCTTTGCAAGTGATATATCAGATGTGAGCGAAGGGAAGCGTGGGTTATCGTGATTTTCCATGAATGAGCCGAGAAGGGTGGTGTCGGAACATTCCGATTTCATGGTGTTGAGTCCATTGACAAGGTTACTTATACTGCCGCTTGTGGACTGGAAAGCTTGGGTAATCCAATAGTACCTAAAAACATTAGCACAATGGCTTGATGAAAGTAATGATACTTACGCGGGATAGTTCAACGTATTTAGGCCGTAGTTCTTTTGATACGGGCAAACAACAGCTGGGTCGCCGTTATCAACTTCGCCAACGATGTAGACATTTGCTGTATCTTGTTACTAAAGGTTTCTCACTCGCGCGAAATTGAACAAACCTGAGGATTGAAAGGGTTCAAAAAATCCGTAGTCTAATTCGAAACAGCTATCCATTCTCAGGCCATCGATAGTATAGTTTGCCACGAGCTGTTTGATCCAAGTCTGCCACATGCTCAAAACGTTGGAATTTTCGGTAGCAAGGTCTGGCAAGGACACTGTATTGTCGCCTTCCCAGCAGTTTTGTATCTGCGTCATGTTGCTAGAGTTAAAGTCGATCAGGCAGAATGGATGATAGTAGGATTGCTGATGAGTTAGTAAGGCCTTGTTTAATGAAGAATGTGGCTCACCGAATTGAATGGGTTGAATGTGTTGTATTGAACGCAAGTGCCACATCCAAGATATCCCATGTGGTTGGTGACAATGTCAACCATCAAGTACATGCCGGCATTATGCAATGCCGTAGCCAGCGCTTGCAAATCTGCAGCAGAGCCAAAGTTGGTATTCACTTCGTAGATATTCTGAGCCCAATATCCATGATAAGCCTCTCCATCAGCGCTATTACCAGCCAAATTTTCAACGACTGGCGATATCCATATCTTTTTGTTGAGTCAGTAATGGCACCACAAACATGAATAATAGACACAACACATACGGCAGTAAATCCCATGTTCTTGATATAATCCAGGTTCTTGATGATTCCCTGCCAGGTTCCTCCACAGTACACCCCGTTTCCGGCGTTGCAAGCAGAATTGGTCGCCCCGCTCGTGAGAGAAAACCTATCGGTCAGAACTTGGTAAATGGATTGTGAGCGCCATTCCGCAGCCGTAAGAGCAGCAGTAGAGGGCAATGCCGTTAACCATGCCAAGGCTACGTGCGATAGCCTCATCGTGGCGGATTTTAACGATGCCGAGTTGCCAAAACGTCAGTATGTTTGGGGTGGCGAGGGATAGATTTTATAGGCGAAACCCGTAAATGTTGTTTTTAGGCCAAATACGCCACGATCCTATCGCGCAGGCAACGCAAGGAGAAAGATGGACAAACTCGGAGTCCTTTGATCTCACAAGACGTGATCAAGCCGGAGTTATATTGAATGTGGAATCCGCATAATTGGCTTAGTGACCCAACTTTGAGAAAATCGGTCCGAGTAGCGGCCGTGCTTACAGCGCCGAACTGCCAATTTCAGTAACAGAGAAGCCCACCATTCGTCACAGGCAGCCTCTTGAATGCCCACGGCACGGGATAGTAATTACTCTATTATCACATTCGAAAGTATCGTGACTCCCGTGGCTGGACCGTGCCATCCCCAATAGGCGATATTGCTGATTTTATCTTCTCTTCTCAGACCATTGGCTTTTACGCGATTACTCTAGGGCTATGGCCACATTCAGCACTGTAAAGATTACTCCATTGCGCTGTAAGCTAGGCCGGCTGGTCGGCAGTAAGGCAGTCTCGGCATCATCAGGTGTTACGCAGCGGATCTCCAGGACAAGATGATTCGCTAGTATTGCAGTCTCCTATTCGGCGCAGCTCGGTCGTTTGGAGTGGTGCTGCCCCTTGATTTTAAAGGAGATGTCGACGCTCTCTGTCACTCTATTCGCTGCCAAAGATGGACTGAATGTTGCATTTGATATAGTTATGGGCTGATGTTAGACTAGATGGACTTTGTTGAAAACACCCCGCGAACAGAAAACGCGGGGGTGGCTTACGGGCCTTTTTAGCGATTCAGTGAGGCGGGCGATTCCCGAGAAGCATTCCCGCAACCAAGGTTGTCATTTGCCGGGTCTAAGCCCAGCATAGAAGTCAATTGGCTCTTCAAGTTCGAAACAGATATACTAAAAAATTTCAAACCCTATGCATACAAGTCCTAAACAAGTTCCAATACCATGAACTACTCGACTCTCATAGACTTACACACCGTGTGTTTCAAGTTGTGTGTTGCAAGATATCCGGACCGATCATATGCCGTTGTGCGGTAATCAGCAAATCGGCCTAATAGCGGCGAAGTAGAAAATATTATAGGGCAGCAAAATCATGGTCGACAACAATGGGATTCGGTCGTTCTCTTAGAATTCTCCACCCACATGCCACAGCTAATTAATCCATGGGGAATCGTTATTGTTTATATCACACACTTGCCAGCCAACATCGGTATCACATCGGGCTTTTAGTTCACACCGTTAGTAAAATTGGTGGCAGCGGCTTCAAGGCCCACAACTACCTAGTACCTACCTGTATTCGTGGTACAGTGCCCCCTCGCAAGTAATTTCGAGCCGCTAATACCACTGATCGTGCGGTAGGCGGCTTGCAATTACTTGCGTCCCACTATATAAACATAAACAAGAAGAAAAAACAACTCAAATGCTGGACTATCTTTATTAATTTCGGAGATTGATTCATCAGGAGGTTCAAAGTGTAATTGAGAAATCTCTTGAAGAAACAGAAGCCAGTACCCTTTATACACTGTGTAAGTTACATGAGTTGCTTCCTAGCTTTAACCAATATCGCAGCAGAGTGTTCAGCATTTCTTGCCTGAGGGATATATTTCTAGCTAACTAGGCATTGCCTCTGCAAACACATCCGCCGCGCAAATTGATATGGGACATTTCTCATTGATACTTCTATTTTCTTGGGGGGTTAGGCTCGTCACTGCCCCCTTTTTTTTTCACCAACCGAAACGCGATACGGGTTTAAAGGGCTTGCGCTATCACACCACCCTTAGACGGCTTCACACAATGCTGTAATATCATGAGGAAAACAGCGGCCCGTTTATCCGAGTAACATTATTAATGTAATGCGTGTTTCTTTTCTCTAAATCGGGTCTTGGCTAGTTGCTAACAATAACGGCCTGCTCTATAGAAATCAAGATAAACTCAGCCGCCCTCTTATGGCTTAACCGTTGACCTATCACCCAACCATTGGCTGAAGTTTTTGAGCTCAGGGTGAGTATCCTTTAGCGATTTAATATCAGCACCGTATCCTTCTTTCTCAAAGAAAGCAAACATGGTTCTCATCTCCTCTGACATTCTCAAAGCGAGTCGGGCTATGAACCCAAATGTAGTGGGTGGAGGAGCCCCCGTCTCCTTGCGAAAGACCTCTTCCACCTGAGCAAATGTCAACTCATCGCCAGCCAGTGATATGCTCTGGCCGGAGAATTGATGCGGCTGCATAAAGGACAGAGCCGCAAATGCACCAATGTCGTCCGTCGATATGAGCTGTAGCGGGCGAGACTTTATGGCTTCTCTCCACATAGTGGTAAAAACCTTGCCGACAAAGCCAGGAGCAAAGTTTTCCATAAATGCCACCGGTCTGAGAATTGTCCAAGACATCTTGTCCTTGGCTTTATCGATGAGGTGGTGCTCAATGTGATGCTTGCTGACAAAATGAGGGACGTTGGTGGGATTATCAATTGACTTGGCGCCGCCGCGATCTACAGACGCGTAGACAAAGTGCTTTACGCCATGCTTGATGGCCGAATCAACGAGGGCCTTGCCTTGCGCCTGTTCGATAATTGAACCTGTCTTATTCATGGCCGGTACCTGTGCGAGTTAGAGAAAGCAAATAATTGACTGCTTATCTCGGATTCATACCTGAACGCTGAAAACTCCCCAGACGGGTTCTTGGACCGCTTTCTTGGCACTTTGGAATATGGCCTCTGTATTGTCTAAATTTCCTTGAATGAGAGTAATTTTTGGAGATGCAGCAGCCAGGCTCTTGGCTGATGGTGAGGCGACATCTCTTGTGACGGCGAGAATTTTAAAATCAGCATTCCTAGCAAGTAGAGCTTTGATGGCGCTACCGCCTTGTTTTCCGGTTGCTCCTGTTATAAGCAGTGCGCGAGACATCTTGGTTGTGGTGGAATATGTAACAGTTTTAGATCAGTTTATTTTGTTGAATAGGTAGTTATTATTGTTTTCTGCTGAGATTTGAGCTCTCATTGACTATCTTATATACCCTCAAAGACTCCCGTATTTTTCATAGACAGCTGTTCATCGTGAGTAATTCGGAGCACTGAGGATGTCCGGATTACCAAATCCACGAGCTGCTCTACGGTGGCGAATAGATGGTGCTTCGGTGCTCGGCATTGTCTTTAGCGGTGGGGCAGTCCTGGACCAGATCTAGATACACGTAGATCGTAAGTTGACTCAGATCATCCTGTTTGTTAAGCAACACCAGGCTGCGATTAATACACGTATTCTTGCCAACGTCAGAGAAAAGGTGCATACAATAATACAAGCCACAGAAGATGTAAGGCGGCCACAACCGCGCGCTTGGCTCCACACTCACACTCCCGTTAGTTTTCGCCGAAGGATCCCCACCTCGCAGTCCTCGCTGTCCGATGAACTGCGGCTGGTACTTGCTCGGGCTACATTACAAACCATACTGGCACCTTGCTGAAATAACTCAGGCGAACATTATACATGTGTGCTCAGGCAAGTCTTGCCAATATCTCCAAGGCAACTATAGAAGACAACAGGCTTTGTAGACATTGTACTGTGATATTTATAAGCAACTGATGTTAGCTTCATGCAGCCGTCAGTGTCGGGGGAAAATCTTTCCGAGACTATCATCCTCCTGAGCTTCCAGTAGACTACAAAACGAGTAAATGTGCCATTAAAATCTTTAACAGTTTAAAGCTTCCAGCTATACGTAGAAAATGTTGGCTCAAAACAGTACCCCAGATGTGTATATCGATGACGTTTTTTTTTTGTAGCTAAATCCACATTTATTTTTTAAAGTAGGGCTTTGCGTATGACAGGGTGGGCAATACGGATAGACCATAATGTATTCAGTAGCTAACCTAACTTTACTCTCATGTATCCATTTGCTCTAATGTATCCAGCCAAACGCTAGCATATCTACAACATTGAGCTACTTCTTAGAAGGCGGCTTTGTTCTTGGCCAAAAACTGTTTCCACGTCGCCGGCTTCAATCCCACCTTGCGCAAGAGGTCAAGGCTTTCGTCGAGGCTCTTCCCTGCAAAGTAACCCGGTTCTTCAATAAAGAGATGGTTCTCTAGCATTTCCACCCCAAAGGGGCTTGGGAAGAAGCTGGTAAATGTATCTGCATCGAGCTTCACAAAATTTGCTTTTCTGCCAGTGACTTCTTCAAACTCTGCAAGTATGCGCGTTGGTGTGTAGTAGTCAGCTGCGGCAAGAATTTGTTTGCCCAGGACATTTTCCCGCTCCTTGATCGTGGCAACAACATATTTGCCTGGCAATAAATCACCAGTCAGCAGGGGTTACACAGGGCCTTTTTGGAAACTTACCCATATCCGCTTCTATATCGATGAGAGGAAACATGGCCTTATCGCCAACAGGATAGGCGAGAGTATACTCTCCATTGTCGCCTTTTCTAATCATCTGAAGCGCCGTATAGTTGCTCATAAAGTAGCCAGGCAGCACAAAGGTACTGGGAATTCCCTTGGAGCGAACATAACGCTCTACTTCCGCCTTCCTATCAAAATGAGGCACGTTGGTGAGACGGCCGTTAGTGGTGTCCCTTACGTGAAGCAATGACGAGAAGATCAGATGCTGAACTCCGGATTGAAGGCAGGCGTCCGCAACATTTTTTCCATGATCCAACTCTTTGTTATCACGGCCCGTAAAGTCGGGCATTGTCATGAGAAAAACGGTATGGGAACCCGTGACAGCTTGTAAGACTGATTCTTTGGAGTCCATATCGGTCTTTACCATGTTAGTCTGTACAAAGTATGCAAGAGTGGCTGAACCGATACTTACCGTAACTACCTCAATACCCTTAGCCGCAAGAGCTTGAGCAGCTGGCTTGGAGGCATCACGAGTGACGCCACGGATTGTAAACTCTTCTCTCAGCGTGGTATCAGACAGCACAGCTTCAATAATAGAACCACCCTGCTTTCCAGTCGCACCAAATACCGTCAAGAGTTTTGCCATTATAGCGTTTAGGTCTTGGCAGTTGATAAAGTTAAAGACTGTTTAGCTGCTAGAGATATATCTTAAGAAGGTTTGGAAAGTTAAGAACTTGAGCAAATTCACAACTGGATAACAAGCAAGAAAATCCAATAGAACTAAATTTTTCCAATCATGTTCTTATATATCCAGAACCTGGAAGTAGATTGACGGCAATTTTCGGGTTGCGATATCATGCCCTTCAGGAACGAAGTTATGATGACAAAAGTAAACTCATAGTGTCGTTGTCCGACAAAGACCGAATGCATGGATGCACGTCTCCACAGACTAAACAGGGTCGACTTTTACATAATCGGCATCAAAGATAGATGCGATGCAATCATTTCTGTTTATCTAGACCGAAGCTAAACATAATATGGTTGTATTATTTTTCGAGCGAGTTTAGGGTATGGCATTGGCGGACTTCGGTGCTTGTGATTCGCGACACGTAAGTTGTGTATTAGGTAAACAAGCTGTCTTGCAAAACGCCACTCTTGCCCCTTCGTTGTCCGATGAACACCGATGGTTTTGTATGCCTGAGCAAGACATGGGGACGACTCCCTTGAAAAATAAGCTCAGTATGTGTTGTAGATTAGATCTATGTTCAAGCGTACCTGAATAAAGTAAATTATGACGTTTGCATAAGTAATTATTGCAGTGGTTTAGCTTACTTGTTCTGCGCAAACCTTTCTGCATTTGTCAAACCAACGCGGTCTAGACAAGTACGATTGTCTCATGAGCCTAAACAAAAACGCGGAAGTTTTCAAGAGACAGTCATCACTCACATGAGCCAGTGGATTGGTTGATCGGCTGCGATCGTGTCCGTGTCGGCAGTTCAATTTTTTTAACAGATCGCTACGCCGCTATCCCGGCATGGTGGGTTTTGTTGTCGGATGTTGGTGGCATATTCTACCGTCCATCATATCGCGGACCCCGAAAATTGCCGGTTACGGAAGATCTGGTAGCACAGAATGCCATCACGTAGCGCATCCGTTGTGGTACATAATATAGCATATTTTATTTACTCGCTGTTGTTGTTATTGACTGGACCGATACTCTGCACGCACTCAGTGATCATCAGCGCCCAGGCTACTCGAAACCATGGCTGATAAACTTCACGATAACGTGTCCCGAGTGAAGAGGTTCAATGTTCTCGGAACAGCGACTTTCATTGGCCTTCGCTCCGCAGACGTCGCTTTTCAATATACTCTTCTTAATGACGGATGGGCATCAAAACTGGTGCAGACCCTGGGTGGACGATCTGTGGAATTGGCGCAACTGAACTCGGCTGCAGGCCTACAGCCATATTATACAATTATCGCCATGATGGCCCTCGGTAGCAGCTTGAAGCAGATCATAACGATGCTTGTCGTATCGGAGCAAGACATGCCAGTCTCATCAGCCATTGTCATCTCTCTATTCAATACTGTCTTCAACTCCCTCAATTCACTATTCTCTGTCTGGAATGTTACCTCGAGATCTCCGCCGACGACTGGTTCTATCGTCGAGTCACCATCGGTTATCGCTGGTCTCGGATTCTACCTCATCGGCATTTCCGTTGAGCTGCTCTCAGAGCTCCAGCGCACAGCCTTTAAGAAGGACCCCGCCAACAAGGGCAAGCCTTACGCGGGAGGCTTATTTTCCCTCGCCACACACATCAACTATGGCGCCTATACTATTTGGAGGGCTTCCTACGCCTATACTTCAGGAGGTGGGTTGTGGGGGATTCTTGTCGGACTGTTCTTCTTCTACGATTTCGCGCATCGTGGGGTGCCAGTTTTGGACGAATACCTTTCCCAAAGAGTAAGTACCTTGGTTATTTGTTTCAATGCGATATGAAATTGACAAAAGACTTGCAGTATGGCAGCCAATGGACCACAATTAAAGCACGCGTTCCGTACAAGTTGATCCCCGGCATTTATTAACAGTCGACTTTTCTTCAACCTACGTCTTGCCATGGGACATCACGCCAAGGTATCCATAAAAAATGGTTCAATCAGTTAGCAAGATGGATTCCTAGTCGCCTCAATCGCGTCTTGAATGAAATGGCGAGATGCCGAGGGACGAAGGATTTGGCGAATTTCCGAGCTGGGACTAACTCTATTATTTATTTAGTCAGCATTTACAGCGTTACCTATCCCACTTATTTGTCAGCAGAATGCTAGACCTGATAGTCTACAGTCTCCTTACTTCATGCCATTGACTACCTGTGATACTAACTCGGAGCTCTGTCTAATTGAAGATAATCTGCAAGCAATTGGTTGGCCGGAACCTTGTACATGTTGGTTACAAAGTATAGTTCGTGATAAAAGGCGGATCATGAATACCCGCAGTCGTTCGCTCTCTAAAGCTCGCATGTCCTGCATGAGTTGTCGGGAACAGAAACTGAAATGCGATCGCTCACAGCCACGTTGTAGCCGCTGCACTAAGCGAGACGACAAATGCGTATACCCAACTACAAGAAGACGTCAAACTGAGCCAAGAAGAACTATCCCAGAGTTAGAAACGCGGCTAGGTAAAGCAACTGACTCTGACTAAGCTTCTTCAGCTAATGCCATGGCCCAGCGAGCCTCGAGAGTATTGTGAAAAGTTCTCGAGATGATAGGCTGAAGCGTACCTCAAACAACGATGATATTATTGAATCAGTCCCCGATGCCGATGAAAGAGTTGATGATGCCGCTAGCAAAGCGAATTCGCCATTGAATAAAGAAGCAGAGACAGAGTCTCCAACTCTGCCGTCGTTTGAGACGAGCCCCATCGGGCGGATACCCGGTGCTGGCTGTTTAGAAGATCTGTACGATTCTCCTGTTATTATCGTGGCTTGTGTTATAATCTCTAACCCACCATTTTAGGACCAAGATCTATTTTAACAAATTGCACTACAAGGCGCCGATGCTGCGCCGAACACGCTTCTTATCAAAGGACTTGTCATCTAATATGCGTCCACCAATGTACTTGCAATATGTTATCGCGGCATTAGCAGCAGCTATAGTGGACAACTATCGCGATCTGGCCTTGACATTGTATCACCAGGCTAAGTTATATATAGAGGACGAAGAGTTGAAGGTATGGTGAAGAAATTGCATGATGGATATCAACGTTAACAAGAAATACAGGATTTTAGGCCACAGCCTGTGACCCTAGCTCAAGCCCAATTCTGGTGCTTGATATCTTATTTTGAGTCGCAACAAATGCTCTTCTCACGGGCCTCGACGAGTCTAAGTCGCAGCTTCCGAATAGCTCAGATGCTACGCTTGCATCAACTTGATGGAGAAGTGTCACCAAATGTGGCAGAAACGAAGAACCGGCCTGAATTAGAAGAAGCACGCCGTACATGGTGGGTAATATTTTGCTCCGACCGCTTTGTTTCAGGATCAACGGGGTGGCCTGCCATGATCAACGATGATGATGTAAGAAGAGCTTCATATTAGTCAACCTTCATAAACATCTAACCCAGCTGCAGATATCCACCTTTCTCCCTGCGTCAGAAGAAGCCTTTGAGAGCGGTGTGGGGGAATCGACAGGCTTCTTAGGCAAAACACTGCAAGCACGCTGCAACAAATACTCGTCTTTTGCGGGGAGAGTGCTCGCTGCCCACCTGTTTTATCAAAGTGCGAAACATGTTTCAGAACCTTTGTTAGATGAACATGCTACAGACATTCGCAATGGCTCATTCTGGACGCGACACACTATGATTGATAACGACTTGGCGACTTTGTTGATGCGTTTGCCGGAAAATCTGCAGCTTCCAAAGAGTCTCCAATGCCAGAACGCTCTCTTCACAAATATTATGATTCACACGACCATTATATGCCTCAACCGGGCGGCTATACGAGAGACACGACGATTGGCTCTACCCTCCTCTCTAATGAACCGCAGCCAAGCTCGGCTGATGAGCGCGGCGGAAGAAATCTTCAACATCCTCCGGGAGATATCGGACATGGACGGTGCGTTCAGTAATCCATTACTGGAATATTCCGCTTATGTGGCTTCGTCCGTTTATCTTGACAAGTCTATTGGCGGGCTTAAAAGACAGGCAGAATTTAACTTGACGTACCTCCTCCACATCATGATAGCTCTCAGTAAAACCAATGCAGTGGCTCGGTCGCTGGCAAATCAGTTAGCAGAGGACATGAAGAACATTGGGCTAGATTCTTCTGCAATTGAACTAGTAAACATATCCCTAATTGCCGAATTGACTTTTACTAATTACGCAGCAGGCAATCCAATCGCCCATGGCTCCCGCTCCAGTTCCATTGTTTACAAACGATGACTCTAATTCGATGATTCTATTCTGCTCCAACCAGAATCATTCTGGGTCGCAAGATGTCACGCCCATGCCGCCAGATTCTAGATCAACTGGTTCGACAAGAAGTGCCGATATGACAGACACGGCAAATATGACACCCCAAGTGCTATGGGCTAGGGAATCGGCCACCAGTCTTGCCACAGATATTGAACCACCAGTTCTCTGGGTCGATATGGGATTCGATATGGGATACGTGTGCTGACGACACGTTCGAGTATTATTACTTGTATGGGGCCTAGACAATAACAGTAGGACGTAATTTAGCTTGCAATGAGCTGAGCTCCCTTGCTCTACGGCTGGAACGGTATGCATACAGCTATTTGACAACTTGAATATAGATTTTCATCATCTCGGAAAGCACTTATTTGTTCTCAGCAGGTAGTTTCTTAGTTAAGATAATGTCATAAAAAAATTCGAGCCGCAAGTTACTGAATCATATTGCGGAATATTGTTTCCACAGGCCCTTGTAGATACAACTCATGTGCAAACAGGCGGTCTGGATAACTCAAATTCCATTCTTCGATGACTCAATTTTAGCGGCCCTACAGTATAGAAGTATTCGTATTCTTATTATATTAGTTGAGACTTCATATTGCATGTGTTGGTAAGATGATTTACAGAGATTGAATTTGCTTGGTGATTGAGTTGCAATAGAATGGGCTAGAGTAAGTCCTACAATAATCAAGCTGGCTATACTTAGTCACATCCTATACAACTTGCTTGATAATGTAAAGACCAAGTCCAGGTTTCCGAAACTAAAATCGCACAACGGTTCAATAAGGCAACTGCAAGGGTTGATTTGTGTAATTGAGGTGCATCTCAACAACTCGATTTATAACTTTGGACCTGTAATCAGTTCTTGAAACCATAATCTCAACGTAGTTTGGGGCCTAGCCAGTTGCTCTCAAGTGACTTATACATACTCCGATTATTATTCTCACGACGAATCGGAGACTTTATTGCTCGCCAGCCTCGATCTAATGTAATACGACGTGCCAGAAACAGCAACCACTGACTCGCCCGAGTTAGTTTGTGGTTGGTCTCGAATTAAGCTCAATGACAAATGGGATGCCTTATTACAGCTAGACCTGAGGATTAAAGCTTATTTTGCCGCTGAAGCGGCATGTTTATTTAGATCATACTAATCATCTTATATTGTATACTAATCAGAGAAAGTCGAACGTGAAGCTATTCATATACTTTTCATCTCATACTATAAATTATTTAAGGAGCAAACAGTTTATCTCAAGTGATGCGTCCGAAGAGTTAAACATCCTTTCTCAACTGCAAACTTCAAACACCAAGGAAAATATGAGCGAAACAATTAAAGTCGGTGCCGTACAGGCAGAGCCCGCCTGGCTCGACTTTCCAGAATCCGTCAAGAAAGTTACATCTCTGGTTGAGAAGGCCGGGAAAGATGGAGTCAATGTCTTGGGATTCCCAGAGCTCTTTGTGCCTGGATATCCATGGTGGGTAACCTGTGACTTGTGATATCATCCTAGAAAGAAGTGCTGACTTTATTAGGAGCATCTGGACTGAGCCATATCTCGACAATGTGGGCATGTTCCACGAGTATATGGCCAACTCTCTTGTGAAAGAGTCGCCCGAGATGGACCAGATCCGCGAAGCTGTTAAAAAGGCAGGCATCTTCATCGTCTTGGGCTATTCCGAGAGAGATGGCGATAGTTTTGTACATTGCGCAATCTTTCATTGATCCTACCGGTACAATTGTACTACACCGTCGGAAACTCAAGCCAACTGGTGCGGAACGCGCAATCTGGGGAGAGGGACACGGAGAAGAGACTCTTATCAACGTTGCGGACAGTCCTTTTGGCAGGATTGGCGCTCTCAACTGCTGGGAACATTTCCAACCTTTGCTGCGTTATCACGAGTACAGCCAAGGCGTCGATATTCACATCGCAGGTTGGCCCCCATTCTTTGCTAGGCCGGAAAACATACCCATTCTTTACACCACAACGGGCGAGGGAGATCGCCTTGCCTGTCAGTTCCTGGCGATGGAAGGGGCCTGCTTTGTCGTTGTCAGCACCCAAGTGATGAGCGAAAAAGGCAGGGAAAAGTTGAAGCTGGCTGGAAGCCCGCATGTGCAGACCCCATGAGGAGGCTTCGCCATGATATTTGGGCCTGACGGAACGCCGCTGGTTGACCCAATGGATCCGGGGGAAGAGGGAATTCTGACGGCAGAGATTCAGCTGAGTACCATTGACTATGCAAAGCAGATGCTTGACGTCGTCGGTCAATACTCTAGGCCAGATTTGCTGAGTCTGAATGTCAACCTGAAGACGGCAAAGCCAGTGCACTACACACAAGACATGTAGGGCAAATTGCCTGTGCTCAGAGGCCAGCATGTCTTATGCAGCGATCTAGTCAGCTTTGGATAATACTTAGCCTCTCCAGTAACACACAACTGCTGCTCAAACGAACATCTTGATAAGAATATTTGGGCTCGTGAATCTTCTTTTCAGAGCGGAAGATAATAATATAATATGTTGTGATTGTATTAAGTTTTCAGTAATCTAGAGCTTGAGAAGGAGAATTTAATTCTTTTGCGAGAAATATAGGACTGAGAGAATCAATATCAATCCGAGATGCGCCATGGAATCCCACGAGAATGCCGTTGCCGCATTGTACGGTTTCAGAAGCGCCTCCATTGCCACCAGCGCTAAATGTTGACCCCTTGTCTGTAGTAAATTGAATGCGGTCCGTCCTATCAGCGCCCCAAATAATCATATCAGTAACTTTCTCAACCGTCTCGTCGTCGCTTAATTTAAAGCTGAATCTACTGTGGTGTAATCCGCGGTGATCTAATGTTCCGTAGCAACGGCTAGTCATCTGATCGCTCCAGGTGATCTGTATCGAACGCAGCACTTGCGTAGAACCCGTTGCCCATGAATAAGTTCCTCTCCAAATATCAAGCGACTGTATGAACAGTTTGTCGTCATCTGCTCTGCAGGCCCAGAAGGGTTGTCCACCACATCCGCCAACGGGTTTGTTGATCACAACGTTGTTCGCGTTAGATGTGTGAAACTTCTTCATCAATGGTCGAAGTCCGTCGATGTCTATGCCACACGATCCAATAAATCCCAATAAATAGCCACTACCAACATCTAATATCACTTGGTTCCCACCCAATCCTCCAGCCGTGAATTCTTTCCCTTTGTTTGTGGAGATCTCAATTCTGTCGACACGTGCTTTCCCGCAAAGGACAAATCGCGTAATTCTTTCTCCAAGGTCCAGCGATAGAGTTTTAACATCACCTTCATTACTGCCATATACTTGGCTTGGCCGATCGATATCTCGCCAATATAATCTGATTCCGCGCAAAATCTTCCACGACTGGGGTTGATTACTGACCCAAACCTCGATATTGCAAACAGGGGTATCGATATTGGATTCATTAGTGTGAAACGTTCGACCGCCGCTGCCACCGACAAAAGGATTTGGAACTATGTTGTCATTTTGAAATGCCATTTTTTATGGCAAGTTACTGGCCAAACTAGCAGGCTGTTGACCGAACCCAGCAAGACGCGGAATTAATATCTAGAACGGCTGGTTGCAAGCTATATAGTACAAAACAACCTAGGTTGACTGGTAGAACTAGTGGCCACTCGTGGTCAGATCACCGATCAACCTACGCACCCGCTCAAGCGAGGGTAAGAAAACCAAGTCATACCTCACATATGAATCAGGTTGCGGTCTCGATTGCCGCTGTCCCTGGCGTTCTGTCTCCGTTGTTTGTCCGCCTTGAGAGAATGCAATAATGTTTCATTTTTGTCCAATCAGACTACATCATGCAGGACTTATTGTATATAGTATGAAAGAAAAAAAAGTCAGGAATGGTATGTACTTATATAATAGGGATAAGGATACTCCGGCTCATGCAAAGTGCGGGGGAAGTTAAGGAAATCCCTCAACCGCTATGCGCCAAATGTATCCGAGCCTTGACGCGCACGACGCATTAGCAAGGTTAAGGAGGAGGACTCTTCCAAAAACTGGGGCCTTGTAGACGTGCTTTCTAGAGTAGAACAATTACGCGTGGATAATGTTGGCAGCTCATCCAGTGACTGTGCCATAAGCAGCGATGCAATTCCACCATCATCTCATAAAAGCCTAACTCGGCCGAATTTTGTTATGCTAGTACGCTCAATGCATGTACCAAATGGATGAGTTAATTCAAAAGTTAGCGCGTTCAGAGAGCGGCCCAGGTGCTAAATAGGGAAGAATCTATCATGCAGCTATCGAAGGCATATGCTAATTGTGCAGGATGTGTACGACTTGGTCTTTTTCGTACAGACACGCTACCTTTCGCTTAATTGTCGATGGCTGTTGTAAATCAGGCTGTCTTATTTGGGCTTAATCTGTTGGAAGTTCGCTCTCTGAAGATCTGGCTTGTGATTTCCGCTATATTTTAGCAGCGCTGGTTAACAAATGGGATGGTCGATGAGCAGCAAAGCCTGTCGAAAAGCGGTTGAAATGTCATTCATACTCGAGTTGGTCTATTTTGTATACTCGGGATGGTATTTCTCATGAAGAGAGATGCGTATGCTGTGCATTCTGGCTTCTTTAAATGATTTTGCTTATGGAAGCGCACGCGTTCCAGGGAGTTAAACGAGAAATGGCATTACTGTACTCCCTGCTGGGGTCCCTAAGAAAACTTAGTGGGCATTGAGTCGGCAATGAACCGCTGCAGTGGATTACTCCGGTAGATCCTCCGCAGTGTGGAGGAACGGTGATGGGCGGGGGGAATTTGGTGGAAGACCTTGGGTGACTTTGGTGCCGGAATAAACGGATAGTTCTTGAGCACGCGAATTGTATTGATACTGTCGTTTGTGCTGAGGCCGTTCTCGATAGAGAAAATGCAAGGAATCACTCCGAGCGGAATACCGAAGAGATGGATTTGAGCACTTTTTGTAGATAGGCTGGAAAGTTTCCTTCTCTTTATCAAGCTGGGTCGCTGTCATATTTCATCTATGCGCCTGCCACTGCCACTAATAGCAACTAGTAATGCCAGTCCATATCCGACACTTTATCCTGTTAGACAGTTGAATCCGCATAGTGTCACATCTCTTCTCAATGGCACCCAGCTGGACTCGTCTCATTCGGTTCGTGGCAGAAGAAGATGGACACATCCATCTGGGACAAGTGGACGAAGACATCCTGGATGTTGGCCTTGCAGCTTTCGAAGGTGTCCCAATTTCCGCGAAGCTGATTGAAGGGTCTTTGTACGACGGAGTTGTCTCAGATACGACCATGACTGTCAAACAGGTCGGTCCAAGATCGCTCTGCCCTCCTGGCTGCAATACTCATACAACATAGCTCTTACCGCCAATCTCGATTGACCAAGGGAAGATTATTCGTTGTCTCGGCCTCAATTATCGTGATCACGCCAAAGAGGCCAACATGCCGATTCCAGACGAACCGGTACTGTTCTTCAAGCCTCCGCACGCATTGATGGGTCCTTGGCCTGAGAAAATCAGGATCCCAAAGTTCGTTCAAGACGGATCCAGCGATTATGAAGCGGAACTCAGCTTAATAATATCTAAGACGGGCAAAAACATCTCAGAAGAAGATGCGTTTGACCATGTGCTCGGATACACCTGTGGGAATGACATTAGTGCTCGTACGGAGCAGTTTAAAAACAGCCAGTGGTCGTTCTCTAAAGGGCTGGATGCATCTGCACCAATAGGCCCCGTTCTGGTGTCTCAGAGAGCAATCGGCGATCCTCACAGTCTTAGCATCAGGGCCATCTATAACGGAACTGTTGTACAAGACTCAAATACTAGGTGCGTGAAGTAGTGAATTGTGTAGCGCTTCTGCTGATGGAGAACAAATAGCCAGATGATATTCTCAATCCCAAAGATTATTTCGTTCCTGTCGCAGGGCACGACTCTCGAGCAGGGAACAGTCATCATGACCGGAACTCCGCCTGGAATTGGATGCATGCGGGATCCTAAAATCTGTCTGTGTGATGGCGACGAGATTAGGGTCCAGATTGAAAACATTGGGACGTTGATTAATGCAGTGTATTATGAAAAGTGAATAGAAGGCGTAAGAATTGTGTAGCTAGATAGAAGTAGCTCAGAATTCACAAAAAGGTGTACCCTACAATACAAGATAAGTTGTTGTAATGGAATTACAGACAATAGCTCGTCACAAATAGATCGATATCGTAAGGCGAGGGTTGAGATGTCACCCATAGCCTCTTCTGAGAGAATCGAAGAAATGCGATTCCCATATGCCTAAGCTTGAAAGCAGCCATGGAACCAGTTCATTGATTCGTTGGTCGGACAGCTTGAAATGCCAATTGCTGCTGTTCATGTCCTACAACATTCAAGATGCGAAGTGACTCGGACTGACTCTAACCTACGGCCTTTACCTTGTCTTGGTTGGAAATTCTGGCTGCGGAAAGTTCGTGCCTCGGAAACGGCAGACAGCTTACGAGGCAGGAAGAACGCACTGCTCAAAAGGAAAGGCAGAGAACAAGCAAAATTGTATCACGCTTTTTACGAACTGGTTCCAAATTTAGCATAATAACCTGTTGTATAACATCCCACGAGGTTTAATTTCTGACAGAATAACACAGTACATCCTAGTCAATTGAATCTCTCCCAGTCACTCATTCTGCGCTCCAGTGAATTGTTTTTGGAGACGGCGATCTTCTTCCGCTTGCGGGGGGGGGGGGGGGTTGCGTATTATTAAGCCGGCCTCTCCTTCGGGCGCCTCTCCTTCGCGGGCGGCATCCTTCAAGGCATAACCGGCGGGGCATCCAGCAACCATCACCCCTTTGTAACAAACAGATCGCCACTGACCCTACCTTTATTATTTCTCACGGCGGGCTTTCGGATTGGATATGCCACGCGCTATGGAGTTCTATTCTACCACGTCTGTTGCCTGTTATACTTGCCGCAGGTAATACTAGCCCTTGCCGTCTGCCACTTTGTTCTGGATGTTTGTAGCAAGCTAACACTGTATGCTACATAGGCGTAAGATGAGATGGTAGGGCCTGCTTCTCTGTGAAGTCTTGTTTGCTATGCTTTGACTAAGCCCTGTTGCTGGTGTATAGTAGCCGCGATCGACCTTCGTGTTCATCATGTTTATCGCTGGGGAGTGCCTGTTCTTATCCTCACTCTACAAGAAAACCTGGTCCCAAGCCTGGTAAGACCATCGTCTTATTTGCCTTCTACAGGAAAAGATTTTGTTAATCATAATCATGTAGGTAGTATCAGAGCGGCATCGCGTAATCATCGGGGGTCGAGGACGATGGGCACGTCAACTAGAACTAACAGTTCCATGCGCGACTCTAACGGCGGTGTAATGGGCGTTGTCGGTCGTACAGCCCCTGAACAAACCCCCAATGCAACTCGCTCAGACTCTCTAGAGGATACGTCCGGGGAGGACCTTGGGCGATTGACGCCAACTTCTAGCCAGTGGTCACGCGGCACCGCGACGGTTTCGTTGAGTCACCTAGAATCGATATCGCTCTCTGATATGATGCATCCCTCTCATGATATACCTTCCTCTCAGCAATCACCGGATGAAGTATACACCGAAGCTTCTAGATCATCGGCAGAATCACAAAGGGCTGTCTGGGAGCTCCTCGAGGTTTCGCAGCAAGTATATGACGAACTGTGGGTAACTCTCTTGGCATTATTATAGTTTGCGACTCTGCTAACAAATTTAATCGCGGATTAATCCAGCCTTCAAGCGTATTTTCATAACATGTCGGCGTTTTCACTGTTTTACAAGCCAGGGTTTCTCGCCAAGCTGAGTGCTGTATCATCTGATTCAGAGTCGGCCGCTCTAGTGGCATCAATGTTCATCTTCTCTTCCCGCTTCCTTCATGATTCAAACAAGCGGGGGTGCTCAGAGTTTCAACATCAAGACTATGGCCCACTTCCGACCCCAGAGACCTTTCACACGCTGGCACGCAAGTTTATCGCAGCTGCGCTTGATGAGTCTTCTGAGGATGCCCCATCTCTGTGTGCCTTGCAGGCGTTGATTCTCAGTACATTTCACCAACTGTGGCAGGATGTTCGAGGCTTGGCTTGGAGATCACTTGGACTGTGTATACGAGTTGCCTACGAGTTGAATCTCCACAAAATAGACGCTGAAAGAATTGCTAACCAGAACGACAACTCTGCATACGACAAAGAACAATGGATTCTGGACGAAGAACGTCGAAGAGCTTGGTGGGCAATATGGGAACTTGATGCCTTTGCCTGCACAATCCGACGGTTGCCGACTGGGCTTGATTTGACGCAAACAAAGACTTTCTTGCCAGTCAGTGATGAAGACTGGTTCGGAGGGACCTGCCAGCCCAGCTGCTGCCTGGATGCTGACCCAAAGGCTCGATGGAAGATGCTTGAAAACTGCGCAAACCAGAGTTGGAAGTCATGGTATATTGTGGTCAACTCGATGATGCGAGACGCTCATCTTCTCTCGTATTGTCGCGGAAGATACGGCACATCTGGAATAATACGAGAGGAATTGAAGACGCTTGAAGAGTCTCTCTCTTCATTTAGGAAAGCTCTACCAAATCAACTATCCTACTGCAACGAATACCTTGGCTTTCATTCCAAGATCTCACCGGAGACACAGCCAACTCTAACTAATGATTGCGCCACATATAGCTTGTATATGATGACGCAACTAACAAAATTCATGATTTACCACTACCAAATGTTCTGGGAAGGCCGAACAGCGGGGTCAACATCTACTGTGGGCCTTACCGAAGATTCGACAGACCAGCAGCACCCACCACCGACGTATAATGTCAATATTGAAGCTTGGAGCCGATATCTCGAAAGCGCCGACAACATCCTTCGCATGATACGGAATAGCAGCCCTTACCACGTCCGTTACGTGAACCCACTATTTGCCAGCACCATATGGCTTGCAGCAGTTGCGCAAATAGTAAGCAAGGTCTTTAACCCCGAGCCTTCAAATGCGCAAACTTCACAGTCCAAGCTTGAGGTTTTGCAGCATAATTTCGACAGCTATGTCTCATTCTGGGGTACTTCCAAGGCTCTACAGCATAAGCTCAACACTTTGGAAAGTCGTCTTCAGTGTATTCGCCGGCGACAAAGCAACAGTTACTCTCATAGTACGGACAGCAGGAACCCTTTGGCGAGAAACCAATCCCATGGCCCGACGAGTAGACAGTCTCTCGGAGTGAACTCTGGCTATCAAGATCTTCTCTTAGACAGTACAGCTACAGGTTCTACAAGAGCGGATGTTCCACTTGATCCGACGAGTAATTTCTATTCGTGCGGTCCCTTCGGATTGCCTGCGGATATTGTGAACAGTGCGTGGCCGATGGATCTGACCAGCATGAAGTACAACCCTTCTGATGTGTTCAACTATGACGCTCTGGATTTTCTAAATTACTCATTTAATGGCTAGTCTCGATATTTCAACTAAAATCTTCTAGCTTACTTTGTATTTTGTGCTTTGAGAACATTAGCGATCTACTGGGGTTGCAAATCCCCACAACCGAATGGCAACGACCAGATACCAGCTACGCCATGTTAAAAAATGTATACTTTGCAACTTAGTTGAGCGGAATATAATAAGAAGCCAACATACTAATCTCCAGTTATATCACAATTTGGGCTCGTTTAGGTGCATAAGAAGAATATTCTTTCGCCAGCAGCCTTTGTTAATAGACCTTATAACAACGTTCTAGTACACTATTTTAAGCGTATATAGTTTACGTCTATGGAAATTTTTGTTATAATACCAAAAAGACGCAAATGTTCTATTGATGTCCAAGTTCTACTCAGAGACTCATTTTTGCGCATCCTGCTTCAGTCCATGTGCAATCCAAGCTTTGTTGCTAGCGAGAAGCTGCTTCAGCTTCTCAGGCTCCTCCAGCACTTTATTCAAATCAGTGCCACTTGGGACGTTATATCCCTTTTGCACTGCTGGCCGCGACGCCATTCTCTTGTGCCAAATCTGCAAGGTCGGAAACTCTGTGAGATCAATCTCAGAGAATTCTTTTCCATGTTAGCAGAGTTCATTAATAACCCAATAAAACCTGAGCGTGGAAAATGATTGACGGTTACTCACTTGCTGAGTTCACCCAGCACCAGAGAGCTATGTCTGCAATGGTGCATTTATCACCAACCAGATAGTCATATCCGGATTGCGCAAGGTTATTGTCGACTGTACGGTACAGACGTCTTGTCTCGTTTTTGTATCGGTCGATAGCGTACGGAATTGGCTCAGTTGCCAGCGAGTAACGGATGAAATGATTAGCTTGGCCCTGCATTGGACCTACGCCCGCATTTTGGAAGAATAGCTACAGTAAGAACAATGTTTAGTATAGTTTCATGAGCAAACAAGCCGCCCTATGGCCAGATTGTAACAGGATTTGTGACCCACCCAGTTATTCGTTTCATAATACTCCTTGCTGCCTTTCGGATACGATATTTTATGCTCTGGGTCATAGTTTTCGACCAAGTATTGCTGAATGCTGCCCGACTCAAATAACGAGATGGGAGTTTTGTTTGGCAATTCATCCGTCAGGGCAGGGATTCGTCCATTCGGATTGATGGCAAGAAACCATGGTTCCTTTTGGGCCAATTTCCCAAGATCCACGATTGTTATGTTATACGGAAGGCCAAGTTCCTCGAGCGTGATTGAGACCTTGTGGCCATTGGGAGACTGGGCAGTGTAAAGATGAATCATTGTTCAGATTGAAGTGTCAGCCAACCGGAAAGGCGATATAGAATTGTGATCTAGGATGCTGTTAATTTAACCCAAGGCCAGACATTCATGTGTACCTATTAAGCTATATATATATGTATTTTGTCTCATGCGTATTCTACCTTTGTGCGTATTCCATCTTGACAAGTCATCAGGATTCTACAGTTGCGACATGTTCCCACCACTGATTAACAATCCATTATGTCTGTGGCGTAATGTTTGCCTGTAGCCTGACTGACAACTCGAAAGGCGAGTAAATTGAAGATACTACAAAGCTTGAAGACAGACCAGAGAATCTCGTAAGCAAGATGATAAACTCAAGCAAGGGCCATAGCCAGACTATCAATCAACATAGCATTAATCCTCCGAAACTAGTTGAACAATTCCTCCGACCCCTTTAGCTTGCAGCCATGAGGCCCCTGTAGGGAGTTCGTCCGGCGCTACTGTCTCGCCTCAAAAACGCGGGGTAGCGTCTTGTATCTTGGAATCTGTGGATGTTTGTCGAGATCCTTAGCCGCATTGGCCTGCAGAATCACAGAGGAGCGTTGTAAGTATTCGCACATATAAAATATAATAGTTTCGTAGGTATTCTGTAGGATACTAATTATAGAGATCTTACAGGACATTGGACATGAAAGCAGCTGCGTGTATTTTAATTGACTACATATGAGGTACTCTACTACCAACTAGCCTTGATCCATAAAGGGTCAGTTGGAAACGACTCTGGATGTTGAATTATCCAGTCAGCAACTTGAGTGCAAGGCGCACACCAAATGCGAGCATCTTTAGCGACCAGCTCTACCACTTCCCTCATGGCCTGAAATTTCTCTTCGCTGGTCTGAAGTATGGGATGGAAGAGAAAAGATATGTACGCATTGGATGCCACGGCATCTTCCAATTGCTGAAGGAATTGATCTTTCAAGACTTTGGGATCAAATACATCTTTTTGGGCCCCATAGAATTGTCTCAATCCAGAAAACTCGTTCATATAGAAGTAGGCATCAGTAGTCTTCCAATGAAATGGTAGGATGACAATGTCGCGCGTGATTGCGGCCCTTTCTGCAGCTGGAGATATGTAGCGAATCCCATATTTATGCAGATAATCGTACGTGGCGTCGTTGATTAGGCCACCGGGAGGTCGAAATCCGGCATAATCTATTTCCAGCTTTTTCGCATCTGCAAAGCTTTTGTCAAAGTTTGCCTCTTCCTCTTGTGGTGAGAGTTTGGACCACGTTTCATGTTGGTAACCATGCCAGGCAAGTTCATGCCCGCGGTTAATGATATCTCGACCAACGGTAGGGTACACACCCAGGCTCCAGGTCTCGAAGAAAAACGTCGCTTTGACAGCAGACTCGTCAAGAATCTTCAGCATGCGCGGCAGCGCTTCTATGACGGACGAGTGCTGCCCAATTGGCTTTTGGGAAGGCCAAGTACCACTGTTTATCTCTTGAGCTTCGCCGAGGTTATCTACTGTGAAGCTCACAGCTGCCTTAGCATTATTGGGCCAAGGAGAGCTGGCCATTTTTGACCTGGTTCAGCCGATGTCGACAACGGTGTGAGAAGGATGGATAATTGGCGGCCATTCTGATATCCGTAACATCATTAGTTATCAAGAATGGCTGGCTATATATTGGTTCGGCAAATGAAAGAGACGTACGCTATGACGACTTATTATCTGACATGTAAGATATTTTGTTGCCAACGTATATTTGAGGGGTCGACCGATACATTTGTTGGCTGAGAACTTTAAGATGCTATTGGTGGCGGATGAGTTCGGGAAGAACTAACGGAGGAATTAACGGAGGAATGGGCATATTTAGCTTTGATGTTGATCTCTGTGTGTACGCACCACTAATTTTCCTATTGGATAAATTTGCTGTGTAGAGGGTGCAGTCTGCGGTGCTGAGTACGGAATAACTTAATTATCGATGATGTTAAAGACGGGCGACGCTAGAAATGATCTTGAACCGATTGCCCGCCTCGCTTGGTCTGCTTACCACTTCTTTTTCCCCCTTTACATCGCAGCTCTATTTACCGACTAGAGTAAAATTAAGTTTTGCTTCTACTCAAGTTTGTGATAAAATCAGATTGCCGCCCCATTGTCATTTGGAACAAATCTCCCTTCTATTTATTTCTGCTTAAGCCAACTCACCTGCCAACATGCCTGCAAAAACATCCCTCCAGCCACGCGGTCTTAACCATCATGCCTATGCTACTCTAAATATGGACGAGACACACCACTTTTGGACTGAAGTCATGGGCTGCAAGTTTCTGGGCGCATATGCCTTTCCAGAATCTGGCCACGATAAACCGATTCCTGACAGCTACGTCCATAGTCTCTATGGCATGTCTGACGGTTCCGCTTTGGCCTTTTTTGAACTAGGTCATGGTTTTGAGAAGAAAGACGATGGGATCCCCAAATACACAAAACATCTTGCTCTAAGTTGCGATAGCAAGGAGCAGGTGAAACAGTGGCATGAAAATTTCACTGCGCACGGCCTCGATGTTATAGGAGAAATTGACCACGAGGGAATGTGGCTTTCTATTTATGTGACTGACCCTTCCGGCCTCGTCATCGAAATTACGCATCAATCGCACACGTTCGACGATAACGATGCCGCAGAGGGCTTAGAGGTTTTGAGGCAGTGGCGGAAGGACAAAATCGCTTCAAAGGAGTGAGGCTGACGCCGTTTAAATGACATGTATCTATATCGCGATCTATTAATTTTTTTTTTTAGCAAATCTTTCGTGTTTCTTCAATCTGTGGTTCAATGTGCTAGACCATGTGGCATGAGCATATGTAATTATTCTAGCAAAAGCCAGTCTATTAGGACTAGGCTGCAAGTATAGTCTATAGCAATACGCTCGCCCTTGAGCGTACAAAAGTTAGTGAAGCCATGAAGTAGTTCATTGCATGTCATCCTCAAATTGAAGCCTCAGAGTCCTTGACCAGTGTAATGTACTGTTGAAGCTGTTTCCTCATCGTGTTCTCGAAGGAAGTAAACTTCCACCCAAAAGCTTTCTCGCTGTCTGATGCGTCCAGTTTCCATCTTCTAGTAGGCAGCGATCCTGTACATTGAAGCAATCCACTTTCGACTTCTCGTGGAAAATGCTTTCGGGCAACGTCCAAGGTGGAATTCCACTCAATACCATCCGGTGTATCAGAACTCAGGATATAGTCCTTGTTCCCAGACACTGATGGCTTGATCGCATCCACATGAGCGAGTGCAACATCGTCTACAAAGACAGGCACTCCCACAAGCGGTGCTTCCATGACTTTACCTTGGACGATTGGCATAATCATGGCGCGAGTTCCCACGAAGAATGATTCCAGATCCGTCGCCCAATCATCCGGCCCTATGACAACTGAAGGAAGTAATTGAATAATGTCAAAGTGGGGTTTCTTCTGCGACAGGAACTCGTGAACGTGCTTTCGGGCAAGGGCCTTGGATGCCCAGTATGCCTCCATGGCATTGTGATATGGAGGTGCAGTGTCCGTATTTAGGTCTCGAGATGTGAAGACGGTGTCGACGTCGCTACTGGCGAGCCAAGATAGGGGAATCAAGGTGACAGCCGAGGAAGTAATAACTACTCGACGTACACTAGGTGCGTTGAGAGCCGACTCGAGCAGTGACGACTCCATATCAAGAGGCGGCTGGACGATATCTCGGCTGTAATCGTCTGTCTGTCTAAATTTGTAAATAAATAATGCCAGCGCATTGCCAATGGAGAGAAAGTTGGACGCACCTCTTTAGCGAGTGGAGAGGCAAGATGGATGATTGCTGAAATGCCGTCCAAGACTGGATCGAAAGCCCCAGATTTCCCTAACTCTGGTATGACCACAAATTCAACACCGCTTGTAAGGCCTTCCATAAGAGGGTGAGATGTAATCTTGGAGATTTGCTCTTCTTTGCGTACAACGCCACGAACTCTGTAACCCTGTGAGAGAGCAATGTATAGGACCTTGAACCCGATATACCCTGTAATGCCCGTAATCTAGCATTGAAGTTTAGTTGGCAGGTTGACTAAGCGATAACAACAAGACTTACAAGAACTGTTTCCTTGGCCATTTTGAAGAACGTTTTAAATAAATTACTGATTTTGAAGTTAATTTAAATGAAGAGCAGTAAAGGGTAGGCCTGATGAAGGGGTATGAGAATTTGTGACACGAGTTGCAATTGGGTTGACAGAGACGGATTCACGTCACGCAAGTTTGTAGGTTCGAGTATATATACATAATTGAAACAGTCTCCAAATCTTCGGGTAAAAGCTACCAGCGAGAACAATAGGACCAAATATGGCGTTAACTTCAGCGGTATAAATCTTCTGGTCCATTCACGCTCGCTGTGATACTGCAAGTAGCAAACCGAGGTAGTATGCCCAAGTAATCAGTGCAACTACCAAGACTAGTTTCTACGAAAATTGGCTCTAGGCTTGCGCTAGACAACGGCAGAGATCCCTGCTGTGGCACCTTGTTCACTGTCCAAGAACTCTTAAATAGCGTCCATGCTCGGAGTTCCGGGTACGCTCCATAACTCGACCTTAAACAGTCTCAGAAACAGCACAGACAAGCCTTCAATGTCCTCACATCCAGCCCTCACTGACTTGCGTTGCACTAAATGTGCCGTGACCTTTACGCAAAGTGTGTCCCTCCCATTTTCTACTTTGACTAACTGGAGCTAATGGGCATGTCAAGAGTCGTCGTTAGTACGCCATTCCAAGCGGTGCCTAGCAAATGTTCGCAGTGCTCCACGCCAGAAATCTTGCGAGCAGTGCATCCGTGCCAAGTCCCGCTGCACGCTGACGAGGCCTGAATGTGAGCGCTGTTTGGACAAGAGACTCTCTTGCTACTATGCGTCAAGGCAACGTGGGAATCATGGAAGTAACAAACGAGATGCAAGACAATGTCCAACTCCTAGTGCTTCAGAATCATCATCCGCTCCTGGCAGCTCTACGGATCTACTATTAACCCACAGTGACTCAACAACCGTTTCTCTCAAGCTCCAGTCCCCTGTCGACCTCGGGCCGATGGGCAGATTTCCAGGATTAATACAGAGAGCCGGGAGCATTGAACAGCATGCCTTGCAACATACTATCCGAGTACTGAGAACATATCCACGCATGCTATCAGCGCAGACGCAGCTACCGCCGTTTGTACATCATCGCCAGACAGAACGAAGTGTGCTGCCTCTAGCCTTAAAAAAATGCCACGACATTCTCGCTCAGAATGAGCGTCAGCAAAATTCTCTGCAAGAAGAAGTCATGAAAGAAATTGCGAGTTTAAACAAGATCGTCAGCGTCTTTCTTTCCAAGCCTCCCGTCGCCGATGAAACTAATCTAGCGCAGAAAACGCTTAGAACCGCGGAAGATCTCCTTGCATCTGCACAAGCCTTTGTAATCTATGCAATTTTATGCTTGTTTCCTGATGAGGGCTCTATGCAGCCCGAAATTAACGAAGAGCAACTCATTCTGGATATATCCGAGTTTTCGCTCCAGCTAGCATCTAGCGGCTTGGCTTTGCACGAAGAAACAGTTGATAGCCAAATTCCCCAATGGCATGATTGGGCAATCATCTCGGCAAAGAGGCGCACCATCCTAACTATTTATATGCTGACTTGGGCATGGTCTGTTTTGCGTAATTATCCTTCGTTCTACTGCCATGAGCTACAGTTGATGTTTGCACCATCTCCAAAGGCACTTTGGCAAGCCCAGGCTGAGACAGAATGGTTATCGCTGTATCGGAAGTGGTTACAAAGGTGGAAGGGAGATGGGTACAGGATTGGAGAATTGCTTTCAATTTCACCAAAGCAGATGATCGATAGGAGGACAGAGGATTGGCTAGAAGAAGTTGATGAATTCGGCATGTTATTAATGTCTCAAGGTAAGAGTTAACCTTGCATCCTGGCGTACATGAAATCTGACACCATGCTAGTCAATGCTATATAGCTGAAGGAGTTATCTGCGGGCATACAGCAACTTGAGAAGAAGGGTAAGTACCTCAACATGCTTGAGATCTTTCTCTACTGGCATAAAGGAAGCTGTAGTAGGGCAGGGCACAACATAGTGGGGGATATGACATGTACTGTTCTTGCTCAATGTAACAATGCATTCCTGCATGTTAATGTGATTGCAACAACTGACAACTTCTAGTGTCCCTGCATTGCAGTTAATGAACATTCAACTTCAATCCAAGCCTTGACAACAGCTATTGGCGGAGTAGGGATGGCAAGTGTGCTGGATAAAGCAATGGATTCCTACATCATGCTTTAATATCGACCTTCTCCTGGCACCGTCAGCGGTCAGTTATTGGCCCTACCAAAGTTAGTGCCAGATGATCCACAAATAACAAGATGACGAGGTTTCTGCAGCTTGAAAACAATGCTCAATGACAATGACTCCCCTAATATGAATTACACGACGCATTGGCGCGGTGTAAAAGCGACTTGTAAATAATTCTTTATCAACAGAGTTTTATTATTACTTCGCCTTTGCACTTAGTCTCGGCCAAGTTTGAATTCTATATGTAACAGCTTGCTTCGCCAAACATCGGAGCCCGGAGTTCCGTGTATGTGTTGAAAATATCCACCTTCGTAGAAAAGACCAGTTATTCTTACAGTTGACAATAATTTCCATTTGTATTTCAAGCATTTATCTGAGAATCTGTTGAAATATATAATATGCATTATATCTTGGGACCAACAGCTCTCGAGCATTCACTTGTCTCACAACAACTCTTGAGCCATCGAACAAACCTCGTTACAACTCTTGCTACCGACACTTCAGCACCATGGCCAACTTAATCATCTACGGCGCCACTGGATACACTGGCCGACTTGCATCCGAGTTTGCCAAGTCTGACAATCTCCAGTTCACTGTAGCGGGCAAGTCAGAGAGTAAGCTCAAGGCCCTTGCCGCTTCCCTCGGTGTTGAGTATCGCATATTTGCGCTTGGTGACCCTAAAGTCGTCGACGCCGCCTTACAAGGGGCCCGGGTTCTTCTGAACTGTTCGGGCCCGTTTTTGCACACGGCTGAGCCCTTGATTGAGGCATGCATTCGCAATGGGGTCCATTATCTGGACATTGCTGCCGAACTGGACAGCTATGAGCTATCTGAAAAGAAGCATGAAGAGGCCAAAAAAGCCAACGTTATGCTCTTACCAGGGTGTGGGGGTAGCGTTGCTATGCTAGGCTGCCTAACCAACTACATGATTGAAGGTGTAGCCAACCCAATCAGTATCGATATTGCCCTCCACGTCGCCGGCCCCATGTCTCGAGGTTCGGCCATCAGTGCAGCGGAGAATTTGACATCAAAGTGTCTCAAGCGGCTTGATGGAAAACTAGTGGATCAGGATAGTGGGCAGACCATTTACTTCGATTTTAATGATGGCAGAGGCAGCGTGTCCTGTTTTCCGGCAACTTTACCCGACGTCATCACAATATGGAGATCTACCAACATTCCAAACATCAGAACATTCGTTCATGTGGCGGGAGATGCTTTTCCCACTGAGAATCTGAATTCCCTGGCGGAGGGTCCAACGGCTAAGCAAAGAGAGAGCAACCCGTATCATGTTGCAGCTACTGTAACTGGTTCGGACGGAGCAACCACTCGTGCCGTCCTTCACACCGTTAATGGCTACACGTTTACACCGCTGGCTTCTGTGGAAGCGGCGAGGCGAGTGCTGATGGGAGAGGTGAAGGCAGGTTTTCAAACGCCTTCTAGACTTTTTGGCTATCGCTTCGTGGAAGCAATAGCCGGATCAACTTTTCGAGATCTTTGAGTGCATTCATCTGTCGAAGGTAATACTAAACAGCAGTTATTATACTTGGGTGGTATCATAGAAGAGTACTTTATTAGACGTCAGCACAGGTGTCAATCAACATCATTGTCGATACCTACCATTCATGATCTCGTCAACGTATGCAATGGGTGAAAGATCAGTAGATATCCATGGAAATTGTTGGCCACCATCCAGAGAACTATATACAATAGTGAGCAATCCTGTTCAAAGTTTTCCTGAATTGTAAATGAGCCTTCCTACATTTGATCGAACGCGACGGATGTTTGGTCGGAAATGGGACAAAGATCTGTAGCCATGATACTTTCCAGAATTTTGGCTCCATTAGCATCCAGTTGTTCTTTGGAGATGCGAGATGCCTGGTCAGGAGCTGTGGTTGGACATGGGGTGTTTCGAATGGTCTCTAGCAGAGTCATCAGCGCCTGGACGTGTCTCGTAGACAGCCAATGAGGCTCTCGATTTGCATCTATGCTGGCATCGCGTTGGCTGGCCCTGAAGAGAACGTCGAGCACGCTTTTTTGAAGCTCCTGAGATTTTGAATCATCCCGTGTCTCCTCCCAGATGCTGAGTAGTAGCATGGATGTAAGAGTAGAGTGAATCATTGACCAGCTGCGTAGCGGGACAATACTCAGGGCTTCAAACTCAAGGAATCTTTCTAATACATTCTGCAGGCCCTTTTTCGCTCGAACGATGAGCAACCGATGAGCGTCAGTCTGCGATATTGGGGTGGATTTGCTGATAGCAGGTCGACATAAAAAGCAGATGGTAAATGAGGTATTGATCTGAAGTGCAAGATACTCGAGAAGCTCTCGTAGATTCCTACACGAGTCCCGTGTTTGTAGGTACAGTTCGGCGTGTGAGCTACAATCGTCTATTGCTTGCAGGAGACGTACAGAACATTCTGCGTCTGGGTTACTCTCCGTCACTTCAAAGCAGATGTATGCTATGGAGCGCATGACTTCAGTGTAGGAGAGGGGAGAGCTGGGAGTGCTGCTGCGGTGTAGGTTTTGCACTTGAATGTGGGAAACGCTTGTCGGCCGGCCGTGGCATACACTGAGGAAGCAGTCCTGCCATACAATGGCAGCCCTGAGGTTGAGAATCAGCTGAATGAAGCTTTATTCTAGTGGCTGTTGCATCTTTGGCTTTCAAGATAGCCCAGTGAACGTACCATAATGCCCTCCTGTTCCTGATATCTGGTTCTAAATGGCCAGCACCATGTTCGGTGTGTAACCCAAGCGCCTGAGCTAGCCTCACAGTAGTCCCTAGGAGCACCCAAGCACCATCGGATTGACCAATATTTTGCAGAGTGTTGCCTAGTATTAATAGGGTCTGCACTGCATCGAGAGACGGTCGTAACATATAGTTGGCCAATTGTAGGACTAGAAAGGCACGTCGCACTTGGTAAAACGTTAGTCGTCCAAGAATGTATTCCTGCTTGATAGCTTCAATTACCAAAATCCCTGGATGCCTCGGATCGTCGAGTGATAGGCAGAGATGAGAAATGGGAGCCGCAGGAGAGGATGGCGAGGAGCAGAGCAACAAAGGTAATTCCCTCATCACTCGACCAAGATTCCGAAACATGTAGTTTGTCCTGTAGCTGCCCGGCCGCGCAACTTTCGAGGTATGTACAGACACGGACCTCAAAGCGGTCGATATCAACTAGGAACGGCATAAATGGATATGCGGTATGTCTGTAGGAAGGAAAGAACCTATAATGCAACTTGATAAGATAGACGCTTTGATGCAGTAATATTATGTATTGGATACGCATGATACTGGAAAAGGTATGAGCAGCTTCATTACCTGTGAAACTCTTCGTTCTGGGGCGAGAGCTTTACCAAAGTCTCCCATCTCTGCTGAGCCGTCGGGACTGTGAACAGAGGATCGCTGCTAACTGAGTTTTGGAGGCCAAGAAAAACGCGCGCATCTCGAATCCTGGAGGATGATGTCGGATCAACAGCGCGTTGCCGCAGCATGGAGACAATGGAGTTATCCCCCTGATATGTATCGTCTGCCGGTGTAGACTCTTCGCCATTTCCAAAGCTCAGCGAGTTCTCTGCATTGGATTGGCTATCCGAAGGTTCGAGAGACGGTGTAAGCAAGGTGACATCTACGGGCTCTTCAGAGTTACCGCCAGCCACTGGGATAGCCTGTAGAGAATCATTATCAACGCCAGCCCGACGACGTTTACCACGGCGCTTGGTCGCTGAGAAGGAATAGGAGCAAATCTCGGGGTGGCCCCGCCTCTGGCAAGTGCTGCACGGCTGGGCATGATTGCAGCGAACCTTGCGCCGGTGGCAAGGATAGCAGGCCTTTTCAGTGGGTTTGCGTCCTCGGCGCAGGATGTGGTCGATTTCCTCTCGGTCCATTGTACGACTGAAGGATTTGTAGGGTTCGAGGAGATTCTGGCTCCGAAAGTAGTGAATCAGAACATCATGGCTAGCATATCCTATGTGCCCATCATTTTCGGCGCTCGGCGCCCGGCTATCTCGGCGACGCGGCGTCGCCCCACGCAACAACGACCGACTATTCCTCATTTTCTAGTGCAGTTGACTAGGAAATGGGTCAAATAGAGAGGAGTAGTCATACCAATAGTGAATCAAACGTAATAATAGCTTATGTGGATAGTTTTGGTTGTGCTAACAGTCACGGATGAGATGCTTGTCTTCCTTCGCATCAAACCTAATTGTTGTGGTTGTTCTAAGGGTCTCGGTCTCGGAGCATCTCGGCCAAGTGGCCATCAGTCTGTATACGACGATGGCATCGTTTTTGTCTAGTTATGATTATAAAAAGAGTGAAAAGAAGCGTGCAAACAACGAAAAGAGCTACAGCCTTATCAGGTCGTCTATATTACTGCACAAGAGCATATAGGAATTCAGTTGCTCAGCAATTGTTCTAGTAAACAACCAGTCTCTACATCATCGATTATGGCTTCTACACCGGATAGAGACCCAGAGCCTCCACACCTGAGCTTCCGCTCTTTCGTGGATTCTCTTCGAGAGGACAATGATTTGGTTGAAGTCAATGACCCCATCGATCCAAATCTCGAAGCTGCAGCCATTACTCGCCTCGTATGTGAGACCAACGACAAGGCACCGCTGTTCAACAATGTTATCGGGGCCAAGAATGGCTTCTTTCGCATTCTCGGCGCTCCTGCTGCGCTGCGCCCGTCCAAGGCTCAACGCTTCGGGCGTATCGCGCGGCATCTGGCCATGCCCCCTGACTCCAGCCCAGCTGCCATTATGGAGAAGCTGCTCTCTGTTGATGTTGAAAAGCTAGTCGATCCTATAGTGGTCGAGTCGGGTCCAGTCAAGGAGAACAGCATCGAGGGCAACGATATCGACTTGAATGCCATTCCCGCGCCCATGGTACACGAGACTGACGGTGGCAAGTACATCGGCACGTATGGGGTCAATATCCTCGCTTCGCCCGATGGCAAATGGGCCAACTGGTCCATTAATCGAACCATGGTGGTAGGGAAGAACACACTGACCGGGGCCTGCTACCCGCCGCAACACAACTGGCAGATCGTCAACAAGTGGCGCGAGATTGGGCAAGATGCGCCCTGGGCTTTTGTTCTCGGAGTGCCGCCTGCAGCTGCCATGATAGCGGGAATGCCTATTCCTGATTCTGTCAGTGAAGCTGCTTATGTCGGAGCTTTAAGCGGAGAGCCCCTGAAGCTTGTCAAGTGTGACACGAACGATCTCTACGTCCCAGCCAATGCTGAGATCGTCTTCGAGGGCACCATCTCCGTGACCGAACAGGTGCCTGAAGGTCCATACAGCGAGATGCATGGAGTCAACTTTCCCGGAGACTCCAAGATGATGCCAGTATTCAAGGTCAACAAGATCACTTACCGCAACAACGCCATTCTTCCCTTGTCGGCTACGGGCAGACTGACTGACGAAACCGTGAGTAAAAGACAAAGCGGACATTCCGTATCTTTGGCTGACCAGTTTGTGACAGCAATCTATAGGAGGTCTACTGACGGCCGCTGAAATCCTCAAGCTCTGTCGGGCTTCTGACTTGCCGGTGCTACAAGCCAGCTCGCCCCTCATTTCTCAGTGCACTTGGGTCGCGCTTCAAATTGATGGGGCGCGCCTCCGGGCCATGAAGACGAGTCCCAAGCAGTTGGCAGATCTTGTCGCCAATGTAGTATTCAACTGCAAGGCTGGAGTGCCGTTCCACCGCATCCTTTTGGTCGGTGAAGACATCGACGTCCATGACGATGCAGATATCATGTGGGCTTTCTCTACGCGATGCCGGCCTGGATTAGACGAGTATCCTTACGAAGATGCCAAGGGCTTTGCACTCATCCCGTATATGGGCCATGGGAACGGCAATCCCACCAAAGGCGGCAAGATGGTCTGTGATGCGCTATTCCCTGTCGAATATACTACGGGCAGAAACTGGGTCAACACCAGCTTTCGTGAAGCGTATCCCAAGCCCCTTCAAGACTCGATTGTGGCCAGTTGGGAAAAGAGAGGATTCAGCAAGCTGAACTAGGGTACGACATCCCTGGGTATAGTCCTTGGAATCGATGTTTATATAGAGGCATAGGTGTCAGTTGATCAATACTTGCGTTGCGCGCACTCCGCAAAAAGCCTCGACACGGTGATCTATCAGCTTTGTAGTATGCAATTTCTTTACACGACAAGAAGATTTCTCATGGCTATTCTTTCCTATGACATCGATATACAAAGATAAACACTCTTATAGATCAAACCGATCACTTTTCTATTCCAAACATGCGCCCTGCTATTCAGTCGATCAACTCATGCACGACGCTAGCTAGATATGCTCGTAGACCAGTGCTGGATTGGAGGCGACTGTCATTGCTTTGGCTATAACTGTGAAGTATCTATAATCCAGCTCATGTCTAGAAAATTGAATGCCTCATCTTGTACTACTTCTTCCTCAGGAACATTTTTTAGGATCGTCGTAAAGGACATGTCATTATCCCTGCTACACAGGCAGTTACCTGTCGTATGACTCTCACTGCCGGTGTTTCTTGTTGTCCAGTTCAAACAATGCTTGAAAAACTGCATCATTTTCCAGAAATAGTCGCGTCTGTCTTTCCCATCCTCTGTTTTTGATACCATGGTCTGCATTTTGTCTTTGAGAGGCGTAAGATAAGTAGAAATGTCTGCGCAGTCGCGCAGTTGGCCCGGTTCTCCCACAGCAATGCCTCCAAGTGTGCCGGCGGCCAGTACGAGAATGGAATATAAAAGCTCTGATTCCTGGAACAGAATAGTGTGTTGAAGTGTTTGTCGAGGTAAAAGCACGTATTCTTTGATATAACTCTGCGCTGTTTGCACGCATGAGAGTACTATATTGAACCGCTGTAGTGATGAGCACCAATTGCAACAAGCGCAGTTGCCTTGGTCGTGGAGATCTCGGTGCTTCATAGGAGCATGAAGACCAATCTCTTGTATATACACTTGCAGGTAGAGACATTTCCTTTGAATCAAGCCTGCAATGTTAAGTATTTAGTATGTACTATCGATAATGAAGTCACAGGATACGCACTGTTTGTCTTTGCCTCCGGCGGAAACTGCTGTACTAGTTGATCAATCTTCCCTCTGAAATTTGTTATCGTAGCGTTAATTTGGATGTAATCAAAATTTTGCATTGGCTCCTCATTGCTGTATTGAAATAGTTGGTCAATTTCTTCGGCCAGCTTCTGCAATTTCACAAAGCATGGGAGCAGTTTATCCAATGCAGCTTGTGAAATGCACGTCAACAGCCTACAGCATTCTGCGATATTGCTACTGTACTTGAGATGTGTTGGCTTTCTCATTGCCAGCGCGATGCTATCAAGCAAGAAGCGTGAATGAGTGTACTAGCTACATGAACCATATCAGAGAGGCTTACCAAGAAGAAATGTAGTAACAAGCGACAAATGTACGCATACTCTCTATAACTGAATAATAATTCTCGTTACCAGTCGACAAATCAAATGTCTCTCGATGTTGTAGCAGAATGTCTCTGAGAAACTCGTCTGGAGGGCCAAGCCTAAGCTCTACTGCCATTGTAACCGCCATTTGAGATAACTGGTAAATTTGTTCTCTAGCAGGATGGAAGTAATGGTGGTTCCTAACGGGTTAACATTAGCATATGGACTTGAAAAGAGGAGCAGTGCCATATCAAGCTTACCAGGTGAGAAATACTAGTAATCCTTGCAATAAATCCATATTCTTCTCAGCGTTAAGAATCACTCTGTCAGCTAGCATTTTCCTAAATTCTATCTCTAGCTGTGTCTGCAGATGATCTCGAGCACATGCAGTGAGGATTGCAAGGAGGAGACAGGGTCGCTCCCATCGCATACATTCTAGATCAGCATGAAAAGGAAGCACTATGAGCGGAAATTCCGCCGATGCGACAAAGAAGTCTGCTAGCAGTTGATTCGCTTCATCAGCATCGAGGAAACCCATGGAAATCACGTCTGGGTGAACATTGACCAAGTCTGTCGCAAAGTCTAGCTCCGAATTTTCTTTGACAGCACTACCTGAACTCAGGTTGGTTGAGTTTTTGAGCTCTTTATTTAATTCTGTCTTTTCAGACATCGACGATATGAGGGTCACTAGCCCTTCAAGCTTCTCTTCGACTGCTCTTGCTCTCGATCTCCTGCGATCAGTGAATTAGTCTTGACTTGACGAAGATGAATGAAACGGGCCTACGGTTTTGGCCTAGCCCGTCGGGGCCGAGCAATGGCTTGCTCGAACATGCATGCCGTCCCATTGATGCTACATCTGGATTGGCTGTTATTGATTGGATCTCGGCTGTAACGAATGAAGAGGATGCGTGTCAAATCACCTTTTACATGATTGGGGCACGTTGGCGTCGTCCATATCAGGGATACAGCGGACCTTGGAGCTCCTACAGGCCTCGCAAGATCGGCGAAGGTTGCCTGTTCTCCTGACCCCGAAGTGCGAAGCTCCGGAAGCGATTGTTCCCTCCATTGCCACGTGTCAGCAATCACGAAGCTAGAACAAGTTGCTATGATGCCAAATGTAGTTTTGCGCAGCTTATCGGCGCATTGCGAGGGCTTTCCGTGAGGTTTCAATGAAAGGAGCTCGTGAAATGCCCCTAAAAGATGCTATCGGAATCTCGGTACAGTCAGCGAGCACCGAAATTCCGGAAGTCCTCTTTTAGGCGTCAAAATCATACGCTAAGTTAGCCCTGCTCCGCTAGACTTTTACTTTGGCATACAGTGATGAGTATCTCCATTTTACCAGCTCTTGAACATCAGAGAAACTCCTTTTTGCGTAGGTATTGTAATTACATATACACACAATTAAAGCTCTCTTGAAGTGTATCTTATTAAGCGACTCAGTAGTCTTCTATTATTATCCAACTCCCTCTGTACTCTTGGCTCAAGCTAGCCGAATAATTAGCTGATTCAAGCGCCACCATATCGCCAAACTACATTGCCCCGAATAGTAATCTAATAAAAGTCTCTGACTTTTTCATTACATAGATTCCAGAGTTTTGCACCAGAATTCCTTTGTGAAATCCCTTCTTCCACTTTTGTGACAGTCCCGCCGACGTGTCCAAAAGGAACTACAAAGCACCCATTTCTTTCGGCAACCGTGTCCGACAGGCCAGCGTAAAGCTCTGTCAGTGCACCAAATCGCGGCGCATAAGACATGAGATTATGAAACGCCTGAAGGTACCATGGAGCGTGGCGGGCAATGTCTGTCTTGATTCCCCCCGGATTGAAGGCGCAGCTGATGATATCGGGATGTACCTTTGCCATCTCAGCCGCGAGAATTGCGTTTGCAGCCTTGCTTTGAGTGTATCTCATCGTGCGGCCTTTGAAGCCCTGAAATCCAGGAGGGCTCAATTTCCAGTCTTCCCAGACTATACCGTCTTCTCCCGGAGGCGCCACCGCAGATCCAGAGCCAGCCCAGCACACCCGAACAGAGCCCTTTGGCGTGTCCGGATCTCGAGCCGTTTGAAGCATTATTGGAGTAAGGTGGTGTTGCAACAAGTAAGGGCCGAAAACGTTGGTTGCAAAGGTGAGTTCGTGGCCCTGTTTACTGACACTTCCTTCTGGAACTATCATGACTCCTGCGTTATGCCAGACGACATCAAGACGTGTTTCGAGCTTCAGAAATGATTCTGCTGTCCCCTTGACACTAGATAAATCCGCCAAGTCAAGCTTGAGAAAGCGAAGGGCTTCGCTTTGCTCGGAAGAGCGTGGTCTCATTCCCAGCGGAGGCTCCGAATTCATGATGTATTCGATTGCTTTCTCCCCCGATTCTGGAGACCGCGAGAGAAGATAAACTTTGGCAGCATTGGCATGATATAGAATCCTGGCCAACTCCAGACCTACACCTCCAGTACCTCCAGTGACGATAAATACCTGGCAAAGAAATATATCAGTAATAGTAATATCTTAGGAACGATTGCTGCAGCCTTACTTTTCCTCTGAGGCTAGGTACGTCCTTTTCCAGAAAGGTCGGTTTACTGGGAAAATAGGATCGTAGAAAAGTCGCCATGAGTACCTGAAATATCAATTACGGTGTAGAAAGTGAAATGCTGCATCATAGAAACTTGGGGTATGCCATAGCTTTATAGCAGGCTGTTGAATGGTGATTCTGGAATTTCGGACTGAATTTCGGACTGAATTTTGGACTGAAACCCGAAAATGCATCCCAAGATAGATGCAAGCATCGGAAACTCCGAGCCAAAGTTCAGTGCCGGGTGCTGATACGGTCCGAAGTTGTCATTGGACTCCACTAATGAGATTGTTAATTTGTCACTCTTCTTATACTATCATTATTTTCTATACTTGAGTACATGAAGGGATAAATATTGTATTGACACGGTCTAGGATGATTGTACTGTAGCTTAGATAGAATGGGTCATGAAGCATCTTGTGGTAAACCTGGCAGACACTCACGCAAGCTTTACTACTTGATGGAATCTCGGATTACAGCTCACTGAACTATTTCACATGACCAATAGTCTTTCCAAATTGCAATTTAATCCATTATATTGAATGCATTATTGATGTTTGGATGCAGTTCATAGGATTTCTTCCAATAATGAATCTTCTTGCCTTGCTATAATAAACCAACGTAACCTTTGTTCCTAATCCGGCAAATTGTGGTTACCATCTTTTTCATGCTACATACATATTAACACTTTATCAACTTTTTTTACTATGAATTTCGAAAGACTCACGTTCATTTAGCAGCTGCAAAATGGCGCAGCATAGCCAGCAGGCCATGCACAGCAAGATGAAGGACAAGAAGCAGCAGTCACCCACTGACGGCCGTTGCAAACAACAATACTGTGGAAGTCGTTGGAACAGTCATATCCAGAACCACTGCATGACTGGCCCGGGTTATGTGTTGCCAACGCGATGGCAGCGAGAGAGCTGAAAAGTGTAAGAGATGAAAGCTGCATGACGGAAGAGGTGGTTGGTAGAATTGATTTGGTAGGCAAGACTGTAAAATGCGAAGTATAGTAGAGCAATCAAAGACCCTGAGGAAATTATAAAACAAGTTCAGGGAGCCAGGACAGAGTATTTATAACATTCTCTGCAATGCCATCTCGTTCACCAAGCCACTTATTAATCAGCGGCTGTGAGAAGAAATTACACTGGAATTAGAAATGTCCATCTTTCGACAACGCCAGATCCTTCGTGCAAAGTAAAGCCACTGATCCTTCATGCAAACCTGAAGTTGTAACCCTATATGCATTCCTACAATTAGCAATTAAAGCGACCATCCGCCTGCGATCCATCAAAAGAAATATACGTTGCCTGCGTCTGGCTTGAAAGGGAAAGGACTTTTGAATGAGCAGACTATAAATAAAAATGTGCCAAGAAGCTTTCAGCGTTTCCAAAGCTTTGAACCAATCAGTCATTCCAAACAAGTAGCTTTTATGTCATATAGTAACACTAGAAATCCCACGAGCATGCACTGCAACCCAAAGAGGTGAGCTCGGCATGTCGGGTACGGTATATCGGGCGCTATACGGATTTATCTGCCGTCCTTGGGAGCATACTGATTTAGCCTGTGCTGACCACAATTGGTGTCTTCTAGACCGTCAAGGTTGCAACGCAAATAAACAAAGAATCAAGGTTAAGTTTCTAAAATTGGTCTATCTTCCTTCGCATATTCCTTTTCCTGAATGACTTCTCTTACACGGTACCACTTTTTCTAGACTACAGGTTACGCTGAATGTCCCGCGCATGTCAATCTGAGCAGAGGTATGGCTATTAGACGGCAGTTTTGGTAATCAGCAATAAATTCGAATCATAATGGCCATCTATGCGCCATCTGGACTAGACTCTATCTTCAATTGGCGAAGGATCTCTGTTCCCATGAATAGCCCCCAATGGGATTTAAGCCGCTACGACAGTTGCATTGGTACGTACCATCAGAAAGCTCGTTGGATGGCTGGGTTCATTATCCCGGTGCTTGAAGCTCTCAAGACAAGGCGAAGTGATTCAAACTTGTTATTTCCAAAACACTTCTTCATGGTACAAAGAGAAGAGGTGGCTATTCTTGAGCGAGCGAATGAACCGTATACGCCCACGTTCAGTAACCGTCCTGGCCGCTGAAAAGCCTGCCCCAAACATTGTATGATACCAACCGCTTCAACACATCAAAGGTGTATTAAGAAGATAATAAGCTGACTTGACTTTGATTCCCTTGTCCCACAGAAGTTGCCGATCAATGCCAAGAGCCCCGCTAGACATTGCTTTCGGTCCCGAACACGGGACCCTCTAACCGATATTTTAGCATGATATTGTTGCGCTATAGCGAGGACGGGATAATGGGCCAATCAGCCATATTCAGGCAGCCACATGCGCATCTACGCCGTACTCGTCGGCGATCAAAAGGAATAGCTTGGAATTGAAAGTTTGTCTCGTGGAACCTTGCCTTTTTTTCTTTCGAATAAAGTTGTTTTGCCATGGTGCTCCGGCAATTGATGTCCTAACACATACAAAGAAAGTCCGTCTAAAACCAATTCCGCTCGCTATTGATAGGTAGCCTAGATAGAGTAAGCACGCATAAACCGCAAAGTGCGTAGAGTATTGATCCCGAATTCCATAGTACAGGGCCTCATGCAGGAGAAGAATATGTGACATAAGGTAAGAAGCAAATTTAGGTGAACGTGAAAGAGAAAAGAAAGTTGAACAGGCAAGATTCAGCAATGAATGAATAATTTAACACGTTGAGCGCTGCGAGAACTTGGCGGTCAACTAGGCAATAATGAAAACAGATCAATGGGCCTAGTCCGAGTGATAGCTAAGCATCTAACACCAGCACCTGAAAATGCTGAAATATATGTACAAAGAATTTTTAAGTGTTTGCAACTTTCTGGCAGAATCAATACTTTCAGGCCAAGGGTGGTAAAATGGAGCTAAACCGACAGTCACCTTCCACGTGATGGCTAATTCTCTAAGCAAGAAGCTCACTGTGAATGTGTCTGTCTTGTTTCCAACCAGTCCGATCCCTATCTCACAACTAAAGAACAAAGGCTTTAGCAAATAAACTGTGTCTCGTTCTTCTGAGAATCTCAAGCCTGCAATTTCCTTGGAAAGAGTATGACATCAGAGGTAAATACTGCGTCCTTTCTACGGTACTACAGGTACACTGAATCATCACAGACCACTAAAGTCCGGAGACGGCCACTGTATGTGAACTAGCAGTAGCCCTACAACATTATGTACAAACTCATTCAATACGTCAACCAGGCGCAACACCGCCAACCGATGAATTAATTTGCAAAGGTGGCGAGGTATAAATAGAGCAGATACATCAGCGCATACCATAGATCTAATACACGGGAATGCTTATTGATCATTAAAACTGATGGAAGAACCATGGCAATCGCTTTCTGGGGGCGTCGTTGACCTCGCAGCCAATAATCTGAGTTGGGCTCGTAGTAGACAGCCTCATTACTACAGTAAAAGCTTGGCCACCAGCTACCTTGTGGAAATACAGCAAACACTTTTCATGAGAAAAATCGCTTCTTGGGCATATTGAATAACACTGTTAACGGTCGAGAGCTGAATCCCTCTCCTTTATGGTTAATGTACCCATACGTCGGCGCCGATTCGGCAATTTTCCATCTTCACATCACATTATAAGTTGGGAAATATCCCTATCGCCATTATATAGTCCAGTTCTCTACAGAGAAAACTCATTGTAGCTATGGACAACACAACTATCAAGAAATATGAGAAGGGTGATCAAGTCCAGGCGTGCCAAGACCAAGACTCGACGAAAGGGCCGCAAACGGACGATTTGACTAGGCCAGCCACCAATGAGATCCTTCAATCTGAGAAGAGCACACCACGAGACATCCAAAGAGCAGATGAGCCGTACTCCATCTACAGCCAAAAGACAAAAACATTTCTCATTATATCGGTCTCGTTTATGGGAATCATTTCTCCCCTTTCCTCAGCAGTCTATTTGCCAGCCGTTCCCCAGATTGCCCACGACCTGAACGTTTCGCCATCTTTAATCAATCTCACCATCACAACTTACATGGTCAGCTTCATATCTTTTTATTATTCCAGCATCTCAATAGGCTAATGACATTCACCGATAGATATTTCAAGGCATTGCTCCGTCCTTTATTGGAACCTTTTCTGATACTTACGGTCGTCGACCTGCCTATGTCATATGCGGCATCATATATCTGGCGGCAAACATAGCACTTGCTCTCAACAGCACTTACGCAGGTTTATTGGTTCTTCGATGCATTCAATCATGTGGAAGCTCGGCTACTATTGCTCTCGGCTCTGCCACGGTAGCCGATCTAGTTACGCGTGCGGAAAGAGGCAAATTCATCGGATACGCGGGAATGGGTGTGACTCTAGGCCCAGCTATTGGCCCCGTTGCAGGAGGTCTCATCACAGAGAACTTGGGCTGGAGAGCTCTATTCTGGTTCCTGACGATTCTATCCGGCGTGCTTTTTTTGTTGATTTTTGTATTTCTACCCGAGACATGCCGCTCAGTGGTTGGGAATGGCAGTATCCCTGCCCCTTGGTGGAACATGTCTCTGCTGGCCTACATCCAGCATCGGAGAAATCGATTTGGAGGTGGTTCAGAGAAGCCGGCCGCTAAGAAGAAAAGACCCAATCCATTTGCTGCGCTCAAGATTCTTCTTCACAGAGAATCCGGGATTGTGCTTGGATTCGGCTCGCTCATGTATGCCGGATACTTTTCCATCCTCACAACGCTTTCCAATGAGCTTTCTGTCCGATTTGGGTTCAGTCCAGTCATCATTGGCCTTTGTTACCTTCCAATTGGCGTGGGCAGCATTACCACGAGATGGACAGTGGGATATTTGATCGACCGCAACTTCAAGAGGCATGCTGCCAAGGCGGACTACGAGTTTACTGCCAATCGTCAGCAAGACATGAGCAAGCTGAACGTGGAACGGGCCCGTTTAGAAGTATCTCTGCCTCTTATATATCTGTCCAGCGGCATAGCATTAGCCTACGGTTGGATCATGGAGAGTAAATCCTCCCTGGCTGGTATTGAGGTTGCCCTCTTTTTCATTGGCATGTTTTTCACGGGGGCCTTGAACGGCCTAAACGTGTTGGTGGTAGATATTAACACGGATACACCTGCCACCGCCGTCGCAGCGAATAACCTCTTCCGCTGTTTAATTGGCGCTGGGGCAGTGGCTATTGCTACGCCCATGATAAACAGAATCGGAATGGGCTGGATGGGCGTGTTCATTGCAGGGCTTTGGGTTGTGTTCAGCCCGTGTATCTGGCTTATAATGCTGTATGGACACAGCTGGCGATTGAAAAAGGGCGACAAAGAGATATGTTGAATGGAGAAAGATGGTCAGAATTTCTCGAAGACGAATAGACCTAGATTAGAAAATCTTTGTCTCAGAGAATCATTGCTAGCTGTTGCAGCTGAGTTACTATGCATGATCGATGAGATGGCTGGACAAACCAAGCGCTAAATGTAATAATTCATCACCGAAGAAACGTTCAATGTGCAAAGGATACTTACTACCTTTTCAAAACTTTCTAGGCGATCTTTGGTAATGTACAGTGCTAGAGCAGAGAACTTTCTATTTGGCCAATCACTCCTACCTTACCTATACATAGCTACATTTTTCTATGCGCTGTCCAATGCAAACACCTACGGCGTAATCACAACAAATCTTCCAGCTCCTGTATACTCAGCCCCCATATCAAGCGCTGCTTTCCAATCGTCCAGTGAAAAACTCTTGGGAATCACAAAGTTCTCCCCTTTAGGGAACAGTCCTCTTTCCAGCATCCTAATAAACTGCGTCATATCGTCCCTTTCGTACATGAATTTGCCCTTAATCGTGATATCATTCGCAATGATTTGAAAGCTGGGCAGCGGTCCATCGCCAAAGCCTCCCATGAGACTGACACGCCCTTTGCGCCGAAGAGCCCTGATTGCGCCATTCAGATGCGCCGACTTACTCGCTGCAGCTGGCGAAAAGTCTAGCACAGCATCAAGGGCTCCAAACTTGAGTAATGCAGCTGAGTCTTTGTCTTCGTCTCCGGTAATCGTAACAGTCTCGATGTTGGCACCCGGGGTTCCGCCTAGAATATGTTTTCTCAACCGGTCCAGCTCTTGTTCATTTCTGCCCATAGCAATGACCCTTGCGCCCATGGCGACGGCGACTTGGACTCCCGCTCCTCCAAATCCACCAGTCGCTGGGCAGATGGCGATGGTCTCCCCAGGCTCAAGCTTAATGTCTCTTAGACCACCAAAAGCCACCAAAAGATAGCCAAGGTAGGTCAACTCTTGAACTGTATATCCCAGTTCATGACAGAGTCTTGTTTCATCGAGAGGGACGCAGCTTTCCAATGGAAATTTTGCGTATTCCGCAAACAGCCCATCCCGCCACACGTCTCTCAGTAACTTCTGGGCGTTTTCATTGAACCCATCCGAGATGCCAGACAGAATCATGGCGTCCAAGTCGTCGCGCGCACGAATAACGCAGTCCAGAAACACAAGTTTCCCGACCTCAAGAGACACAGCATCGTGCCCTAGTGCGACTACTCGGCCGACGGCACAAAAGCCTCCAACAAGCGGCTTGGGAAGAGGATAGTCGCGGGTTCCATCGTAGATATCGCGCTGGTATGAGAGTACTCCAGCACTTAGGATTCTCACTATAGCGCTGCCAGCCTCTACTTTAGGTGTAGCGATGCTTTCAAGATGGACTCCGCTCAAATCCTTCTCTACTGATTTGAGAATGATGGCTCGATGATTTTGGGGGATTCTGAACTCCATTTCGCAAAGAAGTGAGATTGATGTTATGAAAGAAAATAGATTGAGCGACTTGTAGTTTATGGATACAAGAAGATCAAAGAGGCTATTTATGTTGAGGACGCTGGCCGCATAACATGGAGATGCCAAGCTTGTAGTCCTCTCGGCCGAGAACGGGTTTCCGTGGGATATTCGTCGCCCGTGGCCATAACGAATTTTCCGGATTTCCGCGAGCGAATACTCCGGTTAGAGGGTCTAAAACGCATTATATACTTTATGAGACCTTCAGGCAGCCTAGAATCGGCAGCGTGTAGCTGATAAGCACCGTACCTCCGGAACTAGAGTGAAGTTACGTGGTCATGCAACTTCACGGAGTTAAACGTCTACTTTGACACTAACGGCTATTTAGATAAAGGGGAAAGACATCGCAGACGAAGTTAATCATTCTACTTCATGTGAAGCCGCGATCCCGCCTTCGCCCAGGCCTAGCCAAAGGAGCTCATCAAGTCCGATATCCGGCATATCATAAGACTCATCCCAATCCTCATCGACGCTCAGACCCAAGCTTTGCCAATCATGCTCACTGTGCTCTAGATGTCCTTGTCCTTGTTCGAGTCGTTTGCCGTCCATCACGCTCAAACGAGACTGCATAACAGCATATGCCGCCTTCAGACTCTCCTGGGCTGCTTCAATCATCTTCAGCTGCCGAACACTACCAGATCCTGCGCACTGGGCACGGCATAAGACGACATTTAGTTTCATATTCAAGCGCAAATTTTTCTCGCCAAGCCTTATACGTTCAGTCGTCTGCCTCACAGCTTCACGGAGAGAATCTATGAGCATTTTCCGATAAGTCGACGGCCATTCCACCGAGTTAAGCTCCTCCATATCGATAATCAGATCTGAACATATAGCTAGAGAGGCATGAATGATACGGTTCTTGAAAATGCCACCACCGATGAATGTGAGATGATAAAAGTCAGAGTTATGCGGTGGTGAAAGCAAAGCCGTTGCTGAGTCAAGGCACACTTTTCTGGAGAAATGGAAACCAGGTTCGCTAATTCTGGAAGCAGTGGCTAGTGGGCGGTGAACGGTAAGCATAAAGCGACGAAGAAGCAGATCGGCCATGTTGCGCTTGAAAACCTTGGTCGCATCTCCGTTAGTATTGCCTGCAAGACTGGCGTTGCACTCACGACAGGCTCTGTTGAGAGTTGAAGTGAGAGATTGAACTTCGTCTTGGGAGAAGCTGGAGTAAGCTCCGTTCATGCGGCGGACTATTTCGCTTCTTGGTCGCAGATACTTGAGCAAGAGCAGTTGCAAGGACATATCCGTCACAGTTGTTTCTTCATAGTACGGAAGAGTCTCGGTACTCTCGCTAATGTCTTGATCATTAACGTTCCGGGGACTACTCGTGTCAAAGTCATCAAATGATATTGCCAGCGGGACTCCTGAGTCAAGCGATGTCTGCAGGTTCATTTCGAGTATCGTGGCCCATAATCGTCTACGAATCTCTGCCTGTCTGTAAGGACTCATATCAGCAAGTCAATAATTAGAAGAACGTTAGAAGAACGCAAGAAAGCCGGCTTGTATAATATGGTCTCTTTGGGGGGCAACGTACAAGACAGTCATTGTTTTGAAGTGTATTGGGTCGCGATGTAGACCCATGTGCATGGCTGTACGAACAAGAGTCCCTACTGCTATCCATACTAAATCTGCTCCGATGGATAACACTTGTCGAGCAAGGATCAATAGACATTGTACCTGAAGGCCACTGAGGCTTATTCGGTCTTTCTTGAGGGGGCCAGTTACCCAGGTTTGTGCCTCATGAACCCACCGAGATGAGCTCCATCTTATGTTGTCGGCGTCCGCAGCATCTCGATACAGGCTGGAGCCGATTGCTATTACGAGCTTAACCTTGCACTGCAGCGCCATTGAGGCCCGTTCTGGGCTCTTCCAGAACTCGTCGTATTCTACCCAAAACGAAGGAATATGGAGGATTCTAAATGCCGACTCAAAGCGGGTGACGTATAACTGCGCCATTTGATCGGCCCAGCTTTTGCTACTCAAGAACAGGCTCGAACCCGACTGCGTAATGGATCTTCCTGGATCATTCTGTTTTAGTTTTTGAGCAAGGTGCTTGCACTTGTGAAAGAGCCTCTCGAGTTTGGCCTTTTGGTCTCTCGTTACTTCTTCCTCCGCTGATTGGTCCTTGTCTTTATTAAGAACTGCCACCCTTTTGAACTACAGAGGTCAGTAGATAATGACAGAAGCGGTACTCGATTAGTTGGCCTACCTCATTTCCTCCATGCAACCAATGTGTTGGACCGTAGAGCCTTGACTTATTCAGAGCTAATCCTTGAGCCTGTGGTGGTATTTCCCTCTGAACATGACCCAAATGCTGGTTATGTGCACTCGGCGATGCCAGATGCTGCTCTATCGCGCTGATTCGGCACCCGAGGTTCATCAGTTCATCTTCCATGGGCCTCTTAGACCCATGAATAGGCAAAAGCCTCTGCGAGTTATGCTGGTTTACCAGAGATTGCTCTGCCTGCTCCACGTAATTGAGGGAGCCAGGCCGCTGTGTTTCACGCCTGACGGGTTGCCATGGTATAGCACCGACAGCAGCGGCTTCCAAGGTCTTCGACCATGGGTGAGGATCATAGACACATGCGCATCTTGCAGCTACACATTGCGCGCAGGGCTGCTCAAGGTCGCATTTGACCTTTCGTCCTATGGCGTGGCAAGAGTCAATCACAGTTAAGGGCTCAAGGGGCGTGTGAAGGCAGTATTTACGGCGGCATTCCTGGCATGATCGAGTCGGCCGGCGACGTTTTCGCGGAGGAGGCTTTGAGACAGCTTCAGGAGCAGACGATTCCATCAAAGGTTTCTTCAACCAAAGTAGATTAATACCGAGAGGATATTTGTCAACGGGTATATGGAAGATGAACGGGCGTATCGCATGGGGCCTCTTTCGCTTCGGACTTTAGAGCCAAAGAGCTAACTAGGTTTAGATCCTGTACAAAGTCCGCTTATGTCCGCTCCAGCCATTCAGAGGCCAAAACAACGAGCTATGAGGATTTCTGCGGGGAAATGGCATGGCGCTGAGCTTTTTTGGCCAGTCATAGGGTAGCGAAATAATACGGGTTAGGTATCTAAGCCGATACGTAACTATGAGATAAACGAGAATGGACGTATGGGACTCATAGCCTTTGCTGTGACAAAAAATGATGGAAAAATTCTATTCTCTGAATATCAATTGAATGTGCGGCCTTGTGGGACCAGACGGCTCTTCAGGTCCCATGTCGAAACTCCATTCCGCAGGCATTAAAATTTGGAAATAGATTCAAGCAACATCATGACTTACTTGATCGGAATTTATCCTCCTAGGAGCTGACTGTTATGTCACTTTTCTCAATAACTTTACTACTTGTTGAGTGAAGCAAGAGCAAACACTTGACTTGCAGTGCCAAAGAATGATATGAACCATAACATTGTCTATATTGCTATAATAAATCGACCTGTTAAGGAACACATGGTGAAGGATATATCCGCTACCATTATGCCAGGGCCCAATGCGCATATAAGAAATTACAGTCATATAGGGTTATTAATATTCTTATGGGTTATTAATATTCTTATGCATGATACATTCAATAAAGTAAAAGCTATGGCGCTTGGGCCTAACTTTATCTTACCGTCATAGATGTTTATTCATGTTAGGACTCCTCTCCGATCTGCTATTCCATACCCCATACCCCAAACGTCAGAAAGTTTAGGTAAGTAACACACACACTTTGCTTTTTATATAGAACGCTGCGACTTTGAGAATAGGCGTATCGGAGAGACTGTTGAGAAGCTGTTTGACTTGGGGAGTAACGACCCTTCTGTGCTAGGAGTTTTAGCTCCGGGCCAATAAACCGTTCCGCTTCAAATAGTGTGTCCACACCAAAGCCCTCTTCCCGCGGGCGCACGATTCCAAAGAGCCAAGAACGGTAATATCTAAAGCTCAAACGCCAAGAAAGGTTTGCATCTAGATCTCTACGTGATTCATTTTGAATTGTGGACTCCATGATTAACGAAAAAGGTTGAGTTTTGTAATGGATGTGTCATTGTAGCAAGCATTACGACACGTTTCTTCCATGGCGAATAAGCGGCCCTTGTTATTTGCCTTGGATTGGCTGTTGCCCGCAACGCTTCAACTATTGTGAAAGAAGGTTCTTGTGTTGATCTATGACGTTTATGACTTCGAAATGGCTTTTTCTTCATTGCTGATGCCGTATAACTGTTAGAATAAGGAAGAAGAGGGGGTCACAATCTACCTATTCCAATTCGAGAGAAATAAAAATAAAAATAAATGCCCCTTTTCTTGTCATAAGAACTCAGGTGACATAAGAATGACTGACACCGTTTTTTAATAGAGAGTCTGTGAGCGAGAGCTTATAGGTATATAGTGGGCGATGCGTGCACATCCAATAATATCCTTTGCTTCCTCATCGCAGTTCTCTCGAGAATCCGTCTATATTTAAAGAGCTATCCAACAATGAATCCGACAACCAGTAACTCGAATCAGCTTGATCCTCGACAGCATCCGTTGAGGGCCACTGCTGCAGCAATCGGCGCAGGTGTGCAAGGCGAGCGTCGCGAACCTCGGATGAGCCACATGCAAAGCGCGAATGAAGGGCCTGCGGACATCATTGCAAAGGTATCCGGTGTCGTGCAGGGCGGTAAAAGAGAAGACGATGGCCTCTACTTCACCAACAATGAGGGTATCCCATTTCCCGACCCGTGAGTATAGGTGGCCGAGCAGTTCGAACATGGGTAGGTTTGATTGACGCAAGAATAGAGCCCACAGCAAGACGGTCGGAGGATTACCTCTTGCGAGCGATGTATTTCTTTTCCAGTAAGTGTACTAGTCTCAATGTTTGAAAGCTGAGTTTTAACGTATGATAGGAAGCAACAGCATTTCAACAGGTCTAAGCTGTTAGAGCGTAAGTATCAAGTCCATCTAATCGGTGTAGCGCTGATGAAGCTTATACCTGCCATAGGAATGGTCCACCCTTGCGGTTCTGGAGCCTTTGGCTACTTTGAATGCACTAAAGATGTGGCAGACCTCACTGTACAACATTCCCACTCCCTTCTTGTTGCCGTAAGAAAAACTTACTAACGTCCATGCTATTCAGAAAGCCAACTTTTTATCCAGTGTTGGTGAGAAAACGCCAGTTTTTGTACGATTTTCAACTGTGACTCTTGGTCGAGAGTTCCCGGATGAAGCTCGCAACCCCCGAGGATTTGCTATTAAATTTTATACTATGGAAGGAAACTACGACATAGTAGGCCTCAACTTTGTAAGTAGTGTCCCGGATCCTGTAACTACGCTGGCTAACCGGAGAAGCCGGTGTTCTTCTGTCGAGATCCCATCCAAGGTCCTGATGTGATTCGCTCTCAAAATCGCAACCCCAGGAACTTTCTTCTAGATTTTGATGCACTTTTCGATCTCCTTGCCAATACGCCCGAGGCCAACCACGCTGGCCTCATGTTCTTCAGTGACCACGGTACACCTCAGGGTTGGCGCTTCAATCATGGTTATGGTTGTCACACCTTTAAATGGGTGAATGCTGACGGTGCATTCGTCTACATCAAATACCATTTCATTGCCAAACACGGGCAAAAACAGTTTACTGATGAGGAAGCCGTCGCAATGTGTGGAAGAGATCCCGACTATTCGAAGCGAGACCTCTGGGACGCGATCGAGCGTGGCGAGGAAATCGAGTGGACAGCCAACGTGCAGGTCATGCAACCTGATCAGGCTGATCCTGACAAGCTTGGATTCGACCCCTTTGACGTGACCAAGGTCTGGCCGAGGGACCAGTTCCCGATGCAGGAATTCGGCCGGCTCGTTTTGAACAAGAACCCGGAAAACTTTCACCGTGATGTCGAGCAAGCCGCCTTTTCGCCGGGAAGCATGGTGCCAGGCATCGAGGATTCTCCAGATCCTCTGCTCCAGTTCCGCATGTTCTTCTACCGCGATGCCCAGTACCATCGTATTGGCGTCAACCTGCATCAGGTGCCCGTTAATTGTCCTTTTATGGCCAAGTCCTACGCGTCCTTGAATTTTGACGGCCAGATGAGAACCGATGCCAACCACGCCGGCAATAAACAATACGCGCCAAACAGCTTTGCTCATAAATTCCGCCCTGATGTAGCAGAGGCACCTTACGCTGTTTCTGACAACATTGTTAGCCGAAAGAGCCATTTCTGGCATGAAGGGAAAAAGAATGACTATGACCAAGCAACGGAACTTTGGACAAGAGTCATGACTCCTCAACAACGTCAGAACACTTGTAAGAATACCGCCAAGTATCTACAACTAGTGGCGTTCAAGAAGATTCAGGTACGTTAAGAATATGTTCTTAAGAAGTGAGGAAGCACTGCTAATTCGGTTACTTTTAGGTAAAATACCTAGCACAGTTGTACAACATCTCTCCCGATTATGCAACGGGTGTATATGAACTGCTTGGTGAACCAGACTTTGGGTTGGATGAAGTGAAAGACCTGGCACAAACAGCACACGAGTGGTACAAGGAAAAGAAGTTTTTACCTTCTACAAATGAGAAGCTTGCGGGTAATACACCTGCAATGCCTGTATATAATGTTTGATCAAGCATCTATATGCAGTTTATTACCTTTTTCTCCTCTATGCTAGGGTATTACGATGCCTTGTCTTGATCGGAAGCAAATTTGGTGATAGAGTAGGCTAAAAGTAGAAACCCAAAAGGATCTGCCAAAATTTAAAAGCATACATAACCTTTACTTTACCCCCCTGTTGTTGAACTATTTTTCACTATTTTTCTTTCAGACCCCAAAGTTCCCACATATTCCATCTTTATTTGACCTTGTCCTTTGGAGCCGGTGGCTGAACCTTGGGCGCCAACTTTCTCTCTATGACTTCTGCAGTAGGTTGCACTTTAGGGGACTCTTCAGCCACCTTCGTTGGGTTTCCCAGCATATTAGGTAATGCTACAGCAATGACAATAAAGGCAGCAGCGCAAGCGACGTATCTAGAGCAGTGTTAGAAAACCACCCATTGCTAAATGTACATGCGAAGTGGGAATTGTGGCAATTAGGGGGCTGTATCTTCTTCTTACACTGAGTAGGATACTGGGATCGATGTTGGTGGTACACCTGTGCTGTCAATCTTCGTGTGTGCAGCAGGACTCTGTTCATGACGAACTCCAGATGCTGCCCTATCGATTTTCGCCTGTGCATCACTCTGTACATGACGAACTCCAGATGGACGAAGCTGTATCAGACCCGCCTGACTAGGTATGATTCGGCGTAGAGACCGAGAGCCAAAGATCCGGAGAGATGCCATGTGTTTGGCTGAGTCTAGATTCTTGCTAGTCGTGGAGCTATGGATTTCAAAATGTGTAGTGATGTGAAAAAAAGATGTCGTTACAATCGCCGTTCTATACAGGAGCAGTAAGAACTGTGGGTTGAATCCTCCTCCTTACGCATTGTATAGATACGCAGTTATATATAGGTAGGTAGTCATATGATGTATATTCTTACGCTCATAGCACGGTTTTGCTTAGTCTTTTACGTCGAAATGACACCTTGAGCTCATCATTATGTGAACGTTTAGAAGGAGCACATACTATGAAGTCACGTCCGACTAACGTCACGTCCGACTGAAGTCATGTCCGACCACACGCTGTAAAAACGACAGGTGCACTATGTCAGCGGCTTTAGCCCATCTACGAACTTGTTAGCGTCTAGTTCCGTGACTCGAGAAACTAGTGCAGGGCCGATGCTGGTAGCAACGCTATACGTGGGAAGCGGCGAGTGGAGTCGTTTTGTCTCCAGATTTGTTACGGGAGCGATATGTCCGAGCCTATCATAAGTTGTATTATTTATGGCCTTTGCTACTTATTGTGATTACCTTGTTACTTTGTCCATTCTTAACGAACACCACAGTTTGGCTGATCAAGTCCGTCTTATCATTTCCTATATTGCCAAGTGATGCTCTCTCCCATGTTCTCTCCAACTTTAATACATTCCTTGAGACAGAGGCATCAAGTGGGGATCGCCACACCTTTCAATCAAACGCCGCCGCATTATACTCGCATAAAACTGTTTCTGCGACGAGGCGCTGATGGATAGCTAGTCAAGAGACCGACGGATGAAGATGATTACCTGAGAGGAAAAGGCTCTATATAATGGCCCATTTTCTATTCTGCAGATAGGGCGATATGTGGCTTACTGGTTCTGCCATACGGTACTTTGGGTGGCAATAGTAAGCGTCTACTAGCAGCCCTTTGGGGCTATCTCGATCAAGTTGCCAGGCGCAAACCCTCGATTGACGGAGCATGAGCCGCATCTTCTTAGATCACATTGCCCTTGACCTGATGTATCGTCTTGACATCTGTATTTCGCCAAATGGCCACAGCGACAAACCCAAGAGCCCAAATGGCAGTCCCGGCAACATGTATTTTGGCTTGTGCATCGGCATAAGCCTGCTGAATGGCGAGCCGAGCTGGAGTTCCAACTGCATAACTTAGTTGGATCTCTAGCGACCCATAGATATCCATTAGATGGGGTAGCTCCTCTTCCGGGAGATACAGCGCAAGTTTGTTGGGGAAAGTCGACTGCCAGATTTGCCCAGCAATGGTATACCCTATAGCCCCTCCTATGGAAGAGAACATGGACACGATGGCCAAGATGACGGCAATGTGTTGGTGACTTGCGATAGACAAGGCGGCAACTTCGGGAGTAATCATGATGATTCCAGCGGCAAATGATATAAAGAGCTGACAAACGATAATGTAGCCAATGTTCCCGTTAGGCTCGCGGAAGTAGTTCATGAGTCCCATAAACAGAGCGTAGATGGGTATGGCGCCGAAAAGGGTGACGAACTTGAATCGTCCAGTGTAACGGATGCCTAGACCAGCAATGATGGCAAAGAGGCTGCTGCCGAGGCCGTATATCTGGACAATGTAGCTCGCCTCAGTGACGCTAAGGTTGTTTACTACCTGTAGCGATGAGCTGAAGAAGCTGTTCCAGCAAAAATAGCTGATGAACAGAACGGCACCGAGGATACAAGAGCCGACCATGTTGCGGTCTAAAAGGAGAGAGTATGGTATAAACGTGACGCGTGCGCAAAATCTCTCCCAGAGGACAAAACTAACAATAAGCGCAATACCAAACGACAGCAGGCCTATAATGAGTGGCGACTGCCATCCATCTGCCTGAAGCGCATACAAGTTGAACGGTAGCAAAATGATTGCAAGTCCGCTCGTCAATAGCAGCAGCCCAAAGGCGTCAAACTCGTGAAAGTAGTGATGGACAGACTGCCACAAGGTCCTCACGTGTTTCTGCGGTGCAACGAGATTTAGTCGACGGGCTTTGTAGAAATTGAACAGCAAAAGACCAAGCAATGGGGAACACAGCGTCGGGATCATGATGGCAAACATGCCAAAACACCACCGCCAACCGGGTCCGCTCAGAAAGGCCTGCGAGATGGGCCCTCCGAGCCACGTCGTAATGATGTTGGGTGAGGAAGTCAGCGCAGTCATAAGGCCACGATTGTGAAGAGACGATGTGTCGGATACAAAAATGTTGACGCTGTAGAGCAAGGCACTGCTGCCTACTGTGCAAAAGACCTGGGCTGCTGCGTACATTTCAACGTTGGTGGTCATGGCCATCATGACGAGGCCGACGGATACGATGAGCAGAGACAAGCCATAGCCCTGAGGCCGGCCAAAGATGTCGAGGATCTTGGCCACTGTCAAGTTGCACACGCCGCCGATGATGCTGCTGATGATGCCCACCGTTGGGGTCAGAGAGTGGTCTCGAAAAGCAGAGGTGATGTACGGAGAGAGAACCGCCGCCGTGTTCTGCTGCATCAGCATGACAAAATAAACGATCCAGATGAGGATATAGGCGATGATGAGGTCAGTCCGCGTCCACACCATGGCGATGGCCTCGACTTGCTGGACACCAGCCTGTGCATCTTGGCTGACGGACTGGCTGTCGTGTTCCTCTGTGCGTGTTTCGTTCAGTTCATCAGCAGTGGCGATGGCGCTGTAGCCACCGAGAGGCTCGCAGTTTTGCAGTAGCGGTGTAGCACCGTGAGTATCGTTCATCTTGCGACGGGGCTTTGGTTCAGTTTGGTATAACTGCGAGAAGTATCATGAACAGAGGACCGAAATAAAGGTGGGACAGGGCAAGCAAGGTGTAAGACATTGGTCGCTAAGGTGCATGGGCTCACAATCGAAAGACTTTGCGAAAGTAACAAGCAAAATGGATGGTTTAGCCAATCAACGTCTAGTGTAAGGTGTAAGGATATTGTAAATCTGGTATAAAGATTGATCATGCTCTTGATTTGAAATAGAGAGAATGGCAACTGCACAGCTTACTTAGTTGTCTCGCCGCAAACAGGACTCCACTATGCGGCCTGTATGTAAGTCAGAGCCTGAACCGTGCTTGAAACCACTATCTTATTCCCAAAGCATGATAGTTTCATGGTAGTTTTTGCAAGGGAACAAATATTTGCGCAAACTTGCTCAAACGAAGCTTTGCCAGTATCTATTTACAAATGCTGGATCTACATGGCGCTGATATAAATTACAGAATGCGTGATAAATATTCGCAGTACTGAGACACACGACTCATTTGCCTCGAGGGATTCAGCGTTGCAACCAACCTCCCGACAAAGAAGCTTATACTACAATGAAAACCACCAACTGCAGTGTCAGCTCGGCCCCAGCCGTCAGCAGCAGCAGCACAGATTCGCTAGCCACAGGCCAGATGGCTGCAGATGCTGAGAGTCAGACACAGACCTCTCGCCTGATCCTAGACATCATTTTTGAGTATGCACTCAACAAATTCGACGATTCACGGGAGCGGCTGGAGGGTGGGAGCACACGCTTTCTGGCCGTCATCGCCAGATTTGTTGCTGCGGGAACCAGGGTCGAGGCTTGTCTTCCCGCATTCCCGTTCAAGTCTGCAAACAGGGTCTACAAGGTTCTCGGGACGCTTCCAGATAAGGCGGAGGAGCTGGCGCTGGAACGGCTCAACGACATGTGCCGGCGCATCCAAGAGGTGTATCCACCCGGAGCTCGTGTAACCATTATTTCTGACGGCATCACTTACAACGGTAGGCTTTGTTTCTTTGAAGATCGGGATATTTTTGGGACTAATCTGTGATCAAAGATCTTTTATCCATATCTGACCGAGATACCTGGGCTTATGGTCGATCTCTGCGCGAGCTGGCCTCCAAGAGAAACTTCGACAATGTTGCCTTCTCCAGAATCAAGGATCTTTTGGATTTGCCGCTTCCAGAGACGCTAACGGAAATCATGTATATTGCAAACTGCACATCCTTCAGGCGAGAGCTGCTCAACAAATACGGTAAAGATGATCTCGACATCGACTCTGAGATCGCAAACAACCCCGATACCAAGCTGACATATCTCGGATACAAAAGATTCCTAGAGTCTGATCTCAAGTACATATTTCCCCAAGGACCGGAACGTGGAGCCAATGAGTACAAGCGGGACTGCAAGTATATTGCTAAGCAGATGCTAATCAGAGGCTACGTGAGACACCAAGTGTAGTATTACAAGGATTTAGTCTGTGTCGCTAACAGTTTACAGGCTTTCGCCCAAGCGATAAAGCACAACTACCCAGATCACCTGCGCCTTTCCATACACGAGTCGGTGGCGGGCCTGAAGCTTTCGATATGTCTGCTCAATACCAAAACCGGTTTTACAACCCCGTGGCACTGCAGCGTGGCTCAGCTGACAGACGGAGAATGGGTCAGTGCGCCGATGGGCGAGTTTACCAAGGATGAGAGAATGGAGCTTGTTGTTGAAGACGGACGGCCCGTGTATTTTCGCCAGAAGCCCTCGAATGATGATGAGAGTCCGACAGTAAATTACCTGCAGGAGGCGAAACAGATTAACATGAGCGACTATCTCAGCTCAGCGTCCACATCAAGGACTGTCTCGCCTAGAGTCCCATCGCCGAAGAACTTTGAGACCTTTTCACCGAGGGAAGATGCCATGAGTACTAGGGCGAGTACACCAGAGACGAATAGCCCGGTCACTTTGGCCACGGCAGACATTCTGATTGACAGTGCCAACGAGAATGAGGTCTCTCCCCAGGCAGAGAAGAGTAAGGGAGTGGATGGATCATACGGTAGACGGCTCATTCCTCAGATCATGGACAGCTTGGCGGCAAGAGATCCCGGGCGGATTGTCTTTTCCCTCACTACAACGAGAGATGGATCGCTTGGACGTCTTGATGTATCTGCAAAGACATTCACACAAGCAGTGGACAGGCTTGCTTGGTGGATCAAAAGCCAGGTCGGCACCAGCTCATCGATTAAGCCTGTGGGATACATTGGGCCACGTAAGCAAAGCTTTCATTGTTCACAATCCATTATAGCATGATGGACTAATATTCGCCAGACGATCTTCGACATGTATTGTTGACATATGCATCCGTCAAAGCCGGATACTCTGTACGCTGACATAGAATTGACTGCCAAGCGAGAGTGTTTACTGACTTACTTTACAGGCCTTATTTCTATCGCCAAAGAATAGCACCGAAGGAGCCTTGGCGGTTCTCGACGCCACCAGATGCGATATATGGGCTAATGCTGGCGAAGTGCCTCTCATCCCTCTCGTGAAGGAATTGTTGGAAAAGCGACCTATGCAGCTTTTGGAGCTTCCCCTGCTGGACGACTTGCTGAGTGACAAGCCGACAGACCCATTTCCCTACACCAAGACATTCGAAGAGGCCAAAGATGAGCCGTTTTGTTATCTCCACACGTCGGGCACAACCGGTGTCCCGAAGCCTATTCCTTGGTCTCATGGCCTGATTGGCACTATGGATGCAGTGAGATTGCTGCCGCCAGTAGAAGGTGACCAGGGGCTGCTCCCGTGGACTGCAGACTGGAAAGCGGGCGACAAGATTTATTCCAGCTTTCCAATGAGTCATGTAAGTCTGTTATTCTATGGGGAAAAAACTGTGATTAACCAACTTTCGCGCTTTAGGGGGCTGGGATCATCATGGATATCATGATGCCGGCACTATTCGACCTGCAGTGCGTCTTGGGTCCGGTAGGAGTGTTACCCAACATCAATCTTATCGAGAATCTGGCAGAGAACATGGACATTGACATCTGGAGCATGGTTCCCTCCTTGGTTGATGAATTGGGCGAAACGCCAGAAGTACTCGCCAAGCTGCGAAAATCCAAGTTCATCTGTGCCTCTGGGGGGCCTGTGAGCCCAACGAGCGCCGGAAAGGTAAATGATGTTATCCGGGTGCTTAATCTTACTGGAACAACGGAAGGCTTGTTTATCGGTAATTTGGTGGTCCCGAGAGAAGATTGGTACTGGTTTTGCTTCCATCCTTACTCGGGCTTTGAGTTTAAAGAAGTGGAAGAGGGCACATACGAGCATTGGGTGCACCGCAACGAGCACTGGCCACTTTTTCAGGGAATATTCCAGACTTTTCCTGAGAAAGACTCTATCAACTTTAAGGATCTCTACAGAAGACATCCATCCAAGCCATATCTCTGGGCGTTCAAGGGTAGAAGCGATGATCTCGTCGTGTTGTCCAATGGATACAAGATATCGCCGCTAGAGACCGAGGCTTCTATAACAACGCACCCGGCAATCATGGGCTGCCTTATATTTGGTACTGGAAAGCCACAGGCGGGGCTGTTGATTGAGTTGAAGGATGGCTACGAGAAGACAGACGAGCTTCTTGATAGCATTTGGGATGCCGTCAAGCAGGCAAACTCACAATCGAGACACAAGGATCAGCTGCTCAGAGATTTTGTCACCTTCTCTGAACCCGACAAGCCATTCGTCCGTACCGACAAGGGAACAATCAAGCGCCCAGCCACGCTGGCACTATACGGAGATTATATTGACCGCTTCTACGGCTCTCGAAGCGACGAGACGACCAGCTCTATCTCTATTGACACCACTTCTGCTGATGCAATTCAAAGTGGCCTTAAAACTATCTTTTCTTCAGTGCTGCCTGAAATTGATCACGCCTCACAAATTGCCAACTTTTTCGATCTTGGCTTGGACTCGCTTGGAGTGTTTTCAGTTGTCAAGTCCATCCGAGCTGCAACCGGCCTAGACGAGCATCTTGCCCCACGCCACATCTATGCCAATCCCAGTCTGGCGAGTCTTTCTATTGCCATCAAACGTTTGGCGGCGACTGTCAAAGCTGAGTTGACAAAGGATGCTGCTGCAGAGGAAGACGAGGTCGTGGTAAAAATCGCTCAAGAGGCGGCACAGCACAAAGCTCGCCTGTCGTTCCCCTTGAATGCGCTCGACTATGTCAATCCAAACCATGGCATGGGTCTCATGTTCTACTTTTCACTGCACGACGGAATTGCATTTCAAGATGTCTTCGATAACCTTCAGCAAGGCCTCAACCGGACCTTTGACATGATACCCGCACTTGGCGGTAAGATGATGAAGCGCTCAGATCAGGAAATCGGCTACATCAAGGACGACCTATGCGTTACTATCCCCCCACTATCAATGGCTGCAACTGCGCATAATCGGCTTGTATACAAGAATCTTTCCGATGTCCTCCCGGCTTTCGATGTGCTGAGAGATGCAGGCTTTGCAACCTCACTGTTCTCTGATAGTCTCGTTTTGAGAGATGATCCCTTTCCAGCCTTCCCTGCAGATATTTTCGTTGGGCAAGTCAATTTTGTCAAGGGCGGATGTATCATCGCTGCCGATCTTAATCACTGCTGCCTCGATGGCGTTGGCGCTGTCATAGCGATAAAGGCATGGGCAGAGAATTGTAGATACCTGCAAGGAGATGCTTCGGCTACGTGTCAGTGGTATGACCCCGAGAGCTTCAACCACAGCCTGCCAGAGATCGTTCACAAGCAGGAAGGATGGCCCAGTTCAATGGACGAAGTTGATCCAGCGGCATGGGACGTTTTACCATTCTTTCCGCCGAGCAATAACCAGCAAGCGAAGGCTACAGCTCCTCAGCCCGAAATCCACCCTCGATACGGATTTCCTCTACACAATGTCTGGCCCTTGCCTCGTGCTGAGCGGTGCATGACCACCACCATGTTCCTCATCAGTGCTGACAAGCTCGAGAAAATGAAAGAGAGTGTGGCGTCCGATAAATCTGTCCCGGGAATATATCTGTCAATGAGCGACATTCTCCAGGCCTTTTTCTGGCGAGCCGCCACCAGGGCACGTTATCGTGTTGCGAAGGAGATCCGGAAACAAGGTTTCAATTCTGAGGCAAAGTCCATACTGGAACTCCCCACAGACGGTCGGCCTTACTTTTCCTCTCTTCTGCCTTCAACTTATATGGGCAGTGTACTCGTTATGAACAGATTCAGCATGGATCTTGAGGCACTGTGCTCCCCTGATACAAGCATAGGCCGCATCGCCTGGCTACTCCGCCAGTCCAACGCGCGAATCACCCCCTCTCTTATCCACGATGCTTTTACCATCCTGCAAAATCTCCCCGACCATGGCAGGTTCTCAACAGCCAACATGGGCCTTGAGCACATGAACTCTATGATCTCCAACATGCTGCTGTTCCAGATGAGCGAGATATCTTTCGGCGACAAGTTCTTTGCAAACGGTGGTTCGCCAGAGTCAATGCGTCCACAAGTTGAACGAGGCAACGGACGGTTCCGATTCCTAATTATTTTGCCTATGAGGAAGGATGGAGGAGTGGAACTTATGCTGGGGACGCACCCTGAGGAGTTGGCGATGCTTGCGAAGGATGAAGAGTTTATGAAATATGCTGAGTTGATGGGTACAGAGGCTTGACCGGCCCCGGGTTAGATGTACATGCAACAGTGCTTGGTATAGACAATGTATAATTAGCGGAATCTCCCCTCCTAGAGTATAGCAATGGTGCACGCAAATTGGAATAAAATTATGAGTAAAATGAATCACATAAGCAGCATTGTAATGCCCCTTGAACTGAAATAACAGGAGGGCATCAACATCGAATGCTCATAATTGATGGTGCATGCTTTTGATTCATCAAAAATGCTGTCACACGCCTTGACCTAAGTTTTGATGGGCTCAGCTTAGGCATTATGCTAAGCGAGTCGATCTCAAAGTTTGAAGAGGACGATATTGTTACCTCATACCCAGCAAGAAGACGTGAGTTGTCAAGACAGCTACTATGAGGTTTCACAATGATTGGATTTACCTGTAGTAAGCTGTCTCATAAGTTCTTTCTAATACCTCAATGAGGCAGACTACTGACTGTCCGCGCTCTTCGTGAGATGTTAGAGATTGCAACCAGCGCTCGGGCATTATGGAATCTAGCCGCTATAGGTAATGGGGACAATAAATTTCTGTCGGGTGGTGTTAATGTTTAGGTACATGCACTAATTCCGGCCACGTACGGCTCTTGCTATCTGGGCTCCATCCTCTGCGCCACCGATCATGGAGCCCTTGGAAACAACTGCTCCGATGGATGCTGCATTTGCTGTTACCCATTTTTTCGCATTCACGGTTTAAGGCTTCCGAACAGTCTTGAGAGTTCGGTTGTGGAGATTATTACATCTGCTCATGCAGAGGCAACCGGAGCACCGCGATTCGTCGTCCAAGTCATCTTGACGAAATTGAAGCCGATCACACGATATAAACGAGATCCCCATATGAGAGGACCAGATTTGAATCTCAGCAGACATCTGAGCTAGATATACCGAAGAGCAAACCAGGCACATATCAAATATCAACAGAATCACAAGCCTTGGGAGTGCGCGCACCGTCATTGATGCATCTTTCATCTGGATTTATGTTCGTGACGTTTCCACTATCTCAGAGTTGAATTACAGAGTGTGAACGAGCATCAATAATCATTGAGTTTCCTTTCAATAAGTTGTCCCTCACTTGTTGGAGAATTCCCCATCGAACGGCCCTAAGCTGATAGTTACGTAAACCCGTCTCTAAGGAAGCCTAACCCCAGGAAATGGCGTCCGCCTAGCTCAATAAGTGTCCTAGCACGTGCTTCATCATCTTATCGCATCCAACCTCACGCTGCGTATTGCAGTACTAACTCATCCATTGGGAGATTGCCATAAACCTTACACTGTTGAAACGTTGATGTCTTCTATTCAATGGCCTCGCTTGCCAGAGCAGAAAACAGCGTGGCACGAATGCGGTGCCGTTCTGGTCTGTAATTCTATCGTCCAACACGATCCAGAGAAGTGTCTGACAGGGCCTAGGATGCCATACCTGCCGGGTACGAAAAGTGCGATGCAAAGCTGATATTGGAACATTGGAGGATGCAAAGAAACAAGCTTCCACATGCTCTAATTGCAAAAGACTCGGGCTTGAATGTCGGTGGCAGCGTCCTGCTCTTGGCGAGAGGGTCTCGCCTCCGCCAAAGAGGAGAAACATGATCGGACGGCGTGTCTCGCGTCGTGCAAACGAAGAAAGCTCGCATTCGCCTATATCTACCCAATCTTTGAAAGATGATGTTGCTAATACTCTGGGTGACAATGATAATATCACGGTGCTCAGCGAGATGACTGATCAAAATCAGGCTTCTCACTCTGAACAAAGCAATGATGTCTTGAGTCAGCCGCAGAGTGGCCCGTTTGAGCTATTTTCTGGCGGCTCATTTTACTTTGACGCCGCTCTGGATTACCAATCTCTAGAACTAGATCTTTCCGGCGAAGGACTGGATCTCATTCCATTACCAGCTGTATCGCCCTCTGTATTGCAGAAACCAAATGATGCGCAAGCATTTGATACCAATGATGGATTTCTCCTGGAAGAACCTGGCAATAGCTTATGGCAATTTGGAACGCTATCTTCAGACGGAGACGAACCGATGCTTCAAGCTACAAAGGCCAGGGGCCCCTCAGTAAACGAAGACAATCGGCAGTTGATCCAGCATTACTTGGAGGTAATGAAGGGTTATGCCAAAGTGGATGATCGTTCTAAAGACACAAATAATCTCTTTATTTCAGCATTCTCAAAATCCTTATCTTTTCCACCCTTGTTTTATGCCATTTTGTCATTCTCAGCCTCACATCTCGCCATGGAGAATCTTTCTTACTGCGACCAAGCAAAGATTTATGACCGGTTAGCACAAGAGTCGTTCAACCTATTTGCACGCGATAAGACGAGCACTGTGGACAGCTTGCTCTCGGCGCTTTTTGTCCGAGTCAAACAGATACACGTGACGGCTGGCAACATCGACGCCTTCTTTGAGCTGATATCTGCCGCAATCGATATCGTTCGCACCGAAGAAGTGGAAAAGGCGCTGGCAGATACATCCAGTCTAATCAGACGTATTGTCATACGCCTTGCTATCTTGGATGCGCGAGCATCTCATTATGGATTGGGCGGCGGGCAGCTTGTCCAGCATCTCCGGAGCATTCCCACTATGTCCCCCATTTTTACTGGAGAAACAGGGCAGATTTCAACGGTTGGCGATGTAAGCAGCCTTTTTCGAGCCGATTCTTTTCGCATGCGTGTCGCACAATTGGATATGAGGATACAAGACCAGCTTGGAAATGAATTGGCTACTCTTACCCCTGTTCGAACGGAAGAGATCAAATCTTTGTACAAGTCTATCCAGCAGCAGATCGAACTGTGGGAAGCAGAGGATACTATAGACAGAGAAAACGTTGAGGAAGAACAACTCAGTTCTGCCACATATGGTCGATTCACTGTCCTATCGGCTCTACACTCGGCTTTATTATATCTCTATACAGTATATGTGAGTACCTCTTTGTATGTTCGCGAGCAAAGACGTAACGCTGACAAATCAAAGCCGTTGCTATCATTTGATCCCGAGGCTTCGGTCTCGAAGATTCTACATTACCACCTTAAGATTCGCCACGACCCGTCTCGCAGTTGCTCACCATCCTCCATACTGCCGTCATCACTGTTTCTTGCCGGAATTTGTACCAGCGATGTGATTCGGCAAGACTGGATTATTGATCGCTTTCGTGAAGGAGAGCCATGGGGAATATATATTCGGAAGGCAAGAGAATTGCTCCAGGCTATGGTGAAACTGCGTAAGAGAGGGGATAATCCCAACGTGCGCGGCGTCATGGATCAGGTAACTGGAAGATTTATTATTTAGCTGAATAGTCATGTTTCTTCCTATGGTAATAGAACGCAGGCGTATTCCCATACATTTAATTGTTAGATTGGGTTTCTTTCTCGATCTCGAGGCGAGCACTATCGGCAATTAGACGAATCAGAGCCATTTCCGCATGGATCATTAATATGTAAACCGCAGATGGCACACATTACTATATTAAATGCTGAGGAAATTATCTTTGGCCCTCATTAGTAGGCATAGAGATTTATAGTAGCTGAAATATCACGTAAACATCGAATCCCATTTAGGTAGATGAGTACATGTTTAGTACACCAATAAGAAAATTCCACTGCTATACTCAAAGCTATTCAAATATTACCCAGAGTGGAACAAAAATAGGGAAACATTACAGTGTGTACCTAAACGTCTGCCACCGCTCAAAGTCTGTCTTATCGCTAAATTCCGTCCGAAGCACTTCATCCTCTCCACCTCCCTCTCTTGTCAACCTTTCATCACGGCGATTATTTTCATGCTTATACCACAAGTACTGCAAAATTGGAACAATGATCATCAAAGCATAACAGCCCACTATTTCAATGGATTAGAAGCCACTTTAAACATTTTGTTACTGAGGAAGACATACTGAGCATTCTAAAGGCCAAGTCATAGATTGGTGCTTGGCTGTCGAGGAAGAATTCTAAGGTGTATATTAGACAGTATTCTTGATCGTTGGGTACTCTTGAATGCTTACGCGGGCCTGCAATGAGTCCAGCAGCCCATCCAGCAAAGATGATGCCAGACGCAGTCGACTTCTTCGTGTTTCCCGCATAGTTGGAAGCCATTAATCCAGTACTAAGCGTAAAAGACATCGTGTGCCTATTCAAACGTTAATTCACGGAATTCATGTGAGTTACGCCGCGGTACTCACGTGTAGGTGAGATAATAGCCTGCGAGGCGGCCAGCTCGGTTGCTTTCGGGAAGTGCATGAAGCAAAGATGCACCTATTAAGGGCGGTATAGATACTAAAACGGATAAAAGAAGCCGGATGTTGTTGCGATGAGAGGCAATGTATGAGAAGATGAGAAAAGTTGCAAGCTGGATGACCGCTGCTGGACACGCAGAAATAACCGTCGTTTGCAAGGCTGAGAAGCCGAACCCTTTCACGATTTGGCTTGAAAACTGAAAATGGTGTTAGCTTTAGAAGGGAGTTACTTGAAATATGAAACTCACTTGACTCGCAAATGTTGAGGGCATAGTGTTGCCGCTATACAGAGAATGGTCAGCGCCGTCCCAGACGAATAACGGAGACACATGTAGCTCACACTGCAGTCACAAAAAAGAAGATGGTTTGAGGATCTCTCAATGCTTCCCAGAACTGAGGCCATTTCCAATGGTTGTCCGTAGAAACAGTCTGATTATCCCGCACTCTGTCTCTTGCGACTTCTCTCTCGCGTGGAGTCAGCCATCTAGCGTTGGCATAATTGTCGGGCATAAGATATGCCAGAATAAGTGCAAACACAAAGCTGAAAGAACCGAAGAACAGGAAGAAGATCTTCCAAGTAGCTATTGATGAGTTATGTACTACTAATAATTAGCGGGAGATTGCATATAGAGTTTTAAGTATACTTACTCGACCCAAGACCGTAGGAGAGAATGCCACCGAAGAAGTTTCCAATCTAGATACAGTAAGATATCACGGCATAGCAAAACCAACTGAGAATGGAACACGTACCGGTGTCCCACCGAGCCAAAAGGCGGTCCTGAATGCTTGCTCCGGCCGCGTCCACCAGTTACTTGTGACAATGACGAAGACTGGCCCGATGATGCTTTCTACTAGTCCAAGGAAAAATCGTGCGGCCATGATGCCGGCAAAGTTGAAACATAAGGCTGAATCGAATGTTAGTGCTGCAGTAAATAGATGTAACATTGAGACATACGTGTAAGGAGCACTATACTAGACCACGCAAACACCGCGGCCGCAATAAGCTTCCCTGTATGTTGTGGCCATTGGTGAACGATTTTAGCCCATGCAATTGACCCGATCATATAACCAATGTAGAAGATGCTGTAGACCTGTTAGCTATTTTGAAGGACACATTGGCGGGGCGCCTCACCTTCCCAGCCAGCTAAACTGGGTGCCATGAAGATTAAGTGACTCTTTCAAACCAAAGATGGAACTGTAGTTGATGAGGGTCTTGTCCAAAAACTACATTGATGTTGTCAGCATAAATCTGCAGTTTCTATATAAGTATAACCAACAGAGAAAATGTAGCAGCCGCACAAAAGAGGCAAGATGACGAAGTCTATCTTTCTTTTGACACGGGCAGCCTCTTCCTCGGTATACAGGATTTCTGTAGACCCGCTTATATGTGCTTTGTCCATATCTTGGTCGTCGGTAATGTTTTCAACATGATTGCTGGGCACATGGACTTCATCTTTATCCATGTTTCCAGATTCTATCGATTGCTTCGTTGCTGAGATGTCTCTTGTAGAAGTCATGACGAACAGTGTAGTGAGAAGCTCCCACTAAGTGTGTGATTCATCAACCAACAGAAATACGATGGAAGAGATGCATATTAAAAGGATCGTCAGCTTGCCCGAGGCATATTAAGGCAATTATTGTCGCTTGATTGAAGCAATGGGCTAGATACTGTTAATAGCGAGTCAAGAGCCGACAGTATCGGCTCTTCGACTCACGTGATCTTGTCGGCTTTCATATTAACTTTCTCTCAGGTGTGTTGTCACTCTCTTAAATGTTAGCCGACAAGCGATAGGACGTCATGTGATCTTATCGGCTACGAGCTCTGCGTAGCTTCGTGTAAGTCAAGGGAGGAGTCGAGGCAGATAAACAACACAAGGTCGCTGTATCTGCTCAGATGAGTAAAGAACTCATTTATACAGAGGGCCTGAGATAACCACGCCCTTGACATCTTATTATCAAGTCAAAATGGCAATTGGCAAGACACAGCCCGCAGAAGAGCGCGTCTATGAGCCGCAAATTACACACCTTTCAGACACAGAGGACTCACAGTCTGTGATTCTCGAGCCCTATCACGTCGATCTACTCCCCGAATATGACTACGTCAGTCGTGAGTATTTGATGAGTGGCGTGGCTGCTGGCGAGTCTTACTGCACCCGCCTTCTCCTACGATGCCCTGCAGACTCAGCCCAGTTTAGTGGTTTGGTAGTGGAAGAGCCGTCGCATCTCTGGGGAGGTACAAGCATCTGGCGCCATATAAACCGTTGGTTAATGAGAAATGGTAAGACCATGCATTAGACTATACTTTCAGCAGACATCTAACGAGAAAAATGAACAGGACACGCATGGCTCGAAGTTGATTCCCAGTCTCCTTCAGCGATTGGCAAGATCAAGAATCTCGATCCCGAGCGATACAAAAACATGCATTTCATTCCAGGACCCCTCGCAGATGAGTTTATGGATACCATACCATTCATGACAACTGTTACCCGGGAGACGTTGGAGCAGTCATACATTGATTTTAAGAAACAGTGGTGGCCGGCCACGACGCAATCTCCAGAGATTCTTACAGCGGCTTCTCACGTTCTCCGTTCCGGGCAATTGGGCATCGCAGCCACCAGAGTAGTCTTGACGGGCTTGTCCCAGACAGGAGGCGTTACTCGGCGATTCATTACGCATTCACCTCACCTCAGACTGCCTGACGGCGGTCTCCCGTTTGAAGCTTTTATTCCCTGTCAGTCTGGTGGGGAAGCTTTACCAGATGTTCCACGAGCCAAGATCATTGAACTTCTAGGCGAATCGGAATTCCAATCTGTTCGTCTGCCGTGTGGAGTTAGTGGCCAGATTATCGGCGTCTCTCATCGGCGAGCTGACAGCGATTCCTTCCGGCTTTATGAAATAGCAGGCATGGCTCATCGCGAATCTCGATATCCTTCCGACATTGATAAGAAGCGATGGTCAGTAGCCGAGCTCAATGGGGCAAAATGGAGCACTTTTCCCAACTCTTTCATTTACCATGCTGTGTTCGAGGCCATGGAGCGCTGGACGAGTGATGAGGCTGTTGCTCCTCCTTGTGGATCTACTATACAAACGATTGGATTGAGCGATGAGATTGTCCGGGATGAACATTGCAATGCAGTAGGAGGAGTGAGATCGTTGTATACAGACGTGCCATTGTCACGTATTGTTGCGGCTACCCCCAAGGGCCGACCAAATTGGTACTGTGGTATGTTTTAATCTTAATTTTGTTTTTGTGTTTCAAGCGAGCTAATGATCCAACAATAGGTTCTGAGTGGTCCTTTACGTCTGAATCTCTACAAAAGCTGTATGGCACGGTGGCCAATTATCGGCGTCTTGCCGGACTGGCGATTAAAAAGCAAATACAAGCTGGCTTTTTACTTCCAGAGGATGCTGAAGTACTTCGACGAGAAACCGTAGAAAATGTTATATTTTAAATTGTTTTCTATTTCATCATCCCCCTGGCTCCTTGCAATAGCTGCATTGGATGTCCAATAATATCTTTCCTAATGCCTTACACCCCTCTAGATGGTACTCATTTTGACGTTTGAAGACAGAAGCATTAAATATTTTGTTAATACTCCTTTTGCTTTCCTCTGGCCTGGCTGGTACACTTGTACCTGATTCTTTCTCTTGTAGGGGGTAGTAGTAGACTGCATGTATGGGGCTTCGCTTAATTGTATTGATGGCGAGCTTGAGCTGTGCTAAACGCGGAAGATCTGGGATATTGTCTATTAATCAGAACATTTAACGATATGAATCATCTTAAATATTTATCCAATGCTTGAGTGTTGTCTTGCATGATATATCGTGTACCATTTCTTTTGCTTTTCTGTATACAATTCTCAGTAGCTACTAACCACGCAATACGGTAAGTGGTAAGACACACTACAGCAGACTCCAGTTTTTGCGTGAAAAGCCGGATGAATGTCAACTACTATTATTTGGGAATTGTCTTCAGAATTTCTTCGAATTCTTCAAAGAAAGACCGCTCCCAGTCTGCCTTTGTTTTCGTCGGTTTCCAGCCCAACTCTTTTCCGATTTCCGCTCTTGATCTAGCATTGCTCGCGAATCCTAATTCGCACAATTGCTTGTCCCCACGAACCCATTTGTCGGCAGCTTCTTCTAGACTGATACTTTTCGTCTCGGTATCATTCAAGCGTCCAAGTTGTACGCCGGCTTTGGCAATCCACTGCGCGACGTCCTTCCAGGCGAACGTTCCAGTACCGCTGAAAATATATCCCTTCTCTCCAACCGGAACGGCTCTTCGTCCCTTGATCCGATCCAGCAAGACAATCTCGTATAATTGAGCGAGGTCGAGTATGTGCACAAAGTCCCATACGCCTCTGCCGTCACCAACGTACTCTGCTCGTCCACTCGCTATTGCTGATTTCATTTGCAGCGGATACTGGATGGTTATCCGGTTGAACTTTCCGGATCCAACGCCGTAGATTGTAGGGCTCATGATAATTGTCGTAGGCACGCCCTCTTCTTTTCCTGTCTCTACAACCACGAGATCCGTAGTGCGTTGGGCATATGGCTCAATCACTTCTCTTTTCTTTATGTAGTCATAAATATCTGAATCTTTATCGCTAAAAGTTCGAGACTCGGCATATGTTTGACTTATCGGGCGATCAGCGAGGTTTGACGTGCCAGACGTATGGATGTAGTATAGATCAGCATCCTGTTTCAGCTTTTTACGGATCCCAAGACCTTGAATCAGGGCTCTAGCGCTCGCGGTATGATATCCGGAAGCAGTGTGAATTACAACGTCGTGTTCGGAAGCTGCGGCTTTGATGGCATCCAAGTCATCGAGGTCTTGGATGGTATGAACTTTGAGACCAATGGACGAGAAGTATTCCGCTCGAGAGTCATTGCGAACGAGAACAGAGATCTCGAGGTCTCTGGTAGTCTGATTGGCGGAGGACTGCAAGTAGGAAAGAATCGACCCGCCGATATAACCAGTCACACCGGTAATGAGTATTTTTGTCATTGTCATCGCTGAGAGTATAAACGAGCCTTGAATAACTTGAATTTTAGTGATAGTTTTACTGGTTATATTTCCGCTGTTCTTTTTTGTAGACATCATATCGCCGGTGTGGCACGTGTAACTCTGTGGAGTCATCGGAGATAGTTGTCAAACGCCAACTTATCTCCTTCTGTTCCAGCCATAGCAAGCATTTCGTCGGAGATAATTGATCGCCAAGGATTAAGCTAGTCTTGATTGATGCTTGTATTAGAAATAGTGGTTTGATGCCTACGCTTGAAACTATTCTTACTTTTTCTCCTTCAACTGACGATCGGGGAAATTGGATCCAACGCCACACTCGAAGAATCTCTTGGCCTTGTTTCTACTCAAGATCTGGGTTCTTCGATTCATCATTTCACGTTTGTTATCTCGGCCTACTGAGTATAATAGTGAGAACGTGGATTTTTCCATCTGTCAAACGTGTTGTGACACCGTCTTAACTATAACATAACCGGATATTTGCACCACAATTTTCGCATTACGGGGAAGGGCTATCTATTACCATGTAAATAGCTCAACTGCGCAGTCAGTTTACCAAAAAAATACAGAACTATTCGATTCTCATATAGTTGGTAGTAGCAGTATCTACAGTACATTATCAAAGGTAGCATAGACATAGAACAGCAAGCCAACGGCATATTATAGAGCGCTCTGACTATACTCCATCTTCTTCCTGATTGAGGTTTCCTGGCTCCAGACTGCAAGTATTGCTACAACTCAGGAATAGGCAAAAACGAACCTACTAGGTGTGGGCGGAATAGAAAGAATCTTCGCTGCCGTTGTCGTCGCCATTGCCGCTGTAAAGCGCTGCAGTACTCGGTCCCAAATCTTCAACAGGATTCTTTTCTTCTTCTTTCCCCTATTCAATTGCGATTGTCACATTCTGTACGCACTATTTACTGGGCCTGAAGCCCTTTTCGACGCTAAATGTCTTTTCAACGGCTAACATTCCTGGTTTAACTCCCTTGGAATGTGGGAAGACAGTGCGGCGGCAATGTCCGAGTCCTGACTATTATGCACAGCCCTTTCTGCTTAGAGGAGTCGAGACGTGATGTTCGAGTGAGAGACAGATCTTACGGGATACATCCGCCGACTTGAAACCGAGTATATGGATTGTGCAAGGCGGTTTCTAAACGGTTAGCTACATGTCTCGCTTGTACTGTGACCCCGTGGGGATTCAGGGCGAGCATGAGACATCTCCACAGCGACGAGAGCAACCACGAGAACGAAATCAATGCAAGACATTTCCCAAAACCCATGTTCATGGGTAGAGCTTGCAGAGAGCATGGCACGTGAGACAATAATCTTAGCCAGGGGCACAACGGCCGGCCAAGTGCGGCCAGCCTTGCTTCGTCCTTCGATGAGAAAATGCCGGGTCCATCCAAGACAATGTGGCGGGGCAAGCTCGTCGTCACCGTTCCGGTGTACAGGATCCTGGTATTACTTACGGGTGCACAGCACCGGTTGAGCACATTGATTCATTGCAGGGCTAGGGACGTAATGGACTTTGGGAAAGGGGCGGCATAGGGCTCTGAGGGGGCAAGAGAAGGTATTCTTACGGCCCAGTTGTTGAGAGTCGAGAACGTTTGGTTTATGCAACTTTGAAACTAGACTTGTTCTCCCTACCTTATACTAAGTAAAGATATCTTAGGGAGGGGTCTCAGAGTCACCCGATTAGTGTGGCCTGATGTCCATAGGCCGCAGCACAGTATTGACACTGCCCTGCAAACGTGCTTTTTGCCGTGCCTTCCACATAGCCATGCAAGATCTCTAACACAGCGAATCACTCTTCAAAACTGCCAAAAATCGAACTTTCCCCTTGTGCTTTCTACTTTGCAGTGGCTGTAAACTATAGTTAGATCGGATTAACCAGTAAGCCGTCACATTGCAATACTGCCAAATTCGACGAAGTTTAGAATGCCCCTATTCCTTGCTCTGTGAATATAGGGAATACAGTAACTGATAACATTTATTTCAGACCTATGACTTGATTCTTTGATTAGTATACTTATAATCGATTATCATATGTCCCATCCCATCCCGTGCATTGCCTTTTCTAACCGTCTTGAGCACTCACCGCGTGGGAAGTTTCCAGTTTGTAAGTGCCTTGTCCCTTTTGTCTTCATCCCATTCCGTAACAAGGCATTATGCACTGTTGTCTCATTCTAGGAATTGGAGTTCGATTCATCGTATTTCTTAATATGATGTTATGCTTAGTTGTCCCATTTCCGCGCAAGACAGGGCAATTCTCCAATGCCGATTAAGAGTGTATGACCAGGAGGGCATTGAGACACTTGCTAAGCTCTCTACGTCTTTTGACATCGCTGCTAAGAGATCTCGGGACACCGGTATTCTCGCCGGAAACGGAGATGGTCATGGGGTAGAGGACAATTATTAAACTCTCAATATAGATCGTAGTAACTACTTGTACTCGTTGAACCATAGCTCATAATTACAATAAATGCAGAACACTTCTCCTCGCAGACCTCAATCTATCAACCACAATTCAATCTTCTCGACTTCTTATCCTACTATAACAAAATGACTCTTTTCCAGCTTGCCGGCGTTGCTACCCTCCTTGCTGTCGCGACAGCCCAAATCACTACGCCATGTACTTATCAGGAGTATGTGTGTGGCTCAACACTAATAACCAATGGCATGTTCTACTTCTCCATTATCTCTTATCAAGCTATAAGCTAACCTTGCCGTCAAGGATACACTGCTACCGCTGAATTAAGAGCAGCATATAGTACCAATCCCAATGCTCCGAATATTACAGATGCCCAGCTGGGCCAGGTCCTCTTCCGCTGCATCGACCAAGCCGGCGGCATTGTCGGCAACTCTTACTGCATCGTCAACTGTGCTGTGATTGGTAATAGTACCGTCAACGATATGTGTACAATGTAATGTGGAGTGGATACTGGGTGGTTACTGCGATGGCTAGGGAAATTGCAAGCCTGGAGGACGTGAGGGATGAGAGCCGTGAAATTGTGATAGTGCTACTACTCTTTTTTCCCCATGTTACAGGGTTTTTTTAGTGAGAGTAGCGATTTTTGAAACCTCGCGGGGTCACTTCTATGTTTCTTTGATGACGCCAGTCGGTCTCTACATCGTATCGTGCACAAACCGACCTCTAGATCACAGGAGCTTCATCAGTCCCAATATGAGCTCTATTTGTTTCATATGAGATACCCATTTTGGATAAGTCCCCATCTCAAGGAACACGGTCGCGGCGAGTTAGAAATACCAATCCCTAGCGACATGATTTCCAACAATTGAGGCCCTTTTCAAGTCGGTTGCAATCACATTAATATCTATTTCCTCAAGAAGTAAAGTAAAAAAAGTAGTAGTTCAATCACTTATCTTGTTTTCTCCTTAGGTACAAGAGATTTCCATTACGATTTGATTGGTTTCATTGGAAATTTTATGGCCATGCCGTTTCATCACTCTAGTAAGGAATGAAGGTGTCACATGGAAGTCGGAAAAAGAGACGGCCTGCGAGTTTACGCAAGAGTTTCATCTTGGCTGGAGCTATCATACCTTACTGAAATACCTAACCTCAACGAAACACATTCCGTCCATGGTTAATGACATACAGAACAAGTCCAAGGCAAAGTAGAAAGTGGCATAAGTTGCATTGGCTAGAATCACATTCTAGATTCAAACTCGCCTAAATAATCTTAGACACTCTGCACCACCGAATAGTCTCTATTTAGGGACCATAACATCTTGATTAAAGATGGCGTTGGTACTATAACTTAAGAAAGGTTTGACAGCTTACATAACGCACTGGTCATTAACCAGAGTACCGTTCATATCGATGCAACCCGCAAAGCAGTACGCGTTGCCGACTATCCCTCCGCTAATATTAATGCAACGGTAGGTGACCTGGAGAAGCAAAACGTCGGGGAGGGAGGGAATAGATGGCGTGCTGGCGACAGCGGCGGCGAGCTCGGTAAGGTTGTAGCCTATCGGTATAGCGGAGGCATAACAACATAAGACAGGCATTCATTTGAACAAAAAGGGTATTACGGAAGGAAGGTGACTGTAATTACCATAGTGGTTGAGTAGATTAAAACCACACTTGTAACTCTGGTAGATACAAGGATTGGTAAAGGTATGGACGCCAGGGATAAGGCAGAGCGCTGCGGCGAAAGGAGTAACCAAGGTACTATGCATCTGGGATCTAGTTGAGGTTTCAAAGATGAATACAGAAGAGGACCTTGTGTTGGAAGTTGGGCTCTGGTTATTGTTACTGGTACTAGAGTATAGGATAAACCTAGGGCGATGCTGGCTTTATGTACTCGGTTGACTCCTATGCGTGTAGCATAATACTCCAAGACAAGTTGTTCGCATTTGCATCCATAAATTCACAGGTAAAGTCCTGTAGTTAAATTACACTTTAAAGGGTAGGAAAACATAAATCGACAGAATTTGTCTTCTTTTTAGAATGTTGACACCGCTACTTACCCTTGACACAGCCAGATATTTGGATCTCGTTTACAGTTATGCACTATTATAGAGCCTGCAGATTCTTTAGTTCTCAAGGAACTACAAGCTTGTCTGGGCCGGGGAATATTATGGCGAAGCCAGGACGCCAAGTATATACCATAGACTAGACTGGATAGAGCATCCCGAATTCTCGCCACTATCAGAAGTAGACCATGACTGAATGCCCTGTACGCTGGGTTGCCCAAGGAACAAAGCTCCTCGCGCGGGTTGGCATGCAAGGGCGTGCATGCGTATGACTAGCTTTAATGTGAGCTTTTGCTCTAGCAACCCGACGACGAACTCATCTACGACAGACGTTGCTTTTGAGGCATGACTTGATACGAGCCTCACCTTTCCAATGTACCCTACATCTGCTGGCTGGTTGCATGGTAGGCAGGAAATAGATACGATGGGATAGATGTGAGTAGAGTTGCAGTTACTGGTGTACGTAGGACGCACCTTTATCCGAGTACGTTGTTGGTCTCTAGGTGCGTTTAGAGGTCCGCTCCATTGCATCTAATCTTGGTAATATCCCCAAGAGGTCAGCTTTAGGAAAACTGACCGTGAGACTATACAATACGAAGGTCTAGCAAGGAAGCGATTACATTAGCCACATTGCGACTTGTCATATATTGCATAATCCAGCTTGACCTACGTTGTGCATCGCTGATGATGTTGGCAGTCCATTCCTAAGAGTCGGGCCGACCAATCAAACAAGCCAGGTGCGTGTGCTTTCATCTGAGACAAGCCCGCTTTAAAACCCGACTGACTTGTCATCTTGATGACTTCTAAGATAGACCGGCGTAGGTTAGCCGCGGTGGAGTGTGTGTACTATATGTAGCATGGTTGATCTAGCTGCGAAATGGAATTATATGAGTTTTCTAGCACTCTGTGCTTATGTTGATCTTCCTCACGAGCTTTCGACCTATTTCAGGGATAATTGGAATTTTATTTGCACTGAATAGTTTGTGGCTTTCATCTTATCTTAGTGTAGGTACTTATAGACGTCGATTTCATGAAGACTACCAACATGTAATGTAATACTACCTTAATGCACGCAGTAATCTCGCTCCCGTTTCCTTCTTGCGCGTTTCCTTGAGGCCTGTCCCTGATGCCTGAGAGTGCACTTGTTCAGCTTTAGGTATCCACCCCCTTACAGTTTTACACCGGCCGACATCCAACGGACGAGCATGCGTTTACCCGCCAACCTTTCGGCGCTGTTGCCTCTGCTGAAGGTTACTGACTTAGAGTCTCCTTGCCTGGATGGGGGTTTTGAGTTAGCGGGCGTTGGGTAAGTCCAATACTTTCCATTGTATGAATGTGTCTGCCGTAAGAGAAAAGTGCTTACAGCCAACATTGTTTCAGAGCTCCGCCCAGGCCCAACAACCAGCCTCAGTTCCTCCTCCAGATAGACGAACTACGGCCTAAAAGACTAACGCCTTCCTATTTATTCCCAAAGGGGACTTGTACAGAATGTCAGTATGCGACATTCTTCTCCCTGATTGGCGACCGGTTGTTCGCAGACGGAGAGATAGTCGTGACCAACGAGGGTACGACATACCAGCCGCTCCTCGAGACACCGAGCATCAGATCCATCGACTATGGGTTCTCGCTCGAAGAGGGCATTCTTCAATGGCGGCATCCGAGCTTTGTTGGCGGAAAAGCCAGCTTTTGCTTATCGGCATCGAATACGGTCTTGGCTGTGTTCAACGAATCAAGCACTCTGACTGACTGTGCGCCGGCGAACCTTGTCAATGTGCCATGTGAGTTTATTACAACGAAACAGATCTCACCAGCCTTGGCTCATGCGTGTAATAGATGCCCGGTGTTTCCCATCGGTTGAATCGATTAATGTATTAGTCATGGATGACGATACTATGTCCGCTCAACAAGCTGCAGGAAGCGTAAGTAGTACGGACAGCCCTGCCGGGCCGAAGTGGCTGGATACAAGACCAGATATCACCAACCTTGGTTATGGCAAAGCTTCCGTTGGGACACATCAGCTGAGTCCTCTAGCTCCTATTGATCGGACCAGCTACAACTTCAATACCGGACGACCGGGTTCCACAACACCCCCGAGCTCCGTTGGCTACGGGGGTAGCCACAAACATCATGATGCCGCTTCAAGTCCCATAGGACTCTCAGGTCCGGCAGGGCTCCCTGGATCTGATGGATGGGACGGTAGGGATGGGGAAGATGGCGACGATGGGAAAGATGGGAAAGATGGGAAAGATGGGAAAGATGGGAAAGATGGGAAAGATGGGAAAGATGGGAAAGATGGGAAAGATGGTGATGATGGGAGGGATGGGAAGAATGGCAGGGATGGGAGGGATGGCAGGGATGGTATCCAGGGTCCTCCTGGGCCACCTGGTCCACCCGGCCTCCCAGGTATTAACGGGTTGAATGGTGAGCCTGGGCCAATGGGTCCTAAAGGTCTCGCCGGTCTCGAGGGTGCTACCGGTCCCAGAGGTCCCGCTGGTCCTAAAGGTGCTACTGGTCCTGCAGGAGCCGCTGGTCCTCAAGGTCTCGCCGGTCTCGAAGGTGCTACTGGTCCTGCAGGTGCGACTGGGCAAGCAGGTGCGGCTGGGCCTGAAGGCCCTATCGGCCCCCAAGGTGCTACTGGTCCTATAGGTCTCACCGGTCTCGAAGGTGCTACTGGGCCTCAAGGTCCTATCGGTCCCCAAGGTCCCCCTGGTCCCCCTGGTTCCGGGTCAGCGGGTTTCACGGGCCAGTACGGGTACCTCGGCTGCTACATCGCGAGTAACGATGACACCTACGGCCTAAGTACGTACGCTTCACAGCAGGTTCTCACAACCTCGATCGACGACTGCGCCAATACCTGCCATGGTTTGCCGTCGGGCCCAACACTGTACTTCACTCTGGGAACCGACACGACTACAGGCGACTCCATCTGCACTTGTGGTGATATCCTTGTTGCCTATAACTACCCAAATACCGGGCTCGAATTTCAATGCGATACGCAATGCAACTTCCCGGACAATCCGACAACAGAACAATATTGCGGCGGAACGTATTCTGGGATTCCTACTGTTTCTCTTTTCGGTGCTATATAGATACTATTTCTAATACTATGTTAAACAATATTCTAATACTACATTTTTCTGGCTGGGGCGAACTTGCGAAAAAGTAAAGGCCAAAGCAACGAGCGCGATATAACCCTAACCAACAGACGAGGCAGATACATCCACCTGAAGCTGAGGGCGCTAAGCGAGAACCTTTGCCGTTTAATACACAGACAGTCCGAATGACTGCACATACATATGAATGTCAAGGTCCAAGTTGGATACACGAGAGGCAAGGCAATTAGAGAATAGATGGGCTGAGGAGTGGCTACATGTATTGATCCGCGGTATGCGTCCAATAGCCACAAGGACAGGGGATTCCTCGATTGTCAGGCAAACAACCTACCCACCACCAGCTTTACATCTGGTGAGAGGCCTGCGACGGCAGCATGAGGATAGCCCGTCGCCGGGATGGACCATGGTTGGAACCGATATCAAGCATGGCGACGGTATCATCGAGTTCCAAGGAGACAGTACATAGGAAGGCCATATTCCTCGTCCAAATAACGATCAAAAGCAATATCTGCGACTGTTTCTTTTTCTTTTTCTTTCTCCCTCTAAATTGCCATTAGTATAAGCTGCACTCTGCCCGTCACCAATTGTTCATTCACTTCATCGCTGATTCATAGCAGTCAGGTTCTACATCAAGTATCATAATGGCCGCCTTTTCTCTTCTTCTCAAAAAACAATCTCCACTATGCGTAAGTTGGACGCCCGCCACCCAACTGCCAATGGCCAGGAGGCCGATCCCGATCTGGTCCCTGAATTTGTGTCCAATGAGCGTCTGGTTCTTGGCTGATCTGTTGCATTCTTTTCTTAGCTTCGGCTTATGCCGCTGCCCTCGCCGGATCCCCGCCGTAAGTCAGGTTGCCGTCGCACAAGTACCCACTCCGTTCTATACACCATGGAAGCTGATGTTTTCGCCGTCGTCTTCACCGTCCTCTGGGCCCCTGAGGCGTATTTTTTCTTTCGGCTGCAGCTTGCGACACTTGATGCCTGTCCTCCCTGTCTCCTTGTTCATGGAACGCGGAATCTGCGAGTGGTGGATGCAAGCGTGTTATCGATTACTACACGGAGAAATATAATGGCTACGGTATATGCCGTCGCGGAACGTGCGGCGGACTTGGTCAAAGACGACCTGAAGGCTAGGAAAGGAGAGCCTAGGGAATCCTACCAAGCCCTATATAGGAAGACGCTGGTCCTGCAAACAAAGTGGCAGTCGCCGCTCACCATGAAGAGCCGCCTGAAATAAATGCAGACTTCGTAAAGCGTGGTTTCAAGGGTAAATCAAAATATTGGTGGTTGTACAGACCTTTTTGCTGATTTCCAACCTCAGTTCTAATCCGTAGCCAAGTTCTCCAGCTTCATAATCTCCTGCATTATACGCCGTTCTTTTTCCTCCAGCTGAAGCAGCCTCCTCACCAAATTCGCCTCGATACGAACCGTCGAGAGCTGTTCCCGTAGCTCTACTAGCATTTCGGCTACTCTCTCGCCCCCTAACGTTTCGACTACGTCCAACTTTTCAGCTGAGGGGTCCACCTCATTCGTGGCTGCTGAATCTACCACGGGTATTGAGGCACTCGCAGGAGCAGGCTCGTGGACTTGGGCATGGCCGTCCAGATCCTCAGCGGCTGGTTGACGAACCGCTGTGGTGCTTTCAACCGGGGATATGAGAGAAAGCGCAGCTGTTGCCGCCTCCGCCGAAAGTTTCATCTGGTCGACAGGACCCAAAGTCAACTTGCCCACTACATCCATTGAAGTCGTCGCAGATACAGCAACATCTGCTTCGGTCTTGAGCAACGATTCTGCATTCACATCCACCCAGTCACGTATGGTGACAAGACTCTTATATGTTTCTAAGTCCTCGTCCTGCAGGTTGTCAGAATTTTTGACCGTGCCCCGATTCTTCTTGGCGTCAAATATGATGTTCTCCCCTTTAGCGCTGCTGCCGGACATGGCCGCCGTGAAGCTTTCCCACTTCTCCTTGACGTTGGTAAGCCTGTCCACTTCGCCAGAGATCATGATCTTGGCGCTGAATTTCTCGCCCCGTGGATCCTCTACCATTTTGTCCCTCTTCAGTAGCACGGCGGTCTGCATGAAGCTTGGGATGCCGCTCTTGATAGCTTTGTTCTCATAAAGTCCCCAGAAGACAGTGTTCTTTCTCCTGTCACGCCTGGAACCGTGACCCTGCGTCCTCATCATGCCTTCGACACGTGCATGCGCCTCGATGTTGTCGGTCTTCTTGAGTTGCCACGTGTACCCGAGACTGCCCTTTCCGGGTCCGCACGATGCCTCCAGATTAGTGCTCACCGAATGGCTCACCTCTTGCTCCGTCTCAGACTTGAATATAGCCCACGTGTTGGACGGAGTGATGGCTTGTACATCCCCTGCGGAAAAGGTGATGGTGACCTCGACCTCTTTGAAGCGCCGGTTGTTACCGCGTGGCACAAATCCGAATTGGAAGACCACCAGTGTGGCGGGCTGGTCGCCGTACAAGAAGCCGTGAACAGCCTGCACCAGGTCGCATTGCACAATGAGTGCGTCGCCACCTATGTCAACATCGATCAAGCCGGTGCCGTCCCCGCCATCGCCGATGTTGGCGCCTCCGATTTTGAACTTGGGCTCGGCGCCAACATCATCTGGGTTGGTATTGTCCTCCAGAACAATCTCAAATTCATTGTTAACTGTTCTTGTTGTCATGATGGCAAACCAACTGTTCTTCCGCGCCCAAGGGTTGAGGCATCAGACATGAAGGCAGCGGGGAAAGATCGAGGCCGTAGGAATCATGGCGTACATCCACTGGATTCACACAGAAGAGCTGAAAACACCACCAAAGGCCACTAGCCTTCATTGAGGCAGTGGAAGATGAATATACTGTACATTGAGGCATTGGAAGATGAATGTACTGTACATACAAGGGTTTGAAAGTGTTCACCGACGGCTGGTCAGCAGGTTGGGGGGTGCAACCGCCAGTACACCTCCGGGGCTGCATGATTTGTTGGCGCGAACAGGGGCTTGCATGGGGCCACTGCAGAAGGACGTCTAAGAGGGTGGTATAAGCGGCCTGGAAGTGCTATTGCTATCACCCATCTGTGTGCACCCTTCAGCGTTGCCCGAGAATGCGATCCAAAGTAAAGCATGCCGGCAAGCTGTAGAAAAAGGCTTGAGGGGACGGGCCGTTTTTGGCGCGGTTATTCCATTGATTATAATGTCAACTAGCATGGCTTCACGCTCCCTACGTGAGGTAGGCGAAATATGGAGCAGAGTAACCTCGTACAAATACAGGATGCCGCACGCTTTACGCCCACCTATTCTAACGACCCTTTTGGCAGCCTTGCCGTTGCACATATGTTTCGCAGATCCTTGCTGGATTGCGCCGGGCCTCCTTCTCAGGCTAAACAGCACGTTTAGCCGCAGTAAACTTACATGTAGTTACCATAATACACATTAGCACACCCTACACTATCATTGCAACAAATTATCACAACAACCAATTTAAGGCTGTACTAACATAACTACTAGTATGATACGCCTAGGGCAGTTAAAAAATAAGTTTCCTGTACTATTGTAATCATATAAAGGTAGGTAGGCAGGTACTAGGTCAAGAGGAAATATTTATCAAAGCAGAGCAAATAGCAGTATACAAGGCAGCATAAAAGGCAATGAAAAATAACAGCACACGAAACACAAAAGAAGGTTAAGAATTTATAAATACACTTATCTAGAAATTACCAAAGAAAGAAGCTTGTTATAATTTTCTATATAACCAAAGCCCAAGGTATATAACACATTTATTCCTTCAATCCAACTGCGAGAACAAGGCCTACCCTGGCTACTGAATCTCGTCCTCCCGTAAAGTCGGTCGCGTTCTTAGCTTCCCCGGCGACTGTTCCGGTCCGAGTTGAGTACGCGGCATATTCATAAAGAACCTGTTAACTACCTCTTCCCGCAAGGCCTTCATTGTGGCCTCCGTAGAAGTAGTCGCATTTACCAGGGAGGGATGGCCGAACACTCTCCGCACCGGCAACCACTTATTCTGGGTGACATGAATGCTGTTGAAGGCGTTACGCATCCCCCCGTGGCTCTTCAGCCAGGTGTACTCGGCCTCAGTCGCATTCTTACCGCTGACTTGAGCGCAGTGGAGGATCATGGCAGCCAGCCCGGCCGCCAACGCGCACGACAATGAACTGCCATTATAGGTTTCCCACACCGTGGGTGGCTCGCCTACACGGCGCGCGCCGCTACTCTCTACCGGAAAGCCGAGTTCGACGCCGGGCAAGAAGTAGTCGCAGGATGCATCGCCCACGTCGATCTTCTCCCAGCGAGTGCCATCCTGTGTCGCCGCGCCGATGCAGAAAACCCGGCTGGTGTCCAGCTGCTTCGGGTAAGACTTGTTCTCGGGATATCCAGCGCCCTTGTCTGGATTGGCACAGAACAGCAGGATGTTGTTGTCAGCCGCGAGCTTGATCGCGTCACGCAGCGCACCCATCCTGTTTGTCTGATAGTCCAATTCCTTCTCCTCGATGGCCCAGCTCATCGAGATAATGTCGACCTTCTCTGCCACGGCCCACTTGATTGCCTGCACAGTTAGATTCCAAGATTAGCACCTTCGCCGAGTCCAAGAGGAGAAACACAGGTTGACGGGACGACTTACCTCGACTGTTGACTCGATTGAAAATGAGACCAGCGCCCGGCCTGAGCCGTCACCATGCTTGGGCTCTGGATTAAGCTTTGCGACGTAGAGCCTAACTCCAGGACACATGCGGCAGATGTAGTAGGCCATTACAGTGCCATGACCGTGAGCGGATGTGTTGTAATTCTGCGAATACCCATGCTTTGACCTCCTCTGACTCGGATTCGGCTGGTGCACCCAAGAGTCACCGCGCTCAATGGAATCGTCCAGTGTCGCATAACTAGACTTGACACCGTCATCAATCAGGGCAACCTTGATGGGAGTCATCTTCTGCGAGGTCTGTCAGCAAACAACTCGTATCACGACAGGTCAGGGTTAATGGACCTTATCTCTCTCCAACATCTCGATGATGTCTGCGAACTGATCCATACACTTCAGCCAATCTTGCCTGTGCGAATATCAGTTAGCCTAAACCTCTGATCTGAACCGCACAAGTTTTGTACGTCACGACTTACTCTGCGAATCCCTGTTCGCTCTCTTCCTTGAGTTTAGACGCCGCCGATGCTGTTCCTGAATTTTTCTTCTGTGCTGGTTTGATTGGATCGCAGCGGATTTCCACGAGTTCCCGTTTGTTGACTTCTTTGAACGTCCGCGGTAGGTCTTTCTTGAATTTTTCAACGTACGCTTTCATGGTCTCCATAGACTCTAAGCCCTGTACTTTGTTGTCAGTCGCATGAAAGCTCCGATGCTAGCGTGATATACTGCAACTGTCAAGGAGGCATTACCTGGTTGGTCTCGAGGTAGACCTTCTCCAACTAAGGCCTGATGTTAGCTATTTTCAACTCAAGCTTCTCATATTGTCGAAAACAGTAGCAAACTTACGTTCCTGAGTCTTGCTAGTCCATTTCTGTCTGCCCAGGCTTCTAATACCACCTTCAAGCCGCTGCAATACAGGTATACAGTCTTCACATGGTCTCCTGCCGCTTCATAGATCACTTCTGTCGGAATATCCAAGCGGGCCCAATCCCAAATTTCGACTTGGAGGTCCTTTAGGGACTCAACGATCGCCTTGTCGCTGTGTGGTAGTGTTTTCTCGTCCCCAAAATCGTCCACCATAACCTCAAAAACCTTTTTGACCGGCAATGTGTCGCGGTTCTTCAGCCAGTGGAAGATCAAGTATAAATCCGTGCGGCCGAAACAGTCCCAGGACCTGACCTGCTCGTAGGCGTCTCTGTCCGCAGCCTCCCACGTAACGCTGACCCTGGAGGGTATCTGCACGGTCCTGATCGTTGTGTCAAGCTTGTAGTGCTGGCTTTGCCGTTTCAATGACTCTCCTGACACCGGGTCTTCTGCTTCAAAAGCAAGGCTGATTTCTCGTACTGTTTTCTCGAGACGTTAGCATGAACATTTACGCGTATTTCGAGCTTACCGTTACTCCTAGTATACATAATGCTCTTGCAAGTGGCATTGTCAAACGTCGCTAGGCACTGTTGCTTGAGGAAATCCTCCAGACTGTCCAGCTTTGCATTCATGGAGTCTGCCTCCTTGCTCGTCTTTCCACGTGTCTTCTTCCGTTCTTGTTTATCCTTATTTCTCTGTTCGCTGAAATGCTGAAGCGGCGTTAGGGACGTCTTCCTATTGTCGTTATCCGATGTATAGGTAGATTTCAAAAGCTGAGGCTGCAGCTTGGCAAGTATCTTGGCCCACGCAATTTTGGTCGCGCTGAACGGCGACGTGAGTGCTATGTGCAGGCATGACCTGCCTTTGCCGTCGAGCACCTCAAGGCAACGATCCTTGCTGTCTCCTCTGTCCATCTTGGCCGGTAGGAGGCTCAATTGCTTGACTACGTCCTCGTGTATGCTAACGCCGATCTCAATCGCTACGTGAGCGGCGTGGCATCGAGCTAGCCTATCACCGCACACTACTCTCAGCGAGTCGATAGCAGACTGGGATCCCAGCCCACCAGAACTCGCTTCGCACATGTAGCTGACGATTTTCTGCTTCGTTTCCTGGCTCAATGCCTGGTCTTCGGGCTCTGTTTCAGTTTCGCTGAGGGCTGCAAACAAAGGGGTTCTCATGCTGCTGTCGGTTACGGTCGGTAGCCCGGGATGAAGCCGTATAAGGAAGCGAATGAATGGTTTGAGCCGCTCAAACATGAAAACGAAAGGCTCTTCTTCATCGTAGGTAGTTGGGTCTAGAATCACATGTAATATTGATCGTCCATCAAAACCGAGGGCCAACAAGTCCTGCAGTCCGTGGGGTGTGTTGACATTTTCGTCGCTTCTTTGTAAAAGCTGGGAAAGGATGTCTTGATCCGAGTCAGTTGGCTCTCCGTGCCTATTGAATGATATGGCCAGAGTCTCGTGGACCACCGTCTTGTTGCGCATAGCCTTGGTGTTTTTCGGTTTCTTCATGACTTTCTTATCTGTCGTGTTTCCAAGGGCGGCTAGAAGTTCCTTTCGCTTTTCCGGTGCCGGGGTCGACTCAAAAAGAAGTTTCAGCGCATTGCGCGCGGTTTCTCCAAGGTTCACCTCGCTATCGGCAGCCCTCCTCCTACTAGTATTCATCTGCAGTTTAATCTGCGATGCAGCCTGATCCATGGCTGCGAGGCTTCCTGGAACGATGTAATCACCACTAAGCAACACCGATTGGATTCAAATGGCTTGCAAAAGGAAAGCACGATTACAAGTCTAGTATTCTTAAAAGGATAGGTCGATCCGAGAAAGATGAAAAGCGAATCGGTATGAAATTCAGCCGCGCGGTCGAGTCTTGCTGTTTACAACCTCTACGGTAACCACACACATCAAACAGCCACTGCATGGCTCCGCCCACCCACACGCCACCTCTTGCGGGAGCCTGATCCATACACACGAACTGATCCTACGGGATGCTAGTCGAAGTACGAAAGGCCGTACAAAACAGGCCGCACATGATATTGCATTTTGTGCAGCGTTGCAGCCAATATCTGTGCGCAAGAGCCAGTGTAATATGCAGACATGCAGCAGAGCCTCGTCGGTTATAGGGGCATAGCCTCCGCAACGCCGAACGGAAAGGGAACATCTGATCTCAATGGGGAAAGGTTCGCCGGTACGCAGTATATACAAGCTCGTTGTACAGTACCTTGACCTGGACGTGAGTGAATTGCTGCCGCCCCCACCTGATCAGGCCGCTGGGCAGCAGCCTCTTTCAGCCTCAAGCGCATATGGACCTTGGCAACTTTTGTCTGCCAGTCGCGTTATGTAAGAGCGGCTAACTCGCTGTTAAGTAGATCACTGACAAGGCCCATCACCTCCACCACTTTCACTTGCCCGTCTTTGCGCTCTGGATATCGCGATGGAGGATACTTCAGAGAGCGATTTCAGGCTGGAGGAAGTCTCCCTCAAGGTTGTTAACGGGCTGAATGATGATGAATCTTTGTTAGAGTAAGTGCTGGGTAGCCCCCATGCATCTGATCGCAATTTCAACACATACAGGGTGATGACTAACACACTGGAATCTTGAAAGCATCGTTGCAGTTCATGGGTTGGGGGGTCATTGCAATCGCTCGTGGATTACTGAGGCCGCCGATGATCAGAAGGAGTATATATGGCTGAAGGAGCTTTTGCCCAAGCACATTCCTCAGGCGCGCATCATGGAGTTCACCTGGCAGCCTGTGACAACAGAACGCACTGGCATCTTCTCAAGTGAGGGGTTGACCAAGGCTGCCCAGTGTCTTCTAGAGTTGATGATGGGCAGGCGAAAGGGCGATAAGGTAGGCTCCACCACTCTGGAGGCAAGCTGGAGCGCTCAATTGACCATATACTAGTACCATGATCGTCCTATCGCCTTTCTCGGGCACGATGTGGGTGGTATTATCGTGAAAAGGGTGAGAAGGCAACACGAATAATAGTCTGTGCAACACTAACTGTTATACATAGGCACTCGTCATGGCTGAAAGCAACGCCACTTTCACTAGCATCTCTCAACGCAGCAATCGCGTCGTAGGTCGCTCACACATTTCCGATGAATGTTAGCCAGCAGTGTCTAAGATCGATTCTAGGTATTCTTCGGCACTCCGCATCGTGTGTTGAACACATCTGAATGGGACAATGTGATCTTCAACATAATCTCCTCATATCAACCGTCAATTGGCTACAACTATAACATGGCAACCCGAGTCAACTATTTGTCAAAGGCTATTAAGGACCTATCCAACGAGTTCATCTCTCTGCCAGTACGACGATGTATTGTCAATGTTTTCCAGGACACCACAGGGGACAAGGTGCCGGTAAGCCATGGAACATTGCCTTCCGGCACACTTCATGCGTACCATTGACCAATGCTACCAGGTTATCAACCGCTATTCCGCCACTACAGGTCTTGTCCATGAAACGAATATTGCGCGTCGGGGTAGACACAGTGATCTTTCTAGATTTGTCAACGACGGACCGGAACTGGAATTCTCTCTCATCGTCAAGAACTTGGCGGCAGGTAATATCGCCCTCCATCGTTGACAAGTTGACCTCTGCTTGTTTCAGGATTAAGACGTACTGAGAAGTATTTATGACAGAGACAAATGCATCTTACGCCGACTGCCTCTCTGCTCTGTGGAACATCTCTCCGTCCTTTACGGTCTTCACGGACGAGCAAGAGATATATATGCAATCACAGACCAGATTGCTTGATGGATATAAAAACTGGCAACACTCTGCTTCGTCACACATCATCACGACCTGTGGAGTCCAGGGCTTCGGTACGAGTCTCAATGCGCGGTCTTTGTTTCGTTGGCTGAGGCAATCATCGTGTACGAGCTATTTCGCGTTCAGCGGCCGTGATATCCGAAGACAATCTGCTGTCTCGTTCCTGAGTTCGATTGTTTTCCAGATTATGAACCAGGGCCAAGACAAATTCAAGAGGATAGAGAGCCTTTATGCCGACATGAAGACATCCGGAGCTTGGACACAGGCCGGCTTGCTCGTACTCTTTCAAGCTTTGCTGGACCAGGAGAGTAATGACCCGCTGTATCTCATCATCGATCGTCTTGACAAGTGCGACTCTTCGTGGCGAGCGCTTATAGATATTTTCTTGATCATCTCTAAAAACGAGCAACCTCCCACGAGGGTTAAGTTTGCGATATTCACTCAATCTAATCCGGCTATTGAGGAAGTCTTGGGTAAGTTTGGTGAGTCTCGCATGGATGGCCCGGCCCTAACCTACAGCCCCCCTGAGCTTCTCGTCGGGGCTCTGGCTGAGAATATAATCGGGGATATTCCCGAGCTCTCGCCCCTCAAGTCCCAGATACTCGAGTTCCTCGGACGATGCACAGATTGTACGGAGTTACTACTGAGCCTGCACTCCCTACGCGGCATGGACATTGCTCCACGTAGTCTGGCATCACTCCTGAGACTGATGGGCACTTTCCCGCCGAATCTTGAAGATGCCATTGCCACTCGAATCAACTCGATGCGAGGATGGTCAAGAGTGGCCTTGGGGTGGCTTATGTGCGCAAAACGGCCTTTCAGGCTCCACGAGCTTGCGACGGCCGTCGCGCTGACAGATAGCAATGCCAAATTCGCTTGGCCCTTTGAAACAGAGGAGCTGCCTATTGATATGGCAGCAGAGTTATATTCTACATTCGGGTTCCTAGTGAGGATCGAGAATGGCCAGGTCCTGATCAGTACCGACATCATCAAAAAGGGCATCCGTGGCGTGCTGGCCCATGAACAGACCTCCACAGGGGTTGAATCGGAGAAGGCAATCATTCCAGATGATGCTCAAATCACCAAGATTCTTCTAGAATATCTAACATCCGTTACTGAAGACATGGAGAGGGCTCTTGAGCCAACCGAGTATGTTCGACCGTCGGGCTCCCAATTTGATCTGGTCCATTACGCAATGCAATTCTGGCCAGCACACTACCGAGCAATAGAAACGCACAGCAACCATATGGACAATCTCCTCGATCTCCTAGACGGTGGCAACAAGACACTCGTCTTGTCTAAGCTGTTCTCAAAGCTAAACATTGCAGTCCCACCATCGGACCTGCATGTGACTGATCCACTGCTCCTCGCAGCTCAATTGGGCCTGGCCAGCATCGTGCAGGAACGCCAAAATAGCCTGATGAATGCCGATCGTGAGCTCGCTATTGAGTTGGCAAGCTGGAGTGGATACACGGATGTTGTCGAGATTTTGTTGCGTGATGCGGAACGCACGAAACCCTGCAGACTCTCGAGAGCGCTGAAGTATGCCTCGGCTCGTGGATATGATGCCATCGTAGAGCAGTTATTAGAGTACCTGGCGTCGACCGAGAACTTGGAGCCTGACTTACTGGACGAACTAATTTGTCAGTCAACGCAGCTAGGGTATGAGCGCCAGGTGTCTTTATTCCTGAGATACAACCCGAACGTCGAGGCCTGTCCCAACGGAAAGACGCCGCTCCAGCATGCAGCACAGAACGGCCATGCGGCAATTGTCCACTATCTGCTTTCCGAAGCTAAAGCTGATGTAGACGCAAAGGCGGGAGGGGAGAGCAGTTCACCCATCCTCCTTGCGACCGAGGGAGGTTACCGGACGGTGGTCCAACATCTGCTTAATTTCGGTGCCGACATCGCTGGCCGCCCCAGCGAAGGGAAGCAGAGCACTGCACTCCATGTGGCTGCCGAAAGGGGCCACGAAGCAATTGTTAGACTCCTTATCGATCATTTGGCAGTCGCCAAACCGCAGCCAGCGAGCGGCGAACAAGGTAGCACTACCGAGGAGTCTATTCTCAATCTCAAGGCCCGAAGCCAGTTCGGACGATCTCCACTCATCCTGGCGTGTATTGAGGGACACATCGCTATTGCATTAGTACTATTAGATCGGGGAGCAGACATCAAGTTGACAGATGATAATGGCAACACCGCCCTTTATTATGCCACCGCCCTTTATAATAACACAACTCCCAATCCTAAGTCACTGTCCGAGAAGATCATTAAGCGTGCTGCCGCCTTGAGCGAGTTCGCAGATATTGGAGACGTCTTTCTCCGCTCTGCGGCACACGGGATCACCAATATTGCCCGTATCTGCATTGAGTCCGCGGCCAAAGTGAACGGGGTGCCGCTGAAAAACTTCAGCAATGGCCACAAGCAGACCGCTCTCCACCTAGCCGCCAGAGAAGGACATGACGACATTGTGTCGCTTCTTTTAAAGGCGGGTGCGACGTTGGACGAGGTGGATGACCGCGGGCAGACGCCGCTGACAGTGGCCGCATTGGCCGGCAAGATCGATATAGTCAAAACCCTGCTGAAAGCAGGCGCTGACCCGCTGCGGAAGAATGCCGAAGAAGAGACCATCGTGGCCCAGGTGGCCTGCAGAAACTGTTCCTCTGTCTTCGCAAGTATCATTGATATCCTGATTGACAGCGGTGTGGACCCCAACTCCGTGGATGACAGTCGCCATACTGCACTGCACCGGGCGGCAGCAGCGGATGAAGCGGACGTCGTGGAGTGCCTGTTGCGTAAGAAGGCACGAGTTGCTGTCAAGGACCTACAACTCTGTAAGTAACTCTCGGTGCCTTTCATACCCCATCTAGGAAGTGTTCAGGGAGGCAGTTTCTCTGGCCACTCTAGCATCTTTTTAAGAGCATACGCTGCTGCCCTGAACACTTTGGAAATATATGGAAACCCGTATTGTTTCATAGAACGGCAGTCACTAATTAAGACCCCTGCATAGGGAATCCTCTACATTTTGCCGCCCGGAACTCATCTGATAGCGGAACGAAGATAGCCAGACTGTTGCTTGAAGCAGACGCTGACCCGTTGGATCCGGAAGAGGACGGTTGGATCCCTCTTCACGTCGCATCGAGATGGGGCAATGTTTCCATGTTAGAGCTACTATGGAAAGCGGCGCCCGACTCCTTGGACGAGGCAGCCGACGACGGACGTACTGTGATTCACTTCGGATACGATGAGCCAGGATCTCTCGAATGGATTTTCAGCCACAATGTTGATGTCAACTCCTTGAATGCGGACAATGAGACCACGCTGATGTTGGCCGCTGCCGGGAGAATGGACAAGTGCGTCAATCTGCTGCTGGATCAACATGCCGTTGTAACTCTGCGCGACAAACGAGGGAGGACTTGTCTGCATCACGCAGCCGACGGCGGAAATGTTGACATCGGCCGACAGTTACTGAAGACGGACCAGAGCCTTGTATCATACGTGGACGATGCCGGCCTCACGGCTCTCTATGTTGCGATCCGTGAACACAACCCCGACTTCACCCTGATGCTGCTCCAAGAGCACTATACCAACGCTAATTTGGCGGAGCTGAGTGCGACTATGGGGGAGGATGGCGAGCTACCGCTGATAAATGCAATCGAGGACGGCGATTCAAGGGTCGTTGCGAGGCTCTTGGAACTCGGTGTGGACGCCGAAGTAAGATCCAAGGGCGGAGAAACAGCCTTGGCCTTGGCTCTGAGAGAAGGTGAGGAGATGGTGCGTCTCTTGCTAAGTCCCGACATCCCTCGTCGTGCAAACGTCAATGCCGGCGGCGGGCGGAACTCGACTGCATTGTACCAGGTGGCATCCATGGGCTCTATCAACCTCGCCAAGACTCTCATCAGCCTTGGAGCTCGGGTGGACGGCGAGGGGGGCGTCTTCAACACCGCCCTCAGCGCTGCATCGTACGAGGGTGATGACGAGATGGTCGAATTTCTCCTTAATGAAGGCGCGGACCCTAAGAAGCACGGCAGCGATCTTCCTAATGCTCTGGGTGTAGCATTATATGCGTACAGTCTTTACCTCGTTCCCGTACTCATCGAGGCAGGAGTAGAGCTGAATGCGCAAGATCCTCAGGGGCGCACGAGCTTGCACATTGCGGCATATTGGGCCTCCTTGGACATAGTCGACGAACTGCTCGACGCAGGAGCCGACCCTACTATCAAGGATAAGCAAGGTCGCACTATTTTCCACCATGCCGCGGCAGGCGGTGATGCCGACGTGATCATGAAATTTCTACAAGATACCAACTTGAGCCACCTCAATGTCGAGGACATCAACGGGTGGACCCCTCTGCACTGGGCCGCGCGCCATGACGATAATCTAAACCTAGCCATGGCGCTCATAGAGCATGGCGCCGATCCCACAAATACAACCCCAGACGGATGGACCCCAGAGAACATTGCCGTTTTCCACAGCGCGGACGACATGGCGGACTTGATGGTTGAGGAGGCTGCGAAGAAGGCCCAGCCGACAACGGGTGACGAAGCCCAAGATGGGAACGATAGCAAGCCTGAGGACTTGGCAGCCGACCAGGAGCATGCACCCGGGTCTATACAGTGGAAGACGGGGCACTATCACTCTTTGGTTTCTTGTGATGGCTGTTTCATAGAGGTGAGATTAGACCTCAGGAACCTAGCGACACGGCAACTCTTGGAGACTTGCTAACGCCTCCCTTTCCCTTCTAGTCCATCTATGGCGTTCGTTGGCGATGTACGGACAGAAACTTTAACTACTGCTTCAAATGCTATTGGACTGCTGAGAAGACGCAGCCTGGTCAGGAGTGGGAGAGACTGCCGAAATCGAGCACGGACCACGATCGATTTCCTCAGCGCGAAGAAGACGGAGAGGACGCAGGGACTGGTTCAAACTCAGAGAGTGATGATGACTCCGACTGAAGTTGACCAGGTATCTTCCATTAGGAAGGTAGGAGATCTGTTGAGGTCAAAGTGACTCCGCTGTCAGCTCATCCATAGTGAAGACACTTTCAGGCAGCTGGAATCCAATTTTCTTCGGAGCGAAGACCACAGAGTCACGTACGTAACTGCATACAAGACAAAACGCCCCCGATTCAGGTCACTGTGGCTGATACCCCCCAGTAGTGTTGGTTATTCCGCTGTTATTGCTTTTATTTGATCTCTTTTTTTCACGTATTTATTATATATTGCTCTACCTAGCCTGATTTTATTTACTGGCATCCCTTCATATACTCGATCGACGTGACCTTCACCTAGACATATTCACTACAGGCGTAAAGTGGCACCAAATGGACGCTTATATATGCAGTATCAACCTGTCAATCGTCTCGCCCCGCCGTATTGCCCTTCTCGGTCATAAAACATCATCTCCATCTCAGTCCCGGCTAGGTCAGAGTGAAGTCGAATGCGAACCACCGCATAGGCTGGAACGCGAAGACAATTCGTACAGCACTGCCAACCTGAAGCCATACGCTCTTATTGTTCTGGTCTGGCCATCTTAGCTTACCGACAACCAACACATGTTACTAATTGTGCTTCGCGTCTGCCGTTTCATCTTTTCATTTCGACCAAGAAGTCCGTTTGTCGTGAAGCCTTGGAGTTGGCTCCGTAGGAACAATAAGATCCGCGTCTCTAAATTGGACGGCAGGGCTACGAGGCAAATACACTGATGCTCAGCGGGATCGTGCGCTTTTCGAAGCAAGGGTGGCCGTGATGACGCCCACGCCGCCACATGCACCATCCGCGTGGCCTAGAATTGCTTTGACCCAGCCAATATAAATTGAGGCCCTGCCAAGGTCGACAGGCACGGTCACCGTTTCTAGGGTATTGCCGTCTCTTGAGCATTTTTGCGTTTGTTTCTTTGTGTTGACTGGAGCTTTGGGTTTTTTTTTTTTTTTTTTTTTTAGCTTCAATACATTGCTTCGTCTCCCTGATCTCTGTTCATTTGCTCTCACAACGCGATAGCATGGATTGTCCCTTATGCGTGAAAAGAAACCAGCATCATCACTTTCAACTCTCACTTATCTTCACCGGTAAGAGTCATTACATGCAATAATCATTGCTTTCATGGTAATCTCAAATTCATTTAGCCCAAGGATTCTATCCACATCCTCTACTACAATTTCGCTTGTGGCTTCTATCCTTCCTAGCCTGCCCACTCTTTCAAGACGCAAGAGGTTTGGTTTTTTAAAGCGAGCGCAAAGCTGTAAGCTGCCTGATGGGTCATTATATCGACAACCTCCAGCTGTAGATTGTGGAGGACAACCAAGATATCATTGCGCTTCCATTTATAGCATCAACGTTAGAGACGGGCGCTGTTCACACTAGTATCTATGTCGGCTTCAAGGTGCGTCAACATCTACGCCATCATTCACCTTGATTTGTAACCATCGACAAGATTCCATAAGTCTATTCGACAGAGATGAACGACTGACTAATGCCATGATGCCTCTAGAACGACGGCTCCTTTGAATAGGAGCTAGCATACTAGCAAATTGCTTCCAAAGTGACTGCTGGCTCCGGCTCCGCTCATCTTACGCAGATAAAAGGGTTAATACTTGTGCGGCTCAGAGACGAATGCACATTATCAACTCTCGTCGCTCTATACTTCCACCATGAATCTCTCGCTCGCGCTCTACCTCGCGGCAGCAGCTTGGCCCCTATCTGGCTTTGTACAGGCATCCGTAAACTGTCGACACATCAACATTCCAGTTTCTGTGTCTGTTCCACGTCTTGAGCTAAGCACTACCATAGAGAACAACTGGGACGCGGCTGCTCTTACATTCAACTTTACACGACGAGATGTTGGCTCCCCTACGGCGCCGCTTCCCATTGCCGGCACGTCATCCACTCCTGTCCAAAACAATTTCACCATCAGCGCCAACCTTTGCGGTACCGGAAAATCAATTCTAGTACTAACTCATGGGATACTCGAGTCTTCCCTGTACGTAGCTGAGTTACCCGCACAATACGTTGCGTTGCTAATTACTCCAGTTACTGGGGTCCTAATTTCCCCGGCGGCGAGACTTATAGTCTTATCAACGCTGCTGTTGCCGCTGGCTACTCTACGCTCAGTTACGATCGAGTTGGGGTAGCGTCATCTTCTCCGTAAACATTTCCCGGATCCCTCAATGTTTGATGATCTGTCTAATACTTTGTCGTAGGGCAAACTCCCTCACAGAAGCTCAGTTTGGCGTAGAGACTGCCATCCTCAACCATCTCGTTCACTATGCGCGAACAACCATTTCTGCATCCAAGGTGGCGCTCGTCGGACATAGTTACGGAGCATACCTTTCAGCGGCCACTGCCAGCCAAGTAGCGGTCGATGCTGTCGTGCTGACTGGTTTCAGCGGCACGTTGCAGTTTTTTTCGCCGTTTGTTGCTGGAAGCAGTTTACGCGTAGCCAGAATCCAAGATCCTCTCCGCTGGGGGCACCTCGATTCGGGGTATCTCACGTCTTCGGATGTTTACGTCGAAGCGTACGGCTTCTTTGCCGCCCCATTCTTTGAGCATCGGGTTGCCGAATGGAACTTTAATGTGGACAGTCAGCCGTTTGGCGTTGGCGGACTCCCATCTCTGCTTGCAACCGAAATTCCGTATGGCAATATAACTGCGCCAGTACTGGTCCTACAAGGTCAATACGACTTGCCTTCTTGCGGCGGTAATTGTCTTGGTCTACTTAATGGCACAAGTGAGCTTTTCTCGAACGCCAAAGTGGTAGAAACTGTCGATAATTTGCCAGCAGGGTAAGTGGCTTCTCTCAGTGACTATTCAAAAGCTGAAGCTGATAGTTTTCTCCAGGCACAACATTAATCTTCATAAGAGCGCTCCGAAAGCGTTTCAGATGCTGCTTGCATTCTTGGGCAAACAAGGTCTCTTACCTAATAAATGATGCTTTGCCTCATGGTGCGATAAACGCTCATTGCGCCTTAGCCGCAGGTACTGTCTATTTGGAAATGCCACGTGCTACCTGGTCATCATGCCTACAGGTTAAGGATGTCTCTAATCCTACATCATATAGTTAGTACCTTGTAAATAGTCACATAATAAACCAGCTGTGATTCACATGCTGTTATTCTTAAGACTATATGGAGAGCTACCTACGTTCGCTTGTGCTGCCAGGCGTTAAGAAGGGTAGGAATCTTAGTAACAATAGTCTCATCGCCGGTTGCCAATTGCTCGCAGCTCGTGGATGCCGAGAGACGCATCCATTCCAATGCTGACATCATATAGCAGTAGCGCCATCCTCAATACGCGGCCCCATCTACATGTTCCAAAATAGGCAAATGGATCCCACCCGCCTCCACTATCCGAAAACGACTAATGGTGGTCGAAGCATGCGGAGGAGGCGGCGGTAACTTGGTACAGAAGGTTTTCTCCTTCAACCCTTTTTTCACAGAGTAGAAGGATTCAGGTCCACTTGTCGGAAGGCGTCCCGTGCCCCAAAGTCGCCCGGCATTAAGTCAACAAGAGTTGACTGGAACTTTAGACTCTAATTGTAGGTGTGTGTACAGTGGCTATAGAGCGCCTCTAGGCAAAAGCTGAAAAGAAAAACTTGCTTGCTCAATTAAACGCTTTCAAAGTGACTGCTATTTTCAAATGCCGCGGGGCGTTCGAGCTCTTCCTCTGCTGCTTTCGCAACATCCTTTGTTCGGAGGGTCTCTCGCATCGTCATCGTTAAAAACACCACCATCATCATCAACTTGCTCCCCACACGGGGCGTTTTTACTGCTGACATTTCTTGCAGACCAAGCAGCAACCTTCTCAAGCAGTTCATTCGCCATGTCCTGTAGCCTAACCTGTAACAAACAATTAGAACGAGCCTCTCTAATTTTTGGTGTCTGGCATCTACCTGGTAGTCTCCGATGTTCTGCATGGTGGTATCGCTGCTATTCGAATGCTCGAACTGGAAGTAGTGATTCCAATTCGAATTCATGATGCCCTCAAAGAGCAGAAACACCAGTAAAATAAGGCAGGAGCTCGTTTCTCCACCGTCAGGGAGATAGAGGCCCCCGAACTTGAACGTCAAAGGTGCAAATCGAAGTCCAATCTGCATCTGAAGAGATTATGTGGTGAATTACCCCCTGTGTTTGTTTCCAGAGTAAAAGTCCATCAACTTTGTAGAAATTTGATGATTTATACATCTCTATCGTATCAGAACGTGTCGACACTGTGCCTAAGCATTGGCATCTAGAGCTTCATCGACGCATTCCACGGCTTTGTGACCCGGAGACGGATCCATTAACTCTTTCTGCTCATAAAAGTCGATGCGCCTCGGCATCTCCGCCGACAACCTCAGCTCAGCAATCCAAGGGCTGCGGCTTTACCGAGCGGCACTTGTCAGCGCCACGCTAATGTGCACCACCAGGTAGTATAAGCTGGAATTCTATGAGTTGCTTCGGCTTTCAGCAAGGAGAGCTGATTGACTGGATGAGGTATATGGTGTTGAAGCTTGTGCGACCCTGCCTAGCGGCGCGGCAGATTGTCATGGATGACTTACACAAAATGGAGGAGGAAATTGAAATGCCGTTTGCGATTGCGCATTCGGGACCGGGCTACATCGATTCACCGATATTCACAGTTTCTAGATTAGAACCTTTTCTCCTACTTTGGATTGTGCTGGATCTACAAAGGGGCTGCTTCAAAAATCCTGAATCCAGGGAGCTCGGATCCCAGAAGCTTTCAATGGATACCAGGAGGCTGGCTGAGAAGTATGAGCGTGTATGCCCTTGGCTTTTCGGGCTGGAGGGTGATCAAGGGATCATTGGCCATAAATAGATGCTTACAAACTCTATATTGGTCCCAACTCTCTGCAAGTAGCTAGTTTCGCACGATAAATCTTGGGACGAGTCATTGTGCCAAGTTCAAGCTATTCGGAGATTTGCGGGGCCAAGCTGCACCCATCTATAGACGCTGACAAAACGCATGTGCGGCTTATTGTGTATATATATCATCTCATTCGCCTCAAGTCTTATGATAGTGCTCACCACGTTTTCTTTTAAGTTATAACACACGCCGTTGCTTTACAATTTTGCTCTTTCAAGATGGGCTCCAAACAAGGGAACCAAGCCGCTTCATTCCGCACCTATCAGCCTTCTCCAAATCTGCTGTTCGATGTGGTGCCCATCAATCCTCTCGACACGACAAATCTCGTGAAGCCCTGGGTCGTTACTTATTCTATATATCTGAATGGACGCCTAGACTCTGTCAAGCTACATGACTCTTTAGAGACTTTGATCTCGAAAAAGCATAGAATTCTTGGTGCGAGACTGGTGAGTGCCATAATTTTTCGACAGCTTGACAGCAGCTTGACAACAGCTCTAATATCTCCGCTCCCAGACTGCGGCATTAGACACCTTTTATGTGCCTCATTCAGAGTCGTTCTCGCGCGATACCTTGCCAGCTGTTGTATTTTCGTCAAATGATCATGGAGAGAAAAGTGTCAAATCTGCCAATCCTCATCTGCCACAATTAGATGCTCGACCCGACCGCATCACTCTTCACCCTGCCGCCGAGTCACTTCAAGCTTTCGTTGCGGCCGAGGGAACTCCAGAACAGTATTTCCCAAGCCCCAACCAGCCGGAACTTAACCCCCCGATGCTGAAAGTGGACGTTGAAACATTTTCCGACGCGACGATCATAAGTGTACGCAGCCCTCATATTCTCCACGATGCCAAGGGATACGAAAGAATCCTCACAGCCTGGGCGACTGCTGTAAATTCTGGCGTGGAAGATGTGCCCGACCTGGCACCGCTGGGATGGGATCCTCTTTCAGGGCTCGGTAACAAGAACAGTCCAGCAAACGACGCCAAAAAGATACCGCGGGGATGGACGTCGATCGTGGGTGACGCTGAGAAAAAGATGGCCGCCAGCATGACGCAGGAGTTTGAATCGGAGCCTCGGGCAAAGTCCATGTCGATTCATTTCCCTATATCTGAGATTAAGCGGCTGCGGAAAGAAGCTCAAGTGGCGGCTCCAGATGGCGTGCGACTGAGTGAAAACGATGTTGTCTTTGCCTTCTTGGCTCGTGCCTGGGCCAGTTCCAGCTCTACATCACCATCCACTCCGGCTCACTTGATGTTCCCGATAGATCTCCGGGGTAGACTGCCGGAGCGATTTGGGCCAGATCCCGGCTCGTACATCCACAACTCTGTCTTTGCAGTTCCTCTCTTGCGCACTTTTGCCATGGAGGACCTTCGAAACATGTCTTTGGGAGATGTCGCGATGGAGATCAGAAAGACGGTGCAGCAGCTGACGAATGAGGAGATGGAACGCAATGCCGACTGGGTACTTGCTAATGCAGAGCAGAATCCGATTCCTCGCGGGCCCGAAGGATTGATGTTTGGCGTGAGTAGCTGGAGGAAGATGAAGTTCTTGGACTTCAATTTCAAGGGAGCTGTCGAGAGCGGTGGCGACGGTAAATTGGTCCGCATATGGGGGAGTGCAAGCACGGCTTTTGGAGCTCGAGGAATCTGCGTTGTCGAATGCGACGATGGCGAGGGCGGACTTTGGTGTTCAGTGGAATTACCCGAGGGAGATTGGGACAGAGGCCAGTTTGGGGATCTTGAGAAGCGAGGAGTTTAGTGTCGTCGTTTGAGGCCGTGTATTTACAAGGAGAGAACAGCGACACGTACGGGCGCTTTGATGTGGAGTTTAATATTTAGAAGTAGAGTTGCCTGAAACGGCATTTGTAGAAGAATCTAACATGGATAAACGACAATCTGAGATCCAGTAAGAAACGGAAACTTGCCTTGTGCGAACAATCCCTGTCATGTGGATCATAGAGGCACCTCTAATCTCAGATAGAGGAATTCGCACATACGCTGACAAGGGCAGATCTTATAGCTACACTCATCGGTCACTTCTATAATTGTCTTGCAGTACCCTAGTCTACTATAAATCGATTCTCAAGGTGTGCTTCCTATTAGTCGGAGCCCTGAGAGATGTCACCGACTGTGTAGTGATGACTAATAACATGGCGGCGCCATGTTCAGCTGTTGCTCTCAAAGTCGCCTTCGAGCTTATCAAACTCTTTCGGCAACAGACTCGAGATGCTTGGGTGACTTGAAGGGAGAGACTTATCCGCTAAGGTTTCAAGTATTGCCCTATCGCTCTCCGACGTCGACATCAACCGTGAAGATGGCGCCCGGCGCACAAAGGGGCGAGCTTGACGAGGTGCACCAGCCAGCGCCTGAGGACGAGCAAGTCCTGGCGCATCGACCCAGTCGGCAGCATTCCTCAGACGGATCGCCTCCATTGGCAGAGCTCTCGACAAGCACATCAGGCTCGTCGAGCCGCGGAGCTCTCCACTTTGTCAACATGTCCCACCCGGAAGACATCCGGCGGCAGAGCAATGTTCAGCGGGAGATCCGGCGGCACGTAATGAAGGGGGTGAGCGACCATCGGGGGCATCTACGCGGAAGAAGAAGAGGTACTACAAAAGAGGGTGCCCAGAACAGACGGCAGCCTCCGCATCCGGAGAGTCTTTCGCCCAGCCGCTCGCTGGCTCCTCTGGGAAGCTTTCCAGTTCAGACTAACACGCGCATGCTTGAGCTCGTCCGCTTCGGTATGAGATTCATGACTGTGTAGTAAATGAGCAATGCTAAAGTATATCAGCCAACGAAGTAACCGGCTTCTACGTGCCGTTTCGTGTCGCGTGGTGGGAGACGGCTATGATGGACCCTGGCGCCTTTTACGTCACCCTTGGCAACTCGGCCGACTTTTGGCGCAGGCTCAACACCAACGACATTATGGCCAAGACTCCCGAGATTATGCGACACTACTCGAGGTCACTCATTGAGCTGAGAAAGCGCTTGGATGACGACTCTGAAAGGACGAACCCGGGTACCATTGCTAACATTTTGGCACATGTCTGTCTTAACGTAGGCTATTATACAAATTACCCCGACGTTCTGTGAAGGTGTATTAGCTAATTTCACTCATAGATGAGGCACTGCGATTGGGATAGCTGGAGAGTACACATCGATGGCCTGAGGCTCGTCTTAAGGGATCGAGGCGGATTCGACAGCTTGCCGTACCAGATGCTCGTCCTGACGCTTTAGTAAGTCTTTTTCTATGAAACATCTCTTCTCAGAAATCTAACAAGCCACTTAAGCTACGACATGTGTGGTGCCATGGTATTTGATGCTCCGCCCCGGTTCGAAATTGCACCTGGCCTTGTCACCCCTAAATCAAGCATCAGAGCAGCGCCGCCAAGACTGCAAGCGATACTCGTACAGCTACAGCAGATGCCACCTGATATCTCCATTGCTGCCGATGCTCTTCAAAAGATATCAGATGTTGCTGACATTGTTAATCTAAACAGCCATTCCGCAGCCTTTTGGACGAAAGATATTGATTCCATCCTTTTGATCGGTCCACCAATGCACTATCTCTTGTCCATGCCAAGGCTACCGGATGGCTTTGAAACTCAACCTGACACTGGGGGTCTTGTTGTGCGCGAATTGATACGGCAAGTGTGTCTCCTCATCATGTCGGCTTTGAAGCAAAAGTTCACCTTTTTCACTATCGAGAGAGGTACAATACAGGCCAAGCTTGCGCAGTTTATAACATCCAACTTGTATTACATTGGCCCTGAGTACCGCGAGATTAGGATTTGGGCTCTGGTCACAGCTGCCTTATTGGAAGAGCGTACCATGCGCGAGCTGTATCTGACCAAGCTTGAAGATGAAGCTTTGGAGAGCCACAGTTCGCCACAAAGCTTAATTGATATTGCAAGGGAAATCATTTGGCTGGACTCCTTGGAGTCTTCTGGCTCAGATGAGCTCGTACATGATATGGATCTTACGTTCGGATATTGACCGAAGAGCTGGACAGTTGGACTTGAATTTAGCATGACGTTTACGATTGTCCGCGTACGTACATGATCTTCGAGGCCATAAGCTGCAATAGCCCTTGATGAGGCGAAGTTGATGACCAACGTTATGAATGAGCTACATGAGATTGGAAGTTCTTGACTGAATCAAAAGTTCTAATCTCTGGGACTATACAGGTAGCTGTATCAAGACGAAAACGTGTTTGAACAATACAATCGAGCTAGAATCTGTGGTGAAAAAAATGTGCTTCTAAATGTGGTCATTTACTGAGGTTAGGATCTTCTTACGCCGCCTCAATCAAACTATAATCTTACAACCCAATGCATTCCTTGTCACGAGCTATACATATACATATTTGGTTGCTATATATCAGTATATCGTCAACCAACCCTCAATCCACATTAGTGCTTGCCCTGATTGTCAATTTAGGGAAAATGGCCAAGACGGGTCCACATCCCCAAAAAGGGCTAGTGCCAGATCTGAGACGATCATCCCCACCACTTCTCGATGGGAACAATGTGAGTTTCCCAGCTTAGACGTTTTTGAACCTTAATATAGCAATATATTTCACTCTAGAGTGCGACGATTCGTCTCGTAATAGCCGCTACAAGTCAAGTGAAGCTAGGAATAGCAAGCCTTACTATCACAGGCCGGGCGTTGAGTTTGGACGCCCGTTGTCGAAGCTGTGATAAAGACGGGCCATTGGCATTGTAAATGGAGCAAATCACTATATCCGCGTCCCAAGCTTCTATATGTTTTGCTACTAAATAGAAACTCAATACATTGGACTCCAACCTGTCCTTTTTATACCCATTTTTCTTCTATTGCTCTCTCAAAAACATGGATGCAAATCTCGACTCGCCAGCGCAGATGGCATGCATATCTCTGTTTGAGGATGACCTGTCACGCTGGGAGGCAGTAAAAGACCGCAACGCCATCGCCGACGGTCTCTTCTTCTGCGCCTCTGCAAAGACAAAGGTCTACTGCCGACCCGTGTGTAAGGCCCGCCTCCCCCGCCGCGAAAATGCATCCTTCTACAAGACCAGTAGAGAGGCCCAAGCGGCAGGGTTTCGCCCTTGCAAACGCTGCCGGCCCGATCTGGATGGCATTATGCCGGAAGACGTTGCCGTGCTCAAAGTACAGGCATTTCTAGAAAGTAGAAAAGGATTTTTCAACCACGGGTCCACGCCGGAAAGCCTGAGCCAGATGGCCAGACAGGCTGGGCTATCTAAATGGCACTTCCACAGGGTGTTCAAGAAGTACACGGGAATGACTCCTGTCCAGTACGGAAGGATGGGGAGACGAAGCTTTACCTGGATTCAGAGTGAATTTGTCAGCCAAGAAATCGGTTATATGGATCTATTGACCCAAGCAACTGAGGAGTGTCCACCACTACTGGAACCCCTGATGCTCGAAAGTTCTACTTCAAGTAGCTTCTCAGACAGCCAGAGCGAGGACAACCCCGGTGGCGAACCAAACTGCGTATTTTGGCCACAGAGTTAGGAGGCTCGCATAAGAGCCATTGGAAGTCACAGTCATGATGACATATGAAGTTCAGACTCTCCCAAGACCGAGTGTTCAGTGAATTCGTCTCTTGGAAGTGGTTTATGAGCAGTCCAAGTCACTGCTCCCTTGCCCAATACGCGACGAATTTTTGAAAGGATTGCGGCGAACAAGTACTGTTAGTCTGTTTGATTGGTTATCTAGGGGGCGTTACGGCATCCCGTGTCTGAAAGCAGACGAAGGGCACGTGTCGAAACTGTCACTCTCTGGGCTCTTAATCGGAGCCACACCTTTTTATATATCCAAAATGAGGCTGAGCTACATTTATAACTAGCATAGTATGATATCAAATACGGAAATGCAAATATCCAACATAGCTTGCAATCGTGTGTTGTTTCGGTACTTCTCTGTTATATTCTGATGCCTGAGTTTAGGAGCTCTTATTGGGAGCATACAGTATCCTCACTGTATTGTCATATTTTGTTCATAGTGAATTACAGTCCGTAGGTGCTCAATAGCACTGCCAGTCGCAATTTCAACTCATAACCATAGGCTGTCTTCAAGCCACCAAACGAGTCAAGATAGAATCTTAATCGTAAATATGACTTCCAAACGACTCATAAAGATGGGTTTGAGTAACGGATCACGTCAGAAGCTCGACTTGCACTTAAAGGCATGAGGTAGCTCAATTAGAGAAGCTGCCGTGACCAAGTCTGTTGCACACTATTGAGAGAAGGAAAGTAGAGCATTCTACATAGTGAGATCCTATAGTAAAAGAGCGAGCTTCCAACAGAATGGCCAAGATTACTCCTACCAGTCTACTGTATCTTCACACTCACGCCCGGTATCATTACATTATTACCAGCTGCCCTTGACGGTTGCTCGCTTTTCTTGGACAATGCATGTCGGCGCACTCACTCGCTCTTGAGGATTAATCTAGCCTAAGGCGCTTGCATGAGTTTATATCTGAGCGTCCATTTGAGGAAAATGGCTGTAAGGTGGTTCCATTTCCCTGAATGTAGCTAGTCGTTCTCTGGGGTAACGGCTGATCTAGACAGCCAAGCTACGACGATGAAACGTGCCGGAATGACAAAAGGTGCACCTTACATATTGGGCAACTCTCTCTACAGATGGGACGCGAGCAAAACATTATTCAGCATGGCCGTCGAAAATAGTTTCTTATGATGACTGTGGCTCTAGCCTGGTATGTTAGACAGAACCCATGTCCAGAAGCAAAAGCCTCCTAGCGGCTGGGAGGTTCAGTCAAGAAAGGCTCACAGGCTCAGAGGAATCCTCCACGGTAGATTCATGTTGTCAGTCTCTTCGGAGCAGGCTAACGCTCTGAGGAAAGCGTAGAGCAATGGCTCCACTTTCCGGAAATGGCAACATGGACTTTGAGCTGAATCAAACGTCAATTCAGCCCCTTCTCACAATGCCTAATTATAAGACACTGCTGAATAATTGCTTAGAGTTGTGTGTTGCTTTGTTCGTATGGCCATATACCAGCGCTGCTACGCATGCTCACAGCGGATCTCGACCCGTATCATGCCGTTCTAATCGCACCCAGAGTTCTAAACTTCCTTGTCAGGCATATGAAAGATCATGTCTTTCTGAACGAATGAGCCTTGACCATAGCGGGCATAATTCGTCAAGGGCAACCAATAGCGACTCTTGCCGTAGCATCCACAATGTACGCCAGTTGTTTAATCACAACGCGTATACGTGGAGAAGGAGCTCGGTGACGGGCCATCCTCTACTAGAGAAGGGGATGATGGGAACACTGCTTTGAAATCGACAACATCTGACAAATGAATCTAAATACTCATCGTACTTTCTGGAAACGCGTTGTTGTTTGATGGTTGGGGAATCTGTCATCTTTGGAAATATAAAGACGTAGAAGCCTTCCGTGCTGTCTGGCATTGTTGAAACCACAGTTCTAATCTAACGCGGTTTTCTAGAATTCTTCCTCTTCCCTTACAATTTAGAAACAATGGCCGCTCCTTTCCCTTCTCCAACAAAAGCTTACCACACCAAGGTCTACGACAAGATTGACCCAAAGCGTCCTGAGCTTTCATGCAAGGGAAAGAATGTACTCGTCACCGGCGGTGGAATCGGTATTGGAGCTGCTGTTGTCAGAAGCTTTGCTGAAGCAGGCGCATCCACCATTGGTATCTTGGGACGGACTGAAAGTGCTCTTCTAGAAACCAAGGAGAGCATTGAATCGGAGTTCAAGTCGACCAAGGTCATTGTCCTGGTCGCTGATCTGACCGACGAAGCGTCAGTAACCAAGTCACTGAACCACTTCAACAGTTCCGCGGGCTTGATTGATGTGCTCGTTCACAATGCAGCCTACATGTCGGATCTAGTGACTGTCGCAGATGCCAAAGTCGACGAATGGTTCAAGAGCTTTGAGGTTTGTCACGAGACTATGTGAATCATATGCCAAGCAAAACTAATAAAGCATTATTATAGATCAACCTTAAAGGCTCTTTTATCATTACGAAAGCTTTCCTGCCTTTGGCAGCCAAGAATGCCGTCTTGATCGCGTCAGGAACAGGTGCCATCTCGTTTCTGATGCCAAAAACCTCATCCTATCTCCCTTCGAAGCTTGCAATGTCTCGATTTTTCGAGCATGTGCAGTCTGAAAACCCGCATATCCGTGTTCACAACTTGCACCCTGGCGGCATTCAGACTCAAATGGCTGTCAAGACTCAAGCCGCTGGAATGAACATCCCAATGGACGATAGTAAGTTAAGAGGACATGCATGTTGATGAGTCTCTCTAACAATCCGCTAGTTTCCTTGCCTGGTGCATTCACTGTGTGGTTGGCGAGCGAAGAAGCTGCTTTTACGAAAGGAAAGTTTCTCTGGTCTAACTGGGATGTCACCGAGCTCGCAGCTTTATCGGATAGATTGCGCGACACCTCATACCTTTCAATTGGTGCCGTGATTGATGGCTTCCCATATGCTCAATAATTTTGTTCATAGCAACACATACATAGAATTATCTTCTCTTTACACTTTAAAATTGGTGACTTTTAAGTACCGATAATTGGTCATGTTCTTCTGTGAAATATCGTCTGACATCAACGCTATTTACCGTTGCTCAACGCCGCTCTCATTTAGACTCATGAATAAGAGATTGAAACTATATTTCTCATTGAAATGATTTCTAATAAAGGGGTCTGCTTTGGCCAAGCTGCTGCTCAGACAGTTGACCTGCGTGTCGGTCTATACTCACGTACAACTCATGCACAAGCTGCTGAGCTTCTGCCAAAAGTCATATCGGTGCCGCATAGTTCAATAACAATGGAAAGCGATACATTGTTGCTCTGCATTCAATTTCGAAACGTTTTGTAATCGTGGCACTCGGCTTGCAATTGTGCGATGCGCCCTATGTTTCGGTCCTTGTATTTGCTTGCGCGGCAACCAAAAGCGGTGCTTGTCAAAACAAAGGATACTTGAACAAGGTGTTTCACTTCAAATTTCCATTAATGCCAAGTAATTTTCTTTTCTAGTGGGCGACGAAATGCTATTATTTAATCGCGTTTTGGCTTTCTTTGCACGGCCTTTACCACGCGCCGAGAGGCTCATATCTCATTAACATCACCAAAGTATTAACATCACCAAAGTGAACAAAAATTAGATTAGTTAAAAAGGCTGCCTCTAGTTTTATATAAATAGACCGTTTTGCAAGCTTGGCGAATTTAAGAGGCGCTTTCTGCCTTTTAAATCCTACTAAATTCTTTGACACAGCCATAGCCAAAGGGAATAAGCTTCTCATAAACCAGCCAAGGTTCTAGTTATAAAACCCATTATCTGCTCCTTGCTCTTAGAAATATTTGACAAGAGTTATTTTTCCATAAGCTAAGGGGGGAGCGTTCTTGATTTCATGAATGTCCGAGTTTGCCTCTTCGTAATTACTCACAAGGAGCAACTTTCTCCGAAGCTTATAGGTACAATCCACTAGAAGGCGCGAATATGGCCCTAGCGCTGTAACCAGTAGAACGGGAATCTTACCGCAGCTACTGAACCGTAGAATCTACATGTCGTATTCCACACTTGTATACATCTCTCTCAGTGAGCTCTCGCCATTTTCGTGATCTCTTTACTCATGCTATTCTTACCAATCGCCAAGTTGATTCATAATACTCTTCGCCAACGGAGATGACATCTCGCACACCGGAACCTTCACCGGAACCTTCTTATGGAAGTCGTGGCCTTCATCCAGATAAGAGCTGGAAAATGATCAATTTAATTTAAAATGTAGACCGTCTTCCCAGCTCCAAACACCTTTGGCAGATCTGTCGATATCTTTGTCTTCAGTTTTTCTAGAGAAAACTTTTGACTCAGTCTTGATTAGATTTGGACCAGCAGCAATCGGCCTCACGCCTCTAATGTCGTCCGTCGTGATCATCGGGGCCTCTCGCGGTCTTGGGGTACGTTCTCAAACACGCATTGCATCCAAACCTCAATCTGACAAAGAACATCGCAATCAAATAAGCCTATGTTAAGATGCTGACTGGCGCTTTAGTTTGCCCTAGCCAAAAACTGGTCTGAGAACCCTTCCAACACCGTCATTGCACTGGTCCGCAACAAAGCGGCAGCCATTGACAGCTTCCAACAAGACCTTGGGGACAGAAAAAATCTCATTGCTGTTACCGCTGATTTGGAAGACTTTGATTCTTTAAAGGTATGTCCTAAACTGAGTATTCATACACCAGCTGTCTGACCGTATAGGCTGCTTCGGAAGAGACGTCTATCCTTCTCAATAACAAACTTGACTACCTCATTGTAAACGCTGCCGTCAGTGATAGCATCGTTGACGACATTGGCAATGCGTGAGTGCCCATCTTGCGACCCCCCGGTATTCTTCTCAAGGTAGAATGCAAGGCCATCCTAACTAATAACGTCGCCTTTCAGCATCCTCAATGACCGCGAACAATTTGACAAAGACATGCTCCGGACCTTTAGGACTAATGTCTTGGGAGTGGCTCACGCCCTCGGTCTATTTGCACCCCTTCTTCGCACCGGTATCGCCAAGAAGGGAGTCGTCATCAGCAGCGGCGTTAGTGACCCTCACTGGACGGCTAAATGGCGAACCTTTGGCCATGCACCCTATGGCATAAGCAAGGCGGCTGTCAATCAGTTGGTGGCAAAGTTTCACGCTCAGTATGCCTATGACGGTGTCACGATATCGGCAATCAGCCCCGGAATTATCAAGACGCAGTTCAACACTCCCCGACCTGAAGGTTCGTTTCGTGTGCCTCTTATTTTGATGCTACCTATACTACTTCATATCACCATCTGCTAATACACAAATAGATCCCAACTATCAACGCATGCAGAAAGCATTTGGCCCCCCTATCAGCGAATCTAACCGTTTCAAGGGGCCTTATACTGCCGATGAGTCAGCTGCAAAGGTGACTGACGTGATTCTGAAGCAACTGGATCTTGAAAAGCATGGAGGGATATTAATCTCGGAGTACGCTGACCAACAGTGGGTTTAAGCTGGATTCCAGTGCTGGAGTTATTCGGGTGAATTTTGACTATCTAAACATGTTCAAGCCATAGTGATATCGTTCACATGCATCTACGTACGGGAATTGCAAAAAGCCATGACTACTTCCACACAGCTTAGAGTTGGTTCGAATATGTTTTGACTTGATTGTAGACCATAGAGACAAAAACAAGATTATATAGATGGCCTTTTACGAAAACCAGGTGATTCGCGTCCTGAGCTCTTCTTACACTAGCTCTATGGTGTCCCATTTAATCTCTCTCCTCTGTCCAGATTTCTTAGATAGGATGCGCAGAATCTATGAAGTTTTGTCAATATCACTTCATGTTTTCGTGGTGAATTTTTTTTTTTTTTTTTTTTTTTGTATACGACCCTCACTATTGTTTAGCTTCCAGTTCCCAGCACCATGGTCACAAGATAGGAGCAAATTGGCAACGTTGAATGGCAATAAGTCAAATTCATGTCTCAATTTCGCTGCTTAGATCATGCTGTCATCAACAGTTTTATTTGTTTTTGCCTATGCATTTGTATCGTGAAATATATCAATACTTTTGTCCCGGGTCCCCATTTTTGTGTGATTTAGTCCATTCTAATTAGCTTCCGCTTGTGTTAACTCAAGATGGAAGGATCTAATCAGGGCATCACTCTCGTCGAGGGTCATGACCTTGAGGTCTGCCATCTGCTTGATCTTGGCCGTACTGTAAAAGTGAGGTTGAACCGTTAGCGATTGGGATAAACTCAGGATGAAGTGGCAAAAACCTACACTTCCTTGATCTGGTCGTCAGTCATCTTGAGACCAAGCTGGTCAACTCTGCTCTTAATGGCATTCCATCCAGTAAGTCTGGATGTGAAGTGCACACTGGATCTTGGTTAGTCTTAGGGCTATAGCTTTACCAGTGGTATAACTTACTATCTGTATAGCTGTTAGTAATGAACATCAAGATAGATTGAGAAGGATGGTACTTGCCTTGAGAGACCGAAGTCTTCTGGCTTAAGGATCTCGTAGGTGGAGGGGTCGTTGAGGATTGCCTTGGCGTGGATACCAGCCTTGTGTGTGAAGGCGCAGAATCCTGTGTCATTTGGTAAGTAACGCGGCAGTACCAGACTTAAGTAACAATGACATACCAGTAATGGGATTGTTGAAAGGCACGTTGATCTCGACTGTCTCGGCGACAAAGTCTTCGATAGCCTTGAGTTGGTGAACCTTGTACTTGGAAAGAATATAATCTCTGCTAGTGGGCATCATTCTGGCCATCTGGAATTTATCATGTTAGACCAGAGGAGATTTCCTAGGGAGTGGAAATATATCTCACAAGAGCTCCAAGAGGGCAGATGCCATTTCTTTCACCAATTCCGAGCACAGATGTGTCAATGTCTATACCGCAAAAAGTCAGCCTGAATGCATATTTTTGTAGAGAATACTGGTCGTCGGATCTATGATCCGTCTGAAAGATGTATGTCGAATGGTCGGAGTGATCGTCAAGGTAATAACTTCGCAGGGCGAGCTTACGTGTAGCACCCGCCTCGAGAGCGGTAAATGAGTTCGCAACAGCACAGCCCGTATCATCGTGGAACTTGGTCAGGTTAGCTCAATGTCAAGCAAGCAATAGATGGCTTCCACTAGCACATACGTGAACCTCGATATCGGTATTGACACAGCCTCGAAGAGTTCTCACAAGATCCTACAAAATGTTAGCATCAATCTGAGTGAAGATAATTCCGACCACCTACGTAGACCTGTCTGGGAGAGGCACAACCGACGGTGTCGGCAACACCGACTCTGCCAACACCGGCATTGCTAGCGGCGCGGTAGATGGAGAGTAAATCGACCAAATCGGATCTTTTCGAATGTTAGCAAGACAGCCGATATCCATCAGCCGATCCCTTCGAAACCCCGCGAACACAGTCGAAAAGAGCCAAGCCTTGGATGGAGGAGAGCACGTCATATAGCATCTCCTTCGGCCTTGCTTGTTCCACTTAACAATGCACAAGCTTAGGATTCATACACCTGACACTGTGCCGTGACGGGCTGAGAATCTGAGTATGAGATTCTGGCTTCTCCTCCATTTCTCGCCCGTCATGATCCATCTCTAAAGTCCAGGACATTTCGACGGGCAAATAGTTCGGTCGGTCGAGAAGGGATCGGCTTAGCTAGAGGTAAAAGACGGCACTCACCGGAAAGAGTCTTCACTTGAAAATCGGACCTCGCAGCCTCGGCTGGGAAAATGTTAGCTTCTGGTTTTGACCGATGAGCGAGTGGAGTACATACCTCTTAATGTACTCAATAACCTCGAGAGCTTGCTTGGTAATGGCCTTCATGTCCCTGCCACCAAGGGAGTGCGTTCGGAGAAATTCTTATTCCAGCAGGTTAGTCGATGGAGGAGATATGCATCTCAGGAGGATAGTACTCACGACTTGTTCCGATGACGACGTCAACACCATCGACTCCACAGTCACACTTTGAGGGTTTAGTCAATTGCAATAAATCTCGGACGGGAGGAACATACGGCAAGCTTGGCATCCTCCATGGTGCATCTTGTGTCTAGAATGTCTGTCAGAAGATTTACCCACTGGGATAGTTGCATGGGGATATCACGAACGGGTCAGAATCTTGGCCTACTATGACGTTAGCAGTGAGTCAATTTGTGAATGCACCGGTATCTGGATTCTCACCTTGAGACCGAGCTTGCAGATGGCTTCGCAGTCCTCGCGAGATTGCTACGATTGTTAGCACTAAATTGAGGTACATGGGAGGTCAGCCGGCAAGACTCACCGGGCTGGCGGCGGGATTCGTGAGCTCGATGTAGTCGACGCCGAAATCCGATCAATGGGGAGGTTAGTTTCTTCAACTGAAGCAGCAGAGCCAGGTTCTAAAGATGACATACAGCATTGTCGCGCTATGGACAAGATGAAGTTAGCGATGAAGACAAAGAGCAAGGGCTGGGTTCCAACTTCAACATACATCTTGATCTTGTTTTCTCTTGAAAAATACGCATTGGCGAACTGCTCTCCTTCTCTTTAAACCGGTCAATCAATGTCCAATAACTTTGAGTTTCTGCCTCTCCTCCTACCTCAGAGTTGACTCGATGATCTTGAAGTTGCGGACATTGCTCAACAGGTCGTTGACGTTCGAATAAGGATTCGACGCGGTGATGCCGGTGACGGACATGGCGGGCGATTGATTGCGATTGACTGAGCGTCTGGGCGGCGAATAAGTTTATAGGAGGTTCGATTGACGAGTCGTTTCGGGTCAATTGGGCGAGTCAATTGGGATCGAGGGATCTAATCGTGCTGGTCGTCTGATGTTGGCGAGCAATTGGTTGTTGGCGCAGAATCTGCAGGTGGGGGTTTGTTGGTTATTTAAGATTTACAAAGTTTTTGGGAGTCATTGCCAGCGCCTCCGATCCAATGACGTAGCTCGGAATCTGCTTAGCTCTCGACGCTTGCGGCCCCGATTCAGACGCCACTCAGAACCAGCTCATTAACGAATCAACGAGGCAAACGGCTAGAAAAAGCCTGGAGCAGGGCTACGACCCTCTACCCCACACCAGCGATTTTTCCATTTTTGCCGTGAGTCACTGCTCCGATCGCCGGACTTGGCTCGGCCAGTGTTGCCATTATGGGGGAAAACGCCAGTGGATGATTCACAATAGTGTCACAATAAGGCGCTGGAGACGAGGTTGTAGGTAAATCACGACGATGCGGCACTCGGAGCGGCTGCAGTGAGAGAGACACAAAGTAGACGCGCGCCTTTGATGCCACGATGGATGCAACTCCTGGTCGCTCTCTGTTACATGCCGATAGCCGAGAATTCAGCGCAGATTCCACCCATGCGACGTCGTACTCAGCTGTCATATAAAGACGCAAAGACCTCTTCTTTGCTCATGGGCAGCACTGGATGCTGAATCAACAGCGTGCTAACCAGCCTCTGTCTCAAGAGCCCAGCATTGTTCTTGAAAAGTTGGTCAAGGTGCTTGCAGCATCTGTCGATACCTACCTACATGAGACTAGGAGATCTACTGCCCGCATCATACACTTCAGCACAGCTCGAATTTTGATACGGACTAAAGTAAAAACGAGGAAAAAAGTCGCGTGAACATGCGAATAGTACTTCCACCTACACAGCAAGCAATCACCATACAGGTTCATTTTGCGGGCTGCCTTGGGTCGTACATTTATGAGTGCCAGGAGGAGCATCGGTCTGGTTCAGGGCACTCCAGACCCCGATGTGGAGTGAGACAGGCCTGGTTTTTTAAAGTCTAGAAGGGGCGAGCCATCAAGTTTGAAGCAACTAGCGCAAAAGCTGGCAAGGGACCTACCTACCCCAGATGGCGATGTTCCCTTTTAGTCGCTTCCGCGAGAAGGTACCTGAACGCCTGAACCGTACTGTAACAGTTCGGGGTTTGCTCGGTCTCAGCGGTATTGGACAGAAAGCACTTTCTTTCCGCCGGGCGTAGAATATCCATGGTCAGAATTGTGTCCCGTGCACTGCCGAGTCATTTACCTGCTCAATCACAGCACAAATCTCAGTCATTTATTTCATCATAAGGGTTAGCAGCCAGTAGTCTCTTCTCTGGCCAAAGGATTATTGTAGAAATAGCTTCATCGGGGATAGGGCACAATTGCTAGAACGGGATTGAGCTCAGCCTTTCACAACAGCCCTCCTAAGCTTCACTATAACAAACGGTTACGGCTGTGCCTTGAGTGGCTGCATGCGTTATCGAGATGCCGAGTTCTCCACCTCTCAGGCACGCGGAACGCGGCGCATGGTGACGCTCCCAGGTGGAGTCTAGCATTCTCCCTTTTGCCCCATTAATCCATCCAGCAAGCTCCATCAACACTCTCTTCTACTTCTCAACGCTGCATACAATACAATACAATGCCGTCTTTTACGTAGTTGCAAACCCAGTGACAACATGTTCTCAACCTTTCATCTCAGCAACGCTCATGGCAGCTCTCGCTCGCACAAACGATCTCCTCATGCCTTACGAGCATGCGTGCGTTGTCGACAGGCTCGCATCAAGTGCAGTGACGAGAGGCCATGTCGGTCCTGCAAGAGCAGCGGGAAACGGTGTTTCGACGAAAGGCCTGTGCAAAGGTCAGAGCAGTCGCAAATAACCCCAGACGCCATCGCTGTAACCCCACAGACTGACCATCCCGCCTCGCGTCATCCTGAGGAGAGTCCATCAGGTTTTACAAACAGAAGGGCTACATCGTCAAAGTTTTTCCTGGAGACTCTTGGAGCCAAACTCCGCGAATCAAGTATCTTTGAGGGCTTTGATCCATCTGTCTTTGAGCTGAATCCATGTATTCCACAGCCATTTCTCGCAATACCCGGTCTCCCACCAGCTCTACCAGGAAACGCTGTTGGAGTAAATATGGACAGGCAACTAGAAGAGCTGCTAGTATCCACATTCCTCCAGTCTTACCAGATCGTTACACCTATTATAGATGCATCCTGGCTCTGGACGCATTACGCATCTCTATGGGCCATCAACTCCGACATAATTCGTCAACGATGCCCGCTCATCGAAATTATCCTCGCGTTGGGGACTCACCAGGTCTTGACGCTGTCTGTTGACGATGCTGGTTACAACGCAGCTACTTTGGCGTATGATCCACCCGGCTATGACCTCTTTGAGATTTCCCAGATGGAATTACTCAGAAGAACAACCGGACCAGACTTGCTCACTGTCCAGGCATATATATATGCTGCCATTTACGCTGGCAATTTGCATTCACACTACAAGGCCCATCAGATGCTCTCATTAGCAGTTCGAGATGCATACCTGCTCGATTTGCCAAGCGGGAATAGCAGCGCAGAGCAGCCGAATGGTCACATATCTGCAAAGAGGACATGGTTGGTCTTGCAGATGTTGGACACCGTCATGTCGAAAGAATCAGGCCTGCCGTTTCTAATCCCAGCAACAAATGGCGATGCAGTTGAGCTCGGCGATTTTGGAACTACCTACGATGCCATGAATCACAACGGACTGTCTTACCTGGAGTGTTTCAGGCAAATGAATAGACTATCTCAGCTCATTCGACAGTCTACGGCCGACCTCGATCAAATTTGCAATCAGCATAGCTGTAATGATGTCTTCATCGACACTCTTTACAGTAAAGGGGCATCATCTGTAAAGACATCAACCAAGGTAATATCAGACTGGTTCAAAGCCATTCCTCCGGCCCTCAAAAACTATACGAAGGACACTTCTAATAATACCAACAACAACAACATCAATCTCGACTCCTCTTTAGACGACGATATCCCAATGTGGCTTCACCGCCAATCCTTACTGCTCAAAACGTCCTACCACATGGCTTGCCTCCTCCTCCTACGCCCCTTTTCTCTCGCTACTTCCACCACCGCTATCGAGAGCAGCCATCATCCCATCTCTGCCGAACTCAGCATCATGTGTCTCAAGCACGCGGTATCACTCACTGCAACTCTGGCAGACAATTTAAACAGCGGCTCGTTCAATGTCCTCGCTCACGCAACGAGGTTTCAATGGCTAGCCATGTTGTGTCTTACGGGATATGTGAGCACCCACACGACGACGCCGCAATCTACAACTTTGGCGCGGAGAGCGGTGGATGTAGCGATGAAGAATCTAGAGAGATTGGCGGAGCATAGGGTGTTGCAGGCGAGAGAAGCGGTGGAGAGAGCGAGGGGATTGGTGGAGATGATGAGGGTTGCCGTTGATAGGACGATAAGCAGAGTCTCGCAGTTGGGGCAGCCCGATGACGCCGCTCTGACACAGTTGCCCTCCTTGTCACCGTCAGGGTTGGTGGACTCTATGACGGGAGTGCCAGTGGATTTATGGAGTGATCTTTCAACACTACCGTATATGCCCTAACGAATCGCCGCAAGAAACAGACCAATATAATGGCAGCTGTACAACAGGGTCTTTCAAGAGTCATTTCTGATTCGGTGTAAATATTCTATGTAAGTTCAAACTTCTCCTTGGGTCATCCAGCCAGCTACTCCACCCCGGGAAACATTTTCAACGCATTTTTAAAGTAAATATCCTCCACATCAATATTAACAGCCTTACCCGCATCCTTCAACAAATTGGTAAAGTACTTGATGGAGTCATTCGGCGCATTCGGAAAATCACTTCCAAATAACACATGCGTCGGATCCGCCACCTCAAACAGTCCTTTCATCGTAGCCGAGTCACTAGACAATGCCGTATCGTAATAGAACCTTCTAGCCTGAGACCTAATATCATCTGGCGAGTATACTTTGCCTATTTGCGTAAATGGCAGCAGGCCGGATACACGACCGATAAGAGATGGAAGGGTACCACCACCGTGAGATAGGATGATCTTGCAGTCTGCGCAGTCGTTGATCAACCTGCCCGAGGTGATGAGATCCATGGCAGTTCGGCCCGTCTCATGGGGGTAGTCAAACATGGGCTGGGGCATTTTGCTATTAACCAACGCCGTATCAACTGCATGGGTCGGATGAACAAAGACAACAGCTTTACGCTTGTTCAATTCCTTCCAAATTGGCAAGAAAGCTTCATTTCCAAGGTAAGTGTTATCAGGGCCGTACCGCGTATAGATGACTACGCCGTCAGCGTGCAGTTCATCCAAGCCGCGTGCGATTTCCTTGAGACACGCTTCAGTGTCGAAGAGGGAAGGGAGAACGAGGAAGAAGCCGTAATTTTGAGGACGTTCATCACGGATGCTTGCCACGTAGTCGTTGCAATCTTGAGCGAGAGAAAGAGCCTTGGAAGAGTCTCCGACGCATGAGGGTCCGGGTGCAGTGACGGATAAGATGGTCTTTTTGATGCCAACCGTGTTGGCTAGGTCAAGGTCGGCTTCCACGGTCCAATCGGGGACAAACCAGCCTGATGGATCGCCACCAATCTCTTTGAGAGCTGAAACATAAAAGTCAGTAATGATATTAGAACAAATGAGCGGGAAGTATACCCTGAGAGTAGACAGGCGGGTAGACGTGGTGGTGGACATCAACCTTGGAAGCCATTGTCGATGATTATGTTTAAGGGGGGAGGTTTGCTTTTGTGTATACAATTCTCAGTAGCTATACGAATATAGTTGATATGATTTTAATATAAAGGACTGAGAGTATTTTATAGTTGAGTGATGGCGTTTCAGTTGTGATGTGTTGTTGTCGAGTTCTGCCATGGACTCTGACCTTTATATAGAAGACCAGCCCATGCTAGAAGTTGCTCAGCCCGGTCTTCTCGGAAGTAGCAATCTATCTGGAAAGCAGGCGGTACATAACTCCATGCTTTAGCTTGCTCTATCCACCGGGAGCAGCGAGATTGCTCCATGGAAAGCCTCATGTGTTTGTAGTATGGTTTATCAACATCCGGATTTCTGACGTCTAACATCTGTGGAATGTTGCGTAATTTGGCAGTCGGGATTTAGGACTACTCCACTTTCCGAAGCCAAAGGGGGAAACTCTCCTTTTGGCAGTCCGGCCCCTTTCATTGTTCGTGCTCCTACCCTATAGAAACCCGAATTTCCCTCGGAACAAAAGAATTGATACTACGCATAATTCTAGTAAACAGATTGATACAAGTCAATATCCTAGTCGCACAAGTACCTGAGGTAGCTTTGATATCGTTGGCACAAGGGAACAAGGTCTTTCAGCTACCCGAAATAATAGTATGCTAGTCAAGGCTTTCGACATGCGAATTTACGACAAAATGTTGTGCATGTTATCGGTGATCGCCGCTAAAAGAGCTAGATTAAACAAATTGGTAGTGGAATTGTGTCGCTAACAATCTCTCACGTGGATCAAACTCTAAAAGATTAAGAAAAGAGGCCGCAAAATGTGCCTGAAACATGTAAAGTTTCCCGTGGGCTAAGGCAACTCACGCCGCAGTGATACAGCTGCTCGCCATACGCGTCAAATATGCCAAGAGGATGCTCCTTTGCGCGTTTCTATATTCTACTCATATCTTTTCGCTAAAATTATCCTCAAAATTGCCTCGCCCCGTAGTACACAATGCTCACTTTGTGTCCCCGTGCTATATTTTTTGACCAACACCCCGCTTTGTTTGTTATTTACATACCATCGACAACCGCGGCCGACGAAGCTCCTACTTGCATGTTATTGGAAGACTTATTTCATCTCAAATGTGCCTGAAGACTTCGCGATAAATACTCTTGTCCACTAACCGTGGCTGATTTCCAGCAATGTCGGCGCGATGCATCTCGACGCAGCCCTAGGCAGGCGTCTAGGTAGGCTAGAACAAAAGACAGCCAATTTTTATGGTCACGGCGTAAACTGTCGAGGGTGTGGGATAATCGTACCTCATGTACAACGTATCGAATTGGCTCATAAGCTACTTTTCCAGCATCGACATTGGTAGTTTGCGATTTCTTTGTCCTACACAGCTTAAGAGTAATATCTACCGGCTAAGACAAATCAGTGTACCAAAAAGTGCTTCATACCGCCGCAGATATATTCTGCTTCACCTCTCCTAGGCACTGAGACTACTGGCTCTGTATCTGGCAGAGTGAAATAGACGTCGAGTCATTTTAAATGATAACAGGCCTCTCTTAGGAGTCCCGATCAGATTTGGTGCCAGCCGCGATGCTATCGCCAGGCAATCCGATATTGGACATGACTTGCTACATCGGAAGTCGGATTTCAGCAACAATTCTACCATTGTGTCGATAGAATGCATGTATCTTCTTCCTAAGCTGTCGGGCAGTTCCTAGTGTGCCTGGAAAACGGCATTTTCGGTGTTCCGAGTTCAGGCTAATTCGTTGTGATGGGACTTTTTCGATCGATGATGAGGTTCCACATCATGGTGCCATTGCACACTTATTATTACTAAAATCTTTTGTTAATTGGAATAATTTCTGCCTCTAGATTATTTGGTAAGCCATTTGTCAGAACAACAATGTATTTGCAAGCGTACTGAGAGGGTTACATAGCGATACGTTACTGGCTTCGTATGCCCATCTCATCGAATTACCATCTCAAAATGCAATATGTCATAGGAATAAAGCCAATCATCGAAATTTGTGACATGTGATAACTTCTTCTTATTCTCTCCTTTGTTTCTGACAACTACAACGCGGTGAACCTCAAAAGGCTGCCGAAATATTATGACACATGGATATAGGGTTACTCCACCAGCCAGGATGCAGGCACTGCCTAATACGGTAGTTTGCATATATGATCTCGGCCCCACCGGAAACCAGGGCCATTGTTCGGGTCCAACTGCCGCCGGCCTTGCGGCTAGGGCTGGTAGTTTCAGGATCAAAATACTGCCGGCCTTGCAGTCGGGGATGGCAAACTCGGGGCAAACTACTTCCGGGTTTACGGTTCGGCAACATTGATTGAGCTGCTTACATTCCCGATTTTCAAGAGGTTTTAGGCACTGGGCTGTAAACCCAGCAGAAATGACTAGTGCGCTTTAATTTTGACGAGGAAATTATGCAGTGCCCTGGGGACATTGTTACCTTGAAGCTGCTCGAGTTGGTGGTACGTATCGCGCGTGTTGTCTGTTTCTGTGTTAAACCGGTTTGGTTCATTGGTTTGATGGACGTTCGATAGATGGGCGAATTGGGCTTTATTTCCGTCCATCATCTAGTTTCACACAGCGCATAACGCATCTACAGTTGCTTGCCACTGGTTCCATCACTAATGCATCGTTCAATATTGTAATGAGTAGAGTGTGTACGCAACATATTTCAAGAGATTGAGTTCAGATTTGTCACTAGGCTAATTGCTCTAAGTCTAGACACTGGACGTATGGTAGCCGGCTTCCTGGTTGTGCTTCCAGCGGCATTCCTACAACTAATTTGGATGGTTGATCTTGCCAAGCAAGTCATGGCCTTGAACAAATTCTTTCCAAGTTGTCAATGAAATACCTGGTATCTGAATTTGAGTTAGCATATGTAGTTGAATCCAAATATGCTCGCGACAATCTGTAGCATGGTACTAACATCTGCGGCTTGTATAAACTCGTCTCGAGCGTACACATTCCCGAATGTCTCAAATATCAGGAGCTGCTCAGTGAAGTCCAAAGCATTTTCTTCGGTCATTGGACAGTTTTTAACAAGACCCTGTTGGAATTCTGCCGCGCTGATCTGATTATATTTTGTTGGGACGTTCAAAACTTTGATCCATTAGCGGAGGAGGATTCGTAAAGGTAATAAACCGGATAATACCTTCTCCCAACGTCTTTAGCTTCTCTGCCTCGGACAAGCTCTGTGCATAGAATGCGATCGTCTTGGTATAGTACTGCTGTCCGTCTTCAATTACAGCGCGTACAAGTTTACCCGTATCAGCGATAGCAACATTAGGCAGGACAGTGGTTGGGCTGTGCAGAAACGAATGGACATATGTGCCCGATACCTGCGAAACGTCAGTATTAGGGTGTACCTAATGGGCTCTGGCTGCATTGCATACATTCTTAGGCAAATACGAGGCTGGGTTGGTTAGGCAATTCTCAAAATAATTCGGGAAGAGTATCGTCGTGGTCTTTGCCCAAAGCGCAGGATATGTCTCGTTAATGTATTCGGTTACTTCGCTTTTACCCTTCCAGTGATGAACATTTAGATACTTCCCATTTGAAAGAGCAACTGGATCAGGGAGAGCGCTCCAAACAAAGTGCGTCAAAGTGGACGTGGCCGCCGCCGCATCGACAAGGCTTTTGCCTTGTTGGACTTCGACTGTAGATGAACGAGATGCCCAGAAGTCGGTCAGTCCAAATATGATGCTGGCTCCAGCAAATGCGCTGACCAAAGCGCTGCTGCCACCACTGAGATCAGCAGATACGACTTCAACGCCCTTTGCGGAAAGGAGTTGAGCAGCAGGTTTGTTGACATCTCGAGTGAGGCCTCGTACTCGATACCTCTCAGGATATTTTAAGAGCTCCGTCACGACAGCTCCACCCTGTGACAAACTGTGAGCAGCTGTGCAGCATTTGAGGTTGGGGCAAACTATTAAGACCAACCTGAGAACCAGTTGCCCCCACGACAGCGATTGTAATAGGTGCCATAGTTGTAGTGGTATGTACTGTTGTTTCGAACGAAAATCGAAAACGATGTTTTCGTAACTGGGATTGAACTTCTATCGTGCTTGAGCTCTACGACACAACATGTTGTGTGAGGCGAGCGGTTTATATATCCATTGGCTCTACATTCCTGGATGCTTGAGAAAACTAGTTATGTTGCATCACATATCAATTATGTAGTTCATGACTCAACGATCTACAAAAGATTACTGAAACAGACAGTAGAAAAGAATGCAAGCCAAAGCCCTGGCCTAATTCACCCGCGCTTACCGACCACACAACATACCACATGAATCTCCGAAACGCGTAGCTTAGATTGCTTCAAGTACTAGGATTGTAGGTTTTTGTAGTCTCCGCAGCGGGTCATGAGCAAATAAAGAAGACGAACAATGCTTAGAAAAACATGAGCAGCCGCTTATGCAGCAGCAAGGGATTTGTAGGAACCCCGAGCAGACTCGAAAAGAGAAGTAGATGAAAGGTTAGATGCAACATATAGAGATAAGATTGAAGATGCAAAAATAATTGTAAAGGGAGTAAGATTTCTTAATATTTTGCCTATACATATATTTCTTCATTAGGCTTGCCTTACATGATGTTCTTACCTCAGTATTCTCCTGCTATCATAGAGACCGCACAGCCATTTTGGGTTAATTCTTTGGTTCAAGAAATTAAATAGACAGTACTAATCTTGCTATATAAACTAACTAGTTTGAAAGCAGTACGTTGGAATAGATATAGGTAGAATGTATTCATATGTGCTTGGGGTGGCTCACAAGGAGTCGCTATATCAATATTGCTACATGTAGTATTGCAGAAGTGTGTGAGTAATCGAGACATTGCATTTACTATTTACAGAACGTTCGTGTTTGCAAATTTCTTCGGCAATCAATGTTTTACCAAGCCCCCGCTGAGTCAGCAGTAGTAGCATGAAGGTACGCCGAGGAGCTTGGAATACCATATCCTAGCCGACACGGAGCTTAGTGCGGCCCGTAGATATCTTGGTCGAAGTACTGAATGGAGTACCCATTCTGCTTAAAGTTCAGGGGAGCCCGGATTCGTAATTACGAGCTCTGATAAAAGAGGCCGAGAGTATATGTATACAATGCCGAATGGAGTGATTTTTCCCATCAATCAGCGTTGTCCAAGAACAGATGATGGCGCCAACTACCGTTCTCATCACGGGTGCGAATAGGGGTGAGTGTTCCTGTGCCTTTCTGCAAGCAGACAGTAGATAGTAACTCATCGCGAGTAGGAATCGGAGCGGCTCTTGTGTCTCTCTACTTGGCGAAGCCTAACACAACTGTAGTTGCAACCGTTCGAGAGATTACAGAAGCCAACACATCTCAACTGCATTCCTTCACCCACGCCGAAGGATCACGCTTGCTACTAGTTCCCTTTAATCTAGATTTCCATCCCAGCGCCGCAGACGACATCTTTCATCTCGAAGAGAGATACGGCGTCTCATCTCTTGATATAGTTATAGCCAACGCTGGCATATGCAATACCTGGAGCTCAGTGGACAAGTTGTCCGATGATGAGACACTCGTCCATTTCGAAGTCAATGCTCTTGGTCTTCTACGACTGTTCAAAGCCGTCTTACCACTTCTGCAAGCAGCCCAGAAGCCCAAGATAGCATACATGTCTACCAATTTAGCTAGCATACGTGATATTCCACATAACCCGTCTCTTACCGCCGCGTATGGAATGTCAAAAGTTGCTGGGAATTATCTGATCGAGAAGATCAATGCAGAATTTGACGATCTAATTGCGTTTCCAATCAGCCCGGGGTAAGTACTTTTCATTTCATCGCCGCTGCCGTCTTTGACAAATTCTTTCCGCCATAGATTCGTGCAAACAGATATGGGAAACCGCGGAGCAAAGTTAGTCGGGCTCGAACAAGCTACAATGTCAGTGAACGATAGCGCTACACAAATCATGGACCAAGTAAGTATTGTGCTCATCAGCTATTTTTGAGTGAAGACAGAAAGAGTGTTTTGCTGATTATTTGGACTGAGCAGATTGAAAAGGCTTCTAAGACAACTACCAACGGCAGATTTATTAGTTACAACGGCGAAACGTTATCATGGTAGTGAGGCAGCTACCGGACTGAAACTGATACTCTGACCATCGTTCTTTTAGTGGTATCCCGTTAATTCAAGAGTTTTTAGACAAAACGGCAGTTCCAGCTTCTCAGTTCTTGTCCATGCATCTTATGTAACGGGAGGAATGGCTTCTAGGTGGCTAAAAGTTGGTGAAGCTGAATCTTGTCTGATCTCCTAACCCTCGTTCAAGTTCTGGTGAATCAGCTTCTGGCTCGATAAGCGACTGAGGACTCGTGCCGCACGATAGTTCATAGCTAAACGGCACTTCGCAATATAACTTTGGCTAGCTTTACGTATTAAAAGGTTTTTTTTGTACATGAAAAATTTGACAAGCAGTGGCGCCAACAATGCTAAAGTGCGTTGTTGCTTATCTTTGTCACACTTGTATATATGTATATCTATGATGGACTGGAATATAGTTATATTGGATATGAACACTTTATTGGCATCTAGTTTCGCTCTCCGTCCATCATCCATCTCTTCAGGACAGCTCTATTCGTTTGTTAAAGAGAATATAGGCCCAACGACGTTGCAGAGAGTAATCCCAAAAGGAGCGGGTGACTACTAGCGTTTCAGTTATTTGAATTCCCGCATAATAAATATGGATAGTTCAAGTTGGCGGCCAAGCAACACTGCGGAAACACCAGCACTTCCCAACCCCTATGATGCAAGAGCTCGGGCCATGTTACAGTAATCAGATACTTGTGACCTCAGTAAAAAGCTTAGAATGCTTTAAATTAACCCACTTACCCATGGTCCACATGGATGAAGTAATGCTGAATAAGAGATGGATTGTTCGGATATTCACCGATATCCCGAGGCTAAGTGGGATACTCCTCTCGCCTTAAAAGAGGAGTCAAGATCCTGTTGAGTCGCCAACTCTCCAAATTAGCAACGCAGAACTTTTAGCATTTGAGTTATACCAAGCTATATCAAGTCATCAGCACAGTATTCCAATGTCTTCATTGACCTACTATTCTCTTCCTGGGTACAGTGAATCCTGGAGAGAGAAATATGGATTTAGCGATGCCTGCCTTTTGGGAGTCCGTTTGGAAGTTACTGGTCAAAGTAAGTTGAACGAGGCTAATTTGGCTCTCTGGCTCTCCGGTTAACCGTCATAGCCGGCAAGGACCCTTCAACGGGAAAGGTTCCCGCGACTATAGATGAAGAGATTGCACAGGCATTCTCTAACATGAACGATGTGATTCTTCACTCCCTTCGAGAAGCTGGCCAATTGTCCAAAGGCGATGAAGCAACGGGTTGGGACTACGTCGTTAAACTACGAACATACCATGTTGGCCTGTCCAAGATGCAGGACCAAGCTCGCGACATCATGGTCAAGAATATAAAGAGGTGGTGCCCCAATCATCAACCTTTGTTCACGATGATTGGCATCGAGAGCCTGCCATTTCCAGATCTTCACGTAGAGATTGAGGTTATTGCAGAGATTTAGCCATAAGAGAGTTTATATAAGGTTTAACGATATTCTCGAACAGCTACGCGTATCTATCTGCTGCTTTGTACCTTAGGTACATGAAGTTTAGCTGAAGCCAGCTTATAGTATATAAAGCGTTATTTTTGCTATAAAAAGTCGTTTGCTCTATCATTGCAGGGGAAATGTTTCATTATACCTAGTTAAAATTTGTTCTTCGTGTCTCTATATAGTCAAAAACGTCAAAGAAGCTGCGTTTATATGTCCTTTTCTGCGTTGTGCGATTACCGTATTGTAGCCCAAACTGTGAGTCGAAGCTCCCCCACTCCCAATTGTCCACAAAGCTCCACATGAATGCTCCCAGAACATGAATATGGTCTTCCCAGATCGCCTTGAGAATCTCTCCTAGGAACGCAACGTAATATTCCGAACGCACGGTATCGAATTGGATCGCGTTGAGCTCTGGCGGGTTCGCTGTGCCATTGTTGGATGACCAAATCCGGTCACCATCACAGGAAGACGGAAAGTGTTCCAAAGGTAGGATAGCTGAGTGCGCAGGTAAGTTGGAGTGGTGTACATCTAAATACTCGCACTGGGTTGCCCAATTAGTCAACCGTTCTCAGTGATTTCGCTGACACCAACGCAATTTGGATAAAAAGAGTTGCTTGTTTTATTGTCAGCGGCACAGCCAGCGATGTCGTGTACAACAGGAAAGATGATAGGTGCGGTATACACATCCATGCCGATAAAGTCTGTTTGGGCTAGATGAGTAACATATTTGCGTACCACTTATCACCTTATGACAAAGTTCTTTGCCGGAAGAATAAGTTGTAGCTTACCCAAAGTCCCTTTGAGATTGCATTGGTCGCTTTCGCTCAATGGTACATAGTCCTGAACTGTCATCTTGTACGCAGATGGGTAATCGCGCCCAAGAGCAAGAGGGTACAAGAATGGACCCAACTTGCAGATCGTTGAAGTGTTCAGCTGCGGCCACATGCGATGGATTCAAGTGATTGAGAGGAACGCCAGGAGGGATCTCCATCTTCATGGAAATTTTGCCGTTATAAGCAGCTGGTTCTGTTACAGTAATTGCTACAATAGTAATTATTGGCCTAATCTTTTGCATGTGAGTGGGATCGGCTACATGTACTTAGAAACACTGTTAGCTATGGAAGAGACAGAGAAACCATTTCCTAATACAATCTCTTAATTGTGTCGCATCTACCTCCGCTGGTGGAGCTACACATTATTGTTTTTTTTTCTTCTTTTTTCTGCACAAGTGGCTGGGCTAAGAATTCAATCCATCTAAAGCGGGATTTTAGTCCGGACCAACAGCAGCTTTAGGAAGCAAGACCAACAATACAAGCGTCTGCACAGCACTCTCCATGTTTATAAAGGATCCGTAAATAGAGGGCTTCCCATAGACACATACATAACATGGCCGGCCATGGGAGGAGAGGTTAATATCTAGTTATCTGCACGCTGCTTCCTGTATTTCATTGCCAAAAACTCTTGTGAGTGACAGGAGACAGCAGGTCACGCAATATACTATCTTGACAGCCGGCTGATCCTTCAAAGACCTGGAAGACGGTCGATTGGGAACGGACCATGGCGGGGGCAATTGCCGGCGGCGAGTACAGCGAGCTGAAAACCATGGCGATTACAGATAAGATGAGGGAAGATTTTTATAAAGAGGACGGTACAGCTCGCGAACATCGAACGGTTATCCAGTCTTATGAAATAGTCGAGAATAAGGTCAACGGGTGTATCTGAGAGTGGCCCAAGGGGAAAAAATGACGGAGAAGGAACCCAGAATGCAGATAGTTGAGAGAGTCTGGGCTGTTCCATATGCAAGTTTATTTGTATTCAATTCCAATCCCAATCGATTGGCACTTACAAGACCGTTGGGCATCTACATCAAGGTGAAGCAAATGTAGCAAAATATGAAAATGATTGCTCTCCCGCTTGCTTGATCATTTCCAACCGTCGCTCAATCTATCTCTGCAAGCCCAGGTAAATCCAAGCCGGTGTAGTTGGCAAGCATAAACTCGTGATCCTCGTCAAAGGTCTCCATATCCAATACTCGTCCCCCGTGCTGCCAAGACCAGTTGTATGCCATCTCCAGCTGAGGACCAGTCAACAAGAGGCCCGTATGGAGGTCGAGATACCTGATATTTTCCCGGGGGCACGCTCCGTATCCACGGCCAGGCCACGTTGACCCCCATGCCAACAAATCTTTCGCCATAGCCAGCTGCAACTCCTGCAGCGCCGTGAACTTCTCGAACAGGACATGGCTGGAGCGGCCATAGGTCTCAAACACCAAGTCTCCGCGGTCCCCAGTTGGTATCGTGACTCTGAGCCGCCGAATATCCGCCTGGTGCGGCGAAACCCGGTTCACGTTGTCGTCCTCGAGGCAGATTATGTCTCGTTCAAAGTCGACCCAGATGTACCGGACCTCGGCTGCTTCTTCTTCTTCCTCTTCTTCATTGGGCAAGGTTGTGAAGAAGGATTTCTGATAGGGAGCACATTGACGGGACTCGCGGCACGCATGCATGAGAGCAGGGGGCGGCGTTGGCGAAGCAAAGTCATAGTCGCCGGTCCGCTTCCAGGGCCTCATCGCCGTCGAGGTGATGCTGATGTGGACGAGGCGCGGACGAGCTGCCAGGGTCCAGATCTGAGAGCGGATCTCAGAGGGAAGACGCGGGAAGGGATGGAAGGTAGTGGCCATATTCCAAGAATCGATTTCTAATCTAGCAAATGACTGTAGCATCAAGCTACGGCCAACAGCTTGCAAAGAGTAACATTTGCCGTGTATTTCGGTCCGATCAAAAAGGGGCTCGCGAGTCCGCCCAACACTCCACGGAAAAGCAAAGTAGGGATGTTTTTCTTGTGTTGTTGGTTGAGACGCAAGTCGAGTCGGCGAAGGCCTATATGAGTGATGGATGTTGTTGACGATGTTCCGAGCCTGGATCCGGTCCCTCGATATTATACGAGCCCGTGCAAGTCAACAGTAGACCCATGCTCCGTGCACGCTATAGCTGCGCTGGCAGGGGCCTGAAATTAGCCCGTAAAAGTACTCAATAGATGTAGGTAGGGCTCTTACTAGCCTGCGATTGGGCTTAGGGCGCTTGTGGCGGCTGCTCGGTGCAACGTCAGGGCAAGCGAAGCCCCGTAAGGCGTCAATGCAAAGATGCTCCAGGGGCATCGGCACGATGGATGCTAAGCTGCATTCAGGCGGTGCTCCGAGCTGGTTCGCAAATTGCAGAGCCTTGCCACCGCTGTAAACTTGATGACCAACAACCTATGCAGGGACTGACTCTTTTTCTAAAGGCATGTTTGGAAGAGCTCAAACTCCATTCAGTAGGTGGTAGTCGTGCATGTACTTGTCTAGGAAGTCGCAGGAGCTTCGGGTTGCAAAAATGTCGCAACGGAAGCTCGCCGACGTCGTTTGTGCTCTCTTACATGGACTTTGTGAGCGGTAAAGGGCGGACAAGGGGATGCCTGGCACTGACAAGTTTAAAGAGAGTTGAAAATATGGTTCTTCTTTAGCTTATTTCTCGGCAATGTAACCTTGTATCCGTAGGGCCTCGGCCACCTCCCAACTTGTCCGTGTTGAAGAATTTTCTTGCCGGCCAAGGACACAGCCCAGTTGGTTGACTCACCCATAATAGTCCTGCCTTGATTACCTCCGTCTTTCTTTTTTTTCCCCCCTATTTTTCAGGGTTTCTTTGATATCCTCTCCCCTTGTATTCCTCACAACTTCGCAAGCATTGATAGTTCAAACGTGAAACTGCACGCTCTTTCTTTACAATGAAGCCTGGCGTCGCTCTAGCTCTCAGCTGCGGCATCACCTTGACGGCTGCAAGCCCTCATCCCGAGCTTCAATGGGATCCAGACACCATCTCTACCTGCAGGGAATGGTTCAATAATGCCGGCTCAGACACTTGCGAGTCCATCCGCTCCATGTTTGCAATCTCTCCTGAAGAATTCCATAAGTGGAACCCTTCTGTTGGCGTCGACTGCAAGCCGTGGAGATACCAGTCGTACTGCATCCTTACCGAGGAGAAATGGGCCAGCTATACTTCCACACATACCACCACCTCAAAGGCAAAACCTACCACAACCTCCTCGTCGTCTACGCATGTGCCGTCTCCTACTTCTTGGAACGCCCTGGGATGCTATACAGACAACGATGCCAAGTATCCTGTTTTGGGGAAACAGGTGAGCAGCAACGGCGCTGCTCTCCAGGTCAAGACTTGTGAGGACCAGTGCTGGAAAGCGTCTAACGGTACCGTGCTGTACGCCGGTGTCAAGCAGGGCAACCAGTGCTGGTGTGGTAGCTTTGTCGGCGGACAGACGACCTGGAACGCGACGGAGTGCAACAGTCCGTGCAGTGGAAACAAGCAGGAGATATGCGGTGGCAAGGATAGAATCAATATCTTTGAGCCTGTGACTACTACCGCCATCTCTAAGACTACTATAGCCGTTGGTTCCAGAATTACTACCGTTATCAGTTTTGCCGCAACTTCTAGCACTACGGCCATCACCACTTCTAAGCAGTCTTCTGGAGCAGTTAAAAACAAAGGCATGTTCTAAACTTAGGTTTGCACGGACAAAAATGAAGTTGTGTTGGTCACAGGCTCATTATCAGGGCCTTTCAATACGCATATATAGGCATATGTACTAGTATCTACTCGTTCATTAACTACATCATCTTTGTAGAGTATATAATCACATAGTTGGATATCTACCACTTGAAACACCTCAAAACGCTCAGGTATTTGCGGCTTTGAGAATAAAATTTGGTTCCAGGCCGAGCAAATATACTCGCTTTTCGGCTATTGAATAATGTGCTTGAAACGAGGTCTGCTGCTTTACGGCAATCTAATCTGGCTGAGAGATATTCCATCCGACGATCAAAAGGCCAAGCATCGGCCTACCAAGGCAACCCTCCCCACGGAAACAGGTCACCTCCCGTACCGCCTTTCTTCCGAGTCTGTCGGTAACGCGCAAGTTCTCTTCAACTTATGGTGATGCTTTCTTCATTATCAGTCTTTTGTTTAAGCACCTTTTGCTAAGTTTCTTTCAGCACATTAATTCCAACCGACTCATCTCGTATAGAGCTCCATGATATCTCTTGCGACTAATTAGAATGGCTCTACAACCACCCCATAGCCCGACCGGACACCATACAGCCCTCTGTTAAAAGACCAAGTCACCCAGCTGAGAGCCGGGATGAAAATTAATCACCAAATGAAGAGTCCTACGACGTGCCTGAAGCTTGGTTCAATCTAGACGAGTTGGCAGTGAACAGCCCGGTTGAGAATACAGAAGAGAATGCAATTTATCGACACCATAACTTGGAAGAAACAAGAAGCCGCGAACAAGAATAGAATAAACAGAACCAACGCCAAGAGCAAAGCAGCATACCCACGCATACGAACCCAAATAACCAAACTGAGGGAGAAAAATGAAACGACACGTGTATCCAAGTTGGCCACGCAAACATACACTCTATCATATCTAATATTGTTTTCATTTCTCGGCACACTTGCGCGGATTGGGTTGACAGCACTAACATTTTACCCTAATACGCCAGTTTTGTTTACCACCATTTGGGCAAATTTTGGAGGGAGTTTAATCATGGGCTTTCTTACCGAAGGTCGCATGCTCTTCCAGCATGAATGGGGCATTCTCACATACGACGAACAATTGGCTAGAGCAAGAAGAGCAGAGATGGGCGAAGGTAGTGGCTCGAGCTCTTCTAGGACAGTTATAGATCTAAGCGCGGCAAAAAAAGCACACCCATCAACCAAGAAAACAGTCCCACTTTATATTGGATTGACAACTGGATTTTGCGGAAGCTTTACGAGCTTTTCAACCTTCATACGAGATGTGTTGCTGGCTCTATCAGACAACGAGTTTGAATTGCCCACCATAGAACGATCTGGGGGCTACTCGTTCCTAGCAATGCTAGCAGTCATTATTACTACGGTCTGCTTGACTTTATCAGCTTTCCATATTGGCGCACATTTGGCTATCGGTACGAGAAATGTATTCCGTCTCTTTCATTTTGCCTTATTCGAAAGCTCTTCGACAGGGTCGTTGTTATTCTTGCATGGGGTAGTTGGCTTGGCGTAATCTTAAATATCCATATTGCTACCGGACATCAATTGGCGCGGGAAGGCCTTTGCGCTTGTATTCTCTCCTGTGGGATGTCTAGCCAGGTTTTACCTCTCTTTGTACCTCAATGGAAGGCTTTCATCGTTTCCTTTGGGAACATTCCTGGCTAATTTGTTCGGCACTGCAGTCTTCGGCATGTCATGGGATATTGCTCACAGCGCTTCTGTAGGCATAGTTGGGTGCCAAGTCTAATAGGGCATAGAGGATGGATTCCGTGGGTGCCTCACGACAATTTCCACTTGGGTGGCGGAGCTGAAAAGCCTTTGTCGATTCCATTCGTATATTTATGGGATAACCAGCGTGCTAGTGTCTCTTGCCATACTGGTTGCCTTATTTGGTTACAAGTAATGTAGATATAATTGAGTGCCTTGCGTGAGGACATTTTCCCTTGGTTTGATCTATATTCCCCTATCTCAATATCTTTCATATAACATCAATGAAGCCTGTGAGCAACCCAGTGCGAGAATCTAACGCAGGGCAAGTCAACATATCGGTAGTATATATCCGCGACCCATGACACCAACAAAGCCCCGGGTAGAAGAACAATGTAGTACTGCCAAGAAAAGAAGAAGCTCTCCTTTTCAATCATTGGACCCCATAGTGTGGCCTGCAATGGGAAAATCAGTACACATAATATCGGATAATGGACGATATATAGCGAATAAGAAATCCTTCCAAGATACTGTAGTAGACGCGAGTTTAAGATTGTTGCTGCAAGGGATGAATTGTCGACACCCCAAACAATAAAGATTGCACCAACTACCGCCCAAAAATAGAACTGACTATTCACTGCAAAAAGCCAGCTGTATCCCGGGCTCACTTCTGCCATTTTCTCGGGGTACGAGACAATGAACAGGCCCAGAAAAACTGAAAGATTGGCCGCAATATCCTGCAAGCAGACAATAACCCGTCTGGTCAGGGGTACGTACGATATGGACATGTTGGCTTTGATCAGACGCAGCTCCGCAAGGAACATGCCGCCGAGTATTGCTGCATCCATATAGCGGCTATAGAGCATACAGATAGTGAATAACATGATGGTTATGCACAATCTTGCAGAATTGTAGAGTTGGCATAATCCTACCATTGTTACAAAAAGCCTCATTGACGATCCAAACTCTACCGGAATAGACCATAAAGGAGCGTTGTACGTGATGGGACCTTTAGATACCCACGGGTTAATCAGGTTAAGAGAGATGACGTGGCCCCAATCAACGAGCTGGTCAACCATGACAGGCAGTCGCTCTGGCTTAACCAAGCCTTCTCCAGGCAATTTGTAATCGTATGGGAATTTGTAGGCGCCGGCTTGAACAAACATGGCGGCAATAAATGTCGAAATAAGGCACGGCAGAAAGAGCCGCAAAGCACGCCGAAATATTATCGAGCTTGTGGTGTTGATGTAGTCCTCCCACATACCCACTCGTGCCAGCCGGATGGACTTTAGAGAAAGCACAAATCCAGAAATCACGAAGAAGATGACCACCATGGGAGTTCCATGAAAGAGAATGCGAATCAGTGGGAGTTGCAGTATGGTGTCCATCTTTCCAGGCTCGTAGCCCGACCTCATCTGCAGATACCATGGAGAAGCATTGTGCGATAAAAACACAATGAAGGCAGCGAAGCCACGTAGGCCGTCTAGATGGGATGTTGCACTATGTCGCTTATCCAAAAAATCATCTTCGAGATGAAGACCCCAGCTCGGAAGTATCACGTTCCAAAGACGCATGCCTAAGTTGCAAAACAGATAAACACTGCTTAAAGGTACAAAAGGCAAATGCAAAACAAGTCAAACATAGACAACGACAGATGCTATCGTAATAAACTTGTACCATCCGCAATACGCGAATAGTGGGCCGAGAGCGATGGGTCGATGATAACAACTATGCGACTTGGCCTTGGATCTACCATATGGATGGCTCAATAAATTAACTACTGCACATGTGCTTGAAACCCTGTAAATTATGGAACTAGTGGGGCGTGGATAATCCCGTGTTACTGTTCGAACATCTATAAACTCTTCCCCGGCCAGCATAGCATGACACGTCACACCCCGCCTTGGCAGTCCCGATGTTGTGACGGCCATAACAGGATTTGGGGGCGGTTTTAGTCATACAAGGAGCATAGCCTTTTGTCCAGCACTTTTCTATTGACAGTTTCACTCTTTCACATTGATGTACTTTCAACTACCCCATTGAAGCTTCCAAAAGGATAAGCATTTCTTTCATCATGGTAAGTGGAAAGCTCAAATGATGTTTGAGGACAATTTGTAATTGACAAAGTTATGTAGGGCAATTCAAAGTCGCCACTCGTATTTCTCATGTCCGTGGCAGTATTGCTACTCAGTCTGGCTCGCGTTGGTCGTTGGATAAGCAGCCATATATCTTTGCAAAGCTCAGTGGAAGCAAAGTCGGCTTTGATTACAGAACGGTATAGTTGTCGCCAGGATTACACGGTCGAGATCATATCGTTTGACCCTTGGGTTATTTACATCAACAATTTCATCAAGGAAGAGGAGATAAATCATCTCCTCGAGCTCACGTTAGTACAACATTAGTCTCCTTCGCTAAAAGTCGGGATATTGGCAAACGGAGAAAAAACCCTAACTACGTATATAGAAAAGATGCATGGAACTCGAGCGAAGTATTCTATAAACCTCAAGACCACGAAGACGCGACTTTCGGTGTCGACAAAAACACCAGAAACTCATCATCAGCATTCGTTCCTCACGAGGACCTTGTGGCTAGATGTCTGCTCAAGCGAACAAAACAATTGCTCGGCAATGCGCAGCACGAAAATGTCGAGACTCCTCAGCTTGTTCGATACACAGGCGGAGAGCGTTTCCGGCCTCACATGGATACCATTGAACCCACAAAGGCCACAAATTTTCATCCAGACTACACAGAGCGCCCTTGGAATCGGCTGCTAAGCGCCTTTGTGTACCTGAATGACAATTGCACAGGCGGTGAGACGTACTTTCCAAGGCTTACTGGTGTTGGAGCCGATGCGGATGGCAGCAAATTCTCACGGGCAGCAAACAGGCAAGGCCTTCTGGTCAAGCCTAAAAGAGGCAATGCTATCGTTTGGAAGAACCTATTCAATAACGGATCTGTCGATGAGAGACTAGTCCATGCTAGCCTAGCTATCAGGTCTGGCGAAAAAGTTGGCATGAATTTGTTCACTTGGCATTATTTTGATTCCCCAATGGTTGGGGATGCATCATGAAAGGATTTGAAGTTGGAAAACTTTCCATCACTTGCTGTCCTTGGCTTCTTAAAATGAAAGACGAGGTACGCCGCAGGATATACAACCAAGCAGTATCAAAGGTGTCCTCCGCATATGTTACATGTCATGAACAGCATAGCACAATACAACCTCAACAAAATACGAGTCTCAGATTCGCTTCATGCAATAAAAAACTCTTCAGTTCGTCTAATAAGCCCCTTCCAAACCAAAGGCATACAGCACACACATTTCGAAGTAGAAATTCCCGAAAGAGAGGCCTCCAAAAGACTACCCCGCTTGCCACTCTGTCCAGCAAGACGCGGTGGGTGACGTGTGATGCCGGCCAACAAGGCTGTGTGTGGCAACCATGTAAGGAGGAGTGATCCTTATGATGAAAGGAGTGATCCTTCGTAGTAACTCGGTGCGACATTTTCTTACCATTCGATCCTAATGTCGGATGTCGCCATATTACACAGCATTGGTAACCCGACGCAAATGCTGCTTTTCAAAAGTTCTCCCTTTAGCCCTTTTTCATTTGCGAGTGTAAACAACCAACGACACGTCACTTTAAGAAATCTGATACGGGGAAGTCTTGAACCATTGTGTCTAATCATTTCAACTGTGGAGGCAGAAGGTTTGGAAAATTAAGATCATTGCGATATGGAACAGAATTTTATTGATAGTCTTGTTGAGAAAACTATGATAACGATTCAAGATGCGTTGCTTTGAAGCTAAGTGAATTTGAAGCAACTGTAATGATGTGATTGTACCAATGCCTCTAGACAAAAAACCTCGTCACTGAATCTTATTCCTGTACTTTATTTCTGGATACGGCTTCATGACATTGGTCAACAACAGTCAAGACTAGCAATGGTCTTAAATCCATTCTTCCTCGTCTTCAACAACGCCGCTCTTGGGGGTTGGAGGAGCTAAAAAGTGTCCGTATATCAGCTATAAAAGTCATTTAAATGTAATGACTACACTCACGCGTAAGAAGTCGGGGAACAATCTTTGGGTCGTCTCGCGCTTCAATGTCCACCAGCTCGGGCGTGGCAACAGCCCAAGTCACTCCAACGAGGAGTGCAGTAGTGTAGAAGAGTTTAATGAGGTGCATATTTAAGTCGCTTAATAAAGTTGAAAATATGGTTCAGAGGCTTTTGCAAATCTAAGATGGGCAGACATTAAACTTATATTGTCATAGAGGCAGCCGAGTGTTTTCACATTTATAGTCTCACTCTGTGTCACTCCGATTCATCGCATGAAATTACTAATGCTTTGGGAGCCGTAGTTGAAACGAGACTGTTAGCAGTGTTGATTGATGATGAGTTCGAGGCTACCAAGATTCTTTCGTTGTTGGACTATCGGCTTCTGACCTGTCACGTAGCCTTCTTGTGGATACCTATCATATAGGATCGTAGGATCGTATGTGATAGGCGGCGCTGTCTTTTTGACCCCCTCACTTTATTCCCGCCACGAACGGTGGCTGTTATAAGTGGATCTGGGGTTGCGATCGACCTCTCGACCGAATCGGGTAATGTCCGACGATTCGAGCCGCCATCGCAGTCATATAATCTTTGCGGGGCAGAAGAACTAGTGCTCGTTTGTGCGCCAGTTAATCCGTCTTAATCCTATCAATAGATCCTACAGGATTCGTACTAAAGTGAGATCAATCCTGTAATCTTCAAAATAGGGAGCAAGAGTGGTCCGATAGGCTGCAGGAAAAGCAACAACAGGCCGACACTGAGCCAGAGAAGTAAATTCGAGACAGAATTAGGGCAAGGGAGGTGGAGAACCGATCCTATGGCCTCATCTGTTGAGCATCTCTCGCAAGAGGTTTTGTGATGCGGCGTTTTGGGCCGGTAAGGAGAGACGGGACAGACGACGGTGGAGAGCTTGGTGTGAGCGTTACAGGGTGTTGTTGGTTGCTCTGTCCGCTACTTTCGTGTGGTTGGAGGAGAAGAGTGGCGCAATGATAAGGAAAGGCGGGGGAAAGTTGGAAAAGGAACTTCGAAAGAGGGCAGTGGCTCGTAACTGAAGGAGAAGAGAGCTAAACAATCACTCGTCGTGTACGTAATTGCTTTTTCGTTCTAAAATGCTCAAAAATTCCATAGTTGTTTTTCGAGTATAGCACGTTGTAGCTGTTCCTACTCTTGCAATCTCTTGTTATTCTAATCACAATGCCACCAAAAGCTACCAGCGGTCAACTTCTTTTTGCCCTCATTTTGGGACTCCTAGTAGCTTTTGTTCCTGGATTATTTTATACCCTGCGAAATTACAGTGAAGCCCAAGTTGAAAGGGCTAATGGTTTATATCAATTCATTCCAGGTGTTAGGTCCAAGGATCTTGGCGTTAGCACCACCACCGATTGGCATGGATATGAAGCACAAATCGTTTCACGAGACCCATCGATCATCTATATAAAGAATTTTCTATCCAGTTCGGAGGCGAGCCATTTCATTCGCATCAGGTAGATAGCATTCTATATTTTGTAATCTCAATAGCAGCATGGGCTAATCACACTGAAACTTTCGAAACGAATTAGCGAAGGCAAATATCAGCCATCCCCACTATACCGCGGTGATGATGTCCTTATAGATCAAACCAGGCGGCTTTCCGAGTTCGTCGAGGTTGAGCGAGACGATGTAGTGAAGCAGGTGGAGAGAAGAGCACGAAGGTTTCAGGGATGGCGAGGCAAGTCAACGCAACTGCAGCGACCGAGAGTGCAGAAGTACAAAGAAGGCGGCTTCTTGGACTACCACTACGACTGGGATCCGCTAGTCGACGATGGAAACCGCGTCACGACCTTTATGATTTACCTATCTGACAACTGCACGGGGGGTGAGACTAACTTCTCGCGCGTGAAGAAGCTCGAGGATCCAAGATGGTGTTCCTCTATACTTGACTGCAACAGCACGTACCCCGGCATCACCTTTCGTCCAGTCGCTGGGTCCGCGGTGTTTTGGGAAAACATGTATCCAAACGGCTCGTTTCACGACAAAGTCATCCATGCTGCTTTGCCAGTTCGTTCGGGAGAGAAAATTGGACTGAATCTTTGGTTCTGGGACAGCGGGTGGAAAAAGCCTGCAGGAGAAGCATAAGATATATACTGTCGCTGTCGAAAGTAAACAAGGAAACCCTTGATAGTAAGCAAGCAATAAAAACTTACTTTGAGTTGCGTGTAGATGAATTGAATTGTTACATGGGTCTCATATAGATAAACTTAACGTATACTGTTAGATAACATTTGTTCTTCACCATCGAGAGGATATTCAACATGATGACTCAATATGCTAGCTTTCTTGCAAAGTCTTGACATAATCCTATGCGCTAGTTATATGCATCATGACAGCTTATACTTCTTTTACCTTTTCCCATATTTCCTGAATAGAAGCACATGCATTGTCGCTGAGTGGACCCTTTTCAATGCCACTGAGTGTTTCGTCTAGTTGTTCGGGGCTGCTGGCACCAATAATGAAGGCATCTCCTTGGTCTGACCGCAATGCTGAATGATACGCCACCCAACGATATGTCAGCTCAGCTGAGCTCACTCCTTCGATTTCTGCAATACTGTTCCATTGGGCTAGTATCGCCACAAATTTGGCGTTGCGCAAATACGGCCGACAGGTTGCTGAGATATAGGCGTCACTGTCGGCCATTTCCCTTGCTTGCGCCGCGGTTTTGCAGAAAAATCCTCCAGCTGAAGTACCGTACGCATAGAAGGAGATGCGCAGTCTGCGCAAAGTCAAAAGTAAGGCACTTTCTTTATGTCTACTTAACGGATTGTAGCTGCCCTGGTAAACGACGGGAAGAGGATAGCTGTGGTCGGCGCAGTGATTGTATACGGCTTCAATCTCAGTGGCAGGGAAGCCTGATAGCCCAAATCGACGGAAAACGCCACGCTTGTAAATAGCATTTACTGCCGCAAGGGTTTCGGAAATAGGTGTCATTGGGTCTGGCCTATGAAGGTAGAAGATGTCGACCTTTTTGACAATTTAGATTAGTTTAGCAGCAGCAGCAGCAGATATAGAGAAAATATAGTCACAAAGTAGCCAATGTTGTGAAAAATGACCTTGTGTGGAGGACTAGCAAGGTTTCAACCTACTTGGTCAACTGCTAATTTGCTGATGCTTTCCTCAGCAGAGCGTATAATGCGCTCGCTGGTGGCCCACGGCATGCTGGACTCGGTCCATGAAGAAGGGCTCCATTTTGTGTCAATGACAAATCTGCTGCCCGCCTGGATCGCGCCAAGTGTAGCTTCAGAATTTCCATACGCCTGTGCTGTATCAATTTTGGTGATGTCGTGTCGAGTTAACGTCTTTAAGAATGTCTCGAGATGGGTGTGGGGCATAAATTGCTCTCTGTTGCCAATTCGTGTTCCGCCAAAAACCACAGGTACTGGTTGAGTAAAAGCAAGCATGATAACTGATTGCATTAAACAAGATGAAGGGGAAAAAGGGTTTCTTTGCGCAATGAATCACAGCAAAATAAGGAAAAATGAATATTATAAAAGAAAGATTAGAGAAGGATGTTGGGCATTATCTCTTGTTTAGAAGTTACAACCTAACACATAAGGTCTATGATCTTATAGGGTAGGACGGAATGGATTAACTAAAAGTCCAGAGAGCCGATTGGAAGTAACTCGCAGCTTTCCTGGTTCGCATGTAATAGGCGTTGCGCATGTTGGCTATACCTGCGACCGGTGATTGTGACCTTTCCCTGTTGGCGTTTCGTTTAGAATTGATGTCGATAGAGCGCATACAATTGTTGATTGATGATGTCAGAGGATGAGCGATGCTAATCCTTATGATTGACGAGGGCATCTTTCCAGAGCTGGGTACTCCGTCCGCTTTTGTTTGGATTGAAATCGTCGTGAGCATCATGCCATTAATTGCTCCTTAATCATTCGAGGAATCGTAGTGTCGAAGGATATACGAACCCGTCTCCTTGTCCTTGTTACCGCTAGAATAGACGAGCAGTTGCTGATGTTCTTAAACGGGGTGGGAATTCTTGATGCTCAATAACAATTTTAACTCTTTTGCGACCGCCTGTGTTCTATCAGACAAAATATCGCGTCATAACCCCTCAATTGGTTATGTGTTTACTTTCTTTTGCCACGATGATACCTTGTTGAGCCCCCTAGGGCTTGCTCATCTCCCGCCTTCATAAATTAGCGGCTCTAACACGCGCTTTGGCTACGGGGATACCGTAGGAATTATGGAGGTAGGGTCCGACACTATAGTCTTCCTCGCTTGCTTATCAAGGAAGGACCTTAGTTCTACATGTATGTAAAATTTGTCCATAATATTAGATATAGCGGCGCAACACACACAATAGCTATGATTAATATTGTGTTAATAAGTATGTAGATGCTTATATAGCTAGAAAGTGTAGAGGTGAGCTAAACCTTAGCGATTACAAAATTCAGACTTGCTCGGCCAAGATCATTGCCTGTAGTCCGTGACTGCATTTCTTGCAAAGTTCCACGGACCCTCCACTGCGTCCCGGTCTTGTCACCAATCTCATCCCACAACTGCTGCCATGTTTCCAGATTGTGACGGTACCAACCAGAAATGTCTTGGTCTTTCTGAGTCCCTCGTTTAGTGGGATAGAGCGTTCCAACCTGCCTTCCAACCAGCATTGCATTTGCATCCGGTTTGAAGAACTTTACCAATCTTGACCCTAGCGTGACTTGATCATCCCAGTCGAATAGGTGAAATAACGCTGCGGCATGAATTATATCGACTTTACCATCTATACTGTCAAGGTTCGGATCTTCAGGCTTCAGAAGGTCGCCTGCAATAAAGCGCGCACTAAATGAATCGCGATCCTTGAATAATTCGTAGCCCAGGTCGATAAAACCTTGTTGTAGATCAGTGCCAATCAGGTTCGACGCTGGAGAGCCATCAGCAGCGAGCTGTCGCAAAACATAGCCAAATGCGCAGCCAGCATCGAGCAAGACCTCGCCAGCTTCGAGCCGCTTCAAGATACGTGGGTACTCGGGCGAACTGGTGATAACGCAATCTAAAAAGAGCCAGCGGCCGATGCATCCGTATGGGAAAACCTTCCAGGCTCGGTCTCGCTACGCATCTGATGAGCATTTTGCTTAAGTCAAAGATGGATAAGGTGCTAAACCTACAATGTCTCTTAAGTGGTCCTCGATCTTGTCTACCGGGATCTTGCTATAAGACTGCAGGAGGTTGAATATCCTTTCTTTATTATCTGGCAATTCTTCGTAATAGTCTAGTGTCTTAGACTCAATCAACGTATGATCCGTCATGTCGAGGCGTGCGATTGTAAAGGGTTCGAGATAATACTTGGTAGATGTTGAACGCTAGATGCAGTCTTGTCCCTGGAAGGACGAAGCTCAAAGGCCGACCGAGAATACTCTTGTTAGGGTTATATATGAATTGTTTTCTAGGTTAGTAACTAGTTCGACAGCTTGGTTTGTTTTGCTCTGCAGAGTACATTACACCGAAAATAGATATAGCGGCTATGAGGCATGAAATGCGAATGTCCGGTGTGGACTTTGCCAAGACTCCTATCTCCTACCTTTCTTCTTAAGTGAATTATACCGGTAGCGATTCTACTAAACCCACTACCGGCGCGGTTCCACCCATGCTATATGGCATCTGGGCAATCGGGTTACATAATCCTTGGGGGCTGCTGGGTGGGGCTATTGGAGGCAGGACCTCTTGTACATGTAGAATCTATGAGATCCGCGTAGCTAGATTGGACTTGTGCTTCCTTGTTTAATAAACACTGATTGTGAACGTTGTGATTTTCCGATGTGGCTAGAATATTAGGCACTCTTTATATGATAAAGCTACTGTAAAAGGTTCCTTAGATTTTCTTTCAGGGCCTCTTGACCCTCATCCCATCCTGGCTCAACTTTATCGCCAAAATCGGCTCCATAGCGATTGTTCTCGTCCACAAGTGAGACTGTGGCAAGCATCAAATACGCCGGGGTGTTCATACGAACATGGACTCCCTTTTCAGTGTCTTCATCCCAGAGCTCTTTGCCCTTAAGGAGGAAGTCGCTGATAGGAATATCAACAACTGTCCAAGCTTCTAATCCCAGCTCTTCAATTACGGCAATCAGCTGATTAGTTGAAATGGTGTGGCTTGCAAAATATGCTGGTCGGTTCCGGTATCGTTCCGGGTTTTCTAGTACAGCCACTGTAGCATCTCCAGTAGCTTGATATCTGCTCATACTATATCTCTGATGACCAGTTCCAAAACGACTGATTTTGCGATTCTTCTTATCAATCCAGAACTGTCCAGCATCGGTGGCCCAGTCATACCAGGGACCAACGATTACAGCGGTCCAAGAAAGGGCTCCATTAGACGCAGCCACAAGCCTTTCGAGCTCTTTTTGGGCCTGAATCTTGGGTTCAAACACCATAAGCTCTGGTATGTTGGGGTTGAATGTGTCGCATGAGAAGTCGGGGGTAATGAGATGCACAATACCAGCGTCAATGGCAGCTTGGACAATCACGTGCTGCATAGCTGCGGCAGCAGGATTGAACGCTTCGATAATAGCATCTTGACCCTGCAAGGCATCTTTGAGAGATGCTCTATTGTTGTAGTCGGCTGATTTAGAGTTAATACCGGGAGGAAGCAAACTTGTGCTGTTCAGTCGTCCGATGGCAGTAACCTCGAACCCAGCCTTTTGCAAAGAAGGTATAAGCGCATTACCCAGAGCTCCTGTGGCCTGAATACTTGATTAGATATAATAGGAAAGCAGCTCAAAGTTTGACTGTTACTTACCCCTAGAATGGCAACTTTGCGAATACGTCGGCTTTCAGTAGTCATTTTGGCTTGTTGAAATGTGTTGTAGGAATGCGTGATGATACATTGAAACTATGCAGACATGTAGGAGAAAAGCCTCTCTTATATACCCAACAGACAAGAGATCAGATTGGACATGATTTCCCGTCACCATTTGTTGTCTTGCTGTTAAGTCCGCCTCTCCACAGAAGGGTGTCGTCTGTTTCTACAGTATCCGGCTTGGTCTGACTCCGCTCCGCATATCCGCAGCTCCGATCTCATTTCAAGGGGCTTAGAGGTGGATTAATTATTGGTAAATCGGGTTGACAGGATGAGGGTTTGCAACGGTCACAAAGATCATACTAGGAAACTACATCCCTTTGTGAATTCATCTACAAGGGATTGACTGAAGTGTAGCGTTATCGTCAAGCAACGATGTCCAAAACAAACTAAAGGACGCAGTTTCAGTAGCGAAAACAGTGCGCCGTCGACTGCATTGCCAAGTCAACTTCACAGCTTGAGGATAAAGTTTATATTTTGGTTGCAAATTATACCAAATGCAGTTTTCTCTGTGTAACTCAACAGGCGTATGGATTAGACTTAAATAATAATGACTCCTAGGAAATGAAAATTACAGACTAAATACAAAAAGCCAATGCTCTATATGTTTAGTACTTGGCACTATTTCTGCTTAGCAACCGACGTAAGGTACTCCTTATGCTGTAACACTGCCTCGTCCATTATTTTAAGAGCACGTGCAATAGATGGCCTTTCTGCAATGCGGCTAATCCAAGCACTATAGTTCTTCCACTGAGATGTGTCGAGTTCCGGGTAAATAACAGTTGCCAGACCTCTGCAGTAAGGCAGGAACATGATGTCTGCGTAGGTCACCCGATCTCCGACCAGGTAGTCTGTGCCTTGACGGCAAAGATGCGCGTCAATGATTCCAAGAAAACGTTTGATCTCATCACTATATCGCTCTATAACAGAAGGGAGAGTCTCGTGATGGAACGTGGTATACCAGACCATCTGCCCAAAATAAGGTCCTTGGCCGCTCATCTGAAAATGCTCCCAGCAACGTGTCAAGTGTTTTTCTGGGCCAGAGGCGTAGTGCAGCTTTTGATGATTGTCGTAAATATCGACAAGATAGTCAATGATGGCACCAGACTACGCCAAGCGATGTAATGTTAGCCAATCTGAATATGTACGATTTTCGGAAGCCCTTCGAATTGGATTTGACCTGCCTCCCATATTGTTATACTCTCATTATTTGGATCCCTGAGCACCGGTACCTTGCCATTGGGATTCATTGCGAGAAAAGGTTGTTGTTTTGTATCTGCTGCCTGAATTTTCTCAAATCGATACGGAAGGTCAAGCTCTTCGAGGATGAAAGCCACCTTCCATGGGTTTGCAGAGGCCGCAAAAGGCGCAAAAGCGTAAAGAACAAGAGGCTGTAGATCAGACATCATATTGACTGCATGCAACGATTTTTTTCATTCAGTGGTGTGAGGCAATTGGATAACCCTCCAACTTGTACTGCACACATTTGCGGATGCCGGTCAATACTGACGTTTTGTATTACTTTACACTTGTTTTATGAGCCTTTTGAACCAAATATTTCCACTAGCCTAAGGACCATACTAATCTAGCTGCGCTCCTATTATCAATCAATCCCGGGCATATAGTAAGCGATTTGTTCCGCGATCACTGCAGCCTGTGTTACTTTTCAGGGCCATGAACACTGCTGCTCGCTGACCAAAGCTTTCGGACCAGAGTCTTCGGACCAGAGTCTTCGGACCAGAGTTTTCGGACCAGGAGCTATCTGACCAACCAATTAACAACCAGATGTTTCTCCGCTCTATTTGGCATTGTTACGTCACCTCACGCTTTTGGCATTTGTTGGTCTTTCGTAAGCCGTTCCAAAAACGTAAAGTGTCCAGACTTCAATTATTTGCTCTTTGTCGCGTTTGCATCGGACCTGTATTCGGACCAATATATCTGCCCATTGCCATTATATGGGTCAGTAGCCGAGAAATTAGCGACTCAAATGCCGAAAGGTGGTTCACAGAACTCCGGCGAGAGCCAAGGCCCTGTAGTGAGCTCCTGGAGCTGCTTCAATTGCCGTAGGCGAAAGTCCCGATGCAATAGACAGAGCCCATGCGGATTTTGCTCCAAAGCTGGCGTTGAATGCCTGTATCCTTTTACCGGACGCATGCCCACACGGCAGCATAACTCGACAACTGCATCTGTTCCTTCAACTCGGGCTCCGCCGCGGAAGCAGTCCCAGGCACAGGTCCAAGAGCTCCTTAGTCGCTTGAGGCAACTGGAGAATGTGGTGGATAGCTTGAAGGCCCAGGCACAAGACAAAGACTTTATACCTGGCCATACCGATTCAGGCAATACGAGCCCAAGTAAGAACGGCGAAAGCTCGACAGCGGAAGAAGAAGCGTCTTCTCTTGATGCACACACAATCAACTCACGTCACAATCTTTCGTATGGATTGAGCAAATCGTTTGGCCGGCTGCATGTTTGTGAAAGCGGCATCATGTATACTGGCAACGGATTTTGGGCTGCTCTCCACGGCGAGGTGATTTTCCTCTCTAGAGCGTACTCACATGTATCAACGCGCGTTTCCTAACTGCCTGACCAATAGCTAAAAAGTGTTCGCCAAGCGTTCGAGGCTAGCGACATCTTCGATTTGAGCGCCTTTCAGGACACTTCCTCGACATATGAGGCTGAGGCACGTCACATGCCCTTCGATTTTGATCATAGCAACACCCCCGAATCTACACCTCACCCAGCACCAAATCTCCTACCTTTTATTTGGCAGGTGTACGTCAAGAATGTGGATCCCTTCATCAAAGTGCTACATGTGCCAACCATGTCTGAAGTAATTCGACTCTCGGCAGGCGGTTTCGAAAAGTTGTCTCCGGGGACGCGAGCCTTGGTCTTTTCCATTTCTCTAGCCGCTGTGACGTCCCTGAATGAGTCCGATGTAGGACACCTTCGTTGTGGGAGACAGGTCCGTTGCTGATGGGGTTTTAGATACAAAATGCATTTGGAGATGCCAAGGAAAGCGTTATATCACGCTTCATCCTGGGCACAGAGAAAGCATTATCTCAAGCGGGCATCCTCAAGACGACCGACCTATGCGTTGCGCAAGCATCTGTGATCTATCTTGAGAGTGCAGGCCATCGTTATGGGATGCGGACGGTGTGGATGATGTCCGGTATTTTAGTGAGGGCTGCGATATCCGTAGGGCTACACCGTGACGGAGCTACGTTTCCAAACGTATCTTATTTTGAGGCGGAGATGAGGCGCAGATTATGGTGGCATATTTGTTGTTTCGACGCCCGTGTCAGCCAATGCTATGCGCCTGAGACTATGATATCCAACAACATGTTAGATACGAGGGAGCCTACAAACTGCAACGATGATGATCTTGAAGTCAATATGATGAAGGAGCCAACAGCACGGGAAGATTTTACAGATGTGAGCTTCACCCTCATGGCATGTCAGCTGCGACGTCTGTGTAATCATATACTCTCTTCAAGGTCCTCTCTATTGTCTTCAAAGCAGAAGGAACAAGCAGTGCAACGCGACGTGTTGCGTGAAATAGAAAACGCGCGAAACTGGGCCGCCAAAAAGTTCTTTGGAAACTTGGGTACAAGGCGCGAGTTACAGTCTTCTACACAGTTCCTTTTCAGCATGCTTCTGGATCAGCTTAGCATCATTGTGCGGGACACGAATATATTTGAGAAACGGCCACCCACGGAAGAGAGACATATTAAAGACGAATCATATGTGCGCGCATTGACTCACATTGAGAATATGCAGAAATGGCGGGACGAGCCTTCAACGCATCAATGGGGCTGGGTGCTGGTGAACTTTCAACAATGGTACGCGCTCGGTATCGTTCTTATTCACCTCCAAACACAGACATGGGACTCGGCATGTGAACGAGCCTGGACCGTTGCAGTGAAGACACTTAACGAGATCCCTCCGGCAATGATGACAGAGAATCCTCTACGAGAGTCAATAATTGACATGATTACTGCTGCACGTCAGCACCGAGGTGAAGAGCTTGCACGACAATGTTGTCAACCAGGAAGCCATCAAAGTATATCTTCGATGCCGGAAATCAGCGCTTCTATATCTGTCCCGGAAGACTTTTGGCCCAGCTCTTCTGGCTTTGATTCAGCAACAAATCTTCCTGCGAATATATTTATCGGAGAGAGCGAGGTTGAGGCGCCGCTCTATATAGCGACTATAGACCTAGTGCAAGATAACCCTTTCGAAGAGTCTGTTCACGCTAGGCGAGTTTATTCAAGGACAAGTTATCCATCTTGGTATTTGGATCCAACCAGCGACTTCGATAGCTCTGAACCTAGCTTCGGAAACTTGCAAGATCTACTGTTCTGCAATTCTACGGACGATAGGGGGGATCGGGGCTCAGATAAATAGTATGGACAGTGCTGGTTCTTTAACCAACGGTGGAGGACAGTTGGAGTTAAAGAAAAAAGGTGTAGTAAAGAATTCAATCGGCCCTAATCATCAATAAAAACAGCTTAGCTTACTTTACCGTCAATTTCAATATAAATTTTCCGTGCTTTGCAACTGCCTTTTTAGGTTCAAATTGTAAAGCCTGTGGCTTTTAATTGAATAGAGTGGAGAACAACAATAGCCGCATACATCCTTTTCCGCATTATAATATTACACGGCGCCTTATTAGACTTGGTAAGCCTGAACCACTACTGTATCGATACGGCAGCGCCTGTGTCCTCACCTTCTTGTTTCAGTTACTGTAACGTTTGTAAGATCACGTTATAACGCTGCAAAGGGTAAGTCGGACCCTTTCTATGTGAGTCTAATTGTTTTCTGCTCCACAAAGACCACTACTACAATATTGCCTGGTTTGCACACCACGGTTATCGGCATCTCTATTATATTCATGATTTCTAACCTCGTTCCTAGAGTGCTCCAAGTCTCCATCCATTTGCAGCATGAACGGGCGCTCTGTGGAGGTGTAATGAGGCTTTAGGTCTATAGAATGCATAAAATTGTATATATCCCTCTTGTAGTGCCGAAGTTCCGTATTGTCGGCACACTGTTTGTATTGGTGATTGTAAACCTCATCTCTAAACTCTTCACATCTCTTTGTCATCCGCGGCACGAGAGGACGCTCTGCACAATGTGATAAGGCTTCGGCTCTTTACAGTAGGTGTTTGGGACTCTGTATCTCCATATTTGCGTGCCGAGCTTCCGCGCTGTGGGAATCGAATATATTTACTCCCAACATTGGAGATGGATGAAGAAAGAGGCTTTTCGGAGCCGCATATAAATATCCCGCTGATCTCATGCTGTTTTTGACTCTTTGGACCACTCATCAGCATTCTATAAAAGTCAACTTGTATATTCTTTCCAAGAGACATAAAATGGTCGCCAAGATCGGACTGCTCTTAGCCGGCGCAGCGCTTGCTGCCGCTGGTGGTGTCAATCGCAGTCTTCCCCTTCCTCCTGGCACCCGAACTCTCAAAGTCCTCGCTTCTCTAGCCACAGATACAGCCGTTACCGGCACTGCCGCAGTGTACGGAATCAATGACAATGAGAATGCCAATGGCGGCCTTGGATGCCGGGCCTACTACGGCGATGGCAGCGCCAATGATGGCTGGCCGTCCATCAGCCAATGGGTCTCGTTCAACTACATCTGGCAAGTCAACTACAACAGCATTCAGAACTCGTGTAGCCAGTACGGCGTACCCAATCTCTCTGATGACGAGATGAACGACCTAGAGAACGGCATCAACGACATTGCTAACCAATACAACATTGATCATCGCTTCATTCTGGCCGAGATTTTGACGGAATCGTCCGGCTGTGTTCGAGTCCCCACTACAGGTGGCCCAGCGACTGGCATCTGGAACCCTGGTCTCTTGCAAGACTTTGATGGATACTACACCTGCAACTGCAATACTTACAACGGCGTGTACAACGAGTACGGTGAGACCTGTGGTGTGGTCGACCCCTGTCCAGCAGGTTAGTATAGCTTTCACGAAGAATCCTTGGCTATAGCCTTTTTCTCATACTAACAATATCGCTACAGACACAATCAGCAACATGATTCGAGAGGGCGCCGTAGGTACTGATAATGGAGTCGGTCTTAGCTTCCTTATCAACGCAGCTGAGGCTCAGGGTGCCCAGGACGCACAGGTCTTTTACGTTGCATCTGAGTGGTACAATCAAGGAGAGTACTCGCCCAACGTAGGTGGATCTTTGAACGCAAACTGTTATGCCAATAAGGTGGCTCAGTGGCTCACTGGATGCACAAATCCGGTTTCATGCTAAGATATTAGTCTTGAATGCGTTTCTAAGTAGATAATAATATCTTGCTTCCAATTCTTTATGCTCCGAGGACTCTAGTCTACCCAGTACTATCTACAAAACTGGGCATGTGTTGTAGCCGGCCCTAATGGAAGCCGCCGAATCCATCCTGGATTTGGTAGGTCTGGCTGTCGATTCACTCCAGTCACTTGACAACCTCGAAAAGCGACTGGGCAGCCTTGGGCAACTTTAGGTTAACAAGGTTGGCTGGAAGATATATCACGCAGATGGTCTTTTTGTTGTGCAGAACAAGTCGGGCTTGATATTTGGTCATTTTCCTGTAGTCCACTATTGAAGAAGGCTGGTCAGTTGGGTTGGGTGTTTAGTATTAGATACCAAACTAGGCCTATTACCTTACAATGTCGCCACGTCTAACCAATCAGTAATCAGACAAATATTGCAAATTCAGTATTGATAATGTTAGCTAGGTAATGCTGCGGAAGGCCAAGCAATAGATTTGAGAGACGAAGAGGCAGTAGCAGTTGCCGACATCACGTATCAAAACCTGAAGGATGATGTTTTACCAGACCAGTTGCGTTTCACCAACCACATTGCCTCGTGCGTTCAAATATTCTGACTTTATTGTTCTGCTACAGTAAACAGGCTTGACGAATTGAGCAAAACGTGATTCGCATGACGCTTCGCCCGGATTGTTATATACCGCCAAATGCAGAAGCGGTGCATACCCTGCACGTTAGTGAACGCTCATTTTTCTATCTAATCTGCCATTTTCAGAAGTAAATCTCGTTGATGAACGATCATAGATCATTGCATCAGCTACTTTCAACAGGGCATTATGTGTGCTAGTGATGTGATAACAATTCCTGTTGAACGGTGGGTCTACCAAGCGGGACCGTATTCTTCAACAGACTGACGTTAATCATACCTCTCGTTACTTTGAGAGAATATACGCAAGAACAGCAGCACGGAATGCTAGCGCACAACCATTGAGGTAGGACCCACAATTTTGCTCCCTGAAACTTTTCTATATAAGCTTAGAGAGACTTAGTATTCATTTGCATAGTTCATTTGTCAGCAGTTAGACCACTTTGCTATGCGAGTATTTGAAATCTACTCTTTTTAATTAACATATGATCCAGCGTTCAGCCTCAAGTAAAAGCTATAGAGTATTGAGATTGAGCGACGATATACATGTTGGGGGTGTATGTTATAGAGTATACCTAAAGTATGGGCTTCGATCACCAAGTTCCAGCAAGTCAACATTACCGTACTTCTCCCTTATGTCCTCTTCTGTCATTTGATCGCGCTTCCTGTTGATTCCCATCAATATGTAACGAAGAACTAAGCATGTAGCGAATGCTAGACAGTCGATTCCCAAGATGAATCCATAGCCTGTCCAATAATGAGGTGCCTCTTTTGAGAGAAAGATATTGGAGCCTGCAATACCTCCAAGATTCCCCATGCAAATGAGATGAGCCATGCCAACGGCTCTTTTAGACGAAGGAGCAAGATTATTTGCTGGATGGTTACCAAAAACGGTCAGCTATGATATCGAATAGCCCCTCCTCTGGTGTTTGCTTAGAGAATTATCTTACCGACGAAGCATAGAGTAGGAACCAACGACATGTAAATTCCTGATGTTGCAAAAAACAACATGCCATACGTCAGCCCTGGAAGCTGCGGGTGAGGAATTGCTAATAAAGCCGTGAATCCGGCTATTCCGACTGAGACTCCCAAGAGTATGAATGGCGTTCTTTGCCGGTAGTAATCCGAAGCCATGGCATTTGCAACAGTAAATATCATAGCAACAACGTAAATCGGAACAGTAAGCAGTTGCTATGTAAAAAGTCAGGATATATATTTGCCAACGTGCTTATGTGATAAGATCTTACAGCATTCGCAGCGGTGTATCCAAGTTCGAGAATTACTGTTGGTACTGTATAGGTGAAGCCGTAAGATGAGATACTGGTGGCCCAATACATAAACTTTGAGACAATTAGCCTGCCGTAGATATGGATCTAAGCGTTAAAAACAGCACTCACCACAGCTGCCCATACTTTCCAATCTGTGAGACCAGCAATTACTTGTCGCTTGTTTACTTTGTCGTTGTTTGTAACCTTGCCTCGTCCAGAACCCGTGTCCTGTTCTAGTCTTAGGACGATAAACTCCCGCTCTTCAGTAGTGAGGAAAGGTGCCGTGCTAGGGCTATCCGGTAACAACGACCAGATGAAAAATGAAAGGAAAACAGTAAATATGCCTTCCAAGATGAAAATCCTATATGTCGATTTTAGCAGTGTGGTTGTTGAGGCCACTCCTTATTTAGAGAATTGAAACTGACCAGCGCCAGCCTTCCAAACCTGCGACTCCATCCATCTTCTGGATGGCATATGCTAGTAGGCCCGAAAATGCTCCGGCTAGTGAGACTGCGGCATAAAAGAATACCATCCGAGACTGGACTTCATAACGCGTATACCAGACGGTAAGGAGATAGGTTGCTACATAGATTCAGCAACAACTTATACACAATGGCGGGTTTTCTCAATTTACCTGCAGGGAAGAACCCGGCCTAGGTCAAGACGGAATTAGTAGATGCTTATTGCAGCTAGAAAATATGTAGGCACAACTTACCTCTGCCACGCCGAGGAAAATACGAATGGCCAAAAGACCAGAAAAGTTTTGAACAATTCCAGTCAAAGTGCTATTATAGACATTAGACATTAGTTGCGATCAATATAGCGGAGGACTGGCTACAGCATACATGACTAGTCCCCAAGAAAACATCATCAATGAGATCCAAATCGATGGTCTGGTAAGCTTGAGGATGATGTTGCTTGGAACCTCCAACAACGAGTAGGGGATAAAAAACAACGTCACGGCTATATTATACTGTGTTCCTGAGAGGTGCAGATCTTTTCCCAGCCCAGCGACTTTGGCATTGCCCACTGCTTCTCGTCAACAAAAATAGAGTTAAAGGCAGAGGCAGTAAATAATGCAGCAGACTTACAGTTTCCTCGGTCAATAAAGGACACAAGATATAGGAAAGACAAGAGGGGGACAAGGCGCCAGTCAACCTTTCTCAAGATATTTTTCTGCTCCTGGGCTGTGAACGGCGGTTGGTAAGTTTCGAGCTGCTCAATAGATGGACGTTCTTTGAAGAAGTCATCCTTTTCCAGTACATCCATAGCCGGCACGGAAGTTTCAGCTGGTTCTGTGCCTTTCGGAATCATGACACAGCAATTGCAAATATTTCTCAAATGAAACCGTTTAAACCGATAAAAGCGAAGTATATGGAATATGATTAGAAGATTAGGTTGAGTGCAATCGAAAGAGAGCGTTGACGAATAAGACTATTTTATACTCAGACTCAGTCGTCTGCGTCTAAATCTCTGCCCTTCACTGCAGCCACATGATATGCATTGGCGGTACCAAGGCAATCAGGTCCCCGGTGGACCCGTATACCCCATGGGGAACCGTGACATTCGCCAGGTCTCAAGCGCGTCGATCTTCGTCCGGAATGCAAGCCGCTATCACTACGGGCAACGTAGAATTGGCCAAAATAGTCGGGACCAAGACTGATAGAGTTGAAGATGACAATGGCTGTCTACCGATGGCGGGATAGACTCCGAGTATACTACACAAACAGTGGACTGAAAACAGTGGACACAGTGCCGAGCGATGTGCTGTTGGCTTCGGAGAGGCGTCCGCCATCCGACATTCTCTAGTTGGCTTGGGGACACAGACACTTTTTCTATGGGATTTCAAAGCACAACGAAAAGATTTCGGAAATGAATTACGCCAAGCTTGTTGCCACGAGATGGAAGCTTTGACGCAGATGCACATTGTCGCAGCAGCGCGGAGATGTCTAGACTGCAGATTGATTCGCTGATTCTACCAGTGGGCAACAATGCGGCGCTACGTTTCGAACGTGGAGAAGGTTATTTAAAGACCCATACTCTTCCAATGAACCTTTTCATTGCAGTTTTCCAGACTTAACAACTCATCTCACGCTGCCTTGTGTTTGCAGTGCGTCAGCATGTCGACTATTCGTTCCTCGTTCTGGCGAGGTGGGGTTTGTAACGCACTCATCTTTCACAAATCTCATCTTCCCACAGACCGAACAAAATGGCAGCCCCTATTTGCAGCTGCCATGGGCTCTCCTGATCCGTACGGCAGGCAACTGAATGGCATGGGAGGTGGCGTTTCGTCCCTTTCCAAGGTGTGCGTTGTCTCACCGTCTCCACGAGATGATGCAGATGTGGATTTTGAATTCGTCCAAGTGGTCATCGATGATGGCTCACTTGACTTTGCCAGTAATTGTGGTAATATGACCGCTGCCATTGGGCCATTTGCTGTGGACGAAGGTCTTCTTAGCGTCCTTAACGACAGACCGGCCTCTGCGGCGAATTATACGAACGTACGAATCTACAATACCAATACTAAGAAGATCATCATTGCTTCGTTTCCTATAAGTGGAAATACTCCAAAGTTTGTTCCCCATGGAACTTACCAGATGGACGGAGTTCCGGACACAGCATCAAAAATTACGCTATCTTTCCAATCGCCCGGTGGAACACAGACAGGGAAGGTGTTGCCTACTGGTCAAAGTATAACACTATTGAACTCTGCAGACAAGAATGGAAAGAAAATAAAAGCCTCGCTGCTGGACGTAGCAAATCCAGGTGTATACGTTGATGGCAGCGATTTTAGCCTCCGGTCGGATATTACTCCTGCTGAGTTAGACCAACAAAAGCATACCTTGGCCTTGTTGGAAGCTGTTCGTCGGGAGGCTGCAGAATTGATGGGCATGAACCCAAACACAGCGAGCGTGCCAAAACTTGTGATATTATTCAAATCCACAGATCAAGAGACTTCTGCAGGCGTCAACATCAAATGCTTGGTCCTGTCGATGGGACAAGCGCACAAGGCAATCCCTCTTACTCTGGCTTTAAATCTGGGTGTCGCCTGCCGAATAAAAGGAACCTTGGCTTCTAACCTAGCAAGAAATTTGAGTCAAGATCAGGATAAACAAGTAATGATACAGCATCCTAGTGGGGTAATAAACGTTGGTGTGGATATGGTAGGAGAAGACGTTTTAAGCGCGTCGCTTTGCAGTACCGCAAGACTGTTGATGAAGGGGGAGGTAAATGTCGAATAACAAGGACAAATACTATAGAGTCTTGGACACTTTGTCTCCCCATCTCTAGTCAAATGTGTGTTAGTGATATAAACTCAGCCAATAGAGAGCTAGCGTTTTATCTTAATACTAGGGTAGCGCATACAAGTTGAGCATGTATTCTAGCCGGTTTCTTACTTACACCAAAGGGCGGTAATAGTAGTATGCAAACTTTATACTGTTTAGCAGTGTGTTTATAGATTAGTAGTATGTGACCCTTGTACTAACAATATCCTGGCTAGAACACTTCCTGTAATCAATGCGCCCAGGACTTTTGTCTCAGCGAACTCTGACATTTCAGTCTTAATGGTATTCATTATTAAAAGCCTATGCGGATTCTGCGGGTCCTTGTCATTGATGAGCAAGCATCTACAAATACTTGACAAATACATATAGATCTACACAGCCTGCGCCTTGCTGCTAGTAAAGTCAGCAGACCTGCTACTTCTTTCCAGTTTTTCTACCCGCAATTGGGTCAATAATCAATAAACATTATCGTCACACAAATATCTGTGACAAAAAGTCAAAAAAGTTCTAGTTAGTAGCTTTGGTCAAGTCTGAAATCAGGATTGCGGTGAGCGATGGCCAGCTCGTGAGAGAGACTCGAGAACATTGGTCAGCCAAGCATTGATGGCTGCAGCGGTCTCTGCCACCGAATAGTGAAGCGATAGGCAGTGGCCTGTGTTTGGCGCCATGTACGTCCCATAGTTTGTTGAGAGTGGGAAGTTCTGCGTCTTTGTGCTATCTAAAATCTTTTGGCATTGAAGAGGGCCTCCGGCACAGTAAAATTTGTCAAGATCTCCCGTCGCGACAAACACAGGGCCAGTATAATTGGAGGCCACAGTGAAGAGACCAGGGGAAAAGAACTCCTCCACTGAGACAATGTCTCGCCCGGCGAAATCGCGGGGGACAATAGAATGGTCATAGGATCCAGCGTAAAAGACAGCTCTGCGGCCGTCGATAGTGCGGCCTGTGAGGTAGCCCGAAGGATAGTTTTCGAACCGGTCTAAAACATCTGCTGCGGAGAAAAGATCGCTAAAGAAAGACGATGGTGGTGTCAAAGTCGCAGAGAAGCCAGTTAGGACATAGGCGTCAATATCCTCGGGGTGCTTCACAGAGAGGAGATTTCCGAGACCGGATCCATAGGAGTGGCCGACGTAGATGATGGTCTTTCTGGCATGAAAAAGTTCTTCGACGAGACCACTTCGAATGCGACTGATGATCTGATGCATAATTTCAACATGGAGGGGGCCCTGAACCACGTTCAAAGGATCAGGATGTTGAGGATTTTGACCGTGGCCAAGAGAATCGATAGCCAGAGTATGATAACCAGCACTGGTAGCGTAGTCATGCCAGCTATACCTCTCAGAAATGCCCAATCCGGCCCAGACAGTCTTGTTATATGTGACACCGTGAACAAGAAACTGTAGAGCTCCGACATCTTTAACCGTAGGGGGAGGTATGCAGTAGGTGCCCTCAATCACGAAGCCACCAGATACAGTTTTGGTACCCGAGATCGCCTGACTACCCGTAGAGACAGTCGAAAGCATAAAGTCGTAAATAGCCGTGGCATTATGCTCAGATGGGGGATTGGTGATAACAACATTCTGCGCACTCGCGTCGACGTAAAAGGTGATCGGGAAACAGGTGGGACCAGCAGGGACATGGTCAGCCAAAGGCCAGGCGGCAGCAAGACCAGCCACGGCCAAGGTCAAGACAGTTGGATAGAGCATGCTGTCGAGCACGAAGAAAATATGCCAGACGATGGGGAAGTGACTATGGCTGTCAGGGGATCAAGAGCCGAAGCCAGAGATTACCTTGGCCTTTATATGTGCAAATACGGTCCATATCCAGGGCGCCAAATGGCACATATTGTGGGCCATGCTGCTGGATCGGGTTACAGATCTCCGAGAATACCGGCTTCAGCAACAATCCCATCCAAGGTCATTGACATTGAGGGAATCGAATGAATACAAGCGTTATAAACGTAAAAGATTATACTATAATATACTTGCTCAAGGTACAGAGCCCCTGTATAGCTAATAGTTAAACGTTTTAGTAATTTAGTAAAAATTAAAAAAAGAGTCTGTTAATAAGTAACTCATTTTGAACAGTACAGAAGAAAAGTAGGTAGAGGCAGATATGTTACGTGAATTGTAAAGGATACTAACTGAAGTGAGTATCCCAAACCACAGCCATCGGCCCCAGATTCTGTGTAAGGTCAAAGTCACCCAGTGTGACATTGCCAACCGTCGATTTCACAAATCCAGACGCCTGGTCGCGCTCCAACACGATTAGGTTGTTAGATACTTGGTTGGCAACTGCAATAAACCGGTTGTCTGGAGAGAGCGAGAAATGCCTCGGAATCTTGCCGTACGTCGGGGTGTTCCCAATATAGACGAGATGCTCCGACTCACCCGGGTGAACCGAGTAGATGGCAAGTGTGTCGGAGTTGTATGACACGGTGTTGCGGTTCGAGACATAGAAAAACTTCCCATCGTTTGTGAGAGCCATTTCCGCGGCCAAATTGACATTATTTGGCTCTGAGCGGCTTGAGCCAGGGCCAAGGGTTGAGACTATTTGAACCAGAGCGACTTTTAGAGACGAATGTAAGCGGGGGCGACGACCATCGTTGTTGACGCCGTCGAGAGTGAATACTCTGATGGTGTTGTCCAGTTCGCTAACGAGATACATAAATGTTCGTGTGCGATTGAATTCTCGGAATGTGACATGGCGAGGTCCCGTTCCCGGCTCAAGGGTTATGTTGTTGATCTGGGTTACCCGTTCTGGCCCGTCGATATGGTAGACGTAGAGGTGGTCTGCACCTCGATCCGGTACAAACATATATTCTCCAGTAGGATCGAAGGCGGTAGCATGTGGGTTGCTTTGGATCTGAGAGTCGTCGGTTCCTGGCCCTGGGTGGGTGAGGTTGTAGTTGAAGACAAACGTAGGGTCGCCAATTATACCAGGCGATCGCAAAGGATAGATAGCCACACTCGAGCCGTCGCTAGACGAACAAACGAATCAGTCTGAGCGGTTCTACTAAATACACCGAAGATTACAATACTCACATATTAGCCGTAGATAATGTCCTGCCGTCCCTAGTAATATCGCAAAAAACGCCACCCAAACCATTTGAGGATTGAGATGTAACAAGACTCAAAGCGCCAGGATCTTCAACATGTTTATCGAAGGAAAACACCCCTCCAGAGCTTGAAGAGTTGTTAGGATAATTCGTTCTCGACACAGAATAGACCAAATTGTTGCGTGCATGCAACCAGCCCGGTCTGACACCGGCTTGGGCTGTGCCAAGGAGCTCTAGACTTCTGGATGATGATTTTGTAGGATCAAATGAAAAGGTGAGAATACCACGCTCTTGGTGAGCAATGCGTAACATTGGCAATTCTCGGCCATTAGTAGGGGAAGATAGGACTGAGCCTACAGCAAGAAGGAGCAAGCCTACAGTGAACATTGCCTCGAACACTGGCGATGGGGAGAATAAAGAACAAGCAAGCGGGAATTAGAAGATGGGCTATGTAATTGTCACGGGGCTGAGGTTGCAGACTGTAAACTCGATGAGAAAGCAGCATAGCAATGACTGACTACCACTACACACACACACACATATATATATTTACCAACAAGTTAGAAGTTGATTGACTTTGGCGTGAATCGCTTACTAGACCGTAAATCGCTTGTTATGCCGTAAATCGCTAGTCATAGATCGCTGACGACGCAGGGGCACTATCCATCATGCAAATGAGCCACCCTGAGATTACGACTCCCGTACTAGCTATCCTAGAAGTAGCCAAATCTTGAGTTACGTAATAATAAAATTGAACCTGGGTTTAATTAGACTTGAGCCTGGCGGTAAGCAGTGACAAAATGGCTGCAAGCCTCGTGGGTAAACTATATAAATTATCCTTAACTGGATTTTAGTATTGGCTGCTAGTGCCGCATTTAGGATTGTCCAATCATAAAAGTTAACATACACATATTTTGTATTCTTTGATGAAGTATATGATAGCTTATAGGAATAAGGAAAATTAATAGATATACTAAACTTGGTATATGGGTTCACAAAGATCATTGTAATAAACACACTCGGGTATATGCTACAAGTAGTATTAGCAGCAGTACCCTGGAAGAGGCTCGGAGTACATTTTGACTTTGCAGAGCCTCGGTTACAGAGACTTAAGTATAACGATAAATGTTATCAAAACGAGTAAAGGCGTATGAATCTCCTCAATTTGTCTGGTAGAACTTAAGTACAGTGGCACAGGTTCAAAGATGTATCTGCCAATGTAGCTGAGATTTGATAAACACTATTAAAGCTTCCACCTGTCTCCCTTACCACTGAACCTGCCGCAGACCAGTAGGGGAGAAATAAAATTAGCTTTTCTAATGGTAAAAGAGTATTTACATGTAAAGCTAAATAATCGTTAAATGTAGGATGCATGAAATAGCGACACGCAATTGCCGCCCCTGAGCCAATTTAGGTTTGCCTTGCGCATAGCCATCCTCATGACTATTTCTGAATTGATGAGGCAACAAGACTGAAAAAGCAAGGGGGGTACTGAATGAGGTTGTTTGGATCAAACTGAGAGGGCCAATTGGGAGTATCGCTCGAGTTGAGATAGCAATTGTAGGCGTTTATAATAGCTGACTGCATGTCCGGGACGTAGTTCTGAAATGTGGACAGATCGGAACGAGAAAGGAACTTGGTCTTGAAACTTATATCATTGTTTGAGCCTCCGGTCAGACTGCTCGAATAGGTTCCAAAGCCGATACAGGTCTGTAACACGAGAATTAGTATTGGATGGCATATATACTAACGGGAGAGGAAAGATCGTACGTTGTTATACCATATCATACTTGCAATACCCGTGCAGTCTTTCTCGGTAGTATAGCCAGTTTTCTCATTGGCGTCGCTATACAAGAATGCATAGCCTGAAGAATAGGTTTCCATGGTAGATGCCGCTTGCATAGCCGATACTACGCAATATTGGTTCTAACGGCTGGGATCAGCTAAGATTCTTTTGCAAGGACATCAAAATTAATGAGGAAGCAGAGGGTCAGAGACAGAATTTCTTCCGAAGGATGCTGTAGAGTAGCTCAACAACAGCAAGTCTTTTGTGGAACTTTCAGATGTCCTATGGCGCTTAAAAGCAGGGACGAGATTTATTAACAATATGTTTTCACTCGGCCAACGTTCTTAGGCGTCAAGCCTGGCAGCGTCATAGTCATCCCAGCATTTTAACAAGAACTTGTGTGATCCCCTGCCAGTATCTGATAAGTAAACTCTTCCTAAAGACCTAAACAAAGCGATATCTGTCCCTGATCAGGTGTTCGCGAGTCCTTTGAAGCTGGTCTTTGGGGCGGGCCTTTTGAGTCTTTCTTTAGTACATCCGATACGCCAGTAGCAATTTGGGGTAAATGTACGCCATGAATGTTATCAACACAACAGTAAATTCGCGAGATTAGGATCAATTTTACAGTTCTAATAACCGGGAGGTGCTCGATAGCAGCAAGTAGAACGCTATTGACTTGCTCTGTGGCGTTAACATCACGTTCCGAAACAACTTACCTCTGAAGCTGATACCATGAATGCCTTTTACTACGAGAAACCATGACACAACACGCGAGAGACGGCAAGGGTCCTCTTCAGTGCGACATAGACCAGGCTTGCTCATTCAAACCAAAGTACCCAATCATGAAAATCAAGGAAATGGTGGTGAACGATTTCACCTTTCATTATTTGTGTCCCTAAACTTGTCTTAGTGGAGAAGTAGGCTGGATCTCTCTAATTCGAGGTGCATTCCATATATGTCGCAGCGCGATGGCAGCTCTTTAAGCAACTACAGGCAAGCAAGTTTACGCCCCGCTATATGTACAATCATCGATCCTAAAAAGGCCATGGACAAAGAGTCGCGCTACCTCTCTACCATTGCCCGGCGCTTCAAGGACGAGGCACTAATGTTATGAAATTGATTGAAGACGAGGATCTGAACGGCGCCGCGCAGCATTTGGCGCGAACCAAAAATTAACTATTCAATATTGGTGTTTCTTTTAGAATATATTTATCAATCACTGGGATATAAGGATAAATGGCTTTTCCGTGATGCTTTGGTAGTCTTGACGATTTGCAACATATATACTGGATATGCTTTTATATTGGTGCGTCTCTTGTAGAAGAAATAAAAACTTAGTAGAATGTTATTGGATGTTCTACCGCTACAGTGGCGCAGCGTTTGAGCTTGGCGTTAACCTTGGAAGTTTTCGGCAGGCGGAGGATAGTAAGTAATACCGCCCCATCCACTTTTGATCGTTTAGCTACAATTGACTCCTTACAACTCTCAGATTCTCGGCTTTCATCTCTTATTAGCTTAAGTGGAACTTGGGCGTGGACCGCTTGGCTCGAATTGTTCACAGTGCTTCAGCATGAGCGGCCCTCCACGAGACAAGGCTGTTGCTGATGGCCAGGCGGAAACTAGGAACCTCATCCCTGCTGCATCTCTAAATCATACTTGTCAGGTAAGACGAAAATGTCCTCTTTGCTCAACTAAGCTCGTCAATTAACGCATGTTATCGCTGCTAGAACTGTATGTTTGTTCACGACGGAGCATTCCACCCACATGGAGAGACTTTGACTGTTCAGCAGCGATGTATTCTATCTTGACGGCATGCGTTATTGCGCGTATTCGATACGAATACCATGAGCCGATGCAACAACCATTGATGCTTAATTACTAACTCAAAGCAGCCTACTTTAGATTGCACCAATCGGATAATATCTCAGGCATTACGCATGCCCAATTCATTTATTACATGACGCAGAATGCAGCCAAACACAGCGCGCGGCTTCTTATAAGTGCCGCGCTCCGCTCTTCGACAAGGGAGTTTCAAATTCTAGCGGCAGCCGAAAGCACAGAGATGATTGCAGCCTGCCGTGATGGCCCGGTTTGAGACAGCGACTAGAGGCAAAATTCAGTTTCGCAAAATGGCTGGGCAACAACATTATTATCGTCTATCAGGCGAATGCTTCGCGTCAGCCTCGTGCTGACGCGTATGCGGTTCGTCGTCTTGTCCGCTGCAAGTCTTTGTGCCGGATGCTACTCCTTGATGATGCCCCGTGCTAAGCCTATAGCTGGCTATATAAGTCTTCAACCAATTCAAAGAAATGTAGCCAACCGCGGTTATTCCAAGTCAATATCTTACACACCTGCTCACAACAAAATGCAGTTCTAACTCTTTCTTTCGCTTGCCTTCGTAGGCGCAAGCAATGCAATACAGACCAACACGCCAGTCTTTACCGACGCTACCAATGCATCTGCATTACTGGTAAATGTCGTTGAGTCACTAGGTGGAAAAAATGCTTTGGACCAAGTCCACGACCTAGTGATGAAGTCTCAAGGGTGAGCAAGACTTACAGATTTGGAAAGCTCGAGACTAACATGCTGCAGCATCTACGAAGCCAGACACTCACGCAAGATTACAACCTCTATAGATCTGACCAGAGTACTGCCGAGACTGGCACAGAGACTCTCTCATTTGACTTTTCTTCTGGGCTGCAAGCTCGCATCGATCGATCGATACTATCGATACAACGACTACTGGATCTGGTCGCAGCCGACTCTTGAGCCGAATATGAACTATACTATAGTGATGAAGGACGGTGACGTTGGCTATGCTTGCTTCACCAAAGGGCAAAACTCGTTCTTTATTGATGATCCTACTCAAACCCTAGACTATGCGGTTTCTTTTTTGACTGATTATTTGGTCAATTAAGTACATCAGTTTGCTCTGCCTTGGTTATTGAAGCAATTGATTGTGACACCTTCCAATCTTCGTTCATATGAAATGATTGAGCCCCTTACCAATAATCGCTTCCGAGTGCTGGAAATGATTGGCTCCGAGCTTAGCCTCATCGTCAATGGTACAACCCACGTCCCATACAAGATCCCTGCTTTAGAGCGACATGCGACATTTGGCAACTTCACAAACGACTTACTCTTGTCGAACTACTCTACAGTCTCCTTCGGCGGCGATTCTGAACTCAGCTTTCTTCTGCCTCACCGGCTGCAAACAGTCTTTAACTCAGTAAATGTTCTGGAAGATGTCAAATTCGACAGCATCACGCTCAACCCGACATTTGACCGAGGCTTCTTTGATCCCCTGCCAGTATCTGACAAGCAAACTCCTCCCCAATCTCCCAAATAAAGCGATGTTTATCCTCGATCAGAGGTTCACGAATCCTTTAAGGCTAGCCTCTGGGGCAGACCTTTTGAATTCTTCTACAACACATCTAACATAACCGTCAACTATCCGATCCCTAGCATCCCTCAGATCATGTCCGTTTACGTCGGCTACGCAGACTACGTACAGCTCGTTGTCAATTTTACAGATGGTATTCTCGTCACTGACGCAGCTCCTCACCGTTCACGGATACTGTTACAGTGGGTAATGGAGAACTTTAACAAGCCAATTACTCATGTCGTACCCTCTCCTCTCATCACCATAGAGACCATGCTGGCGGTGTACCAGACTACGTCGCCGCTGGAGCTATGCTTATTATTCCCGAGATAGCCAAAGTCTTCTATTCCGAGGTCAATGGGGGCAACGTCAATTTCGCAACATATAATGAAACCGACCCTTTCATTCTCAAAGATGACATTGTCCAGTTTCGCCCTGCGTGGAGGGAAGAGAACCCTCACGCTAGAGATTGGCCCTATGGCATCACGACGTCAGCTTGTCCATCAGATAGCGAGGGATTGCAGCATTCATCGCTGACGTGTGGAGTCCGGCCCCAAATACGACTGAGGGAGACGCGGTACGCTTTGACTCTGGATACGCAAGGCAGTGGTTGAATATTGCTGTCCAAGATGGGCTGCCAAGACATGCGGTGGTTGTCGGAGCCCATGGAGGAGTCACGACGACTGACAGGCTGGAGAGCTTGATAAATATCACAGGGTACGAGTATCCAGTCTTGGAAACGAAGTCATGAAGGCTTGGAGGTGCCCTCTGCGATTCGAAATAAAGATTATCATAAAGCGAGGAAATGCAGATGGATAAGCAATCTGGGCGCATTTTCTGATATTTCTTCGCTGATAAGTTCTATCAAAGCTTTTCTTATCTTCTTAACGTTAATATCAGGAGATTGTCGTTGTATAGACAGTGTAACATAGAGGTACATTAGTTGTTAGTTTAAATTGAGGATACAGCCTAGTGGCTAATCAGCGTTCTCTAACCCACATTGCGCGCTTACCCTTTGAGGTTGATCCCTTTGGTCTGCGACCGTTGAAATTGTGGAATAATACCAAAGCATCGTCTGCCATGGTAATATCTTCAAAGACATTGCACTGTTACTCTTAAAGGTTATCGCCCACAGCAAAAACTAAGTTTATGCCTTGACGGACGCTGTGCTTGGCCCTAAGCAACAGTGTCTATTTGTTTAGTGGCGCAAGGTAGGTGGAGAGTTGAAACAGGTACAGTAAAACCCATGGCGTTAAGTTGTCCGCCCAGGTTGTCTTTGTGGGATTGTAGCTAATTTCTACGGTACCGTTCGCAGCACCCACCCCCTGCCTTGATATATTTACATGAAGATCGATGTATACTGCGCTAGCTTAATCGATTACTAATTAATCATTTGCAATTTCAATAGTCCACATAGTAACACTAAGCAATTTCAAAGCAGTCCAATCTGCTGCACTAATATTCCTATCCTTGCAAAAAAGTTATACTTCATATAGGTTCTCTCTAGTCTTGGACTTTTCAAAAACCAGTCATTCTCTTTCTTTACCCAAGTCTCAAAATAGTGTTCTCCACCCCTAATCTCAGCGTAGTGAGATATTATTATTTGGTCTTCCATGCTCCAAATAACCCTTACTTCGTCCGATGCCACCATTTCAAACTCAGCGTTTCCGATCATATGAAGTGTTTGAGCGTTGGTGAAGAATTTGCCGAAATATTTAGCAAAAGCGTGGATAGAAATAAATGACAAGCGCTTGCGCCCAATTATCATAATTGATCCATCGGGATTGTAAAAGCTTAGTTCAGCATTTGGTAATGCTACTAGCTCAAATTTGCCCCATTGCTTGGTGTCCATGTAACAGACATATTGAGATTTCTTGTGCCGAATAATCTCTGCGATTTCCATATTGGGTAACATTTTGAGAGAATCCAACTGTTTAGCCCTATGGAGGAGGGACGGTTATACGCAGACAGCGATGCTACCCTGAATTCTTTGAGATGGGTAGAGTAGCGGAATAAGAATGGGACGTAGTTCTACAACTCCGATCGTTTTGCCGGCAACCTGGGTGCTGCGGCCGCCCAACTCCGCATTTGCGGACAAAAGTGCCGGAGCTGCCTATCTAATGTAAAGAAGCTTGTTTGTTGCCCAGGGCCGCCATTTTCTGATGAAATCGACGATTAGTTTGAAAAGGGGCACCAATGAAATTGTAGTCGTGGTATTTTTGCTAAAATATCATTTCAGATGTTACTGCCAGGCTAAACCCTATCCTATTTGCCCATGTCCAAAAATAACATGCGACCTTCGCAGCCTGCTGTTTTCTTACATACCTAAGCAATAGTCCCTCATCACCTTATCCGCTGGTGAACTAGCGAGACGCGGAATAACCTCCCAACACCTCACAAAACAACATTGACCAAGTTAACTATGCGCACTCGAAGTAGAACCGGGTGCACGACTTGTCGTAAGCGACGCATGCGTTGTGGAGAAGAGAAACCTGAATGGTGAGTGGTAAGGTTATATTCTGAGTAGCACACAAACCTAGCGTCTGCCTGGTGATTAGATGATCCCCTCGTGTCGGCAGCAGCTAATTGGAGCATAGCCTCAAGTGTCGGAAATCCCTGCTGCAATGCGAGTACACTGTGGTTATCCCTTTGCGGGAACGACGCGCAAGATATGAGACCGTCCTGTCTGGCATACAGCCAGCATGGGTTGCATCGGGCTCCTCAGAACTATCAGTAACAAGATCAGCCTGTCTGGTGTCATCCGTACCCAGAACGATGCCCGGTCAGGTGACCTTTGATCCATTCAAAAGCCTAAGCCTTGATCTATCTTATGACCAGATGCGTCTCTTACAATACTGTAGGTGAAGCCCTGCCTGTAATTAATTGATGCCATGACTTCTAATACTCAACAGTTATCGAAGACTCTGCGCCAAGAGGATGCGATGGTCACTGGAAAAAACTCCGAAGAGAGAGGTGAGTTGTATAACTGATACTTTCTCTAGTACAAATCTGACCAAACTTTAGCTACACGCAAATCTGTCGAGATCCAGCGGCCCTGCAAAGCTCTATCCTCATCGCCGCCCTACATTATAAGTGGAATGTGGGTCATCTCTCAGATTTTGAGTCTACCTTGTTCAAGCAAAAGCACGAGGCCATCACTGCAATAAACAGGACCCTCCACGTCAAGACGCCCAACTCTTTCGTTGATTGTGTGAGGTTGATTGCTACGATGGCAGCCATAGAGGTAACTAGCCCCTTCTCGCTCCATGAGCAACGAGGCTCAACTGGTCTAGGCTTGCTCGTACCACATGGACGCAGCCGAGGTTCACCTGAATGGACTACTTGCTGTTATAGACCATTCCCAGGCGTTCCAGATGAGCTCTGGCGCGGACGACTGCACGTTTGACCAAGAGCTCACAAACCGATATTTCCTCCTGCATGTTATTCATTGGTCCCTGATCCTTTACTATTTTACTAACATCTCTATAGGGTGTTGCAAATAGTGCGGGGACTCAAATCGTCGACTCTCACCGGTCCTCTTGGTGGCCCTGGAACTGCTCTAACATCATTGAACCAGAATGATCAAGCCAGGCCCAAAGTGTGGCTTACAACTATTGTTGAGGCGCTTCGATTATTGCCATACTTCCTGATTCCAACAAAGCTTGCCGGAGACATGCCCGAAAACTTTGATGCCCCCGAAGGCACCGAAGAAGCCAGAATGCTGACCGACTTCATGGACGCGAGGAGTAAAGGAATGAACCATGTCGCAGAATACATTCTGCAGCGGTGTGAGCCGCGGGCGGACGGCGCGACTGTGTCGAGCGTCTCGAAAGAAGTGAACGCCGTCAATTTCGAAGCATTCATGATCCCCGGCAGAATCACCACAAGCCCCAAGGTGGATTCCAAGAGATACCTTGAGATCTCATGGTGGGGATTGCATTTTGCTGGTAGTCTGTATTGGAGCAGCATCATGGACCGCTCCGTGTTTGGGAAAGATGTCGAGGAACGTTTGCTCCGACAAGGCATCTTACATGTTGAAGCCGGACTGCGCATGACACAGTTCGATATTAAACAGCCATTCTCTCTAAGGGCGTCACTATGGTTTTGGAAGGCCTTCCTGGGAGCCTACAGCCTATTCCGCGCTTCACATCATGGACAACGCATTGAAACATGGGCACGAGGCCCAAGAAACCACCTTCAATTCTGCGTAAAAACATGGGCACAGGTCTCGGCGATGAGGGAATGGGCGGATGCAAAAACGGTCCTCAGGCAAGTCTGCTGGCCCATGGCGTCGCCAGAGGACCATCTCGCAGAATCGATGTGGAATGGCATTGTGGCATGCTGAGAAGTTGCTAGATGAAGAGCATCAACTATAGTACCGCCATTAACTAGGTTATCAGTCGTATCTGTCTGGTTTCATATCTCGCTTTGTCGATGCCCCATGACCTAACTTTTCAAAGTGATCATCAATTTATTGGGTGCCGATGCCGACCCTCTTACAGAAAGAGATAGACCCGGTACCTTTTCATCAACCAAGCCCTGGCTATTGTGGGACTTTTGTGAGTTAGAAGTCCGGCGTTCTTGTAATGCGTCATTTTTAATTTCTCCCGACAGGTTACTACTGAGCCGCACGATTCTTCAGACGTTTATATCACCCCGTCCCTAAGGGAGGAAGATAGTCAGCACATCCGGGCTTATTGCAAAACAGACAAATAACCATACCTGACGTGGCTTATACAGGTACAGAGCTAGGGTTCCGAATCGATTCCTGGCCTATACCTGATGGAGGGATCTATAATCACCAGCCCCTGCTAGCTTGATGCTAAAACCATGGCTTATATAGGAGGCCAGCGGACGGTTTACATCTTCACGAAGACATCGAAGTCAGGCTTAGTATAAGGCTCGCAAGCGTCATGAAATCACAGCTGCAGGAGGCTAGTAAGAAGAGGATTAACAGAATCATCAAGAAGGCAGAGCTGTTGAGTACTGGGCCACTGCGGGCCATGGTAATGAGGAACAGCAGACTCCAGCGCTGAACCCATATGATCCATCATGAACTGCTCAACTACCTGGGCCTAGCAGCAGAGTTAGTCGTAGTCATTAGTGATAAGCCGTAATGATCTTAGACGCATATTACACATTCTGTGCAATATGTCAAATGGCGATAACATTGTGTGGAATATCCTCCTGGTGGCTACGTTTTGTCAGATTCCTACACTCCTGTAGATATTCGTCATTCCCAGCTTGGATCGCAAAGAAAATGAGGATGCGATCTAGCGCCTGAGGTGAACCCAAGAATTGTCTCGCTACTCAGGCCTAGTATCTTCTGCCTTTATGCTCCTTGCAACCTATTTTTACCTTAGAGTCCATCAGCTGGGCGTGATAATTTATATCATGTACCGGCCAGGAGCGTTTGTCTCTCTCCCTGCCGGTCAAAGAAGAAAGTTTTTAATCTCTTTATAGGCGCAGTTGGCCCAACTGAAATGCTAGATTGGGGTTTGCTTAAACAAGCTCCACGACCTCCTTTTCATGCTCTGAGAACCAATGTATCTGCGAGCCAACGGATTCCACCCCCTTGGCCACTCCCACGCCTCCGGGTCCCAAGGGTCGGTACATTTCTTCCAAATGAAGTTTCTATCCATATGCATCGCCTTATACCTTTGTTCTCCGCCCCAGCTGGTATTCGTTTTAAGACAAGTCCTGTTGGGCCTCCGCTATCCGACGGCCGGCTAAACTCGAAGAGTTTTACGTCTAGAACTGGCATGAAGAACAAGTAAAGGAATTCGGACTATATTTCTCAGCGTTCGACTGCATTCAACACACTAACAGAGTGCCATATGTGCTCAACTTCCACCGTTATAAAGAGGGTGCACAACACAGGCTCGTCACGCATATCAAAAACGCAGTAAATTAGTAAGCTTACCATGGCCCTTCTCATGATGAGTTGTACGGACAATCCCCCTTTTGTGTCATCAATACGTGAAGTCATCGCCAGGGCAAAGGTTAGAGTAAGCCTCTGCGGAGTCTTGATGCGTCTCAGAAGGGCTCCCGACTTATCGTCCATCTTCAACTCTTCCGTTCCATCAAAGTTGATCTCACTAAAATTCCTGAGAGGAGAAATTGCTGTGTTTATTTGTTTATTTGTTTTATTATTAACGTCCACTAAGTAAGCTAGTTATATAAATCCCTTTTAGGCAATAGAATAGTAAGAGCCGCAGATTTAAAGTCTGCGTTTACTATATATTATATAAAATAAAGGAAAGTGTTATATTAATTTATATTTATTATATTAGTCTAAGTCTTAGGGGGCAGGGCTGTAAGGGCTTGTGTTTTTTACTAGTGTTTAAAAGTGCTTATATCTATTAGGGCCTAGTAGGTAGGTAAGGGGGGTAATACTTATGCGAAGGTCTTTTTTAAGGACCTCCGGCAGCTAGGGTTAAACTATTTTATATTTTATAAAATAGCCTTAAGTCCTTAATTTATTATACTTATAAGTAGGCCTAGTGTTATAGCTAAATCTTTTATAATATTTAATAAAGTCCCTATGTCTTATCCTTTTTATGTAAAGCTTATAAAGTATAGCTTTTAGGAGTTAAAGTTCCAGGGGTTTAAGAAGAGTGTTTAGTTACTAGTGTCTATAGTAAGGCAGTTAGTTTTAGTCTTAGTTTAGCTCCTAAAGCTATTTCCTTTTGCTTTTAGCTTACCTTTTAATATAAGTTATTATTATAGGCCTAGATAGTAATATAAGAAGCTTTAATCCTTCCTTTATAAGCTTATTTACTACTTTATTTTTATATATATCTTTATGCCTAGGCACTTAAGCTACTTTAGTCTAGATTCTTAGTTTTAAATTTTTTATAACTTTTTTAAGGCTTATATAAGTATTTTATAAGGAGTAAGGTATTTAGCTAAGAATCCTATTTACTACTGCTAAGTTATTTAAGAAAAGAATAATTTTATTAATACTTAAGTTTAGCTAAGCTCTTTCCTTAGTGAGTTTAATTGCCTTATAGGCTTTAATTACTTCTATATTATATACTTTAGTGTTAAAAAGGTAACTATTAAACTTAATAGCTTAGGCCTTATAAAAAGTAACTACTCCTTATTTTATATTACTAAACTTATCTTATAAGCTATTTAAGTAAGTAACTAGGGTAAAGTTTAAGAGGCTATTTAGCAGTTTAAGGTAGCTCTTAGCTGCCTTTTCCTTTTTAATTCCTTTAAACTTAAGACTAGAAAAAATTACTTTATTATTATAGGCAAAGAGGGAGGGTTTAACTATGTGTCCTGCTAGGGCGGCTGTGCGCTAGAGTCTAGTTAAGGGGGCCCCTGCTAGTTTTTTATTTACTCTTTTACTAATAGGGTAGTTTTTATTTAAGTAAGTAAACCTAGCTTTAATTTAAACCCTTGCTTAGGCTAAAGCTAGTAAGGCCTTTAAGACACCTAACTCCCTGTATATAATCTTTAAGTTAGTTATTTTCTATACTAGGACTATAGCTCTCGCCGCTGCCCTAGTAGCCTTATTTATTTTTTTAATTAAATTATTTATACTAGTACTAGTAGTTTTAAAAGGGTTAAATTAGCATTATTTTATTAGGCCTAGCTACTAGGTATTTAGCCTATAAAGGAGCACTAGGAGAATATATGCCTTAGCTGCTAAGGCTATAGTGTCTAAGGGTAAGCTTTTTATTATTTTATTAAGGGATTTTAGGAAGTTAGTTACCTTAAGGGCTTTTCCTATTATAACCTTAATATATTTTTTAAAGGAGAGTCTTAGGTTTAAGTAAACGCTAAGTTATTTTATTAATTTTTAAAGGGGAATTACCTTACCCTTAAAATTTATTTAATTTAAGCGGATATCCCTTTAAGTATAGTAAAAGTAAACTAACTTAGCTTTATTTAAGTTAAAAAATACTATATTCTCTTTTCCCTAGCTTAGGGTATCTTTTAGCTTTTATTATAATATTTTAATGGTTTCTTTAGTATCTTTTCCTATAGCTATAATACTAATATTATTTATATACTTAAACCTAAAGCTAGGGTTATTTAGCTAAAGGATAAGGTAAAAGTATAATATAAAGATAATTAGGGAGATAAGGGACCCTTATAGGGCCTTATATTTTAATTTAGTGCTACTAAGCCTAGATCTATAGCTATATTATATAAAGGCCTCTCTATTACTTATAAAGGAATTTACCTAAAGAATAAAAAATAAGGGCTATCCTTATACTCTTAGTCTTTAAATAAGTCTATTATATATAATAATATTAAAGGCCCCTGCTATATTAAAGGTAAATAAGAAGGTAATTAGGCCTTTAGCTAAGGCTATTTTAATATTATAAACTAAGTATATAATTAAGTTTAAGGCCGCTTACTTAAGGAGCGCTTTAAAGTATTAATTTAATAATTTCTTATATTTAAGTGCTAATAAAAAGACCCTTTTAATAAAAAGTCTTTTTAATCCTTTTTTTATATATAATAAGAGTAAGATTAATTTATACCCTTTATAAGTAATATAAGCTTTCTTTAATTTTCTTAGTTTAGGGATAATAGTAACTTTAGCGCTTCTAAAGGGAAGGGGGTAGTAGCCAATTTTAAGGCACCCTTAAAAAAGGTTAGTAATATAGCTACTAACCGCAGGCTAGGCTAATTATAAAAGCGCTACTAAGATCCCATCCGCCCTAGGGGCAGTATTACCTAACCCTATAGTAGCCTTTTTAGCCTCCTTTTCTAAGACTTCTATATTTTATTTAATTTTCTTATTAAGGGGGAGATCTTCTTCCTAGGGGTCTAGGATATTCTCCTCTATAGTTTTTCTCTTAAGTAGCTTATCCCTAAGGAAGGTTACCCTTTCTATAGGGTCTAAGATACTCTTATCTTTATTAAATAAAAGGGGAGGTTAAAAGCAGTCTATAGCTTTTTACTATTTAACTAAGGTTTAGATATTCTTTTTAGCGCTAGCATTAGTAATAATCTTATCCTAGTGCACTTTTTTACTTTTTTAAATAATATCTTTAAGTTATTTTTTAATAGCTGCTTTTTTTTATAAGCTATTAAAGGCCCTTTTTATTACTTTATAAGCGGCTTTATATTCCTTAATTTACTAAAGGGCGCTATATTTATTTTAATATTTAATTTTACTAATAGCTTTTAAGATATCTTTAAAGAGGTTTTATAAGGCTTTAGTATACTTATTTAAGTTTCCCTTTAAGGGTTTTTTTAAGTTAATTATAAAAAGGGTTTATATAAAGGAGTATATTAATTACTTAAAGTCTTTATATTTTTTAAAAGGAAAGTATTTCTTTTTAGCTTTAAGAGTAAAGTAAATAAGTTTTAATAATATAATAATAACTATATAATAATTTAACGTTATATTTAAAGAGCGTTTAACTTTTAAAGTAAGTAAAGTAATTTATAAAGATAAAATTAATATACTTCCTTAAGTCCCTTATAGGGGAGTTTACTAATAAGGGAAAAAGGTTATACTTATTAGCTTATTTTATTATTTTATTTCCCGCTAAGTCTAGCCTTTTACTTAGCTACTATATTTAATAAGTAGCATTAAAGTTACCTGCTATAATAAATTAAGGGGGCAGAGGGCCTTATTTAATAAGGGTATTTATAATAATATCCTCTAAGGCCCTTTTATAAATATTAATAATTATATAGCTATAGACCTTAACTTAATATATATATTTATTCTTTAAGCTTAAAGGGGAGAGTTATTTACTAGGGAGGTTAAGGGAGATTTTAATAAATATAAGAACTAAGGGTTTAATATCTCTTTAATTATTTAAGGGATTATATACTTAAAATTTAAGGTAATTTTTAATTTACTTTTTATTTAATATTTTATTTTACTTAATATAAGGTTCTTAAATAAGTATAATATTATAGTTACTTTCCTATATAAGTAAGAAAGTAATATTTTAATAAGGGCTATTTTTCTTAATATTTACTTAAAAGATTTTAAGGCTAGTATTTCTTTAATAGCTATAATAGGGCTTATTACTTATAAGGCTATTATAAGGGGTTTATTATTTTTATTAATAGTTTTCTTTATATTATCCTTTTTATTTTTTATTTTATTTTCTAAGCTTACTATATATACCTTTAATCTTATAAGGGAGTTATTTATTAAGTTATTATTAAAGTTAACCTTAATAGTAACTTTTTAAGCAGGGGCCCTAGCGGGCGGCTAGGGAGCGGAGCTAGGAAATAAGTGGCAGATCTAAGGGCCCCCTTTTAAGGGATTAGCTTCTAAGAGGGCTTTATTTATAAAGGTAATCTTAGCAACTAAGGCTAGCTTAAGTAAGTTAGCTTTTATATATTCTTTTTATTTTAGCTTTTTAATTACCTTAAGCTAGTTTTTAATAGTATAAACTTTCTCCTTATCCTTAATAATTAATTTAGCTAAGTACTTAAGGGAGTCTACTTTATATAGGCTATTATAGTTAATATATTATAGCGGGGAGGGGTAGTTTACTATAGTATTTATATACTTATTTAAGGGCTTACTATACTTTAAGTATTTTTTAATTTTAATATAATTTTATAGGTTATAAAATCTAAAGTAGCAGAGGTATTAGGTAATTTTAGGTTTTTAAATTTAAGCCTTTACTAAGTAAGAATTATTAAATAGCCTAAACTTAGGTTTAATATTCTCCTTAAAGGATATAAAGTAATAGTATATATTTAAGGATTTTTTAAAGGGGGCCTTATAAACTACTATTAGTAATTCCTTAGCCCTTACCCTAGCGCGCGCTTCCTTTAAAATTAGCGCATTTATTAAGTAAGTCTTATTTATATTTATATATATTTTTAATATACTATATATAAGAAAAACCTTTTAAGAATATATTTCTTTAATTTTTAAATTATTACTCTTAGCTATAGGTTTAAGTATAATAATTTTCTTTTTTATATTTTAATTTTTTACTTAAAGGGCAAAGCTTAATTAAACCTCTTAAAAGTAAGTAATATTCTTATTTTTAAGCTTTAAGGAGCTAATTAATTCTTATTTAGCCCTAATAGCTATTATCTTTCTCTAGCTATAGTCTAAGGGGACTTAAATAAAAATGCAGTTATTAGGCTTTTAATTGCCTATAGTGGTTTTATTACTATTTTTTATTTTAATAGTAGGGGCCGGCCTTATGCTATTAAAGGAAGGATTCTTTTAGGTGTTAAGGCCCTTCTATGGCTTTTTATTATAAGTAATATCTTATAATATAACTTATGCCTATATAACCTTAAAGCCCTTCTAGCTTACTTTTTTAGTGGTTATAAGGGCTCTTGCTATAGTAAGGTTCTTAAGGCTATTTAATTTATCTTCCTTACTATAAGATATATTAGCTAATGCTATTTTAGTTAATTAAGTAGCTCTCTTTTTACTGCTTAATTTCTTAGGGTTTTTAGGCCTCCCCTTAGGATTAATATAAAAAATAATAAAGTTTTTAAGTATAGTATTTAAGTATAATTAAACTTATTTTACTACCGCTAAGGAAAGCTAAAATATATATTACACTAAGTAAGAGTTAATAGCTATAGCTATATTTAATATTATATCTTATTTAATATATTATTATTTATTAATTTTATTAATTAAATTTATAACTTTATTCTTAGTAAGGGATTTTCTCTTTTTATTTATAATAATAGCTTCCTTTATACCGCTAAAAATAAAGGTAATAATACCTTTTATTAATTTTTACATAGCTACTATACTAGGCTTTACTTTATTAAAACTAAGTAAGAATATATTATTTATTATATAAACTTCCTTATAATATCTTTTCTTTTTAAGAGTAAAGGGGAGAACTATAGTCTCTCTTACTCCTAGGATTAAAGGGGTTATCTCCTTCTATAGTTATATAGCAGTCGCTAGCCTAGCGGCAATAGGGTTAGTTTTATTTTAGTTATTTAAGGGGATTATAAATGTTTCTATCTCCCCAGAGACCCTAGAGAGGGCTGTAAAAGGGTTTATTAAAGTTATTTTATTTAATAGCTAGTTAAATAGGATAAGGTTTTTTAATAGTTGGGCACCTAAAAGGTGGGGTACCTGTAGGTGTAGGAGGGAAGCTTGGAAATTGCTGTGTGATCTAGAAGGATGTCATCCGTTGTTTGAAAGAGTCGGCAGAGCCCACCGATATCTCGTCAGACTCACAGATTCAACCTCTCACTGCCTCCTCATGTTCCATCCATGCGGGTACAGCGGTCCAGGAATGCAGCGCCTTGACTTTCTGAAGCCACTCTTTGGCTCTGAGCGCGGCACACGAAACCGAGGGTTTCATTTGGACACTGGTTCGGAACCTTGGCTGAGAGCCTCCATTCGCGGTTCAAACCTTGTTCTCACGCTTGCTCGTCGAGACACATGCTATTCTAGTATGTAAGTCATTATCTCCGGACAGTTGGTGGTTGAAGTCAGAGAGATCAGAGCCTTACCGGGATTGGCCGTTGTTTTTCGCAGCCAGGTCCGCCTCTTTGTGCACCATGAGTACGGGTTACGTGTAGGTAATTAATTGAGTCCGGCTGGAGTCTGCGTTCGACCTAGTTTTGTTCCTCCCAAAGTCGTCGTGGATGTGGAGGGAGCCTTGGTGATGAGGGGGGTGCGATGGCGGGGGCGGAAAGTTTGACTTGCCAGCGTACGACGTGACATTGATGGGGATATAATCTTCACCCGCCTCCCATTACTCGACACAAGCAGTCGAAAATGGTACAGATCCAAAATTTTCGATGGTGGAGAGACATCCTCTACCAGTTGGTTGTGCTTCCCAACCACTACAATAGAACATTAATCAAGTTGGGATAACAAGTAGGGCACAATCGGAGTTACCTTGGGCAGCGCATGGTAACCATTTCTCAGCTTCGACATCAGCTTCGAGTGCATTCATAAACAGTTGTGGATTAGCAATAGCCTTGTAACCATCCCCGGTCTACAAGGGCCTCATGGCTTTGTTATTGTATACGCGTGATCCTGTCGGCTCTGGGCCACCCTTGATGGTGCCTGCGGTTATCCAGCCATGAGGGCTCGGGCCGCGCACGAGGATGGAGCGGTGAAAGTTGTGGTGAGCGGATCCAAGTTGGTCAGGGTCCAGCCGAAATACTCGCTTGAAGGCATCTTCAGCTCGACCGGCACGGAGGAGTAACAGTTTCGAAGAATGATTACTGCGACGATGGTGAGGAGAGATGCGTCCACTTTTGTAGGCCCAGGTTCGCTTCTATTGGCTCCATTTGCTTAGGTGCATTTAGGTGGCGATGATCCTTCAGATCAGATATTGACTTGGCTGCCTGACAACCAAATGAAAGACTGCCCAGACGTTCGAAGTTCTTCCGAAAAGAACTTTTGAGCAGTAGAGCTTTTCGACTTCTTCACTCACAATCCTTAGTAGAGAAACAACCATCGCCACCATAGACACTGTTGTGTCCGAGCGTAGTTTACCCCAGGCTGAGTCTAGACCTCCATTCGCCGGGATCTTTGCAAACTCCTGTCCCAACGTTAGCCGCTCCGTGAGGCTGGACTGGTGCGATTCTGAGATATAACGCAAGGGCGAATACCAAAGTACCTACATGCTACAAATATTTCGTCCAAAAGTAGCATAGTTAATCCCACTACATTGACAACACGACTTTTCCGGATGGTAATTATGGCTTGGCGTCTCATGGAGACGTCATATATTGAAGCATGCTGCGTCAGTCAATTCTCTGCCTAGATTGAAGCTATAAATCCTGAGAGAGTGTAGGGGCGTCAGATTGCAAGGATTTGCCAGACTTGATCTGTTACTTTCTGACTATTTGGCCCTAGAGCAATTTAAAATCTTCTTTCCAAGTTCTTTGACTGCCTCGTTATACTTCTTGATTAGACTAGGATTGGTTATTCGGCCGGATTAAGCCAAGCTTCGGAAAGATATAACTCTCGACCCGCTTTTATCGACTATGCCGATTAGTTGCTGTGTTGGAATCCGGAACACTTTGATGCGCCGACGCCGCTTTTTGAGCCTAAAAGGCATTCAGAAGTGGTCGAGATACTCATGAGATGGTTATACTTTTGTCATCATCTGAGAATCTCCTGTCGCTCGAAAGTCGACTGACCCTGTGTAAAGTCCGCCTCGAGGAGTGGCTTGGAACTCCGCATACCACCTGCCACACACGACAAACTTTGGGAGTAGACCAACACATATATAAGACGGAGGAGGGATGGTGCCTCGAAACATGACTTAATTACTTGATTCTTGAGATTGCCTTCATTCTATCAATATCTGCGCTTGTAAGCCAACATTCTGTACCTCGCCTGAGCTTGTATTCACCAAATTATGGGTCTTTTCCAACCGTCAATCCCGCCCTTACCACCCGGAATTGACCTCGCCGGTCAGACCGTCGTAGTTACAGGAGCAACCTCTGGTATTGGACTGGCTGTAGCTAAGCGAATAGTCAAGCTGCACGCATCAAATGTCATCTTCGCCGTACGAGATACCGTGAAAGGAGAAGCCCTCAAGGCGTCTTTCCTAGCAGATCCCGAAATACGGTCCGCAAATCCCAAGGGTACCATTCAAGTCATGCAGCTCAATATGGAAACATACGAGAGCGTCAAGACATTCACGTCAGAGTTTATGCGACGCTTCGGCGAGCTTCATGTTCTTTTGCTGAACGCTGGAGGCATGTCACATCAGCGCGAGATGGTATCTTCTGGTCACGAGAAGGCAATACAGGTCAACTACCTGTCGAATGTCATGCTCCTACTCGAGCTGCTTCCATTGTTGGAAAGCACGGCGGACAAGGCTGGGAAACCCTCGCGGGTAACTTGGACTGGCAGCCGCTCGTACCGACAGACGAGTCTAAACAAAAATCCGCCTTCTGTCTCCAAGGGTATACTCAACCACCTCGACCACGCGGAAAGCATCCCTCTGTTTACTCGGTATGCAGACAGCAAGCTTCTTGGACTTTTGTTTTTGCGAGAGCTAGCCAACCGCTACGGCCATGACAAAGTCATCATCAACAGCTTCTGTCCCAACACTGTCGATACGGGCATGGCTACTTCGATGCCTTTCTATCTCCGTATTCCTGCTGCAGCGATAATGAAGGTCAAGGGTAGGAGTCCAGATGAAGCTACCTCTATCGTGCTCAACGCGGCATTTGTAGCCGGGGAGGAAACGCATGGAAATCTGCTGGAGGATTGTACTGTTGTGCCGTTATCCATGTTTGTGCAGTCCGACGAAGGAGCCAAAGTTCAGAGCCAGTTATGGAATGAGACCGTGAGTGAGATGGGAAAATATGTGCAGCTCCCGGCATGGATGGCGACGTCGGACTGATGGGATTGAACGTTTAACTTTGTTTTCTATGTAGATTCAATTGAATTAAGGTATAAGATAGCTATCGTGGCCGTCAAGAATCATTAGCTGGTATTTACCTCGAATATATAATTTCGTTAATAGATTAAATAGCTTTTGTAGCTAGCGAAGGCTCATCTGTGTTCTAGCTATTCTTTGAAACTTTAATACGCTAGCTTCCTAGTAGGTTATCGAACCAGGCCTTGAGATAGATCTCACGTTTAAATATCACACATAGCGGTAGCGAATAGCCATTTACGTAGATCACTTTGATAGTAGTGACCTATTCGCGGTTCCTTAGTTATAGAATAGAGCGCCTACCGTAGTATTCCGCTCGAGTGACCACTTTTTGCGTTGATATAAGGCCCATCGCGAATCTAGTCTTATCAAAGTGATAAGTATCCTCGGGTTGGATACCGTCTTCATCGATCACGCGTTGCATAGTCGCAAACCATTCCCAAATCGACTTTGGGTCCTTGATTAGAGCACGCTAGTAATCGTAGCGTCTCGAGAAGCGTGAGCGAGTCTCTTCGCGTCGATTTATAAAAATTAATGACCAATTCTTGCCAACGGTAGGCGGAGGGTGGCTACAACGCGTAGCTAGTAGGATATTGACCATATCTCGCATAGTAGATGGCCTAGGCGCTGCTCCACGCGTCCTTAGAGATAATCCACTAAGCGACTCCTCTTCGTATTGGGTCAATTTATGACCGGATAGGCGTTTCTCAATGCGTGAGGTTTAACCGTGGGCGCGCGTATATAGTGTTGCGAGCGGTATTTCGTATAGCTTCGCTGCTACGCGAAGAGATTCGATGCGACCGTCATCTAAATCTTCGAGGGCTAGTAGTATCTTGCCTTCTTGATGAGCCGATTTTTGCCAGGATTCAGAGCGTTTTGGTGGCATGGCTGATAGTTGAAGCAGAGGATGAAGAGATAGAAACGCGGTTTTGAGTGTTCAGGTCGGCTGAGAATTACGTTACCAATCTAAAACAATTATTCAGCAAAGAGGAGCTGCGGTAGTGTGACGGGCGATATAATTTGATTAGCCCTATGTTGACAGTGACGCAGCTCCTCCCCGAAGTGTTGGTCTCCTCACGAGATTCTTCCTCACTTGCGCAATTTGCTCGTCCTGACGTCGTATTTCATCACAAATAGAGCCCGCACAGTCGCCGTATCTTTTCAGGGAATCCTTCTGGCTCAAGGCTAGCCTCCTCCGCTCTTCGGGCATGCGTTGCAGTAGCCACTCTCGTACTTAATCACGGATCCGCCCCTGTTCTCGCCTCTGTCTTTTCAGAACCATTCCAAGTCTTTTCCGCCAAGAAATTCCCCGGCGTCATCGAGAGCACACCCTTGAGCAAATGCTTTGCTTTACAAGGCATCAAGATTCCCATCCGCAAGGATGGCGTCAAGGGCCGCGGTGGAGGCGGAGACGGCGACGGCGAGTACGACTGAGCTTGTGGCTACTGGACTTTTGCCTTTGCTTTACTCTTGCATCTTCTTTTTGCCTATTATTCGCTTTTTTCGTTTCTTCGGTTATACTTGCTTTTAATTTATTCTTATTACTCTTTTTATTGATATCCATTGCCCGGAGCTTGGGTGTTGTAACTGGGAAAAGCAAAAGGGACCAAGTAGAGGCGGTGTTACTGTTTCTATTTTCTGTCTGTTTCATGGTCCACGCAAAGAGATCTTGGGTAACTGGGAATAGGCGTTTTTGCTGGTCTTTTACTATCCACATATTACCCTTTGGTTTTGTTTGGGTCTTTGGTAGATAGTTTTCGACGCAGGTCGGACCTAGTTGAATGGAATGCAGTGAGCAGGAATTCTACCAAAATTGTACCTACCAGGTTGTCGTAATTCAATATATCAACCGTAGGTCAGAAGATCTGTGAGAACCCTGGATTGTTCACTGGATCTTCAGGCTTAACCTTGGGTTTTGCATATGGTGGACGATGGTGGGCGGATAGATAAAGCCTACAGAGATGCCCACTCTACTGCTGCGGTGACCCCTAGACGTTTACCTTCAGAAAACGTAGCCGTGGCCATTCGTAAAATCATGCTTGTGAAACCGCCATGACCATGTCTGATGACCTGGGCGCGCAGGAGTCGCATCGTCTTGCCTGCACTCACCGGATGGTCTGGCTTCTTGTGCAGGCGACGGCGACGGTGCGACGGACTTCGAAACGGCTGGCTCTTCTAACGCTACAGCCTGTGTAGTTCAACATATAATCAAAGGCTGCCAAATGTGTATGCGCTCTGCACCACAGACGTGTAGTATACGTAAATCGCCAGAATAAACAGCTCCTACGTGCCCAAATAGGGTTAATTCTTTTATTCTCAATAGATTGGTTTACTCATGTCAATCTAAGTTTACTTAGTTGTAAAAGTGGTTTTAGTTAGGCGTGTCCAGCCTACTTTATATAGCCAGGTGACTTATTAAGTACAGAGGGATCAGTTGGCCTCGGCAGATGATATCATTCCAGCTTCAATTTGGATTGTTCTGAGTGAACTATTCAGGCTATCTCCACCACAGTGCGTGCCACTTTAAGGGCCATCTCCCCAACTCTGGCGCCGAGTCGGTATGCCGTTTCATTCACGGCCGAGACAATACCCTGTGTCAGCGTTGACTTACCGTCACCAATACACGCCGAGTCTGCGGCAACCGTAGCGGCGGCAATGCCTTCGGAATCGAGAATAGGAAGGCAGGCTACACCCGCACGATCAGCGCCGAACCCGGCATCATTGAAGAAAGCGAGGCGTGGCCTAAATGAACTCGTCATTCCGGCCGCGATTACACCGCCATGGCTACCGGTCGCCACGACCAAGCCTGAATCTTCTGGATTTCCGAGTAAGAGGGAGTCTATGCAGAGGACGCCGTGAAGAAAGGTGCGTCCCTCGGCATCGTTGCGATTCCACAATCGACAAGTTGACCACGGTACTCCGGGCCCGGGAACGAGGGCCATTTGTGATTATCCATACGGCTAGAATGTACGTTGATATGCACACCTGATCTTTTTGATTACATAGCCTCTCCGGAAGCATGACGAGACACTTCCTCAATTTCTTGTGCGTAAATTGAACTAACTAAATCAGCCTAAGTCTCTTAATACAGGCAACTTGGAAGCCATTGTTGCTGCCTAGGGACAACGCTGGTGTGAGACTGCGTGTGAGGCGTTTGTTAGGAAATAAATCGGCTGGATAGTTACGCCGCGACCTTATGTAACTCGAATAGACTTCATCCGAGACGGGAGTCATTCCGTCAGTTGAAGTTACTATGGATCACCATGGCCACTACGAAGCGGGAGTATATTTAGTCAGGAAACCCCATCCCCGTCGTTCACGCATGGAGTGCAAGGTTACACCTCCGCCACTCTCTGTCCTCTTAATTTATGTTCACTGAATCAGCCCCGCCATTATATCATTCAGCATCCACAAAGACCTGCAACTACAAATTATGGCAACTCTTCCGCGAGTTCAACTTGTTTTTGGTGCTGGAGGTATCGGGGAGGGTACCATAACCCACGCCTGGACTACTGGCGAGCAAACTTCCGAACTTCTCGATGTATTGAAGGAGCTAGAGATAACGGAATTGGACTCAGCGGCATCCTCTCCACCGGGAAGTCCACGGGTCAGTGAACGATTGTTGGGTGAGAGCCGTGCAGTTGGGAAGGGATTTGTGATTGACACAAAAATCGAGCGGACAGCCACCAGCGGTGGGTTGTCCGAGGCTGCCATTGATTCGAGCTTGAAGAAAAGTTTGGAATTACTGGGTATGAAGCAATGCAACATCCTGTATGCGCATTTCCCAGACCCAAACACTCCCGTCGAGGAGAGTGCTCGGGCTTTTGATAAGCATTACCGAGCTGGCCTTTTCAGAGAGGTGCATCCCCAGCTCGCCATTACCTATTGGGCATCTAATAATTCTGTAGCTTGGCTTATGCAATCACTCCTACGAGCAAGTGAGAGAATGGTTGCAAGTTTGCAAGAGACATGATTATGTTAAACCCACCGTCTGGCAAGGTCATTACAACGCCATCAGGAGAGCGCCTGAAACAGAACTTTTCCCATTCTTGAAAGAGCATAATATCCGAATACATGCTTACAGGTCCGCTGCACCCTTGATTGACTGATTGCAATGCTGATTTCTCGCAGCCCACTCGCGGGAGGTTTTTTAACAGGAAAGGTAAGTCTGGCTTCTGAAGCAGGGACACTTTCTGGAAGTCGCTGGGAACCAGGTCGCTTTCCATTTTATGTTAAAGCATTCGATAAGCCGGCTATACACACTGCTATGATTGCATTTTGTAAGAAATGTGATGCTGTAGGTGTAACGCCGACGGAAGTCAGTTTGAGATGGATTGTGCATCATTCAACTTTAGGAGAGGGAGATGCGATTATTCTTGGGGCGTCGAGGCTCGATCAGTTGAGGAGTAATGTCGAGTTTTGTAAGAAGGGACGTTTGGATAAGCGGCTGCTGGAGGCTTATGAGGAGCTTTGGAAGGGTGTTGAGAAGGATCCTCCAGAATGGTTTTGAACACCGCATGATGCAAAGGGCCTGGTGGAGCCCATATTCAAAGAGAGAAATGAGGTTCTCTAGAATATTAGAATGCTTCTAGTTTCGAGTTTCAATCAAATGGAGATATAAACACAATTGAACCATGTCCCTCGGAAGAAATCCCCTAGAGAAGTTCAATTCGGTAATATAGATCTATGGTTCTCTTGTCTGGCGGCGTACACGCTTCCGGAGCTGTGAACATACCTGGTGCTTAGCTGTAATAAGTTTCACTAGGCACCTAGGCTGCAACGGTATAGTCATGAAATGGACCACAAGAGACGCAGAAGGGGTATACTACGTAGATTTTACACATCCTCAGGAGCGACGTATAAAGTTAGTGGGTCAGGCTTGGGCGGCCCCTCCAGGGGTCTCATTGCTGACACGGCGAAGGCGGTGAGCTAGGGGCCTAAGCAATATTGTCGGAACTCCGGAATCTCTAAGAGAGGTGACCACGGAACTCCGTGGCCAGGAGCAAGCGCCATGAAAACCCTATTCTGAGGCACTTTAACCCCAAAATTTTCCCAACTTCACTAACATCAGGCCACTACAGTTACACAAAACTCCAGATACATTTCTCTATGGCTGAGATTACGGACCACCCGTCAGCTTTCAAGTGTTCAATCTGTCGAAAACCTTTCGAGCAAGGTTGTATTTCAGTCCACGTACCGAGAACTAGGCTTACTGGATACGGTAGAATCGTCATGCAAACGCCACATTAGACGTTGCCGACGAAAGCAGCCCACACTACCACGACAGAAGTCCTGTTCCCATTGTGTAAGTGGCAAGACACGCTGTGACCTACAACAACCTTCTTGTTCGCGATGCAGCGAGAAGAATTTGGGATGTAGATATCCCTCCTCTGTCTCTACAGATCGGTCGGCGGGTATTGCACCGGAGCATTGGGATGCAATATCGTCAGATGTATTAGGGTCATGGACATATCCACCAATTTTGGATGGAGGGCAAACGATAATAGACAATCCTCTTACGGCGTTCGGAGAAACATCGTTAGTCTCATTAGGCGCTTCTTTCCCTTCCACCACGTCCTCCCTCGGCATGTCAGAGATTTATGGCTCGTCGTACCAACTCCAGGCGCCATATTCTTTATCAACCCTTCCTCTCCCCTCAGAGACCACGACTCTTTCCGACCCATCTTTGCAGATGCTAATTTATTGTCCTTGGAGGCAAAGAGATTCTGGTATTCCATTGTCGCATCAAAACCTTTATCAGAACTAACTCTTGTAGGCGGTGAAGATAAGCTTTCGCACATTCGTAGTAGATGGATCAACCCGTTATTCAGACCTCCGAATAGAACAGTCTCCGTGAACGAAGCCTCGGCCAGGTTCATGACGCAGGTTCTAAAGTGTTACCCAAAGATGATGGCTAGGGACGGCACTTTACCACCGATCATTCATCGGCTACAAACTACGTCTAGAACCACCCCTACGCCGCTTGTGGATTGCCTAGCTTGGACAAAGATGTGGGAACACAGAACAGGAAACCTGGACGCGATGTTATTGAATGCAATGCGAGGCGAGGTTGAGAGGCTGTATAAGAATGTATGAAACCCTGGAGTATCAGGTCCTATTCGGCTAATGGTAAAGCGTAGCATCGCTCATATGAACAGGTCGACTTGTTAGCGGCGTTACAAGCAAGCTTGATCTACTCGATTATGATATGTCTCGACTCCAATACTACGGCGAAATATGGCACCCAACTCGTATTAGGCCAGCTTCAAGAGATGACATATCGTCTACTGTCTATGACAGAATTTCCCAGGGCCGACATTTCTAGCAAGGTTCCTGACCGCGAGTTGTGGGCAATTGCTTCCGCAGCACAGCGAACAGTATTAGCGATATACGTCTTCGACTGTGTCGTCTGCTTTCTGAACCGCATACCAGTTTACTCCTGTGATGAGCTCGACTTCATCCCAGCTCCGGTGTGCAGACGGTTATGGGAGGCTCGGGAGTATGAAACATGGAGGGAAGAGTATGGAAATTGGTTCAAGGTGTGGAAGGGCAGGGAAGTACTAATGGGGGAATTACTGATACAACTTACGGAGTCATACGCCTCTAAGCGGGTGGAAGAGTGGCTTAGTGAGGCTGATGAATTTGGGATGTTGATATTCACGGGGTCACTGCTATCTGTAAACAGTAAGTAAGCCTACTGCCCAGTTCAACGCAAGAAAGAGCTCTAGGTGTTTAGGTATAGAAACGAATCATGCATGTTCAAGTAATATAGTGGGTTGAGATACAGGCTGTCTCTGTTTTAAGCCACCGCTCTTACTGGCACTCTTGCCTCAACCGTCCTTATTTTGCGTCTTCCGAAGTCAGTACCACCACCCCTTTGCATTTGGGCACAATAGAACCTTCTACATAAGAGAATAAATGGGTATATTCTCTATGATTGCGGGGTCCCAATAGTATTCTTATATAACAGTTCTACTGTAGTGCAATTACTGACATCAGGAGCTTAATATTTACGGCACAGGTTAAAGACACTGGGACACATTCCTCCCAAGAGTGTATCTAAAAGTGTTACGGCTGTGATAAATCGACCGAACGTAATCCTTCATACCGTATAAATTTGCAAGTCTAATTCTTTGCAGAGAACCGAGCAGTATTCAATCGAGCTGGCTTTGTTGGTGCAGAAAAGAGACAAGGAATGAAGTCACAGAACTGGAGGAGAAAAAATTTTAATCCCGCTGAATTCGAAATTTGTTATTACGTTTGGCAGCATAGACCTTACTCTGAAATAGCAGATATATATCATATCTGTTTTCGCGTGGAGTGCTCCAAAGAGCTGGTACTCAACAGCCATGGTGGTTTCCAAAACATATTCCTCTTCGACGCTTCTCTAATGTCATTATACGAATCGAGTACGGGGGTGAGCTACTAATTTCGGCTATAGCGCTGAAGTTGGGCATTTCCGAGTGCCGAGCAGAGCAAGGATAACTGAGACTTCAACAAGAAGGTATCCGGAGTTCCGTGTAACGCTACCGAGTTTGCCAGTAGCAGTATCAATAAAGAGTTTCTTCAACGGGTGGTCGAGCGGAGAAAAGTGTTTCGTAGAACATGGAGTTCCGAGCTCCCGTAAATGGAGGTCACGGCGGCGAATGCCTTGATGAAAAGTTGACTTCGGAAGGAATACTGACTTGAATCTCAAATTTTTGGGATCCAAGCTACCGGCCTTTGTGCATATAAACTGCTATCAAGCAACGGCGCTTATTCAGAGCCGTGGAAACCTGACAGGGGCCTTACTAATTCGCGCTGGGTCGGGGAATAAGGATATCCGGCTCTGTCGGTGTGATAACTATTTAAGGGCAGCGTATACCCCATATTATCTTTCTGAGTAGGTATTCAGCGGCCAATTCACAATTCTTCTCCTACAGTCTCATCCCCTTAAAGAAATCACAGTTTTGGTATTCGAATCGAGATGGCGAATCGAACTATTATCTCTGAAATCTCTCACTTTATCACGTCGTACGATCCGCAGGGTAAATCAACATTCCTCGCTGCGCCAAACCCGCCACTTGTGCAGCAGAGTAATGATTCTCTGCGTGTGGATTACATTTACTCTACTGTCGCTTCTCCAAACGGGCCTGTCCTTACGGACAGGGACGATTACAGGAAGAATGAAGATGTTCGCAGAGAACATCCATACGTCATGTTTCCCCTTGCGGGTGGAAGTGCTGCTATGGTCGCGAGTGTAAGATTCCAGAGCTTTTATACCTTCCTTATTAAGAACTCTTTAATAACATTGATTGAAGTTTGCACCGAATCCTGATGGAAAGGAAGGATTTATGCATCGGTCGCAAACCCTTGATTATGTATTCATTATAGATGGGGAGCTGGAGTTGAGTTTAGACAGTGGGGAAAAAAGGATTATGAAGCCGGGTGACGTGTGTGTGCAGCGCGCATCTCAGCACTCTTGGAAAAATTTGAGCAAGACGGAGTTCGCGAGGTTTGGGGCTGTTACTTTAGGGATTGAGGGTGCGAAATTGAATGAGATGATCTTTCCTGAAGCAGTATAAGATTGCTTCAAGAGCTGGAAGCACATGGGAAAGCAATTTGGCCGTCAATTGCCGAAGCAAGGGATGTATCAATTAAGGAAAGGGTTGTCACGTAGTTCGCAATTTGTTGCGTCAGAACATAGTTAGCTCCTTTTGCTAGTTCTAACAAAAACCTTCCTTTAAGATCTTGTCCCAGTCTCGGTCCACGATCTCACCCTGCCCTGCGAAGATAGATAGACCTACTCATTTCTGAAAGTTTCATAAATTGACTTTTCCAGCTTAATGAAATGTGCTGCTGCCACGGGATCTAGCTCGCGGAATTGGGTGAAATTGTAATGAACTGTATACTAAATAGTTAGTATAGGGTAGATTCCTAAGGGATAAACCTTGTAATAATCCTAGGTTATATTAGCAGAGTAATAGTTTAAATATAATTAATAAAGCTTAGAATAAGCATTAATTTTTGTATATAAACTTAAGAATTTACTTTTAGTTTATAATTAATCTAGAATAGCTATCCTCGTAGGCCTTTTTTTGCAACTATAATATTTCGGTTATAACACCTAACCCTTGAACAATTGTTTTCGCCCTACAGCTACAAAGGCCTCCGCTCAAATAAACTTGCAGTTATATCCTTAACTCGGGGAATTTTATCCTCAAGAATATAAACAACTTCAGTCCACATTGCCTGCTGCAAGGTCTTGCCTTCATCGCTTGTAATGTACTTGCCAGGTCTATTGTAATTGTTAGCCCAACTCTATTATCTCTTTTAGAAGGTTAACTCACGGCCTGTAATTTCCATCTGCAGACCACCACCTTCCATGCGAATCCTCCCCTAAAGTGGATGCGCCAACAACCACGCGAGCACCATATTCCGCAGGTCTCAAAACCAGGTAAGAGAAGATGCCCTTGGCGACGGCCAACAGGGTGCCGTCGAACTCTCTTAGTACGTCAGAACGGCATGAACCAGGACATGCATCATTCACAATCACTGTTGGTTTGCCATTGGAATCGACACAGCGATACGCCAGCTCTCTTGTTATCCACATCATGAACAGCTTCGAGGACAAATGCTGAAAATATAGTCCCACGCCAAGGTCGCTATTGTATTCATGGAGGAGCTGATTTTTGTTTTCGGGTTTTAGCTGCACGTCGATGTGCCCTGACGATGCAACTACAACTAGATGTGCGGGCGACTCTGCAGTACGGGATGCTAGTAGCTTTGGAGTGAGGAGGATCGCTAAGAGCGCAGTCCCAAGAGTATTGACTTGGAGATTTGTCTCCCAGCCATCCTCAGATCGCTTGAAAGTACTCGGAAAGACGCCTGCGTTAAGAACAGCGACATCGACCCTGTTCAGACTCTCGACTCGTTTGGCGAAGGCATCGATGCTTCCGAAGCTAGCCAAGTCCAATTGCCATACTCGAATAACACCTGTCCGGCCGGTCGCTTTTTCAATCTGCGCTTTTGCTGTTTCGCCCTTCTGCAGACTCCTGACCCCTAGAATGACGGTTGACGCGGCGAGTTGGACATATTTGAGTGCGATTGCACGACCCACGCCGGTGTTCGACCCAGTCACAACGACGGTCTTTCCTTCGAAAGTCGTCGTGATTTGCTTGGGCGGGAAGAATTTGCCTCTGATAAGAAATGCGAGATCGGGCATGCTGGAAGAAATATGGAAGATTTTTTTTGAATGAGTCTGATGAAGTAGAGAGTATGATATATTGATTGCGATGGTAGTTTTTCTTCAAGGTTGATGTATTTCGGCATTGAGCTGCTCCATGGCAGCGATCGAAGTTTTTATATGTGGCCATAGGGAGATTGAACGGCAGCGGATAGTCCTTCTGCAGCCCGAAGATTATAGCATAGCGACCCGTCGAGGTCGTCTTGCTATATTGTGCTAGCAAATAGGAGAATGTCGGGAGGCACGGAAAATCCGATGGTCCCCATATTTTGGTACTAGGCCTGAGGTGGTATAAGCTCGGGTCGGATTGCAGTCTCGTATCTTCCGACCGAACTCTGCTCAAACATCAGCTTGTCCATATCTGTCTACGAAAATCCAGGTCGCCACGATGGACGCTCCGGAACCATCACCGACGATAAATCGACGGGTAAGGAGGCGAGCTTGCCTCAACTGCACTAACGCCAAAGTCAAGTGCACTTCTGCTTCGTTGGATGCAGAATCATGCACAAGATGTGAAAGATTGGGCAGGACGTGCATCTATGCAGAGCTTTCTTCCGAGACAAGAAGAAATCGCCAAGAACCCTCGTGAGTAACACAATATCATCTGCTGTTCGGATAGTCTTTTAGGATTCGAGACTTGCGAGAGCGCGTTGGAAGGGTGTGCACTCAAGAGTCACTTGAGTGCTTGATGACGTGTCTCGATTCAATCGCTGCAATCGACCTAATGACTGGAGTGAAGTCAATTAAAGAGGACTCAATGATTGAGCACCCTCTTCTATTTTCACCAGCATTTCATCGGCATAATGCAAGCTAATACGTCCTCAGATCTGTCAAGCGACTCGAGCAGAAGGTGGAGCTATTGTCTACACAAGTAGCTACTTTAACTCAACATGTCCACTCAAACTCAGTTCAAAGACTCCGAAGTAATCGGTCTACCACAGAAAATCTTCATTCTAGCTTGCCATTCTCTCACGACCGAATAAGCGGCAGTCATCCTGCGTCTTCCGGATCTCTGCCTAGGCCTAGAGACATTCAGAATGATAGCTTGACCAACGTTGTTCTACACGATCAAGGCGACCTAGTATCTGCCGATCGTAAACTGGAGATTTTCCGGCAAAATTTCATCAACTACTTCCCGTTTGTGGTTGTGCCTCCTACAGTCAGCGTCGACGATCTTCGACACGATAATCCATTCCTTTTCTTATGTATCATGGCTGTCACTTCTTCTGAGGATCCCATACTACAGCGCAGACTAGGAAAGGAAGTCAAGAAGCAGATTTGCGACCGCTTAGTGATGGGTCATGAAGCTAGCATGGATCTTTTACTTCTGTGTACCTGGGAAGCATCAATACTTCCTCATGTTACAATTCTGTATTAACATGTGCCATGAGTTGAGACTGGACTCGAACGAAAAGGGAAGGAGAGGTCTAGAGACGCCCCAAATTCAGAGGAGAGCACGAAATCCGGCAGATATGAGAGCTCTTCTTGGTACATTTTACTTATCATCTACGTATGGTCCACTTGCACCATCCCAATTGTTCTGAACATCGAGCTGACTGTCAATTTTGATAAAGTTTATCAATGGTGTTGAGAAAACGAACGATTATGCACTACACATCATATATGGAGGATTGCTGCATGTCTCTCACACTAGGGAAAGACGTTCCTAGCGATCAGTTGATCATGCCATTTGTGGAAATTCAGGTTCTTCAAAGGAAGATCAGCGACACTTTCTGCTACCACGATGTATCTACCTGCGACATAAGAGGCGAGCGCATACTCCAGATCACCGTTGATTCTTTCTCTCGAGAAGTTGATGGACTTAAGAAGGGCATTGGCTCAACAAACAAAAATACTATTCTGGTCAAACATCTTCACTTCCTGGAAGTCTGGATTTATGAAGTCGCCCTCTATAAAGAGCTTTGGCAAAGCACTTTCGTGCCTGTTCAAGTCACTCAACCAGAGAATAACCTCTCGACCCAGTTCTCAATGCAACGGACTAATATGCTGTGGCAGCTAGTCGCAGCAACGCACCTATTTCATGATTGGTGTCTTTCTGTTGAGAATGCTGAGCTACTTCAATTCCCATTCTCTTGGTGGACAGAACTTTCTTATGTCTTTATTGTTCAAGTCAAGACTGTTTTCCTTGACTCTGAGACAGATATTACAGGACAAGAACAGATGAATTTACAGCAATATCACCAAGCAGAATCGCTAAAAGCTGACTTCAGAAGAGCTGCTGAAAAGGAAGTTATAATACCTCATATGCTGGATATGTATATGCGGAAATTGGCCACAGTGACCACGCAGGTTATTGATGATGACGGCGACAGAGACATGGTATATTTTTTTGGAGCTATGCTTAAAAGCATACAATCTGGGTATGAAAGCCGAAATGGGGCTGAGAATAGACATGCCCCGGAGCAACTTGAAATGCAGCAAGAAAGGTTATCCCTTTCACAGCTGCCGTATCCGGAAGTCAGGAGTACAGACATGCATAAACCGATGCCGCCAGCAGTAACCACAAATCATGTGGAGCTAGGAATAGGTGAACCGCATAGTTCTTCTACAGGCCAACTAAACTTGCAATTCGACTTGGCCCAACCTGGATTTGATGACTTTGTTTGGGACACAATAATGAATGAATTCTCATTCTTTACACCCTAGAATAGTGTAATGAACTGTAATAAGCTATACATTAGATAGTTAGTAATATAAGTAATTCCCAAGGGGTAAATTAAAACTATAATTGAATTATAAAAAATATTTAAAGAATAATTTAAATTTATTTAAAATTATATAATAAAAAATTATTAAATATTAAAATTAATTGATAAATTAATTAATTTTTTAAAAAATTAAATTTTTAAATTTTTTTAAAAAAAATTAAAGAAATTAATTATTGGTACATGCAGGCCAGCCCATATACAGGCTAGCTCAGGCAGCATACTCTTCCACGGGTCGTCGAGCCCGCCAGGCGCTTACGCACTTCACGTTGCTGCAAAATGTCTAGCTAATCTAAGTCTTCATGCAATAATTCTAACTCATATTCGTTGGTGAAGAGCCGCAGAACAGGTAGTGTACCAGCGGGCCGCATCCTCCAAAACGAGCCGACTAGTAGAGATATCTATGAGAATGAAAATCATGGCCGATTAATCGGGTGTGCATGATATCCACGACCTGAGTCACCAGGGGCGCAGCCAAATATGCGGCTCATCAGGTAGCATCACCGACGCCAACGACTCCTGCATAGTGCACCGAACCAATCCACGCAATATGGCTGGTTTCTGCCTGGCCTTGACGCCCATCTTTGGCCGGATCCTTGCTTCAAGCGCCTGTTGTTTAATATGGCTCAACATCTACTGTAACACGGCACAGGATGGCAACGGTCCACTCGCTATCGTGCTGGACAGCAGGAGAGTTGCACGAGACTCCCCGTTCCTAGCTGTTTTCACAATATCACTCACAGCAATCAGCCCTGCCCAATGAACCAGGGAGAAAGTAGCGAAGACCGCATTGCACTCTAATATTAAAGAACGGGCTATTCAATAAGGCAGCCAGCAAGGCGACCAGCAAGGCGACCAGCAAGGCGACCAGCAAGGCGACCAAGTCATAAGGCGAACTGGGAAGTTGATTGGTGCCCTCAGTTGAAGGCTATGACATAGTTCAGCTGGCACACTGCTGCTGCTACTATCTTATTATAGGAACATATGTATTTAATCGTTCCTATCTGAAATATCGTTTTACACTGTTTCCTGTTCTACAAAAGGCAGCTTGGATACATTGTAAGAAGAAGATTTCGCACGTCTGTTCACTTATCCGAGGTAAAATTCAATTAAAACTCTACCTTGGGCTCTTGAAATAGCTGTACTAACTAATGTATTATAGTGAGCGATTCTAAAATGGTCAATACAAAGCAGACAGCACAGCGGCGAGAGCAGCAAAAAGCTGAAGCGCAGCGACAGGCTCAAAAGGAGGCAGAGAAGCGACGGGCTCAAAAGGAGGCAGACAAGCGACAGGCAGAGCAGCGACGGGCTCAAAAGGAGGCGGAGAAGCGACAGGCAGAGCAGCGACGGGCTCAAAAGGAGGCGGAGAAGCGACAGGCAGAGCAGCGACGGGCTCAAAAGGAGGCAGACAAGCGACAGGCAGAGCAGCGACGGGCTCAAAAGGAGGCAGACAAGCGACAGGCAGAGCAGCGACGGGCTCAAAAGGAGGCAGACAAGCGACGGGCAGAGCAGCGACGGGCTCAAAAGGAGGCAGACAAGCGACAGGCACAGCAGCGACGAGCCGGGGCACAGCGGCCGGCGCAGTCGTCATCGTCTGTTAAAAAGGACGGTGGAAGACTCATGTTAGTCGTAAAACTTTCCTCAGAGAGCCTGAAGAAGTTGAATGTTAGGAGGTAGATTTAAGCTCAACTACTTGGTTGCATTTATCGAAGCCCGCTCACCCACTCCTCCAGTCCCTTAAGCATCATAATCACAAGTACAGGTGGGCGCACCATGAGCATAACTATAAGCGTTAGGGGGAGCGCAACAGCCCAGTAAACCCAGAAGTGCGAGCCACCAGGTGCATACACATCAGAGCCACCGATGCTAAAGAGGCCGGCAACAAAAGTTAGCGGGAGAAAGACGAAGGCAAGCACCGTTAGTCGGGTGATATTGGCCGCCTCGGCCAGGGCGCGACGGCCCTCAAGCAGCGCCATGCCTGATGCCACCACGGCCAGCATGCTCTCAAGTCGTGCCCCGTGCTCTGTGATTTCGGTCGCCAGGGACATGTAGTCCGATCGTAATGCTGCCCAGGCGTTGGCAGCGCCGTGATCGAAGTGCTTGCTGCCGCTTGGCCTCTTCTCGCATAGATGGTCCGATGTGCCGTTGCAACATGCGCCGTCCACGCCAGGTACGGGACTGTCTAGGAACCGTGCAACCTGGCGCATCTTGCGTATGGAGGACATGACGCGCCGACGCCACGCCTGTAGGGCACGGAGCCGGGCATCGAGGGCATCGACCTTGCCTTTCCAGTCCGTCAGCGATGCTATGGCGGTAGCATTACGAGTGACTCTTCCCTGAGCGTCATTGTCGCTGCCATTCCACTCGTATTCCTTGGCGCTGAAGTCCAGGAGTGTTATATAGTTGACCCACTCGGCCGCCACGATCCGGAGCGGCAGGTAAGCGAGCGCATGCAACGAGGGCGGCCCGGACGCCTCGAAAATACCCGCCAGCGGCGTAGACGCGGTCCAGTAGTAAACTAGTTCGTCGAGCATACCGCGGCGGTCGCTCTTGGTCCTGGGATAGTCAATGCCGTCTGTGTCGATATCCGGGCTCAGCAGCTGAGTAAATGTAGACGCGTGGACGGCCGCGTTGTACTGGAAGTCCTCACAGCCGCCTAGAAAGGGCGTGATGCTCAAGTTTGTCGGCACTGGCGATCGCGAGCGCAGCGCCACGTAGTCGTTGCGGTTCCGGAAGGGCGGATCGGTGAGGATGATGCCTAATAGACCGCAGTTTAGATAATCTAATGAGACGCGAACAAGAATCCAGGCAGGTTAGGGTCAATGCACTGACCGATCCACCTCCCATCTGCCCGCACCATGCTCGAGACTACGCAGGCGTGCTGCGCCAGGCCGAGGCGCTGGCCCTTGATGGGTGACAGCACGAAGAGCTTGCGTGGGTGGTTACAGGTGCGCAACAACTGCGCCGTGTGCGGCTTCAGGCCATGCACCACGATGGTTCGGTGGTAGTAGAGCGGCACAAAACCCTGACGGCGCTCGCGCGATGGGAGCGTGCAAGCCTGCGGGTCCTGCGCTTTCAGATTGCGCCATGTCCGAGAGATATACGATGCGAAGAAGCACGGGTCAAGTTCGAGGGCGCCACCCAGTATCTCGATTTCCTCGGGTGATATATCCTCCACTATAAGGATTTGGCAGGACTGTATAGGTGCCCCAGGATCCGGCGACGGACGAGGTTTATGCACCTCCAAGGCAAGGTCTGTGGGTTGGATCAAACGGCATGTTGGGCTCTTGTCATGCGCCGCAAAGTCAAGCGACACTATCCTTGAACAACGTGGCCGGGCGCCTGGTTGCGACAGAAAATCGTACAGGCCGACCAGGGATGGATTGCGCTCCATCTGCGCCTTAACCCTGCTTCTGTACATCCTTTGCTGGTCTATGCATCAAAGACATTTGGCAAGAAGGCTGGCTGAAGCCCTCGTGGGCTGATTTCTTCCTGCCAGAGCACATGAGTAGATTTATACTGGCGTCTCCCTTGGGCAGGACTGTGCTTACTCAGGCCCGTTGGGTAGCATTTCTCGGGTCATATGAGAGTGCCACCATCTTTTCAAAAGCCTTATCATTATACACCCAACTCGCCTATGCAGCACCCCTCAGTTGAGGTGCGCCTTCGAATCCGCCTCGCCTCCCTGCCGTCCTTTTTGTAATTAAGGCAGATGCGACTTAGGCAGCAACGCTCTAGCTGTGCACAGCCTTACCTGAGACTACAATAACATGAAGGTCAGGTTCGCCAACCATTCCTTATCTCTGTGAGAAGAGAACGACGCCTCACCAGGCTCTCCTGTACCAAGCACATCTCGACAGTGTACGGAGTACATAAGTGCAGAAAACATAATCTTTCCGTTTAATGAGAAGCTCCAAGATCCAACCGCCAGATGTTCAGTTTGCTCCAGAGGAATTCACAGCATGAATCGCAAATCATCCTGCTCAAGCAATCAAGACAGGTCTAGGGACCTATTTCTTACCTTAGCAGTACCGGACGGTCTAGGAGGTAAATTTTTCATAACACGAGAACTTGAAGAGGGGGAACGCGTCATCGAAAGTTTCATAAAGGAATTCAGCCAACATCAGGAAGAATGGGATGCACTGAGGACTACTGCATTAAAAACCATCAAGAATGGCCTGAGTAATCTCGGCATACGGGCGCGAGTAACCAGTCGAATCAAGTCTGTTCCGTCGTTGCGGAAGAAGCTGCGCGAAAGAAACAAACGAAAGGGGTACGTCGACATGGACAGCATTCTAGGTGATCAGGTCGACCTCGTTGGTATTCGGATCTCCCTATTCTTCCCCAACCAACAGCCTGAGGTGGTTCAAATGCTCAAGGAAGTCTTCAACTATGATTCTACTCGCTGCTTCCACCGAGACTGGAAGCCCAGAAAGTTGCAGATCTACGATAAGATGAATGGAGAATATGGAGCAGATCATCTTTGGTTACGCCTAAACCAAGATGCCCAAACTCCTACGGAGTTATCGAAATCTGGGAAACACCTTGATCAAAGATTTGAGGTTCAGCTCCGATCATTGTTAATGGATGTTTGGTCCAGTATGAGTCATGATCTAGAATATAAGTCGCTCACAGGAACTCCTTCTGTCGCCGAGTACCGACTTCTCGACCTACTTAAAGGATCTGTTGAAAACGTCGATATTGAAATTCGCCAAGCCCATGAGACACAGCGTCGTGAAACTGAGGACAAACAATTGGCATCTTCCGCAGAGTTGGGGGAAATTCTCTCAGAGTATTTCCGGCAAGACGGGTCTCAGGAACCTCCCCAAGATGACATTGACCTATTCATCACATTGCTGAAGGGAGTGGCTCCAACCGCACCTCCCCAAGTTGGGCAAGGTTTTGTCAAATGCGCAGGGCAACTTACAGCACTTCGTGATCTGCATCTAAAACGTCTCGAAACTGACAGAAAGCCCTTGTGTCTCGATGGCGTGAACAAACTCCTCGCAGACCACACGCCACAGGACTTGCTTATGGAAGTACCTATGGGGAACACTGAGCTCTTGTTCTCGATGCTAAAACGCATGGATGCCAATACACCTCGTGAATTAAGGAGGTTTATGTTGAACCGAGATATCAGAGGGCGCATGCACAAGGATATCAAATCTTGGAGCTGTGGTGTTAATATACTACCGCCGACAATATCTCTTTATGTGATGAAGAGGATTCTGGACGGAATGGGGCGTGAAGACCTTACGCCGGAAGCCCAGCGACCCTTGTGGTACTATTCAAATAACTTGATTTCGACGGCTCAAAAGGACTGGGTTGACTCCACTTTCTTTGATCCCGGTGACAATTTCCACAGCCACTCCTTGTCACAAGCTCTGATATGGCTCTATCATGTCTTTGATGGATCGGCGGAAACATTACGCCGTGCCTTAAAGCCTTGCCAAATTGAACGGTGCACGATGATTTGGATTGCGTTCCTCTGGATTCGCACATATAGCCCAAAGCGTGCGACTCCATTACCATTGTGTTCACCTGTGTATTCTTTATTCCCGAAATGTGAACAGTGCAGCCGCAGGGTACCGTCTATTGCCTGCCTCTACAGTTTACACACCATTGCGAAGCTTTCATTTTTGCATTTATTGCCGAATCCTCTTGAATTAGTGGGCAGGAGAACTCATTCTATGCGTCTGAATTCTGAAACTCAAAGCCATGACCATATTCTAGACGAACACAATAGCCCAGTGGTTAAGTCTCAAAATCAGTGTCTTTTTGAGTTTATACGACAACTCCACTTCATTGATCTCGAGTCTTGCAATAGAGGAGTCGAAAAGTTCTCTTCCGAAACAAGGGAAAGAATTTTGACATACTGGGGGATTGAAATTCATGATGGAGTCTTACTGAAAATGCGCATCGCAACTTGGCTTGCTTGTATTAAAGAATATGATCTTCTTGAGGAGTTTATTGACCGCAAATGCAACTTGGCCGGAACTTCTCGTGGGTTTGAAATTATGCAAAAGCTATCTCAATTAGCTATAAAGTTTAATAATGAAGAGGTGAAAATTTTCACTGATTCAATGAGACGTGAGAGTGCTTAAAGATATATAGAGTTAACAGTGTTCATAACTATGTCTCTTGACAGACCTGTTTCCAAGCCGTGAGAAGGGAGCTATCCTGGGGCATGGTTTACAATACGTTAACCAACTAGGCCTAACTGTTTGGGACAGAATCGCCGCCTCTATTCACGTGCCCACGCCGGCATGTACCGAACATCATGGAGAGCTAGCTAACTCAATGATAATCATAGCAAGCGATGAGGGCATAGCGTTAAATCGGGCGATCATGGACGTGAACGGAGAGTTTTCGCATTGCGTTAATTGGGAGGCTCTTGTACAGTATGCAACCGATGTGAAATGTGGATGTAATGGGGATTGGTCCTAGATTGCCTAGCACTTATAAACTCTATTGATTTTAAGTGAAATATAAAGACACACTATAGTAAAGAGTAAGTAACACTCTTATAAAAGGAAATTTAATTTTAAGTAAAATATAAAAAATAAAGTAATATAATTAACTTATAATAAACTATACACTAGATAGTTAGTAATATAAGGGCTTCCTAAGGGATAAACCTAAAGTTTAGTTCTAGGTTTATATTAGCGGAGCAATTAAGAGATCTTTAAGTAATATAAATAGTAAAAAGTATATAGTAATTAGCTATAAGTAATTAATACTTAATGAAAGTATTATTAATAGCCTTATTGGTTAATTTATAATTAACTTAGTGCTAAGTCTTAATAGACTTAAAGGCTAAATATAAGTTATATATAGCTTAAATAATAACTAAGCAGTTATTTTTATTAAATATTAGGTATTTGTCACGACCCAACACTTATGGTCGCAACAACCGGCCTACAGGGTAGACGGAACCGGATTAACATAAGACCGGCCAGCCAATTAAACAGGATTAAGAAATATAACATTAATCTATCGTAGGATTAATAATCTTAATAATAATCCACAACAGGATTAAGAATTTAACCCTCAATCCTATCTAGCTAACTAAATATATAAATTTACTTCTTTACATTTACTTAAATAACTTAAATAGCTAATTATTAATATAGAATTAAGATTATAATACACTCTATAGCTTACTCTCTAAGTGATATTATTATTATTACTTATTGCCTATAAGTCTCCTAACTAATCCGCTAATATAAACTATAGACTAAGTTTATCCCTTAGGAATCTTATAAGCTATTAACTATTTAGGATATTAGTAACTTAAGTTATTATATATTAATAACTCTTATTTAAATAGTTATTAAACCTATAGGTAATATTATAATAATAGCTAATATTTAGCCACTAGCGGACCTAATAAACTAAGATACCCCTATTAAATTATAATAAGCACTACCACTAGTGCTTACCCTAGAATAATAAGTAATTAACACTCTCTTTATACACATTAAGACCCTAGAATATTTTATAACTAAATAAAAAGCTACTATTAAAGAATAAAAAGAATAATTAAATGCCCGCCGCGCTAAGGAAAAAGGAGAAATTATTTAACCTAAGTGATTAAATAACTATAATAAAAACCCTAGTAATAAAGAAAAATACTTTAATAAAGTAAAAACTTACTTTAAGTATTTTACTATTACTTTAGTAAATAATAAAGATAAAGTTTACTTTATAGCTAGTTACCTTATAAAAGCAGCTAAAGAATAGTTTAAACCTTATATAAAGGACTAGAATATAAATCTAAATTAAAGAGACTTAAAGGGAGAAATATAATATATCTTTAAGAAATACTAAAACTATAAGAATAAACTTATTAAGGCCTTTAGAATTATAAATAAATAATAAAAAGCTAAAAAATAGCTTTAATTATTAATTTAAAAAGGACCCTTATTTAAATATACTATAACCTTTATTTAACTTTTTTAAAAAGTTAATTAGACTAAGGAATTTAAGAAGGAATGCTATTATATAAGTATTAAACCAGAAGTTAAGGATAAGCTCTTTAAACTTAATAAAGATAAACTAAGCTTTACTAAGTTTATAGAAGAAGCTATTAAAATTAATAATTAATAATTTAAATATAAATAAGAATATAAGGCTAAGAAAACCGGGACTATACCTAAATTCTTACCTTAAGCTAATTAAAGTAAAAAACACTTAAATTATATAGCTAAAGATAATAGCATGCGACTGGGAAAAATAAATATTAATAATATTAATAAAAGAAAGTTTATTAAAATATATAACGCCTATAGCAAAAAAGGCCATAAGGAAGCAGACTGCTATTCTAAAATAACCTGTGAATTCTATGGTAAGAAAGGCTATAGTAAAGCCTACTGCTACACTAAGAAAAATAAAAGATATTCTAAGACTATTAAAAACAAGGTCTAAATAAACGCAATTATAAAAGTACCCCATAATTACCTTAGCTAAATAGCTTACTATAATAATTTATATCTTATACATAAAAGCAGCAAGGAAGGATTTAATTACTATCTAAAGAAACCATAAGCTAAGAAGTCTTATAAGACTACATAAATTAATACCCTTAATTTTTATAAAAAGAAATATAAAAACTATAGCTTTATAGAACCCTATTCTATCTATACACTCTATAAATACTTATCTTACAGCTTATAGAACATTAACCACATATATAAAGAAAAATAAATTACTACCGGGAAGGAAAATAATAAATATAATAACTGCTACTTATAAAACTATAACTATAAATATATAGGATACCTAGACTATGGATCTATAAAAAGATATTACTATAGCTATAAAGAAAAGCACTAATAAAATATAAATAAAATATATAAACTCTTTAAAGAATAAAATAAAATAGCTAAAGAATACTTTAAGAACCTTAAAAAAAAAGAAAAACTTATATAAAAGATATCTTATATATATTAATATAAGCTTTATAAAATAAAAGACTTAGACTATAAGTACTAGGGATATAACACCTGCGGCTTATAGGACTCTTAACATAACTATAATAAAGTCTTAGATATGCTAGTTAGGGAATATTAAAAATAAAAAGAATAAAGACAGTACTTAAAGGAATTCCCTTTAGTGTAAATTAACCTTCTTATACTTATTAAAATTAATATCTCTAACGCTTATAATTATATTACACTATTATAATCCTATACTTTATTAAAAATAGGACTTATAAAGGAATATAAATTTAATAAAGAATATAAGAATAAAAACTATAAATATTATAATAAGCTATACTATAGACTATATATATATAATAAAATTAAAGAATAGCATAATAACCTATAAGTGCATTACTAACTAACTAAATATTAGAAAATATATTTTTTAAATTATAAAAGATAATACTATAATATATATATAGTAGAATAATAGTAATATTAATAAGTAATAATAAAACTAAGAATAAAAGGCTATAACCTAGAAAAATATTATAATACCTAGGAAGGAAGTAAAGGACTTATTAAGAAATACTATTGCCTAATTTAAGAATAAAACTATAATATTAAATGCTAATAGTGCATAAAATACTAAGATATTATATAGGAATAAAACCATTTAGACAGCATTTAAATTAATTTAATTAAACGCAGTAATAAGAAATTATTAGTTAAAGGGTATATTAACTAATAGCTAGTAAAGATATATATAAATAGTAATATAGATTATAACCTTATTACTCTTAAAATAGTAAACTTACTTAAGTTACTATACACTAAGAAAAAATAACTTACTTATATATTTAGTATTACTATACTTAATGCTAAGGTAATAATTAACTATAAGATTAATTATCTCTTAATTATAATTACTAGTTATACTAAGACTATTAAGTTTAATATTATGCCTTTTAGTAACTGCGATATTTTACTTAAATACCTATAGTTAAAATAAGGTAACCTACTAATTAACTAGAAAACTAAATAAATACTCTAGGAAATAGATATTACCTGGGAGCTATAACTAAGCTATAAAAAGGGCAAGGAAGGCAAAAACGCGCCTATAGACCTAAAAATAAAATCTTATATATAATAAAATTAAGAAAATATAAAAAAAATAAAAATAAAACCTAAGAAAAAGGTTAAATTTAATATAAAAAAATCACTAATACCACTATAATATAACTATAAAAGAGTTAAAGGAGAATGAATATAAATTAATTAAATTATTAAATAAGTTAAAATAGAATTATAAGCTTTAGATAAAGTATTATTAGAAGTAAGAGAGAAAGAAAAACTAAGAGAACTAGAAGAAACTCTCTTAAAAGCACTTTAATAATATAAAAGGAAATATAGGAAACTATTTAGTTTAATATTAAAAATAGTATAGCCACTTTATTCATAATAGGATTATTATATAAATCTTATAAATAGTAAAATAATAAAGTTCTTTTTAATTTATAATCTTAGTAAAGTAAAGCTATAAACACTTTAGGAATAGATATAAGAATAGCTAGAAAAGGGATATATTAAACTATCTATATTACTAGCTAAATACCCTATTATATTTATACCTAAGAAAAATAGG